GTTAGCAAGACATAAACCCTGATTCAAAGAGGGTTCACTCTCTTTTATCTTTCCTACCTTGACATCTGTTCTCTCCTCCGTTCTGACCTCAAGTGCTTTGTCACTGATCTGGTTGCGTTCTTGACCTTGTTCGGCATCGATCAGTGGATTCAGGACCGCAGATATTGCGACTGCGCTGTTTTCTTCTCCGGGAAACAACTCTTTTGACGGCCCCTCTTGCATTGTGGCTATCCTTGCATTGGCTGGGCATAAGAACGATACAAGTCAAGAATATACACATATATATGTGTGTATCAATGTGGACGAATCCTGCATGAAAATCGAGTCTAGCATGACCATCTTGTGGAGAATAGCTACGGCCCAGCGCCCTTCGAGTCTACAAGAATGTCTGCAGAATATGACGGTTTTGGATCCTCATTCTCAAGTCGATTGGACCCTTGGGATGCCTCTCAGGGCGTGACATCTCCCCGATCTCCAACCGCCAGGCTAGAAAAGAACTCAAGGCTTTAGGTGATGGATATAACAGACTTTCGGGAAGCATGTATGCCCCATCTTTCCGGACCGGGACAAAATATGACAGGGAGGACAAGGGCGAGATGCGCAAACACGGCGCAGAGAGCAAAGATAACGGGTCCGGCAACGAGGCTGCGGGGGAGATGCTCTAATTGGCTGGCCAGACTCCACTTGCTCGGGCCCGAAAGGGTGGGTGCTCATTCTCGACTGTTGAACGGCCGAGGCCCCACTGTTTGATAGGGCACAGCCAGGGGCCGCAAGGCTGAAAGCCGAAGCCGAAAGGCGTCTTAGACCTGCGAGTCGCTATCAGACAGAACCAAGCTCCACAGAGTCTGTGAGGGCTTTGTGTTGTTCTCGTCCACTCGAGGGCCTGTGTGATTTCCACTGGGGCTGCTTCTATGTTATCGAACTGGTGGGACGCAAGTTCCAATGTCGAGGAGTCTGTACTGCTATAACCATAATTAACCATCGAGATTTTTCTCGTCGATTGTACCGCTACAAGCATAGCTAAGAATTGCAGTGTCTCATAGATTAGACCATTCCTTCACGCAAGGAGGACGATACAGGCGCATAAGATGGCGTCGAAAGCGAATGTGCTCCTCGTCGGATCTGGAGGTGTCGGGACCATGGCTGTATATGCTCTCGAGTCGGGGGGGAAGGCAAAGGTCACGGCTGTGCTGCGCTCCAATTATGCCGCAGTCGTAGAGAAGGGATTCAGTTTCGATTCGGTCAATCATGGTCATGTGTCGGGATGGAAGCCCACCGCCAGTAAGTCTTTATGCCCCAGGGCTCGCTCTCGACCCGGACGAAGTCGAATCCGTGCGCTGATCACCGGACTGCTCAAAACAGTCGTCAACTCTGTGCCGACCGTGTCTGAAGCCATGGAGCCGTTTGACTTTATTGTGGTGACGACGAAGAACGTGCCGGATGTGCCGCCCACAGTGGCTGAAGTCGTCTCTCCCGCAGTGACCCCCGGCCACACCGTCATCGTGCTGGTCCAAAATGGCCTCAATATTGAGCACCCCGTGCAGACCAAGTTTCCCACCAACATCGTGCTCTCGGGGGTGTCTCATATTGGAGCGAAAGAGACCACCCATGGCCACATCCTCCACAACGACCCTGACCGCCTGTTCATCGGGTTCTTCCCCCACCCTGCGATCCCTCAGGAGCAAGGCGAGGCGGCCGCCAAACGCTTCGTGGACATTTACAATGCTTCCGGCCGGGTGGCCTGCAACTTCGACGACACCGTGACGTGGCGCCGCTGGAGGAAGTTGATGTACAACGCCAGCTACAACCCGGTCTGCGCCATCACCCAGATGGACACCAGCCGTCTGCGACTGGCACGGTCTCCCATCGACGGCTTGATCAGGCCACTGATGAAGGAGATCGTCGCGGCCGCCAAGGCCAACGGGATCGACCTGCCGGCCGATCGTATCGACGCCATTGTCAACGCCGAAGACATTGGTCTCTACTTCGAGCCCAGCATGCAGCAGGACGTTGCCAAGGTATGTTAAGCAAATGACGATGTTTCCTTCTCGTCCTCCTCTCCACCGGTTATGGTCGCTGATCGCACGGTCTGATGTTAGGGAAACCTGACCGAATACGAGATCATTGTGGGTGAGCCACTTCGAAGTGCAGCCCGCAATGGAGTGGAAACCCCAACCCTCAAGATGGTGTACGAACTCATGCAGGCCATTCAGTGGAGGACGAAAGAGAAAAAGGGTCTCATCAAGGACTTGCCGCCGCGGAAGACCAACTAGTTCGATGCCAATTAACAAAAGATCACCTCCCTCCGCAAAGACAATCTAAGAGAACGCAATGCGATCTTCGAATCTGCTCCTTTCCGCAACGGAAAATAACTAGAGCTATTCCATCCGCTCCCAGGCGTTCCAGATCTCAATTGATTGCACAATCTTACTTCGTATTCGAGATTCGGTAAAGCACATGAGCAGAGGATATGTTTTGTGACAGAGCTGCGCATTGGCTCGCTGTGGCCCGGATCATTACCTACGAAATGATCAACACCATAGACATGAAAGCGCGCAAAGGTTTCCCGTAGCTACATCTATAAATGATTCTGCTGAGCGTAGTTTCTCATCAGTTCCGCCTGCGAAATAGACTCGTACCTCCTTTTATGAATCTGTTCAATTCAGTGTCCCTCTTTTGATCCCGTACCTTCTTCTACTCCATGGCAGGAGGAACAACGAGGGTAGAAAGAGGGCTGGAGAAAGATTCACGCGATCAAACCAGGAAAACCGCAGATTGATCCGGGCCAATCTCTCCAAGATGAAATGTGTAGTATTTCGCGCCACTCGGCAGGATCAAAATCAGTGAATTTCTCTCGCGCATCTCTCGCACCCACCGACATACTGCTCGTAGTTAAGATTCTCTACGGTCCAAGAACAACTCATTGCTTTGGCAACCCCGACATCCAATGCAAGTTTGTGAAAACGGCATTGCAGCTATGGCACCTCCTCCCTCACCAAGCCAAAAAAAACCACCCCTGCGTCCGCCTCAGTCTGCCAAAAAGGCACCCCCACTTCAACTTGCAAAAAGCATGAAAAATCAAGGAGCGTGTCTCTTGTCCAGCGCCTTGAGTCGTCGGGTGAGCGACATTCTGATCTTGGCAAAAGTCCCTTCTTCGTTTGACTCGAGGTCTTCAGGCTGGTAGACCCGGCGGTCGGAAATCAGATCGATCGAGGTCGATTTGGTGTAGGGAGGTCCTCGGAAATAGACCTTAGCCCCCAGATAGAGCGCGAAGATGACCGGGAGCGATGCACATCGAGAGAAGAAGGCTTTGGCCGAAGGCGGCTCCCCGAGTGGCCAGATACCCAGATAGACCTCGTTTATCAGCACCAAGACGCAGAGAGTGACGCCGATGATGGTGGACCACGGCGAGGCCCAGCTGGTCCAGGGGAGCTCCGATTTGGCATACCCTTGAGCCTTCCAGGCCCTGCGGAACCGGATATGATTGGTGAAAAGCATGGTCCAGTTGAACAAGGTGATGAGGCTGATCAAATGAGCCAGCCAGGCAAAGACCTGATAGGCACCCTCCGAGGCATTGAGATAGGAGATGCCGCCACCGACGAGGAAGGTCAAGATGATGCACGGCCAAGGTCGACCCTGGCTGTCGGTTTTGAGGAAGATCTTTGGGGCCATACCCAGCTGGGCGAGCCCAATGGGCGACCGGGAACTGGCGTATGCCAATGCATTTCCGCACGACAAGACACTGATCAGAATGATGGCATTCATGACGTGTGCAGCGCCTGGGAGACCGGCGTCTTTCATGGCAATGACAAAGGGGCTGGCGTTTTCTCCCGATCCATCAAACAGGTTCTTGTCCCGAGGATCGACGCACAGGGTCGTCATGAAGGCACCCCCAATGTAGAACAGCCCCAGGCGGATCCAGATGGTCTTGACCCCTCGAGGAACTGACTTTCTCGGGTTGCTGGCCTCAGCTGCCGTCAGACCGATGAACTCGGCCCCGGCCATGGAGAAGATGCAGTTGTGCAACGTGTTGAGGAAGCCTTTGAATCCGTTGATGAAGGGAATCTCGCGCCAGTACCGGAAGCCGATCGTGGTATGGTTCGGGGCTCCCCCTGCGGTGATGACCAGGAACATGATGATGATGACAAAGATCCAGAAGAATTTGACAATCGCGAGCGCCACCTCCACTTCGGCAAAGACCCTCACGTGGAAGACGTTTATGAAGAGCAAGATGGCCAGGAAGATGGTCACCCATGCCGACACAAACATGGCGTCAGTCCAGTATCGGATCACCGTGACCGCGCCCTGCACTTCGGCCGCCAGCACCAGCGTGGACGACATCCAGTAAGCCCAGCCCAAAGTAAAGGCCACCGATTTGTCGAGAAACTTCTCCGTCCAGCGCGGAAAGGCAGATGGCACGGGGTAGAGGCAGGCGATCTCTCCCGTGGCTTGGGCAACCGCCCAGGAAATGAGTCCAGCCAGACAAAAGCCGAGCACATTGCTCACGGGACCGCCATGGGCCAAGGTTGATCCAGAACCCAGCCAGAGACCAGCCCCAATGGAGGCGCCGAGGGAAAAGAAGATGAGATGGCGAGATCCCAATGCTTTGGCAAGTCCCGGGTCCTGGAGAGGCAACGGTGCTATCTCGCCATGAGCAGGAGGGCCCTCTTCGGAGCTCGGGGCCTTCTGAGTAATGGAGGTGGTATGCTCTTTCTCGCTCATGGTGAGCCAAGTCTGGTAATCGAAATTCAATGCCTTTGACGTGTGTTTCTCTCTCTCTTTGGCCCGAGATAAAGGAGTATTGCTGAACAGACAGGGGGCGCAGCGCTCCCGCTGGCGAGGTCCAAGTTCTTATAGAGCTGCGCTCTTGGTCTGATCAAAGCATGGACAAGATCCTTATCATGTCTACAGAGAATGACCAAGACCTACCTCGTCGCGATATACTCTACCTTCTCCCTGCCAACGCGCGTTGTTCGTCCAGCGCGGACACTACCAGAACCATGGCAAGATTGGACAAGGCCTGGAAACCCTCAACAGCGAGAATGCGGCTGGATCGATCGAAAGTTCTCAAGATAACAGATAAGACCAGATTCAGCAACCTCGCGCCCCATCGTTCGTATCAACCGCGGGATTCGAGGGCTTGGTGGAGAAAGGGGAGCTCGGGTATTTCGGCGGAGGGCTTGATAGGTCGCTTTTCGGCGCCGACCTCGTTGGCGGCATCGAACTATCCCAATGGTGGAGAAAGGCGGAGGAAGGGCGTTGGAAACCACAGGATCATGGCAGGCCCGAATTTATTTATGCTGTTGCAAGGAGAGCCCAAGCACGGTGAGAATGTGCTGGGAAGACCATTAACAAACAATTCCAAAGACTAGCCGGCCTTTCACGGCGTGGTCACCAATGTCGTCGTCAACAGAACATGCCGCTGGGTCGAGCTCGCTCCATCCGCTCGACCCCATCACCGCAAACGAAATCGAGGAGACGGCCAGGTTGATCAAGTCCAAATACGCCGAAGGGGCTGTTCACTTCAAGTCCATTTCGATCCTTGATCCGGCTAAGAAAGCCCTGCTCCCATACCTGGCGGCAGAGCGGGCAGGCAAAAGCCCACTTCCCACCATTCCACGCAGGACCAAGGCAGTATGGGTTCTCCTTGGTAGCTATGACTGCTTTTGCGCGAGTGTCAACTTGAGCTCCCAGGAAGTCGAGCACTTGACGCAGTTGGACAGGACTGGGTTTCCCAACGGAGACGTGGACGAGACCCGTGAGATGAGACTGCTGGTGCCGCAGCACCCGGAAGTCAAGAAAGCCATAGAGAAACTCGGCCTCCCACCAGGGACCGAGGTGGTCTGCAATACATGGTCCTATGGCCGAGAAGATGATACCCAGATTGACCGCAGAGTCCAGGTAGGTTGGCACCTTTCCTGGGATCGAAAGGGTGGTGGCTCAGCTGGCAGCTAACCGTGAGATATCGGTGGTAGTGCTACATGTTCTGCAAGGATCCTACGAGGGCCACCGATGCCTCGAACCATTATGACTTTCCGCTTCCCATTGCGCCGGTTTTTGAGAATAAAACAAAGAGACTGGTTGAGATCATCTACTTGCCGACTGGGGCTGACGCCAATGTCAACAGAGACCCGAAGTTTGTGCCGCATAAGGCGAAGGAGTTCCATCACAGCCTGCAAGATAGACCGACTCGGACGGACCTGAAGCCTTTAATTGTCATCCAGCCGCACGGCACCTCCTTCGCGGTGGAAGGGTACCTGGTCAAATGGCAGAAGTGGCGTTTCCGACTGGCCTTCAATTTTCGAGAGGGCATGGTCCTCAACGACGTGACCTACGACGGCCGCGAGCTGTTCCACCGAGTCTCCTTGAGTGAAATGGTCGTTCCCTACGCCGATCCTCGCAGTCCCTATCACCGAAAATCGGTCTTTGACCTGGGCGATGTAGGAGCCGGGAATTCGGCCAACAACCTCCAGCTTGGCTGTGACTGTCTCGGGGTGATCAAATACTTCGATTTCGTGGTCAGCAACAGCAAGGGCGAGGCCGTACCCAAGCCCAACGCCGTGTGCATGCATGAAATCGACAACGGCATCGGATACAAACACACCAACAACCGCAGTGGGCTGGTCTCGATCACTCGAGCACGGGTTCTCGTTCTCCAATCCATCCTGACGGTCGGCAACTACGACTATATTTTTGCCTTTCATTTCGACCAGGCCGCCGGCCTGCATTATGAAATCAAAGCCACCGGCATCGTCGCCACACAGCCGATTGACAAGGGAGTGACCGTGCCTTGGGGGACAGTGGTCAATGAAGGGGTGCTCGCTCCCCATCATCAGCATGGTAGGTCTTGAAATCTCAGCCTCGTCTTTTGGCGACGACCCTGTGTCGCCTGACATGGCTGAGGAGCTCCATTGGTTGACTAAACCCAGTTTTCATTCTCCGCATCGATCCTAATCTCGATGGGCCGCACAATACCGTGGTGATGGAGGACTCGGTGCCGATGCCGCTGGACGATGAGCTCAACCCCTACGGGGTAGGGTACACGGTACAGAAGATGAAAGTGACCGAGTCTGGAAGTTGTGATTTCTCGCCCAACCGCGTCTTCAAGATCACGAATCCGAACTCCATCAATCCTGTCTCGGGCTTGCCGGTAGCATATGCCATTGGGAGCCCCATGAAGCAGATGCTCTTGGCGCATCCCAGCTCCCAGCATGGCCGACGCGCTCGATTTGCCACCCATCCGTACTGGGTCACCAAGTACCAGGAAGGAGAACTCTTTGCGGCAGGCAATTTCACCTACCAGTCCATTGCCCTTCCCCTCGGAAAGGCGACCCACGACGGTTCAGGCGACGTGGCTGCATGGGCGGCGAGAAAAGATCCGGTGGACAACGAAGATATTGTCCTGTGGCACAGCATTTCCTTGACTCATAATGTTCGTGTCGAAGACTATCCCATCATGCCCTGCGAGACGATTGTAGTTTCGCTCAAACCCAGCGGATTCTTTGAGGAGAGTCCCCTGATGGACGTGCCTCAGAGCAGTCAGCTCGCGAGTCAAAGCACCCTCTACGAAGATCCCCAAGACCGCCCAACTAATGGCCATTCTTCCTGCAGTGGGCACGAGGCTTGTCGTTAGGCTTTTTGCGCTAATCAAGATCAATCCTCGATTTAGAGGACTTGATATATAGAACAGGATTGGGAAATGCATTACTTCTTTCTGTACCGAAAGCTGTTTCTTACCACCCCCAAGAGTCGCATCTCTTTGCGAGAATACATACATATTGAGCGGATGATCAACATTCAATGACTTCCAACAGAGAACATGACTGCGATGGCATTGTAGTAAGTATAGGGTTGTGATAGAGTACACAAGGGCTAGTGCATTAGTGCGCATCGCTGCCATGTCGTGTGCAAAACGCCCTCTAATCGCATCTATCTACCTGCTCTCACATTGCTTTTCACCACAAAGACCATCGAGAGCGTCTCGCTGCCGCAATTGCTGTCTCTATCTTGCCACTATCTGTCGTCTCCCTGGATCCCTGGAGGAGAGATATCCACTGGACTATCATGCCCAGCCTTTCTTAGCCACAATCAGACATGGTTGAACATGGCTGTTGCGTCTCGGCTTTCGGCTTTCGGATTTCAGACTTGATTCCTTACCGCCAACCAGCACGGCCAGTCCGGTGGTGTATGAAACGACTCTATCGATCTTCGGCGCCGCGTTACCCACCGGGTTCAGTCACGATCCATCTGATCCATTGCCCTCTTCGAATAACTCTATCTCCGGCACTCGACCCCAGGGGACATTTACTCTAAGGGAGAAGCGGGAAATACTTCGTCACCTGTTCTCCCAGGCAAAATTAACTTATTTTGCTGTAGATTACCGCTTCCTTGGAATCGGTGGCATTAAGGCTTGTGAGAAACGGCTGGCAACCAAGGGGTCTAGTCACCATGAAAGCTCCCTTGATGAGCGAGACCATGGAGAAAGCAACGCTGGAGGAGATTCCTGTCGAAGCCCTGGAGCCTCGGCGAGACGGCGAACTCGACGACGTGCTCACCATCGAAGATATGCGGGTGCTTGCGCAGAAAAAGGTGGCCAAGATGTACAGAGGTCCGTTGTTCAACTCCGCCGTCGGCTGCCCCATCCCTCCGCGAGAATAACGCTATTAAGCAGGAGCTTCTCTCTGACATGGCGACAAGCATATATGCATGATACTAACCAAGGTCTCCGGGGCAGATTACTTTAACGACGGAGCAGACGACATGATCACGTACGTCCAGCACGCGGCCACGACCCCTTTCTCAGTGTTTGCTGCACCTCCGGAAATTATGCCCTGGCTGATAGAAAGCTATCTTCTCCAGGCTCCGCGACAACGAAGCAGCATATACGCGTTATAAGATTCGGCCGAGAGTGCTGATCGATATGTCGGGCTTGGACTCTTCCATCACAGTCTTTGGATGCAAGGTACGTACGGGTCAAGGCTCTAGGGGGCATCATGGACATCGAAACCCAGTAATATTACAGATGTCGATGAGTAGACCGACGAGGACGATTGTGCCTGACGAAATCTTATTGGATGTAGATTCCCATCCCGCTTGCCTTTTCACCATCCGCCGCTCACAAGCTGGCCCATCCAGATGGGGAGGTCGCGACATCGGCGGCAGCTGCCAAGGCAGGCATACCCATGGGCCTTTCGTCGTATTCGAACTCTTCGTTGGAAGCCGTGGCGAGCAAGGGACGGGGGAACCCCTACGTCATGCATCTTACTATTTTGAAGGACCGGGACCGGACCGTGCAGACACTGCGCAGGATCGAAAGTAAGTGCCATCTTGTCACGTTCTCCTGGCTGGCCGGCGCCGTGGCTGCTGGGCTCGCTCCTCCAGTCCATTTCAAGGCGTGGACTGCTAATTCGGACACCACTGCCAGACGCTGGCTACAAAGCAGTCTTTCTCACAGTCGACACCCCCGTCCTGGGCCGGCGCTTGAACGAGTACCGCAACAATTTCAAGCTTCCGCCCGGCGTGGGATTCCCGAACCTCCAGTTCGAAGCGACTGTGGCCGAAAAGGAAGGCCTGCACAAGGGTGCCAGGGGATTCAAGTCGGTCATCAAAACTGAGCGAGACCCGAAGCAGGATTGGGAGAGTGTCGTCCCGTGGCTCAAGTCTCAAACAAAATTGGAGATATGGGTCAAGGGCATCTACCACCCCGAGGACGTCAGGATGGCCGTCAAGTACGGACTAGACGGCGTCCTCATTTCCAACCACGGTGGACGACAGCTTGACGGCGTCCCCGCCAGTCTCGATGCGCTGCGAGACTGCGCACCTGCCGCGTTCGACGAGCAGGGCAACCGACTGATCCAGGTGGCCGTGGATGGCGGCATCAGGAAAGGCTCCGACATGTTCAAGGCCATCGCTCTGGGAGCACAGATGGTTTTGGTCGGCCGGATACCTCTTTGGGGGCTTTCGGTATATCTCCAGTGCCCCTCTTACGACAAACCCTGGATTGTTGACACGGCTGACAACTGCGGGTATGACAGGTCGCTGGTGAGGCCGGTGTAAGCAAGGCCATCGAAATCCTCGCCCAAGAATTCCGGCAGACCATGGCATTGGCGGGGTAAGTGTTTGTCTCTGTTTTCTGATTACTTGCACGCACATACGCACACACACACATACACCGAGAGAGAGAGAGAGCTCACACAAGAAACCTAGTTGCCGAACCGTGGCAGACATAACCTCCGACCGCCTTGCGATCCTGAGTAAAGGCCGACTTCTCAAGATCTAAGTGCCAACCAGCCTCCGTGGAACGCAACGGTCATCACGATAGTCGAAAACCATGTTAAGGCAGGATCGAGGGCTTTATGAATGGGAAAACGACTGATTGATATCTTTATGCCCCTGAGCTCGAAACGCCAGGCTCTCCAAAGAGAATAGTCGTGTACAAATCCACACGGAACAATCTGACGGGCCTCTGGCTCTCTCGTCGCTTTCTGCTCGTTGTCTAGCTGTCGAACAAGGGACATGCCCTAGGCTCGTATCTGCTCGAGCCCAACTTTGGCACTTCCGCGCTGGCTTCGCACGAGAATGGTTCAGGGTTCTCTCCCTCTCTCTCTTGGTTGGTGTCACGACGGGGCCAGAATCTCTGGCTGACCAATTCCATTTTCTTAGCATTTCTCCCCGTATTGATATTTAACCATCAAACATGACAAAGGCGCCTGGATCATCGCCCGTCATCGCCACATGGTCGTCGGTATTATATATGTTGCCCAGCGTGTCTTTGACCGCCACCGGATCAGTCATGCACTGGAGCAGATCCTCAACGTGCATGTCCCAGAACAGGCCCGGCGAGTGAGCCCGCGTCGAACTCGTAGCCGCTATACCGTTCATCTGTCGGAACTGGTGCATGTCCGCACCTCTCGCCTCCGCCGTCTCCAGACGGGAATGATGCAACGGTTCGTCCGAAGAGAAGCTGGCCGCTCCTCCAAAGCGCGGAGGAGCAGCCACGGCGGCAGTGGCAGCACGCACGGTCGAACAGTTCCAGATACTCTGGTGGGTGCTGTTGTTGCTGTTGTCGTTATTGTTGTCGTTAGACGGTCCATCCTGGCTGGCGCTTGGGGGCGTGGGACATCGCGAGGTTGATCCTCGGTAGGTCGGGTCATAGGTAGCAGACCTTGAATCGCGCATCGCGCTGGCCTCCAGTCTTTGCACGCCGCTCCAGGGGGGTTTGGGCCCGGCGTCTCTTTCCCAGATGCCGGCGACAGCAAGGCCATCGACGCTTGTCGGATCACCACCACCGTGTTCAGGACCATAGCTGAAATTCCGCTGACTGTGGTGGCCACTGCTAGCGAGGTGATTTCGACTGTCGCTGGAGACTCCCGTGCTGTGACTTCCATCACACGAGCTCGACGGGGGTCCGAAGTTTTGACTGGTGATCCGTCTGGCAGTATTGGGAGCACCGTGGGATTCCGTCCGAGTTTCAACTCCAACAGCCACCGCCACCGCCGCTGTCGGCTGTCTCGTCCGGGCTGGAGCGCCGGGATAGGTTGAGGATCCGCGTTCGTTGGGATACTCAAGGGGTGTTGCGTGCGAACATTTCCCCCCAGTGGCACTTTCTTGGGCGGAAGTAGATTCGGTGGAGATGGCAGATTCACCCACGGCCACGTGTGGCCCTCGACGGTTGGTGCCGACCTGGGAAATGTGAGGGTCATGCGAGTGGCGGCGTATGCGGGAGGAAGTCGTCTGCATCATACCCTTGACTTCGGTCAAGATGGTGTCGATCAGACGACTCAGTCCCTCCGCTGGCGACCAATGCGAGGCCATCGTGGCTGAGATGGACCAGAGATTCTGCAGCCCGTCCAGAGAGCCGAGTGCAAGCAGCAGGTCCGAGGAGGTGCCACGCTCTCCGGGTTGGGGACATGAGGATGGGTCCGTGGGATCGTCTTGGCCGCATGTGTCGTGAGGAATGGCGGATCGGATCTCGGCGCAAAACTGGATGGCGGCGGCGAGGATCGGGGTCAAGGTGCTCTGCCAGCATTGCCTGGTCCAGCCCGAGTCCAGCATGCGGTTCAAGATGGATAGGATCGAGACGGCCGAATTGTGGCACAGGGATGCGTCTGAGGATTCGAGCTTGGCCTCGCCCTCGTTGCGTCGGGATCGATCTATCGGCGCGTGGTGTCTCGCAGGTTCGGGCGCATGATGGTAGCCTGGATCCGCGTCCGGCACCACGACCTTCAGCCGCCGATTCAAGGTGATGACCGCAGTGTAGTAATGGAGGTGCAACTGGGCGGCCCAGAAGGACTGGGCCGGCCAGCTGGGATGCGCCATGTCCGGAGGCAACTGCAGACACCAATCTGCGAGACGGGAGTTCATGTCCATCTTGGCCTCTCGCATGGCCTTCGAGTTCTCCCCTCCCAGGAGTCTCTTTCGGCCGGGCGAGTGAAGCTTCAGCATCTCCCAGATGACCAGGCACAGAGAGGCATTGGCCAGACAGAAGCCCACGTTGTGCGTGCAGACGTTGGTGGGCCCGCCAGTGGCCGGGTCAATGACTTCTTCCAACAGGTCGTCGTTCGTCAACATTTCTTGGTCGCAGTCGTCCAGGTCGAAGCTCATGGGCCGCCCGTGGTTCAAGGCACACAAAACCTCGGTCTGGACGACCACCCACCACAGGGATCGCATGCGCCTCCGACCCTGCGCTCTCAGGCGGGTGGAGTTGAACCGCCGGTGCATGCCCAGACCGAGGGCGATGCGGCTGGCGATGCCTGACCAGTACCAAGCATTGGCCGAGATGTCATCCGCTGAGTCAACATGCCAGGTCAAGATCAGGGCGGCTTGGAGCAGGCAGAGCCGGTCATTCTCGTAACGCATGTCGAACAGACTGCGGACACGGCGATATAGAGCCTCCTTGATCGAAGTCCGCGCCCGTTCAATGGCCGGATGGGTCGACACATGGGCGCCCGCGAGTAGGACGCACTGCAGCAAGAGCAGCGGAGGGGGCTCCTGGCCGGAGGGGTCTTGGGGATTGGAGCTGCCGGTCGTCAGCAGGCGGCGAAACTCGGCTTCTTGGACGACGGGAAACCCCGGATGGATATCTCTGAAGTAGGCTTCGATGAGGTCCTCTCGGATCTCACTGACGGGCAGGACGCCCAGGTCTGGGTCTGGCAGGGTGGTGAACGTCCACTTGGGGGGTTCGTGGTTCTTGGGGTCCTCCTGCGGCTGGATCACCGGGATGGCGCGTGCCGTCAAGGACGAGGCCGAGGGCTTCCACGGGAGCGTCGATCGATAAGGCGGGAAGGGGTAGTGGAGGCAGTCTGGCCGTTTGGTTTGCGTGTTGACCAGATGAGCCATATTCGAGGCCGTGGTGCCAATGTAAGCCCAGCGGCTGGTCCGGGAGACCGGTAGGGTGGTCCTGATCTGGGACCGATAGAAATCAGCCAGGGCCGAGCGAGTGAGATGTTCATCTTTATTCAACCGCGGGCTCTGCACGACCGACGGCGAGGTCGACGATGATGGCGTCTGGCTCACGGCTCCAGGATGCTGCCCTGATCTTGCAGGGCTATGGTACATTGGGTGACGAGGATCCTCGGTCGCACCCCCATGGGGAGTCTGGTGGTGCGAGGCAGCGGCCTGGGTGCCAGCGACAGGCGACGAGTGATGAATCCTCGGTCGTTTCCTGAAGTTCCGCCGCAGTTCGAAGCTGTGCCCATGGTAAGTTGCGATGGCATCAGAGACCCCAAAGACACGGCACCTATCTTACCTGCAGGCGACATTGGCCCTGCGACACGGCGAGCAAGGCACCTGTTCCCGGGCGTCGCACCGGACTTTTCGACGATGGCAGATATCGCAAGCCATGGAGCCGCGTGGTCCTGGTCAGCCGCAATCCTGTGCGCAAAAGGGAAGGAAACCGCTTTATCCAAGCCACGTTGCCCGAACCCGAGCGGACGGTTGGTGGTTAGATCTCGGTCGTGGACGTTGAGATGGCCGAGCGTGGTGGCAGTGGCATTGACAAAAGACTGTGGTCGGCATTCGTCTTGGAACAGCTATGTAAGGCCCAGAGAAGTCAAACGACTCTGACGAACTAGACGGATAAGGGCTGTTGGGCCCGTAGACTGGTTGCTGCCATCGTCCCGCCCGACCAACTGGGCTGCCATTGTGTTACTATCGCCCCCAGCCTTATCGAGAGTTGCCTCTCTCGGGCCCGAACTCCGAGCTTGATACGTCTCAACCAATCAAGTTGTGGCCTGTCGATGCTTTCGGGACGTGGGAAATAGGTCCAGAGTAAGTCCTCCGTACTTGGCGGCGTTTCTACGCTAACCAGGCTTTGTCTCGTCTCTCCCTATCTTGCCCATCCCTCCTATCCAAAACAGGACCACGTGATACAGAAAAGGAGGCTGCCGCACGTGACTACCGAAAGAGGAAGTATCCGGTATGATGGCACGGTGGGTATGCTACCTACGTACCTCGTAGTGCGTTGACAAACTGATATACAAGCAGACTCATTTGCGATTTCCTGTTCTGGAAGCCTCCTGGGACTGCAAATTCGTGTTCTTCTGTACAAATATAGTGTCAGAGCCACCACGCAGCCGTAGCCAATATTCGCAATTTGTGGTGGACCCCGTCACAGATTCAAGAGTATTGCCTGAAGCCACCGACTCGCGAGTCCATTACAACATTGCTCAGGTAACGGCGATGTCAGCTGCTCAGGACGAGAAACATCCACAAAGGGTTTTGATAGACATGCACGTCTCTTTTTGGTGGGTCAGAGAAGTATACGCCGTTGCCGATACTTTAGGCCATCACCAATACTCGTCAAGAGGCTGCAACTTGCGGCTAGCCGGGGAAGCGAGGCTTGGGAGGCTGGTCGAGAGAGTGTGGGCATGGTCCTTGGCTGGGTGAGTGGATATATGGACTGGCTCTCACTTTAGAAGGAGAACATGGTGGCGATACTCAAAAGAGCGCCATTCCTGCATCGAGACTTGGTCCCGGTTCTAAACTACCTCCGAAGGGCTCAGCATAGGGAAACTAGATCACGCGAGCGACTAGGCTCGTCCATGCTACAATCGAGGCTGGAAAGATCCCCAAACCCTGGCAGTAGTGAGGGAAGATGCTCTTGCACTGGAGACCATGATCTTTGAACAACCATGCAAAGGTTCTCTATTCCAAGTCGTATGTTCCAACCCTCGACTTGGTCCAGTCTGCATTATGCAACATTCCAGGTGATAATCGCTTTGTCATCGGGATTGTACTGCACCACAGAACACAGACAATTATGACCGCAGCGCTAAATATCATCAACATCCTCATCATCAGCGCCATCTGTCTTGACCTTTCGCGCCCTAGAAGTCGAGTCCAAATTCGTCATTTCGTATTCATCCCGACCAGTTGACATTGCAACAGCATGCCTCGCCGTGGGATTCTCCTCCAAAAATTCTCGAAGTCGCTTCTTACCCTCTTCCAGGGCTTGTTGGGACGCCGCATTCACCATCTTGAATATCGGGCCCCATAGATTCAGAGTATAGGTGACATAAGCGGCGATGGCGAGAATGATTAGGAACATGAAGTAAACGGGATTGCGAAGAACTGCCGCTTTGTCAGTGCAACCCACACCTCATGCGAACATGATGCAACTTACCAGCAACGATTTCGTTCCAACCCAGTGCTAGCAAGAGACCGTAGAAGTAAAGCGGTACTTGTGTCATGCCACCAATCGCACTACGTTTGGCTTCGACATACACCCCATCAGCAGCCTTCTTAAATCTGACGGTCAAGTCTTGCCGTTTGGCCTCGTTGAGAATCGTCGTCTCCTCTTCCAGGCTCTTCCCTTCCTCCTCGTCAACTCCTCCAATGGGCGTCAGGTCTTCCTCATCAGCCGGGGTGGCTGTAGCAGGAGTAGGTCCGATCCACCGGTCGAGAGGTGGTGGAGCCCCAGTCTCGGAATGCCGGAAGCGAGCAAGGAGAGGAATCAGGGTGAGGGTACTTTCTCGAGCTCGGGTATAGATGCCCTCAATGTCGTCGGTTGGGCGCCAAATTCGCGGAACGCCGGCCTCATCGTACCGGAATTTGTCCTCGAAGTTCTCTCGGAGCTTCAGTAAGAGATTACCTTCCATCATTTCTTCGTCAATCTTGGCACGTAGTACGCCCCAAGATTTTCTTCTGAGGCGCCAAATGCCGACTTCAACTTCTTCGGCGCTGGCGTCGAAGGAAGCGGCTCGGTCAGCAAAGCGCTTCTCAGCATCCTTCACCGTGGCAACGAACAAGGACCAGATCCGGTCCCAAATGCCCTTCTCTAGGGGTCGATCTCCCTGCTCAGGAGCACCAGAGCCACCACGACCAGATCCAAGAGCATTAAACTCTAGGCCGACGCTGTCGTTGAGTTTGCTCCTGACCCATCTTTCAACCCTGGTTGCGAGTCGACGCATTTCGTCCCGTCGTAGCTGACCTGAGATCTTGTCTAGTTCTTTCTGGTAAAGTGCCATTTCTTGTTTATGGTCAGACCAAGGCAACCCCTCGATCGCAGCCTCCTTCCCAACAGACGCAAACTTGTCGAGCGCGATCTTTTTCTGCTCTTTAACGATTTCGGCGAAATCATACGATGCTCCTTTCTTCTGCCCCGCCTTGACGGCGGCACTGACCGCATCGGAGAACTGTTGCACCCCCTCTTTGTGCGCGGCCGAAAGTTGACCAGCGAAAAGCGCCTTCAGTCTGGTATCGACCTTGCTCTCGAGCTCTGTCCGTTTCCGTTGATAGACACCCTTGTGGTATCTGCTTGCTTCGGTCTCGAAATTCTGGATAGCATCTGCTCGCGCTCCCTTCATAGCAGCACCTAATCCAGAAATGGGTTCTGCTCTACCCATTCTTGCAGCGTCTGCTTGTTGTGTCTCGAATGGGGTGATCGCCTCGTCGAAAGCGACCATCACTTCTCTCATAATCTCATCACACCTGAATTGGGCTAGGAGTTCTTGCTGCGTTGGAAGATCGAGGTCCTTGTTATTCACAATCTGGTCCCAGATACCTTCGGCGTAGTGGGAGAAGCCGTCCGCGGGTATTCGCCGGTGATATTCTGGCAGAAAAATGCCACCGTCAAATTCGCCCAACAATGCATCTCTTCGGTGGTCGCGATGACCATCCCTGAATCGCGTTGCCATCTTCGCTACCTCGGCCTTAAATTGATCTGGCTGATATAACTTGTGTGGGAGGGCAGTAAAAGCAAAATCGAAGTAGTCGTCAATGCTGGTCTTCTCCAACCCCGGCGGCTTTGACAAACTGGTCCATATCCTCCCCATGTCCTGCATCAAGGTGTTCCGCAAATTCTGCAGTGGCGTCGTCCCAAGGAAATCTCGAATGACAAAATACAACAGGCTCCGTGAAGTCGATTTCCTGTCCTTGAGAAACAGTTGCAGGTTGACCTCAAAGACCGTCTTAAGCAGTCCCATATTGGCACCCTGGTATAACCCGACCTGATGCTCCCAGATATTGACCATCAGAACTTCGCTGGTTGCCAAAGCAAATAAAGAACTCTTGCGCTCAAAATCCTGGTCTTCCCCTCGTTCCCGACCATCTGTACCTTCGACGTCCATGACCAGGATATTGTCTGCCATTTCTGTCGCTGTAGATTTGTTTTTCGCCAGCCATATTCCTCGAGTGGTTTGGCGTCTTTCTGTCTCGGACATGACGGAGAAATCGGTCTCGAAGAGGGCATTTAGAAGGGTGGACTTGCCGGTCGACTGCGATCCAAAGACGGAGATGAGATGGTAGTTGAACCCGGCATGGGAAACTCCAGTGTAACTGAGATACTTGGCAAGATCAGAGCTGCGACAAATCAGTAAGACTGGGCTTTATTCGAGCCAACTCGAGGGTCATACTTGAACTGTTTGTCCTCGTCAACGATCTGGACACCATTTTCGAAATTTGCCGTCCCATTCTGGCCGACAGACGCAAAATGCCCATTCACTGACATCTTTTCCGGAGCCGTGTTTGCTCGGTTAATTTGTAGAGGTCTGTCGCGAGACGTCGAGGGGGAGACGGGGGACTGCGGCGGCGAGAGTGTAGAATGCGCCATGACGGTGACGGCGTTGGTGATGGCGGTCGGATGATATATCCCTGCAAACAAAGCCTTGGTATGTGCTAAGGGGACATGGAAAAGAATAACTGGTCATCACCTGAACAGCCACCTGCCAGGGGATGTGGAAAGATGGTGTACTGCCCAGGATGCGGTCATGAAACAATTGGCGGATGATGGGTCTGGGCCGCTGCGAGTTAAAGGTGTCCTAACGTTGGACCCTAGTGACCCTCGAGGGCCGGTCCGGCTCACCTGCTCTAAAGAAAGTCATGCCCACCGGCTGCGACAGTTAGTGCCTGAGGACCTCAAAAGATGATCCGTTCCGGGCATCGGAGGAGTGTGCGGAAGTAAGGTCCACTTCTGCCTGTTTCCCAACGGACAACAACGTACTGCAACCTTCAGCCTTGTGCACGCTGCTCTCCTGATCACTTGTACCAAGGAGAGTCTTGCTGTTTCACAAGTAAAGACAGTATATTGAGGGATTTCACACGCCTCTTTATTGTGAATTTGATTTTAAAAAAAAGTGGCTCGAAAGGCGCGCTCTCACAAACAGGATCTGGTATGCTCCAGAGACTTCGTTGGAGCCTGAATAAGACCGACGCTGGTTGCTGTCACGTCCACAAGCCTGTCAACCGCTTGGTCACCTCAAAGCCTGTCCATGGTACTGGCTGAGGACCTCAAGAGGTTATTGGAAGATACTGTTGTGTTCTTGAAGAGGGCAACCTAGTTGATGGCCTTGCGGAAGGCTGAGCTCTCTGACCTGAAAGGCATCGTACCACGATCAGCTCGACCGGCAGAACTCAATATGATTTCTTGCACTGGAACAAGCACTTGCCTAGTCCGAGAAGAGTACTTTCACATTTTGGATAGCTCAGACTCACCAACTGCTCCATATCCTGATTTTGGGCGACTTGCTACTCAACCAAGCAAAAGGCTATGGCCAAAGGGCCCTGACCACCACTTCCTGACCATCATCGACTGAAGATATCGCTGAAAGAACAGCCTGCATCCCATTTTTTCTACTTGATAGATCAAACTTTCACAACAATGCCTCCAAACAGGAAGAAAAACCGCCGCAACAAAGTTGCAACCCAGGCCCAGACCCAATCCACCCCAACCCCGAAGACTGTCTCTTGCCCGCGGTGCAACGAGCAGATCGTCATCCCCAAAACTTGCAAGCACGGCAAGAAACTCATCAACTGTCAGGGAACTGGATGTACCACAGCCCACTTCGACGAACATAACGCGAATTGTCGGTTGGTTCCACCTTCCAACCCTGCCGATACGCCATCAGGAATGTCAGGAATGCCAAAACCAAGATCACCAAGTGTGCAAGTTTCCGATCTGTCTAAGACCTTCCAGTCCGCTCACACTGCAGCAATGGGAACACTGTCAGAACAGCTCACGGCACTCAAGAAACGCCGCGGCAAGGACCCGAGATATGTCCAGGGCATTCCCATAGGCGAGTGGTTAAGGATGCTGGAGGGAGGGCGTGTCCAGCAGGTCAATCAATGGACCGAAAAGTTGAAAGATTTGGTTCAAGGCAAGAAGACCGCCGAGGAGATTGAATATGATGACGAGGATAGTGACGACGAGGGCGATAGATGCCCGACACCATCAGAGGACGAGTGACGGCAAGGGCAGACACCAGAAATGTCAGTCAGACCTTCGGCGGATGGGAACTGCAGCCTATATAGAGGCAACCGACCCATATCTCAGGACCACCAAGCGTCCACTACGTCTAACCCGTTCATCAATTTTGGGCGGGTGTATGAAGAGCACCGCACTATCGAGTGCATTGAAATTGGGAGGGTATTCGTCTTGAATGGCACCTCCCATCATAGTGACCAACTACACTCTGGGCGGGATCGTTGACAATTCGAGTCTGCTTTATTCGGGGACGGTCCCCTCCAGCAGCATTGGCCATATAACGTTCCTCCAACCTCCCAGGCAGACACCATTGCCAAATTCTCATCATAAGAGTGTGGCAACTGCATCTTATGGTTCATCGGAGGGTGAAACGTGGGTGTCGTGGGTCACCAAATTCGTGAATCGAGGTCGAGAATAGGGGGACTTGAGTAACTGACTCAAATGAAGAACTCGGTGTCGATGACGAATGCCTTGGTAGGCGTTTTGTCCGACAGTCCAACGACTTGTTAGTAACCACCTAGTAAGGACCGAGCGGGTAGAATCGGCAAGAGGCTTTTCACGAAGCCTTGCATGGCCGTCATGGCCAATTGTTACATATGTACAAAGATTTCCCGTCTGGCGACGCCTTTCTCCCTTCCAGGTTGGTATGCTGCTCTATCTTTCAGCCATGCTCGAAATCTCAACCAGGTCATTCAGCACCATGATTGAGAGTGGGAATCTCTGATGCAGCGCAATCATGGAGCCATCGCGTTCATTGCGGTTGGGTTGCGTCCTTCTTTCTAACACCGACATCCTTCTCCCACGGCATGACAACTTGTGGATAATCTGCAAAAAGCTGCTTGTCCCGGAGATGAATTGGCGTCTGACCTTTTGGTGTATCGGGGATAGTCTTCTCCAAACCCTGTATCACCAATCAGTCTCAAAGTCGGCGCAGGGTGTTCGAGCACACCACAAGGCAGGATCAAGGCCACTTACGATTTTCTGGAAGACGCATCTGTTGAGCACACGCTCTGGCCGTCGACATTGCCATAGTTGGTGGTTATTGTTCTCCAGACAACTCCAGTGTGCTCGAAACTCCTCCAGACAGCTCTTGTTGATATCGGCCAATCTGCAGCATTCATAGACAGGATCAGCAATTTGTAACTGAAGCAATTCTCACACCAGTCCTAGATTGATTCCAAATCTCTTCTTCGGGCCTCGGGGTGGGACTAACACGCTCGCTGCACATCTCGTAACCTTCCTCCCTTCCCGCATGCAATCCAACTCTCCTCGACCGTACGCCTCGGTTTTGCACTGCATATAGTCATCATTGTAAGGTCGACATCTTGCCCCAATGAAGAAAGATGCGCTCAGTAACGGTGCTGAACTGGCTCCGATCTCCTCGACTTTTGGGATGTGGTCAGGCATGGGCGTGGTGTCAATGAGCACATCGGTGCTGAATCTGCGGACAGATTGTTAGCTGTGCGTGCGCTCCAGAGGCCTCAGAAATTCTATACCTTGCGTCTCGTTTCGCCATGATTGCAACTGTTGGACCACGCCACAAGCACTGTTTGTGAGTCTCTAGTAACAGTAGCTCTCGAGTGAAGTTCAAGCTGCGGAGGCGGAGCTCCAAATGCCAAGGCGTGGTTTGGCTGCTCACGGTTCAACCCCGATCGGGAAAGAGAGTGATGCCGCCCTTCCAGCAACAAGGTCAGCAGCCTGTGCTTCGCCGTAACGACCCTGCCTCAGAACTTGGATTATCTAGCAAGAGTTTCAATTCCAATCAAGCTGGCCATTATGCGTGAATAGGCCAAAATCCCACGGTTACACAAGCATTCAACCATGGTAAAGCAAGCCCATCGAAGATGTCCCTCTAGTGAACGTCAACATTGCTTTGGAAGAACCCATCTGGTATCGTCGGCGGAAATAGGCGTGCCAAGACGAGTTTGAAAGCAACAGAGCTAGATAAGTCTCTGATAAAGCTGAAGTAAAAGGATAGGTCAATATGAGTCGCGAAGACATTCCACGTTGACGAGGCCTGAAGTCTCGTCATTTCCTGAGACTCGTTATCCTTCTTAGAGACCAAATGGGCACAGACACCGCGTCCGAACCACCAGAGGACGTGATTGGAGCTCCAACCGATGCTCTGAGATGGACTGACGAGCATGACCCAGAGAACCCGTGAGTGTAACCACTGTCTACCTCTTACAAACACTTACAACTATGTTAGATTCAACTGGCCAGCTACGAGGCGATGGAGTGTTGTATGTTTGGCATGTTACGTGTAGGTCATGGTGATCGGCGTCGAGGCTGTCGGAAACTGATAAGGATTTTTAGAACTTTCATCGTCGGGTGGAATGCCACCACAGTCTCAGGAGCAGCGATAGAGATTGGCGAATACTTTGGTGTTAGCGACCAGAGTTTCCCCAATTCGTTTTGGCCCGTTACCTCTTGGACGACTGGCGCTGCTGTGGCGCCAATGATCGTGCTGCCGATAATGGAGGATTTTGGTGTCCGTCCAGGATATTTGGTGAGTCTCTTCCAGCTTGGGTATAAGATAGACAAGCAGGTATCGAGTGCTAACAAGTCTTGGGAAGCTAGATTTCGTATTTTATTTTTTCGATATTTGTCATTCCGCAAGCTGTGGCTAAGAATTTCGCGACACTGGTTGCGACTCGCTTCTTTGCTGGCTGTTGCGCCGGAATTTTACAGGATGGCACAGATGGCATTGTCGCCGACTTATTCCCTGACCCTGTCAAGCGAAGCCTACCAATCAGTTGTTACGTGTTTTCTCTTCTCGCTGGAGTTACAATAGGGCCGGTCATTGGCGGTGCTATCAACGTACACTTATATTGGCGATGGTAGAAACTCTTCGATTCGTGAAAAGTGAACACTCCTGCTGACCAGACTAGGATATTCTACAGCCAGCTCTGCATCTACTTTGGTTCGTTTCCATTCATATTCCTCATTATGAAAGAAACGCGGGGCCCTGTGATCCTGTTGAAACGGGCGAAAAATGCATCTGATCAGCAACAAGCCAATGTTTCCGAACTAGAGAAACAGCAACACCATATCAACCTCGTCCGGTTCTTGAAAGACAACGTTGTACGGCCTGCTTATTTGCTCGTTACGGAGCCGGTTGTCTTCTTCTTTACCCTCCTGACAGCGCTCTCCTACGGCATTGTCTTTATCTCATCGCAGAGTGTCACCCAAGTCTTCATGGCGCTTTATGGCTGGCCCGAACATCAAACCGCCTACGTGCAAGCTGCGATTGTGGTCGGCGAGTTTCTCGGCCTGCTCATATGCTTGTACCAGAACTACCTGTTCGAAAGGGCATTCCGGCCTGAAAGTCGCACACCAAGGTCTCGACTTCCAGAAGTTCGCCTCTACATGAGCATTCCTGCTTCCTTCATCGGGCTTGCCGGCGGACTCTTTTGGTACGGCTGGACAAGTTACAGCTCCTTGCATTGGATTTTGCCCGTCATTGGGCTGACCCTTACTGGAATTGGCAGTATGGTGGTCATGCAAGCTGTCATGATGTATCTTACGGATGCTTATGCGAAGTATGCTGCAAGTGCGAGCGCCGCAGCTTGCGCGGGAGAAAACATCTTTGCTGCTTTCCTACCCTTGGCTGCTCAGTCAATGTACACCAACCTGGGATTCCAGTGGGCCAGCAGTGTTTTGGCGTTCATCGCGCTTGCCTTGAGCTTTGCGCCCATAGTGCTCATTTTCTACGGCGAGACCATCAGAAGATGGAGTCCGTTCATGTCCCAAGCAACATATGAATAAACAGTCAATGGACAGATAGACAGCTGGGATCTGTTGCTGCAGACTTCAAAAGGCTCAAGAGGCAAACTACCCGTATGGCTTCTACGTCTTTTATTAGTGAACACAGGGCTGCTTCTTGACCAACTCCTCCCGACTACAATTTGATTGAATGCATATGAGACCGTAAGGGTTCGCACCGCCAGCGCTAGTGGTTTCATTGGAAAATACGAGATAAGCTTATCGGAGATCAGGGAGGGGCAAGAGCAGATCCATTCAGTTCAACTGCGCCATCCAGAACAGAGGTGCTGGTCCCGAGCTCTCACTCCAATACACTGGCTTCCATCAGCAATTTTGGTCCCCATGCTTAACTGAGCACACTCTTGCCTGAGCGCGTGGCCGTTACTTAGATAAATGGAAACCCAGTCATCTACCTGCTGCCAGTCCTCTGGTCGAGCCTCCGAAGTCCAAACTCTCCAGGTTGACGATTCCACCCCGAGCGTTTCTGGGACCGGCTGTTGCGTCGACTGTGGCAGCGGCCGAACTGCATGTGACGGCGAGTACTTCTCTATTTGTCCAGAGGTCGCCATTTCTAACAGGTATACACAGAAGGTTGCATTCGCAAGATCGCTGCGATCCAGTGTCGTGCCCGCTGCGGAACTCAACGCGAAAACGTCCTTTTAGTTGCTCCTGATGGATGTCCTGACAAGTGTTGCGAGGATGTTGGGAACAGTATAACCGTAGACAGGCAGACCGAACCGAAATCCACCCTTTGCGACCGAGAAGATGCTTGTTCCACTCGCCATACCAAGACACGACGCTCTCGCGATATCGTTCTCGAGAAGCTTGCGCCCTGTGGAAGCAAAAAGAACACCAAAGCGTGTGGTGGCGTTGCATCCACCACCAGGACTACTTGCTGTGACGAGCGAAAAGAAAACTCTTCCATGAGCACGAAGGACAATAATAGCTGTGGAAGTGGCAGTCAGAACGGCATGGGTACTGAAGAAGACACATGCTGTGCTGATAAATCTGTACTTCCCATCCCCGCCCAGAAAAGTGATTTGTGCTGCGGTAAGAAAGAGGACACCTGCTGCAGAGAGAACGAGGATACCTGTTGTGGTGAGAATGAGGACTCCTGTGGTGCTGAGAAAGAGGAACCTCTTATTGCTCGAGTGCCAAACGATGGCTGCGAGTATGGCTCCTGCTGCGGCAATACTACCACTTCCATCGAGGCAAAGCATTCCTCGGCGGCTGTTTGTGGAGCAAAGCAGCAAAAGACAGCGGTTGGAGCCTGCGTTCACCACCTCCAAAAAGCCTTTGCCGAATACTCCAGCTATATCGAGAAGGGTCGGTGTATTTGCCGTAGTGTCTTGGACCGCCTCGATACTTGTTGCGGAGAAGTTATCCCTAAGAAAGCCATCACTGGCAGCCAGCCGTCCTCTATTGCCAAATCTACTGCTCTTGCAAGCGCCCAAAACCTTCCAATTCGGCGGCAAGCATCAGCGGCGTGCCGGGAAAGTTGTTGCGATAAGACGACTACTCGCAACAAAACTGGTGAGCACGAGGATAGATTGTCCTGCTCCTTAGACGAGGTTGAGATATCAACTCCTTGGCCCGAGAAGACGACAAACACTAGGGCAAAGGAGGTCGATATTGAAGATGCTGCGGCTCGCGAACATGTCCTTCTCAGTGTTGCCGGCATGACTTGCACAGGCTGTAGCAGAAAGGTGTCTAACGTTCTCAAGAACATAGATGGAGTGTCTTCTATCAAAGCTACCTTTGTGACTGCGGTAGTCGAATTTGACCTCAACACCGCGGTCACAAACTTGGAACAACTCATTCCACGCGTGGAGAAAGAGACTGGATTCAAGTTTTCCAAGATCACAAGCAACTTTCAAGCCTTGGACTTGAGAATCGATCCTGTCACTGCTACCCGTGCCAGCGAGGAGCTACGAGCCATGGCTGTATCCGTTGAACAGCTCAACAAGGACACCTTTCACATCACCTACGATCCGACTGTCATTGGTGCAAGAACACTATTTTCGACTATCAGAGGAGCAAGTCTTTGTCCACCGCAGAATGATGCCAAACTAGCCGATGGAAGGCGTCGTCTTGTGAAGATGGCTTGGTTCACGGCATTGGCTGCGGCATTGACGATTCCAGTTGTTGTCCTAGCGTGGGCTGATACCCCTGTGCCATATGCAACGCGATCGGTCGTCTCACTGGTTCTCGCCACGCTTGTTCAGGCTCTCGCAATTCCTGAATTCTATGCAGGCGCAATGAAGTCTCTCATCTACAGTCGAGTGCTTGAAATGGACATGCTGATCGTCATCAGCATAACCGCTGCATACGTCTATTCGGTGGTAGCTTTCTCCCTAACGCACGCCGGATTCACCTTGGAAATTGGTGAGTTTTTCGAAACCAGTTCACTGCTTATCACACTGGTCCTTCTCGGGAGACTGGTGGCCGCTATAGCGAAGGTAAAAGCTGTCTCTGCTGTCTCACTGCGCTCACTGCAGGCGGAAAAAGCGTTCCTCGTTGAATCGCCTGGAGAAACCATTGAAATTGACTCAAGGCTGTTGCAATTTGGTGACGAATTTGTCGTCCCTGCCCACAGTCGTGTCGTGACAGACGGATATGTCATTCATGGGCAAAGTTCTGTCGATGAGTCTATGATCACCGGTGAGAGCGTACCAGTACCCAAAGCAACTGGTGACGGGATCATCGCAGGCACTGTCAACGGCCCCAGTCCGCTTACTATCCGCTTAACGCGTCTGCCTGGCAAGAACAGCATCACAGATATCGTCAACATGGTTGAGAACGCTCTGGCAAGCAAGCCGCGCATCCAGGACCTAGCCGACAAAGTGGCAAGCTACTTTATCCCAGTTGTCATTTCGATCGCTCTTGTCACCTTCGCGATTTGGATGGCAATAGCTGTGAAGGTTCGTGGCAAAGACATCGGTGGTGCTCTCGGCCTCGCCATCACTTACGGAATCGCCGTATTGGCCATATCATGTCCGTGTGCTTTGGGTCTTGCAGTCCCTATGGTTCTGGTCATTGCTGGTGGCGTCGCTGCCAAAAGTGGAGTAATTGTCAAACAAGCCGACGCCATTGAAAAAAGCTACAAGGTCACCGATGTTGTATTCGATAAAACCGGTACGCTTACCGAGGGGGATCTGGCTCTTGTCCATGAGCAGGTGTTTCCGCATCCGAGTGCATCTGTGACTGAGGCGTTTGCGCTTACCAAGGCATTAACCAAGGACATTCAGCATCCAGTGTCTCTGGCGGTTGCCAGCCATATACAGGGAGAAATCCCCGTCTTGACCGACCTTGAACACATCGAGTCAATTCCTGGTTCAGGGCTCCGTGCAACGTGGAAAAACTCATCGGTGAAGGCGGGTAATCCTTACTGGTTGAAGGTTGAAGACCAGCCGGAAGTTGCAGCACTCATCGATAAAGGCATGACCCTTTTTTGTGTGACACTTGACCACAAACTCCTGGCTGCCTTCGGGCTGAAAAGCAGTCTACGGGACGAAGCAAGTGCCGTTATTGCAAATCTTCAACGCCGCAATATCAAGTGCCATATTGTGAGTGGCGACAGTCCGAAGGTTGTTGAGGACGTTGCGACTACTTTGGGTATCCCGATATCGAACACGGCTGCACGCCGTTCCCCTGGCGACAAACAGCAATATGTGAAAACGCTGATGTCTTCCGGTAGGGTTGTGCTCTTCTGTGGTGATGGAACTAACGATGCGGTTGCTGTCGCGCAAGCCGACGTGGGCGTCCAGATCGGCACTGCTTCCGATGTCACAAGAGCCACATCCGACGTGGTCTTGTTGAATGGCTTGGACGGTGTGATTGCTTTACTCGACACCTCCAAACGATGCTTCCACAGGATCATTTTCAACTTTTCCTGGTCCGCACTCTACAACCTTTTCGCAATCTTGCTGGCGGGAGGGGCTTTTGTCCATGTCCGCATCCCTCCCGCCTACGCCGGGCTTGGAGAAATCGTGAGCGTCTTTCCAGTCATTGCTGTTGCCTTGACTTTGTTGAGGGGGAGATAGATGGTGCCAGCCGAGCCGAGCCTCCAGCTGTGCAAAGAGGTGTGGGAAGAGAATTGGCGGGATGAACGTGCTGCCACTTTGACAGGCACACTCATATCGCATCCTCGTCGAGGGCGAGTCGAATTCTCGAATAAAGGATATTGAGCTTTCTGGAACCGTGGACAAGTAATTGTCCACTGTCACTTAGAAATTTTACTTAGACATGGCTGTACTAGAGCCAAGTCCATATGCTTTCCCGGCCATATGCCACCAATGCTATGGCTCAAGTCGCACCAGCTAATAATGCCAGTCTCACAGTATGTATGATGCAATGCGATGATGACGGACATGGCCGTTCATGCATGCCGGTCTCACGTCCATCATTGCCAAACGCCAAATGTCAACAACTCAGCTGGCAGATTGAGGTGAGTTCCATTCAGGTAGCTTCACGCCCCCGCCATTACACCCCCCATCTCATTGCACTGAATTGACCCGGTTTCAAGCAATGTCCTCCGCCGCTGTGCCATCCCTGCTCCGCGGCTCCGCGGTCCTGATCATCTGGGGCCGCTTGCACGGCTACGAGGACCTGAAGATGGAACGCGACCTGAACGACTGGTGGACGTATGAGCACTTGCCCGAACGGCTGGCGCTACCAGGCTTCCACCGCACGCGGCGGTACTACAGCTCGTCACCGCCGATAAAGGAAGGGCCTGAGACTGAGGGAGGCGGCGGCGACGATCAAGTACGGGCTGTGGGGCTGGCGAGCAGCTACTCGAACTACATGGTGGTGTATGAGGTGTCGTCACTGGCAGCACTCACGTCGCCCGAGTATATGCACGCGCTCAACAACCCGACGCCCGGCACGAGGAAGTACATGCGCGTGCTGTCGAGCATGAGCCGGTCGGCGTGCCGCGTGCTGACGTCGCTGTCGCGGCCCGAGTTCGCGCCGTGCCACGTCGGCGGCGCCGGCGGGACACTGGCGCACATCGTCTTCGACGCGCCCACATCCGTAGACACGCGCGCCAGCTTGAAGGACTGGCTGCGCCGCGACGCCTGGCCCAGCCTCTGCGCAAGGCACTCCAGCCTGCTGGCCCTGCACGTGCTCGAGCACGACGAAGCTGCCACCAGCTCCGGCAGCTCGACCAAGTCGTACGACCAAGTCAACTTCAAGAAGGCCGCGGAGGGCAACACCGGCCCCGAGGCCGTCCAGTGGATGGTGCTGCTCGAGTTCACGGATCCTCTGGGAGCCACCTTCGCGTCCTATGGGCCCGGAAGCGACGATCTCAATCAAGGCCTGGCGAGTCATGGCGTTGATATATCCAGGTTGACGCAAGAGTTGTTTGGACTGTTCGTCGTAATGGAGGAGTAGAAGAGAAGGTTGGTGATCGCCCCCTTTTTGAAGAATAGGAACACCAGCTTGAGCAATCTATATCATTCTTTGCTGCTTTTACCAATTGTCAAAAGTGACATGAGAGATGGGACTGATACAGTCGAACTGAGGAATCAATAGGCATCACGCAGGCAGCATCCTGTTGTCGCCTTGCTCGGTTCTTTTGCATCGCGTTTCTGCTGATTTTGGTCAATTTGCCAACCAGTCCACCACCGCCTGTTTCCAGTTGCTCTCCAAGACCAATTGTGCCCTGAATACGCATCTATACTTTGCAATAGCATCATTAGTTTTGTTAGGCGACGTCGGCTTGTCGAGGTTGAGGAGTAGATCCGAGGGCGCTGGTCCGGGGTATAAAAGGCGCCTATACTCACGGCTGAATGAAAACGGAACTGGGTAGCTTCGGGATACGTGTTTGGGCAATTCCTGCACAGTCAGCTAGCAGGGGGAGGATGCAAAAGCAACACAGGGTAGAATGAGGGCTTGAAATCAACGGTTGATACCTGCCTCACGTCTCATCATTACCTCAGCGGGCGGAGGAAACGGGTCGTGCGGTTCGTCTCTCCAGCGGGATGTCCATTGAGTGAACATTGAACGAAAGGCTTCATTTGATTGACCGACGTCACTAAGACGCGGGTTCCTGAATGCCCACGGACGGTTGCAGGTGCGAATCTGACTTTGACATGGGCATCTAGTGGGCGAAAGGTGAGTGCAACGCGCCAATAAACCCATGTGGTGTGATCTCATGCGATACTTTATGCATCTCCAGGATAAATAGCAAGCCATGCGAACGCCCAGTTTCGTCCCCGCCGCATTGAGATCCTCCGACCTGCTGCAAAAGATGGCCAACGTCATCCTCTCCATCAACGCTGGGAGCTCCTCGTTGAAGACGACACTGTTCGTGGAGGAAGCGACTGAGGGCAAGGCCAAAGGGCTTCGGCGCCTGGGCAGCGCGGAAATATCTTCGATCAATGCCCCTCCTGCGCGCCTAAAATACCTTCGGGGCTCCTACAAAGACTCACGCGAAGTCGGCGACATCAATGACCACAACCACGCCTTTGAGCATATCTTGAACGCCTTCCTTGCCGACGCCGAAATCCCGGAGGTCTCCAGCAAGGATGACATCGACTACACGGCCCATCGAGTGGTCCAGGGAGGGGACTTCGAGGAAAAGTGAGCAAAGACACGTCCCAAAGTCGCGATAGGTTTCGGGCGCGGGGCTAACTGCTTTTCAGCCAGTTCATTACCAAGAAGACCTTGAACAAGATCAACAAGCTGTCAGATCTCGCACCTTTGTACGTGCTCGAGGACTCCGAACCTTTGACCTTGCAGACAACTGATCGTTCGTGATCCAGACACAATGCCTCCGCTGTCGGCCTCATGCTGGCCTGCCATGAACATTTGCCCAACGTCATCAATGTCGCATGCTTCGACTCCTGTTTCCACCAAACAATGCCTGACTATGTCAAGAGTTATGCCATCGACCAGAAAATTGCAAAAGAAAAGGGTCTGCGCAAATATGGGTTTCATGGTCTGAGCTACCAATACATCGCGAGAACCACAGCCGCATTCCTGGGCAAGCCGGAATCCGAGACGAATATCATTGCTCTCCACCTTGGGAGCGGTGCATCCATGTGCGCAATACAAAACGGACGGTCGATAGACACAACAATGGGCTTGACCCCAGTCTCAGGTCTACCGGGCGGTTCGCGAAGCGGAGATATTGACCCCAGTCTCGTCTTTCATTACACTTCCGATGCCAGTGCCCTGAGCCCGAACAGCACGAAGGACCTCCATATCTCCACTGCGGAAGAGATCCTTAACAAACAGTCCGGTTGGAAGGCATTGACTGGCACATCAGACTTTTCAAAAATCGCAGACCCCGACGCCCCGGACACCCACAAGCTCGCGTTCAACATCTTTATTGACCGAGTCGTCGGCTTTGTGGGCAACTACTTTGTCAAGTTGGGAGGCAAAGTCGATGCCCTGGTCTTTGCCGGTGGCATTGGCGAAAAGAGCCCCTATGTGCGACAAGTGGTAATCGACAAGGTGTCGTGCCTCGGCTTCACGATTGATGACGAGAAGAACAAGAAAGGCCCGGATGGAAATGACGTGGTGAATATCGGTAGTAACAGCGAAACGATGCGTACGTTGGTCTGCGAAACGGACGAAGACGTGAGGATCCCCAACCATTTGGCTGAGAAGCCTTGGCTAACAGTGCGACAGCATGAAATGGCGCATTCCGTCCTGGCAATGCTCTACAAGAAATAGATCAACACGGACTTAGACGACCGGATGACGACCTACGCACGACAATAGACTTTAATTATTTGATATACATATTAGACTCGACTATTGCAACGCCCCAGCTTGTTTTTTCCACGCCATCTCCTCCTTCGGGTCTCTCATGCCGGTCTTTTGTCATTAGTCACTTCGCTTGCCTCTTCTACATATCAATCTCGAGAGACGCCAGTGGCTGGTTGGTCCCGGACTCCGAGTCTCGAATCCCTTTCAGGTCCGGGACATGCGGGTGCCATGTGCACAAGCCCAATTTGTCATTAGATTCAAGCGCCGTCTGGTGCCGCTGGGTACTACCCTTCTAAGGGATGTTGGGTGAGTAAGCAGGGTTGATAATGTGCCCAGCCTTTACCAAAACCTCTTGTAGTTGATGGACGCCTTGCCAAACGGAGGCAGCTCGACCTCGACGCACAATGGTTGGATTGAAGAAACCTTCTGATCCTTCGTAAAACCAGCTCTGCGAGCTTGGCGGTCGCCAATGGTGCGTGCAGCAGCAAACATCACTCCCATGATTCATGATTAGTATCGCTCGCTGGCAGCTCGCATATCGGCATCACGCTGAAAGCACAGAAGGCTGGCGGCGAAGGATCGGTGCACGGCAGGATCTGGCGCGGGAGTCTACTCTACAAAGGAATGCAATGCCATCCCCAAGTTTATTTAAACCCGATGGTTATGCCATCTAGGAGGTGAGTCTCACAACCATCGAGCACCGTGATCGCCTTGGATTTCTCAAATACAAGGCCTACGGTACCACGCGAACATGCATTTCTCTTCGTCTGTTTGGCTGTCGCTCCTGCTTCCAGCCTTGGAAGCTACCGCTCAAGCGGTCCCCAAGCATAACTATACATGTGCGAGCTTCATGGTCAAGGTTCCAGTGAACAATGCGACGGTGGTGGTCCCTCCGATTCCAGATTTCCCAGATCAATATGCTGCCACGGCATTTGCGAATCAAATCACACTTCGGACGGCCACTACTCCGGACCTCAACCTAACTACACTGACAAAGACCTTCAACATCAGCGCAGAGTATTGTACTCCAGCCAAGCCAGGTCCCAAGGCTTCGACCTTGCACATTCTCACACACGGTCTGGGGTTCAACCGGAGCTACTGGGACTTCTATCTACCCGCAAAGCCCAATGACGCTCAGTACTCTTATATCAACAGCGCCACGGGTGCCGGATACAGCACGCTTTCTTGGAACCGCCTAGGCATTGTGCCCTCCACCATTGCTGACCCATTTACGGAGATTCAAAGCCTTGTTGAGAGTGCCGTGCTCGTCAGTCTCACGACGCTCGCCCGAGCAGGGAATATCTCCCAAGTCCCCGTGCCACAAAAGGTCATCCACGTCGGCCACAGCTTCGGCAGCGAGTTGAGCGCGTCGCTCGCCTCGGTCGCACCAGACCTCACCGACGGCGTGGTGCTGACCGGCTACTCCGCCATTAGCAATTACAGCACCTTGTTTGTGGCCAACTCGGCGCTGCACTTTGCAAACGTGAACCAACCCAAACGCTTCCCGCCGAGCACTTACTCCTCCGGCTTTCTCACCTGGCCCGACAAATACGGCAACCAATATTCCTTTTTCGAGTATCCGTACTTTGATCCCGCAGTCCTCGACCGCGCGGAGGCGACGAAATTCCCATTCACCTTTGGTGAATTCCTCACCATGGCCGCCTTGCCCCTGAGCGCGCCAAACTTCAAGGGCCCGGTGCTTTATCTCGGATCTGAGGCGGACTTGATCTTCTGCGCTTCGAACTGCACGGGGCTGTTCGGTCCCGACAGCGCTGCCGTGCAGTCGTTCAGTGGGAGCAGCAGCGTCGAGACGTACCTTCAACCGCACGCGGGCCATGGGCTGAACCTGCATCACAATGCCACGGGCGCGTATAATGTGATTCTCGACTGGGCCAACAGACACGGATTGTGAAGTGATGGCAACGAAGAAACCATCAGTAGATAGGCCAATGCCTATACAGGGGGGTCCTCCAAGTTCTATAATCAAGACGGATGCCTATCTCCCTTTTGCTGAGTTCTAGGTGTTAGGTGCAGTCCTAGCCAGCTGGATGACCAATTGACGAACTATTGTAGTCCATGTTTGTATGTCATTTGAAATGTGGCTGCCGTCAGTCTGTTATTCCTGCAAAGATTCCCAGGTTGTTTTCTTTCTCCAAAGCCATGAAACGATGGCTGGTCGACCAGCCGCCAGCCGCCAGGTTCAGCGGCTACCTCTCAGTTTCATCATCTCTCATTCGCGCACCGACCAATGCTCTATGCTCGTTCCCTCTCGGACGCTTCAAGTTGCAACGCCGTGATTCAGCAATCCCCCCCCTCTGACATTGCCTGGCGCCAATCCAATGGCTGAGCGCCGCTCTTTTGTTCACCGTCTCGCGGTCACAGACCTCCCCTCAAGGAAGAGTGCTAGGAACCTGCGCCCTCTCGTCTGCAGCAATTGTTTCCGCCAGTGATGATGACTCTTGGACTGAGTCCTACATATCATAAACACCTAATCGACTTTGGGGCGTTGCTGATCGTTTTCATCCCCTGAATAGAGCTTTGGGGATTTGCAACATGCATTCATCAAACAATGTTAGGACCAACGGCGTGACCTGTTGCCCTTCCTTTTGACTGTTAAGCTGCTGGCCAGCACGAGTTGGGTACAGGAAAATGGTTTCGGTTGCCAATATCTGTTGAATCGCCTACAGGCCGTTCTCGAGCAGGAGAACATGCGCAATGCGCGGCACGCTTCCCTCCAAACGTGAGGTGCTGCCTCCGTCGATTGACTGGCGTGGCCCAATCGTCATGTTCCTCTGCTTTCTCGGTGCCGTCACTTTTGCCGTTGGCCATCACGTCCTCAACCTCAAGCTCCAGGGAAGAGCCGTCGCCGAAGTCTCTGTTGACCAACAATGGGTTTCCCGGGCTGGAAATGCACTGGCATATCTCGTCAAAGTTCTTCTGGTACTGGCCGACGGCATCGCGTACTTCCAATGCGTATGGCATCATGCAAGGGGAAGACCGACGAAGCTCAGTCAGTTCGACTCCATGTTTGGAGCGTTGGACAACGTCCTCGAGTTTCGCCACCTGTCTTTCTGGTTTCGACGCCCGCTCCTGTTGTTGGGTGTGGTCGTTGTGTGGTACGTCCGGTTGTTCTGCTGCCATTTTATAAGCATCAGATCAGCTCCCTTGCAGAGCTCACCAATTCTGATTCTACACCCAACCGCAACTCAGCACATCGTTACTATTGATCCTTGCCATTGCTGACAGTTCGCAAGGCTTATACCATTAGCAGCCATCATCACGCCCGGCACAATCTCTGTGGTGTCCGCGTCAGAGACCGAGCCGACTACTATCACGGTACAACAACGAGAATATGGCAAAACCTCGTACGGTGCCGCGGTGGAGGCCGACAATGGAACCGTGTTCTACGGTGGTGAGAGATCCTATCTGAAGGGCCCAACACTGGCAATGCTGGCCGAGACCGAGGTTTTGTCGGTGGGCACATTTCCCACAAACTTGACATGGTCCATGGGTTTCTTTGGCCCGGCGATATCCTGTTCCACCGCGGGAGCCGAAGTCACAGCGCAGTTGACAAAGATCATCCTCCCCTATCAACAGAGGAATCAAACGTCGTTAATGTACGACACCTGGATCCCTAGACCAGTTGCGTCTCCGAACAGTACCCTTGTCGATGGCATGCTTGTTTTGGACGACGACAAGAACAGCAACCTCCGGATCCTGGACCAAACTTCACCAGATGCAGCAAGGATCTATTACAGCCTGGCTCCCGATGCGACCACCCAAGCGACGATGGCGAATCCCATCTACGTCATCGAGTGTGCCCTGTATAACGCCTCATGGCACCTCGACTTCGACGTCCGCAGCACTGGCGAGCAGAATCTCACCCCGAGCCTGAGATTCGAGAACTGGATGCCCGGGTGGAGCAGCATCAAACCGGCGCTGACAGCCAGCACCGAGACCAACGTGATCCTCGACTACGCAGGCCTCATGGAGACCTTCGGCGCCATCACCAGCGGGCATCTCGACTATCCGAACGACCCAAGCCTGCCCTTCGAACAGACCAGCCTCGCACTAGAAACCAGCCCCGTCTTGTTCCACGACGCGTTCCCCGACCCGTTCGACGACGCCGCCATGATCACGCTGCAGCGCACCTTCGAGACTCTGTTCCAGAACATGACCCTCTCGGCGCGCTACGCGGTGCTGCCCCGCCAGGACCTCCGCGACGACGCCTCGGACTGGACCTTCGCGACCGTCGCCGCGACGTCCACGTTCGCCCGCAACGTGTACGCCTACGACAGCCGCGACCTCGTCGTCGCGTACGCGGTCGTCGTCGGGGGCAGCGCCGTGTGCATTCTCCTGGCCATGCTGGCCGTCGCGCGCACGGGCGCCGTGTATTCCAACAGCTTCTCCACGGCCGTGCGCGTCAGCAGGGGCCAGCGCCGTCTGGACGCCGTCGTCCAGGACGACCACGACCGCAGCGGCGCGCAGCCCCTGCCGAGGAGGATCGCGGATGCGTATATATGGGTCGGGCAAGAGAGTGCCGTGGGCATGGGCACGGGGCGAGCTAGAGTCGACACGGCAGACTCGACGGGGGAGCGGCGCTCGTGGTGGGGAAAGGAACAGGTAATGGATCTGGAGAAGAGCTCGGCGCCCCTGTCAACCGCGAGGGTTCCGCCAGGTGGCTCCGTCGCCGAGCTGAAGGGAAGGGATAGTGGCGGGCTGGGTGGGTGGATATAGCCACAGGTTCAATTTGTTTGTTGGGTGTTATGGATGTACGCCTCGACCGAGAATTGTCCATAACCATGTGCCTGAACGCCAGACTTACAGGACCAGGTCTCGCCAGCGTCCCGTTCAGAATAAAATTTTCCGCACAAGTCATCAATCCCAATGCATCAGCAGGTGGTTCTCGCTCGTCTGGCGTATTCCAACATTACAGACAACATGGCGACTGAGGAAGCTGCCCAGCTCTTCTGGTTCTTGGGGAGGGACCTCCGACGAGCTTGATGCTACATCCCCAGATGGTGAAAGGCCCTCTTCATCGTCATGAAGGGACCACCACCATTGGCTGCCGCTCAACATGCCGTCCTCGTCATCAAATTCCTCCTCGGTTTGTTGCGTGATGATGCCGCTGTCGATGTCCTCCACGGTCATTCTGGCAATCCAGCTCCATTTGCGCCAGAACCACCGCCGGACTTCCCAACTCCGCTTGTTCCAAGCCACGCCATCTCGCATACTCCTTCCAGAGTATCCATTGGCGCGCTCCCGTCCCCAGCAGACCATGCCGTCGTGCATCAGGTCGAGGAAGAGGCTCATATGATCAAGTTTCCTGACGCTCGAGAGGTAGATAGCCATGCTCCGAAAGTGAGGAAAAGGAATGCAATCCAAGTATGAGGGATGGGGGATGATGAGTTGATGGGCGGTGGGTCGGAGATCGACCGGGATCGTGTGGATATTGGCATTGGATTCGGTGGAAAATGGGGAAGGGTGATCGTTGACATACGAGACGATGGAAATGCCCAGGCTTTGAGCGATGGACATGGTTGCTGCGAAACATGATTCTCCGACCAGCTGGAGATGGTTTTTGTAAGGTGATGGGAGGGATGGTCGAGTTCGTGATATGCTTCGAGACGCTGACGAGTGAGAATGTGGCGACGGCCGAGGGGAGCGCTGAAAAGGCGACACCTGTCTCATGGGGGACAGCGAAGGAGACAGACTGGTTAGAGGGCTTCCCCTCGGAGTAACGCCCGGGGGAAGAGTATATGTCTTCGAGTCGGTGTCGTCTGGGACGGGCCATGTGTGTCTCATATCAAGAGCGTCAGGGATTGGCGGCACATAGTAATACACTGCAACTCTCAACGGAAGAACTGGCTCTGGGAGCGCCGTCGCTTCGCTTGCAGCGTTGTCGGCGCTCGTTTCTGTCGTTCGCTCCTCAGGAGGGGGCTCTAGAAAGGTAGTAGACGAGCCTTCGCCTGGGTCAAAGGGCTCCATCGGGGGGACCCGGGGGTCGGCAGCGGACAGCTGTTGCGCATGTTCCCTCTCCCGCTTTGACAATTCTTGCGCGACCTTGGCTCTGATCTCTTCATCTCGACGTTGCTTCTGCCTTTCTCGCCAGACGCGCTGCGACCGTCGGTTTTGCTCTCTCCTCGCCTCGGTGAGTTTTCGCCTGTACCTCTCTGGGACCTTCGGTTCCGAGTCAGGGCCCGCGGGTGCGGAGGTCGACATGGTCTTGTCTTGAGCTACTTTCCCGTCTCTTGGGTTGGGGGGCGTCATGGCGTGACGGTATATAAGACCCGCAGCGTTCGCAGCATACACCTCCTCAAGGACACCGGTAGAGGAGAGGCAGTCAGGCTCGATGACAAAGCGGCCTTGAATCATAGAAACCCACCTTGAAGAGTTACTAAGTCGAGCGGGACTTGGGCAGGCCAATGGCCACAAAGAGGCTCAGAGGATGGACAAAATGAAGAGCGGCGACTGAGGGGGTGAGCCACTGAGTAAGCCAGCAAGACGGCTTAAGTCACTCAGGACCTTGCGGAGGAGGGGCAATGGAGCAATGTCTCTTGCCTTTAACTGAGCCTTACGGGCAGTCTGGGCACTCCCCGGCGCTCAGTACAGTTAAGGACGACCCTGAGCTAGCGAGACTGGGCGCCGGGGTCCAGCCCGACTGGCCCCCAATGCGCCAAGTGACACACCTACCGATATCATAGAGGCAGGTGCTCGGTACGGATTCTTCTTTTCGACTAGGCTCCAGCAACCCAGCACCGCGTTACAACCTCAGCAACACCACCTGGGATTTTCTCGACCCCTCTCGTTCCTCTATCTCGATCCTCAGCATCCAGTGCAGGCAAGACGGTTGACCTGGCACCTTTACTAACTACAAAGAGAGCCTATCACCTCCGCGGCACGACACCCGCTGCTTCAGCGTAGCCGCCAGTGTACCACACCGTGCGATTGTTCGACTCGCTCTCAGCTCACCAATCGGTGTCTGGGCGGTAATCCTGCACGTGCTCCTCAAGCTCGACGATCTTACGACAACACGTGCTGGTTGCCATGGTAGATGGCCCTCGCGAGTCGCAGTCGACCTATACGAGGGAGCGTGTAAGATCCATATACCAGGACGGGCTGAAATGGAAGAACAGCGACTCTATCGGTCAACCCAGGACCTTCGACGCGGCTGCCATAGATCACGATGCGACAGGCGAACTGTTCTATATCTTCACCGCGGCTCAGCAAAAGGATCGACTGAAGGAAATGGGTAGATCTTACTTCCATGCTGTTCAGGAGCCCCAGAACCATATCGCTCAGCTCGATCACAAGATAGCATCCCTGCTTTCTTGCTGTTACGATGGCATCATTGATGAGGACTATATGGTCTCGGAGGCTTGCGCATTGTTATCTCACATGCCCGCTGCTCCTCCTCTTCCACAAGCCTTGGCTACAATGTTTCGAGGCGCCACGTTCAACTGGCTCTACTTCGAGGCTATCCACTGCAGCAACGTTCTGTTGAACGAAGACACCTGGGAAAATCTGCTCGTCACTCGATGGTTTGACACAAACACCATCCGAATTGCTTTGACCGTTGTCCAGATATATGATGAGAAGAATAGCAATATGGTAAACCATTTTCGACAATACCTCAACACCCTGGCCGAGATTTTAGAGGCGACGTTTACTTTGCTCTATCACTGCAACGACGCCGTGGAACAGCAATCTTGGTTGCTGGCCTCAAGTTTTCTCTGGACATGCTGGTATCGTGGGCTCATGCTTCATCTCCACGCCAATCTGCACTTTCACCTGCGGCTTGGCTACAATGTCGAGAATTTGTATCGACTTGACATGAAGCAGCCGTTGCCACAAATGGGCTTGTCTTTATCACCTCTGAAACCGTCACAATACCTGTGCCCCTGGGCATTTGAGCTGCTACGATCGGATAGAGCTTCTGTGAGCCAAGATTTTCGCCGTTTTCACCTCCGCTTTTCGACCTTTCATGGCTGCAAACCAGCTCGATGCCTAGCTGAGCCTTGCCGCCCTTGCAATGGGCAAGGCCCGACGCACTGTCAACGCTTTACGGGTCAAAAGATAGTTGACCAGTCTGCTCATGATACGTCTTGTAACGGTCAATGTCCAAGTCTGTTTTGGGACGAGACGAGCTATCGAAGTGTCACCGGTGCAAGAGCGGTTTCTATCAATGACTCGGATGGATGCGCCGTACGCTACTGCCAAGCTTCCTCTCGCACGGTTGCTGTCTCGCATGTGTGGGCACATGGTGCGGGTGGTAGACCGCACACGGGCTTCAACTCCTGTCTACACCAGCGTCTCGTCCGAATTGCTCGAGAAAACAATTGCGACTCTTACTGGATGGACACACCCTGTATACCAGAGGACCATCAGCTTCGTGCTGAAGCAATTGCATATATTAACGAAGTGTTTAATACAAGCAGCATTACCCTGGTCTGGGACCGTGATCTAATGTCGATTGACGTCTCTCATCCATCGATAGAGACGCAAGAGGCTATCCTATGCACTTTGCTGGTCTGTGACTGGGCCCTTAGGTCTTGGACTCTCCTGGAGTCGATGCGCGCACGGCATAACATTCATCTGTTGTGCAAAGATAACAAGACGATCGCGCTGAGAGACTGCCTGCTGAATGTCCACCACGGTGGTGCGATCGATATTGCAACACTATTGCTCACGAGCCAACAACTCCTGCCTACGATGAAGTACGACGGTGATTCACCCGACGAAGAATTTCTGAGGCAGATGAAGGGTTATGTTCCTGCCGAGGAAGCTCTGCACCTGTTGGCTCGTCGACATGCTTCCAGACCAGGAGACAGTGTTGTGATCTTGAGCTTGCTCATTGATGACAAGCCATTTTATACCGCCGAGGCTTTCTGGAAATCGAAAATAGGCTATTCCTTAAGCTCAGGTGTACTGTTTTCATCCCAGCCCAGGCTCCAGTGCAAGGGACTCGGATGGGCACCTTCCCAACCAGAGTTGCCGTTGGCTGTGTCGGACAGAGCTTCTGCCTACTCTCAAGAACACTTGTTCGATGGCTCACGGACAGCGATTGCGATAATCACCCCAGACGGTCTTGACGCGACGTTTGCCACTTTCGAAATCCCGGAAATCGAGCCAGAGTCCCGCTTCCAGGATGTGCTCAGTAGTCTAGCCCAGAAACTCCCCTGGTCGGGGTCCCAAGCCCGTCGGCCCGGTCAGGCATGTATTCTACGTGACCATTTCCAGCTCGAGAAATATCTGCACTCCCTGCTGCTCCTTCCCTTGCATGCGATCTCCTCGCGAACTACTGTGTTCAACGCGTATCGCGGCCGGTCGAACGGCCTGCTGTTTGCTGTGGTAGGCTCAAATGATGCAGACAGGCGGACCTGGCACTGGCTTGGGACTTTTGAATGGGATCTAAACTCTCCTCCACACCCTAAGAAGAGGAAGGAACGAGAGAAGATATTCCTTGTCTGAGCGTACCCTCTGAACGAGTACAACAGCGTCTCTGGAAAAGCTCCATGCATAGGTTCACCGTTGAGAATTTTGCAAACTGGCGACTGACTTCCAGGAAACGGCGCTTCTCCTGCACAACCAACCCTCGTGGTCGTTGACGTCGTCCAAGTGCACGCGACAGGCATCCAAGCCTCGGAAGAGGACAGTAGAAGCGAGCGGCCGCTCTGATTGGACAGCCGCTTCGCGAGGCTGAACCGCCACCAGGGGTTTCCGAATAAGCCAGTACATAAGCCACTGGACCATCCATTTCCGGCCTATATAACCATTCAACCCTTCTCCCGTGAATGCTCCTGCTCAAATGCAGACCACTCGCCCAAGTTCAAGAACCGATCACTCGACCGCAACCAAAGCCCTCCGCCACCAAGAACATCCGCAGACGCATCAGATCCGCAAATTAAATACAAGACAGGTGCGGAAGCATGTCGACACTCACGCCCATACAGGGCGTCTTCGCCAAAGTCCACTCCGCCTCCGGCCTGACGTTCCCGGAAACGGTCGCGTCGCTGCTCAAGCTGGGCGTGACGCGGTACCACGTGGACTACGTCGCGCGCACGACGACGACGTACACGCCGCGCTCGACGCCCACCTCTGCAGATGACAATGCCCCGACCACGACCATCGAGACCGAGCACGTCGCCATCCCCGCCCCGGCGGTCACGCCAGGCACGGCGTGGGACCAGGCCGGGCTCGCGCGGGCCATCCGGCGCGTGCAGGCGCGCGAGACCGTCTACGCCGAGTTCGCGCGCGAGTGCGTCGACGCCGGCGTCGCGGGGTACTTGGCCTTCTTGGCCGGGAAGAGGGTCTTGTATTACGGGCTCGACGGGGATGTGCATGTGGAGTGGTTCCCTGGTGCTAGGCCCAAGGATCAGGAGTAGAAACGATCACGAAGCATAGAGATCTAGGACACGGATCTTGACTCATCCGAGAATCGCGGGTTTATTCACTTCGTTTCTTAATTAGCTCCTTCTTTTCATCTTGCATGCTATTTACGTTATCGTACATCCGTACCAACTACGAATGACGACGACCGGGCCCTCTTTTTATTGCGGCCTCTCTGACCGGGAACGAGTTCAAGAAGGGCTCGTTCGGCTTAGGCCAAGACACTCGGCCATACCGTAGAAGATGTCGATGCTGTTAAAGACACCCGAGAACAGTTCTGTGCACGGCCCGCGTGTGAAGACGGGCACATCGGTGAGAGAGTGCACGCCTTGGTCCGCCTAGAGTCAAGTGTTAGTAAAGCGTCCCCTAAATAACTTGTACCGCAGGCGAAGAGGCGTCAATAACATCAAGGGAGAGACTTACCGAAACAGGAAGCGAGCCGTTAATGATGAACCCAGTAACAGCATCGACATAGTTGACAAAGAAGTCTTCGTTGGAGAAGCCCGTGATGTTGATGGCCGGCACACGGGGTCCGTTCTTATTGACGCGGTAATCCTCCCGGTGGTCAGGGAAAGCGGCCAGCCCGGAATAGAGCGTATACCGAGGATCCCAATTAGCCGGGAAGTTGACCCCAGGGCCGTAAATGAGATTCTGATCGCTGCCGACCGGAGCAGAGCGGTTGGCAAGGACATACTGACTAAGCCCCGAGTTCTGGTACGTGCCGATCGCGCCACGCTTCTCGCGAGGTGCCTGCTGGGCATTGAGATATTTAGTGTCGACAGACCCCATGACGTCGAACCCATGCCCGTGGTCAGCAGTCACGAGGATGAGTGTGTTTTCCAGCTCGCCCGCATCTTGGAGCCAGGCGATCGTGGCTTTGATTGTGTCGTCAAGTTCTAGGAGTTCGCCCAGGGCGCGGTCATAATCGAGCACATGCATCATCTTGTCGATACTAGCGGCCTCGGACATGATGAAAAAGCCTTCGTCGCCATGGCGCGTTTGGAGAACTTCGAGAGCCTTGAGAGTCATTTCTTTGAGGCCGGGTTGGTCGGTAGCGGCACCTTTAGAGCCATCGGGAGCAGTGCTAGACCTGTTCAGATTTTCTGGGTAGACATTTCGATCGAGCCACTTTGCCATGTTGTTGACCGAGAAAATTCCAAGGTGCTTGCTTGAGTTGTCTGAGGCCTGGAGCGCGGTGTTATTCAAAACGACGGTGTAGTTCTGATTGGCAAACTCCTGGTAGTAGTCTTTACCCTGGAAGGAACCTTTGCCCGGATAGAATTGTTCAGCGCCACCACCAAAGAGCACATCAGGACCCGTCCAGTTGGTCCAGGTATAGTTTGTAATGCCTCTGAGGAAAGAGTCAACGACTGCTCCATACTGACCTCGATCCCGTGTATGAGCGGTCAGTGCGGCAGGAGTCGCATCGGCAATGAAAGCGGTGGAGACAATTCCAACCCCTCCGCCTCTGAGACGGTGGAATAATTCGGCGATGCTTTCAATCTTTGGGTCGTCGAACTTGTTGGGGGAGCTGTCAGCATAGACCCCCAATGCGTTGACAGTAGATTTATGGCCAGAGTAGAGAGCGGTGGCGGAGTTGGCACTATCCGTGATGAAGCTGTCGATTGAGTGCGTCATTTGATGACCCAGCATCGGAAACTGGTCCATGGCCATTTTGGTCTGATACTTGCCGTTGATGGATTGATGGCCAATGAGGCGAGCAGCTGCGTCTTTGTTTTAGCATCAAGTTTATGCTATGTGATCTTTCAGCCTCACCAGTAATCATGTTAGTGGTCATGCCGTCGCCGATGAACATGACGACGTTCTTGGCCCGTTGTCGAGGAGCTATATCCCGGACTGTCCAATTGGCAATCGTCGTCTGTGAGCCATTACGATACTTCAATGTCGCAATATATTGCCCTGGCTCATACAGAGCAACATTTCTCCATGCCTTGGACGCAACTCTGACCTGTGACGGAGTTTTGGCGGCTTGAGCAAACAGATCTTCGTACCAAGTGAAGTTCCAGGTCTCGAGCTTTGGTTCTGTGAGTTTGAAAAAGGCTGAGACTGGTTGAGAATTCCCGCCCTCGCGCTCGATGGTCAGAGTGAACTGAGGAGCTCCGTTAGCCAGTACTGTGAATAGCGGTGCTTGTACAATAAAACACAAGGAAGTATTCCTCGAACACAAGAAAAACTCACGTTGGGATCGGGAGTGGTGTAGCCACGAATTGCTTCACTTCCGTTCAAGGGAGCGTGCACCTCGGCTCTGATGTCAAACCGTTGGCCTGGGAGGAAGTCGGCTTGGTCAGGTGGAATAATACAACCCAATGTTGGACATGTTCCAAGCCTCTGGAAGGTTTGAGCAGCACAGTGGGTACAGAAGGCGCCAATCGCCAAGAGACTCTCTAGACCAAGCTGGATTCTCATTTTCGGTATCTCTAAAGATGTTCCGGATCAAATAGTTGAGAAAGTTTCCTGAGAGGGATCAGAAATTTGACCGAGTTGTAGGACCGTGCAGCTTTTGTACCTTTCAGTCTAGCCTGCAGCTCGTCCAGCCATCGAGGGACGGCAAGCTCTTTTGCGTATGTCATATGGTTGGAGGAGCTCAGAGAATCCATTGCGGTATAGAGCTTCTGTCTCGTGGAAGCCCTAAGCTTCGCGTTGGCCGCATGGCATCGTGTAACTTGCATTGATATCAACTGCTTTGGGCAGGCGGAATCGATGCCAAGACAATGGGAGGAATGCCAAGGCACGGAGAGGAGGAAGGGGAGCATCACAGCCACTGGTGCCACTGAAGCAGCCCACGTGTTTGGGTGCACGGCGGGACAAGAAAAAGCTTTGCTGCTGGTCAGCGTTGCACACGAAAGATGCCAAGATCAAGCGCTCAAGAACGTCCCCGCCCTGTTCGCTATCTAGTGATGCGTGGTAAGACGTACCTCTGCCATTGGAGAGCCTGCTGCGCAATCTGTAGAGTAAGTCGCTGCCAAGGACGGTGACGGAGGGTCAAATCTATTGAGGCCGGATGGAATGTCTCAAAAACACAAGGAATGGAAATGGGGTCCTCCTGCGCAGAAGAAAGCGGACATCTTGGGGAGAATGGTCGATGCTGTAGCCTCAGAAAACAAACCTAAACTTGAAGGTAGATTTTGCAGTGGCACTCGTCGTAGGGGCCAGCCAGATTACCGAGGTCTTAGAATTGGAAGTAGTCGAGACTCTGAGCACTCTCGTCCAATACCTTAAGCATACACGCATTCTTTTGAGTGCGTCAATTGCACCAGCTTGACAACTGTTCGACAATTTCATCGGCCATTCAAAAGGCTGGGTAGAAGATGGAAACGTTTTCCTTTGGAGAAAGGCGATCCGTCTCGTCAAACGACCGCCTGGGTTTGCATGCTCAAGAGAGGCATTCACCCGATCTTGCAAAGCAAGGTATGAGAGAAAGAAGTACTTACTGTTTGGTGCGCGTCGGCAGAGCGGTCGATTTAGTTGCTGCGAACAAGTCGGTCTTTTACAGGGTGGCAGCACCAGCGGCGTTCGAAAGCGACCCACATTATGTATCGGCTCGACGGATGAACTTGTTTCTGAGTTCTTGCTGCCATCATCTTGCGATAGAAGCACGTCACACAAGCGACACTTGGCTCCCGTATTTGATGTTCATCGACAAATAGAAATGAACAGGGGTATGGTCGATCTGCAAGGCTGGCGATATCTGCTTCGAGAAGCAAGTCATCATTCTCCCGCTCAGATGCTTGTTCCACGTTTGCGGGAAGGATTGCATCTCAACATCCTCAGAGATATGGCGACATGATCGAAAAGTCTGGGCACTCATGCGACGCACCCACATTCACCTCCACTTACATGCCCATCTCGTAGCAGAGGGTGCTGACGTGCTCATCACGTTATTCATCTGTCCGAATCTTGCCCAAGTTTTCCCGAATCCCCCATCTTTGGGTACTGGAGATTCGACCACATGCCAGGACGGCTCATGAAAATTTGCAGAGGGCGTCGGTCAGTGTGAACTGGCATTTGGGTTTTTTTTCCCTTTCCCAGAAGCCAGTAATTGGATGCAGAAAGTCCGTGGTAGCAGACTCCGTTGGGAGGGCCCTAAGGCAAGTGGTGGCTAAGATTGGCTTCGGAGCTGATGGCGCATCAAGGGGGAGAGTGCGGGATGAGAGGAGTTGCGGAGCTCAGTTCGCTGACTTATTCGCTAGTCAGAGTTACCTGATTAGATGTGTGGTCGCTAAAGAGTGGGAGGATGTAAGAACAACGCCAAACCTTTGATGTGAGGAGTCAGATCCAGGAGAATTTTCTTTCGTTCCGTGGCTCAGCTCACATCAGAACAAGGCGGTCCATGGGCCGTAGCGGCAGCGGACAAGATCAGATAGTTCTAGTCAGATACGAGGACGATCGACCAAATGGGCATGAGCAGAGGAGGCCGGAGGCGAGAGAGTTTTTCTGAGACAGTGAGCAATAGGCCAATAACTTTGGCAGTAAAGTTAAGCAGGAGGAGTAAGAAGTCGAGGTTATACGAAGCCGAGAAAAGGGACCGTGCACCGACTGCCGTGTCCCCCTCGCCAGGCCTCCTCTTGCCTGCGCCCCCTGTTCTTCCTGCGAACAATTCTTTTTTCAACCACATGTCATCCTCACAGACACAGCGACAAACCTGCATCTCGACACACCTAGCCACAAAGAGCAACAGGATGCTGATCCTAGCCACGCTCGTTGACATCCGCAATGGCATTTTGTCCTGTTTCGTCTGATCCTCGTGCCTAGGTCTGGGCCCTCGGACCAGCCAGCCGCAACTGGCATTTGCCTCCATCGATCGTCCTGGCAATGGCATGCAGCATTCATATGCTAGTTGCTCTTGTCTATGAGCTTGTTTTTGCGCGCTACGCTCTGTTTGTTTCAAACCTTCTGTCGTGGATGGCGACAGAGGCGGCTTCGAATGCGCCATGGCTCCAATCCGACATAGCTTCTATGGCATGCTTTGCATTCTGAATGGCGCACACATTCCTGGAGCTGACTTCATAAAAGCGCCACTTACCGGCAGCATGCACCTCCCCTAAACCTAGTCAGAGGAACTGAACGGCAGCCGCCAATGAGCCGAGAAACATGACCGATCCCAGCCCTGCTGAGCGCAGCTCACTGTTGTCCGGCCCCAAAAAGAACAAATGGCTCCAGGAGTCCGACTTCTCTGCTCATCGAGCTTTTCTTACTGTCTTCCGTCGTCGTCACTTGGTTTTCTTCATAATGTTCCTCACGTCGTTCATTTTCTTTGCTTGCCTGGCCTGGTCCTTGGCCGCTCCACAGCACAAGCGTCAGGCAAGCGGTCCAGTCATTGGTACAAACTTTCAGGATCCCTCGGTCGTTCAATTAGACGACGGAAGCTATATTGCCTATGCCGGCGTCAATGGGAATCCGGCCGGGATTAATGTCTTGATCGCTACTTCTCCAGATTTCTCCAGCTGGACCGTTCACTCAGGCTACGATGCCTTGCCAAATCTTCCTTCCTGGGCGGCCTCGCCTCCACATGTATGGGCTCCGGACGTGACTCAACTGGTGAGTATTCGACCCACTGCTTTGGGAGCGGAAGTGTTCTGACGACATAACACAGGACAATGGCAACTTTGTGCTATACTATTCGGTAACAATGGCCGAGTCTCCAGCAAAGCACTGCGTTGCAGCAGCAACCGCCTCAAATCCGGAAGGGCCGTTCACGCCCGTCCAGACGCCGCTGTTCTGTGATCTCACAGCTGGCGGGGCCATTGATGCAGATGGTTTCAACGACCCTGCAACCCACCGGCAGTATGTCATCTACAAGGTGGATGGCAACTCTATCGGCAACGGTGGCGCGTGCTCGAATTCTGTCAATCCCATTGCACCCACCCCCCTCAATCTCCAAGAGGTTAATCCGGACGATGGGTATTCTTTCATTGGTGGCAGCACCACGGTTTTGTTGAACGACCCAGACGATGGGCCCAATATTGAAGCGCCCTCATTGACGTACGATGCTTCTTCTGGGACGTACATTCTGCTGTACAGTTCCCGGTGCTTTACGACTGCCCCATACAACATCAGATACGCGACCAGCAACAGTGTCTACGGCCCTTACACCAAGCAGACAAATCCGTTCCTGGCGACTGGGGGCACAGCCGCGAACGTTTACATCCCTGGGGGCATTGACATTACCAAGGACGGCAAATTAGCCGTCTTCCACGGTGACGTGAACATGGGGTGGTTCGCAGGCGACGGAACAGCGCGAGTACGAGCGATGTATGCCGTTGAGCTTTCCCTCGGAAACGGTGTTGTTAGCCCGGGGACACTGTACTGAGAAAGAGCAATCCGATTCGTGCTTGACCGCAGCCCCTACGAAGGAAAGCACAGATTGTTACGTGACAAGAGAAACGACATGAACGACGGAAAAAGGAGAAACACAATTGGTCGATGTAGTGCATCTGTACAAAAGACATTCGTTTCGAGCCTGATTTCGAGCGTTTTATATAGATCTTCACTTGATTCTTGTTGACGTGGAGGGAGTTGATGCAGGAGAAAGGGGTAGTTTGGGGGCCGACAAACAAAAGGAGGCACAGCCTGATGGTGGGGGGTTTGGCTGTAGCATTCGCTTGGGGGGTTTTGGAACACATGAACAATTAGCGGGACCTGGAATAGTTTCAGCCTTGATAATGAGATGTTTTGTTTCCTTCTTCCATTCCTGTTCACAGCCTCTTCGCGAGCTCCTCCCAGCTCCTCCTCCCCCTCTGCGCCCAGTGTTCGGGCCCGCTCTCCTCGCGAACCATCTCGCGGTGGAAGATCTCCATGCTCACCCACCCGCCAGTCCATGCGCCGCTGCTGTCCTTCAACCACGCCCGCGCGATGTCCTCGATGGGCAGATACGCGCCGCGGTCGCGCTCGAGCGGGAACAACCGGCCGTACCTGCACCAGGAGTGCACGCCGTCCTTGTCCACGCTGTAGGCCTCGTGGCCGGGGAGGATGGGTGGGACGAGCCTCTCGGCGTCGCTTAGCTGGATGTAGATGATGGGCTGAGTCTTCGTCGTCGTCGTCGTCGTCGTCGTCGTGCTGCTGTCGTTATTCGGTGGCTTCGCGAAGCGCTCGCGGAACGTCTCGAGCGACCTGCGCAGCGCGGCGTCGCCGCCGGGACGCCTTCCGGAGGAGGCGCGCGGGTCTGCCCAGAGGCGGGCTAGGACGTGGTACGTGTCGAGGCAGAGGCCGAAGTTGGGGCGGGCGACCCGGTCGACGACGCGCAGCGACTCCTCCCAGTCGGCGACGTGGGTGGCCCAGCCGAGGGCCTCGTAGGCGAACCTGACAGGCCGGAAAGCGGGCTCGGATTCACGCCCGCGCAGCCCTAGATCGGCCAGCGCCTGCAGCTCGGCCACGACGGTGGCCATGTCGCCGACGGCGTCGCGGTCGTCGTTGCTGGGCACCTGGATGACGTCCGTGCCCAGCGCGCGGGCCATGGCGATCCATTCCTCCGCGCGGTGCAATCGCTCCTCGAGACTGCGGCGCGGGTTCCCTTCGAAGTTGTCAAACGAGCCCAAGCAGACGACCTCGAGCTGGTGTTGGGCGCAGAGACGCTGGATCTCCGCGGCTGCTGTGACCCGTGGGATCGCTCGCGTGGTCGCGTAGCTGTCGAGGTCGGTGATGTAGATCTCCACGCCCTGGAATCTTGCTGCCGCCGCGGCGGCGAGTTTCCTCTCCAGAGTGTGTGAGGCGTGCCAGCCTAGGGAGATGGTTGAGATTACGAGCTTGGGATTCATGTTGAGCCGGGTGAGGAGATCGTCTGGACAAAGGACTACAGGAGGTGTCTACAGGCCCGGCCTTCGTGGTAAACAGAGTAGGCGACAACCCGATACTTGTGGTCCCCTAGGAAAACAGTCCTAATCAGCAGAAAGATATCGACTTACCATACAAGGCTGATGTCCGAAAGATTGACACGGCGTACACTACTGAAGGGATGCGGTCCGCCTACTTTGCTGGTCTCCAAACAATGCCTCTGCTACACCCTATCGCTATCACTGGCTCGGCGTTGGAGACACCATGTGCGTGGGCCATAGCAACATCACTGTCCGCTTCTGGGATGACCAGCCTGGCCGTATAGGACTCCCTCTTCATCTACGGTCTTGACGGGAATGCTATTCAGGGTCTCTTCAGTGGAAACCTGGAAGATCAAGCTCCCGCACTGGTATCCCAGGTCGCAAAAAAGGTAGATAAGAGGTATACTTGTCGCTTGACTTTTGCGAGCTCTTTCCAAGAAGGCACAGCAGCCTCGCCCGCCACGTATCGTGAGTCCTTCTCCCCATATACTGTACAACTGTTCGCAGCTTACGGCCCCCGACCGTATCTCTCCTAAGCCTCACCTTGCTCCATCACCAGCTCACGAATCGCCCACCTCCATCCTCCTCTTCCATCGGGACCTTCTTCCTCTTCCACTTCCAGGCCCTTTCTCAGCCACTTTTCCACTTTCCGCCGCCATCTTTCCTCTTCGCCTCTCTGTCTTCGCACAAACTCGGGGCCCACGTCAAACTCTTCGCTGACTCCAATGCCCCACTCATCACCACTGCTGTGGCCGGCCTCTCCATCGCCAAACGAATCCCTCGATTGCTCGATATTTGACATATTCTGAAGCGTGCCGCTACGACTCCGTGTTTCGTCCTCTTCTTTCAAGTCTTCCAGGCCGGCAAAGACGTCTTCTTCCTCTTCGATCTGGACACTACCACCTCGAAGACTCGACACACTTCCGTCAGGGTTCTCGGCGATCTTGAGCCATCGCATTTGTGATGGGTCAAACACCATGCCCCCTACGACTTGTACGCCTGTAACACTGGAGCCGACGTTGGAGATCAAGGCCACCTGGGCTTTCGTACCCGGGCTTCCTCGACCTTGGATCCCAGGGCTGCCACCACGAGGGTAAAAGTCTGGGACGTCGAACGGGGCAAGATCGTTTTCGTTGCCTTCCCACCTAAACAACAATGGATTGTAGCTCATGCCTTTCTCTGTCTTTGCGCGATTCAAATCGCTGCCCATGGGTTTGATGAGGTGTGGCTTCAATTGGGTCTTTTCGCTTCTCTTTTTCCTCAAACTTCCTTGATTGCTAGGACGGGCGGCCGCGGGATTCGACTTCCAGTTTGTCGAGATGGGTTGCAGTGGTTCGCCTCGCATGTTTTGAAAGGTGCTTGAGATCTGGCGCTGCTCGCGGGCATTGCGGGAGGCCGCCGTATCGCGAGCAAAGCGGGGAACATTGGTCGTATTGAGAGCTGTGGTCGGGAAATCGCTCCTCGGTGCTGGTGAGATTGGCGTTGCAGGGACAGGAGTGTCGCTGCCGCGTCTGGTACTGGTGAGGGAAGATGTAGAGGGATTGAGATGCGACAGTCCAAGCTTGCTTCGAAGACTTCGCGGCGCACCGCGGCCCACAGGTGCCTTTGTAAATTTGGATTCAATGGTAGCAGAGGTAGGGAGGTCGTCGAAAATCTCAAGCTCCGTTCCATCACCATAATTGCGGCGCCTCGCAGGTTTGGTAATTGATTTCTTGGCTTGTGCCGCCAATTCGGCAGGCGTGAGGTTGTTTCGCCCACGTCCAGAATCTACGCCACGGCCAGGCGTCTCCGGTCTGCCGAGTCCGGCGAGTCGAGACAAGGATCTTTGAGCAGCAGACATACTGTCGCCAGAGCCATCGGAACCCTGCCCACGGTAATGACTTTTGATACTAACATGCTGAGACTGTCCGGCGGATGCACCCGCAGGGAGGAAGGGTATTGCGCCTTTCCTGGATTCCCCGATGCGAGACTCTGCCCGGTCTGTGGGAGTTTTAGGACGCGACGGTATATTCAGGCGACTTCCCGTCTCCTGCCGCGAAGGAGGTCTGACGTACGGAGAAGCTTTGGTCGGCGAGGTTAATCCACGCATAGCTGGCATGGATCTCTTTGCACGCAGCAGCTGCGCGTTTGTCGTTGTCGGCGGTTCGTAACGCAGATCAGGACGAGATTCAGTACCACGGAGTAGCCGTCGGCTTGGGGTAGATGGAGTAGAAGGAGTTTGGGGGGCAGGGATGGCTGAAACAGACGCATGACTTGCATGGTTACCAAGTCTTGAATTTGCTCGTTGATACGATGATATCGCGGCGCCGGTTTCCGAGACAGGTTCCAAATTGGACCGAGCACGCTCAAGCCTGTCGTGAGCTGGTTGAAATCTCGGGAGCCGCGAGATAGTTCCCTGGCTTTTGGCGCTCGTAAAATTGAGCGTGGTTGTTGTCCTTTTCGACGGACTAGCAGGTCGTGTACTCTTGTGCTTAACATTGCGGTTCAGCGTCAATTTCGCAGCGTCGAAAACCTCTCCATCTCCAATCTCAAGACCGGAAAAGAAGTCGTCCTTCCCCGCCGTCATCCTGGAGTCGTCTTTGTGATCTGGAACACTTCGAGGCGGCTCAGATGGATGGTCGAGCTGGCGTCGCTTGAGCTTGTCCTCAAATTGAATTGGCCCGTCAGGCAGGACGAGCCCTTCAAGCCCTTCATCTTCGCTCTCGGCTGTGAAGGCGCTCGAAACACTGGGGCTCAAAGCTGATGCGGACGAGCTACGTGCAGATCGGCCGCCTCTTCTGGTGCCGGCGTTCCTTGTCCCCAGGCTGCCCTCAGCCCATTCAAGGTCAAAATCGTCGCTCTGCTGGGGCGTTGAAGGGGGTGGTTTCCTTGTGGACAGACGCAGCTGTCCATCGGACGGCAACTCGAGATCGTCTTCGATGCTTTCAGTTTCCGGCTTCACTGGAGTGGGAGGTTGCCGGAAGAGTAGCGGCTTCTGGGGTGACCTGTGCTTTGCGACCTTTATGGTCGGGACGTCTGCAAAGCCAGCATCCTCATCCGTATCGCGAAAGGCATCCAAGGTGATAGGCATTGCTGCCGAGCGAGACTTTGGCGATCGAATTGTTTGGTCAAACATGTCTTTCGTTTCTGGGGTTTTTGGTGACGTTCGGAAAGCCGCACTAATCTGTCGCAGACTCTCCGATAAATCGCGGTCATCGTGTTTGGCGAGCTTGAGAGGAATGTCGGTGCCAGGTAAATCCAAGTCTTCTGACCAGTCGTCCGCAATTGCTTTTTTGATCTCTTTTCCCTTCAACCGCCGTATAGTGCCACCTTCCAACGCAGAACGCGGTATGTTGGCTGGTAATGGTATTCCTTTGCTCTTCGCGAGGGCTACTGCGTCCTTGATCGAGGCTTGTTCATCAACCAGTACATCCCAATTTTCGTCTCCCTGGTTCGACTCCGATCGCAATGACATGCGCGACGAGACTGAATCTCGACGGTGTGTTTGAGGATGAGAGATGACGGACGTCGCGGTTGAGGCAGTACGGAAGTGGACATCCTCCAGATTCTCGAAGTCGTCATCGTCCCAGTTTTCCACCTCGGGGCTCTCGACCGGAGTGCGTTGCTTCAGTGTAAGTGGTTCCATGGTTCTTAATTTGTTCTTGGATGCAGTGAAAACGTTCAGGATAAAGTATTAAGGTCGCGAAAATACACACAGAAAGTTTGTCGCCAGTAGAAACATGAAAAAGGGGATCGTAGAACTCGTAAGGAATCGTAACGTCGTGAGGAAAAGGTGTTCAAGTGTGGTTGATCGAGCTTTGGAGCGTGTTTATTGCTCCCCGTCGAGGGAATACACCACCGATCGGGGGCAGTCAATAGACGAGAGCCTTGTATGGCCAAAGGAGTAGGATGAAGATCGAGGTATACAAGTTGAGGTCTTTTTCGAGGTCGGGCTGAGGTCTTCCGTTTGGGGAGGCTGGAAAGTTGGTCGTCGGAGGGTTTGCTGCTCGCGGATGGGAAAAGGTGGAGTTTCGGCGCGGACAAGCAGCAGTAGCCAGAAAAGCTGGGAAATGCGAAGGCAGGGACACGAAACTGACCAATCAGACACGGCCTTGACGCGTTCCGTGCTTTTCCCCACTCAGCTGGCGTTACGTGATTCCGTCCCGGACTGGTCGCTGCATGGCCATTGCTTAACACGAACGAATCTGGGCTATGCTACTTGGGTGCTACTGTACTCCGGGGTTTGGATTCTGGAGCCTTGCACGGTTGTGTGCTGACTGTCCAAAGTGATGCAGCTGCTAACTTGCATATGGTCATGGCGTTGACGTGGGTTATTCGGCTCGTCCTAGCCGACAACAACCGCAGCCCGATATTGATCAGAGTGGCGCAAAAGGAAGGCGGTCATGATCTTGACCTCGATCTACTCGCAACGGACGGCGAAGTAGCTTATACAGGTAAAGGTAAGGTAACGAATCACTGTTATTGCTCCCACACTGAATTCGTGCAGTCAGGCAACGTAGCCTCAAGAAACTGCGCTCGAGGAATTATGACGGAAATGACGAGGACTGGACCAACATCATCTCTTCCATTCTCGGATCGAAAACCGAGGCCTCAGTTAGCATCCAGCGGAGGAATAATCTCGAGGTGACGTGTTCAGTGTCTGGCAAAGATCCCAAAACCATTTTGTCCATCGCCATCAACAATAGAGTCGAAGAGATCACACAGCGCCTTGGGACTATCGAGCTGCCTCAAACGGAAGACACCGACGATGTTGACCTCTTTGGCTGGGCGGCGCAGGCTGCCGAGAAGCGAGACGAGTTACAAGAAGATGTCACAAGCCTGAACGAGCAGATCAAGACGAAGGATGAGGTGATGGCAAGCCTACAGAAACAAATCGATGAATTGGTGGAAGCCAAAGCTGAGCATGAAAAGCAAATGCTATCAAAATTTGCTCTCCTCCTGAATGAGAAGAAGCTCAAAATCAGAAACATGCAACGGATCCTCTCCACTGCAAAGCCAGATCAGAAAAAGCTGAAGGAGATGCAAGCCGTTATCGGGAACGAAGCAGCTGGTGTGCCGCGGCGGAACAAGAGACCAGCTGAAGATGCCGCGGAAGGCGAAGATGATGAGAGTGATGGCTTCGAGACCACAGGTGCAGAACCGGTCACCAATGCCGAGAAAGAGTCTAGCTCTCCGACTTCTGGTGACTCGACCCCAACACCTTCAGAGCGAGACGAGGACACGGATGAAGACAACTTGGATGCTCCGGCCGCGTATTCGAACCAGCCAAGAACACGAGCAGTGGATCCAGAACAGGATCAAGGACAGAGCAGGACGCAAGATGACGAGCAGACCAAGGGAAAGGTCCAGGCCACAACGGCTCCGGGAGACGACGATGACGAGGAAACAGCAAGCGAGGATGATGAACTATGAACAAAAGGATCTTGCACGATCCATTCCTGACGATTCACGTAACATTTGGATACCCATTTTGCTCTGAGAAAGGAAAGGTCTTGGGAATGGTAAATTCATTCGCTTTCATTCATTGGCTATCCACTTGGACAAAATCTCCCCGTAGAGCCAGCAAGACTTGGTTATATTCTCTCGAGGCCCCTGTGAAAAGATCCCACCATGTGGTCAACGCAGCCTGATTTCACCGTCGTTCTTGGTGTAGTCCCTTCAATAGTTGAAGTTTGGCTGGTCGCGTTGGTTGGGGTCATATTGATCCATGTCACCATAGTGTCGGTCATACATGTTCTCGGCACTCTTCTTAGCATGTTCTCTGGCTCTGATCTTGTCATATTCGTCCAAGCCCTTGGTCTCGGCAAGCTTGTCGACTTCCGCTCCAACGAAGCCGGCGAGGAGTTCTTTGGCAAAGCCATGGTCGACCGTCTTGCCTACGCAACGTTAGCTCCATGAACGCTGCTGATGTGTGGAAGAGAATTCATCGCACCTTCTCTGCGTTGACGGTCCTCGTAGAGCTTCATGCCCTCGAAGGCGGCTGCGCCACCAATGAGTTCATGGGAGAATTTGGCTTCATGTCTATCATCCCCGTTGTCTTGACTTGTTGTTAGTATCATGCAATGATATCGGTCTCGCCATCACTGGTGCATGCGTTCGAGGATACTTACAGACTTGCTGGTGAGCGTCACGGCTTTCGTCTGGAACAGGGCGGTCAGCATGGAGAGGAGGGGTGTGGAAGAGACGGTCAAGTCAACTTACCCCAACCAAACATCTTGATTTGAAGTAGTAGATCCGATGGTGTGGTATGTAAGGTGTTTCGATCAGTCAAGAAAAGTCAGGTGAGTTTGATAAGAGTCTTGAGTATGATGGATGTTCCGAGGACGAAGCAAAGGATCGGAGGGGAAATATATAGGTTTTGAGGGAGAATGTCTGTCACCGCTCGGGGCCCAGAGTGAAATCTTGCTAGCAACGAGGCAGGACACTTGCCCCTCGATGCATCCCTCGCGCTGGCAGTTCGCCATTGGGATTGCGCAGATATGACCCCACCTCGGCCTCTGCACTGGCCAGCCATTCAGCTTGACGTTTCTTCTGTTTCACCTTCTACGAGCATTGCGTCAACATGGTGAGCACAAGCTCACCAGATCAAGCTACTCCTCGGTGCCCCTGCAGCACTGACTCGAGCCGGTGCTGGCTCCCGAAACAAGAATTCAGCTGGCCATCCGTGGCTGTGCATCACCGTGTCTGTTCCCCTTCCATCTCTGATCCGGGCTTTGCGTCAATGATGCTGGAACCAATGCAGGTCCGCCACCCCACACCTTTTCAGCTCGCTTGGTCCCGCCTTTTCAGGGTCTTGTTCGCTTCACCGGGCAATTCTTTGCCCAACGTTTTCGGATCAAAGATATTACTATTACACCAGATCTGCCTAGTTCGAGGATTCACACGCACCCACCTCAGCTCTCCCGGAACATTGTCACGGGGAGCGGAAGGCTGCGGCGTGCTTCACTTTTGCACTGATGAGGGGTGAGTTTGGCCCAAGAAGCCGAGTGCCAAGCGCCAAGAGGGGCCACGAATGTTGCTTGACTGCTGAAGCCAAGTTGGAAGCTAAAGCTTGTCTCGGACCCTGGCGACACAGCGGCAAGCGACCCTGCGACCCAGCATCGCCCGCTCGCACAACGTCATGCTCGACACTTGTTATCCTCTTGCTTTACTTCGGTTCCTGACGAGCTGGATCCGAAGCCTCAACCGCCAACGTCAATTTGTCCGATATCAAAACTGCCCCTGTTCTAGCAGAGATAGAAGGGTCGGAGGATCAACAGCGACACACGTGTATGCCGGGCCAAAAGCCTTGTTTCTGTCCTAAACATCCTCGATCGCTGCGCCACAATGCCTCACCAGCCCTCTGGAGCCTCTCCAACCGCCAGCGACTTCCCCCTGGCTCTCAAACCAATCCTCCATCTCCCACCAGACAACAAGCCGACCAATGTGGTCATCTTCCTTCCAGGCTTGGGGGACACATCAGCCAACTTCTCGTCCTTCTCCCGCGCGCTGAACCTCCCCGACGCTTTGGCCATCACCCTCAATCCACCATTCCCGTTACCATTCCCTCTTGGGCCGGGGGATCAGTGGTCCGAGGACCTTCACGTTGACGCCGCCACGGGCGAACTTGATGCGGACTCTCCCCTGACCAAATCAGTGGACCTCATTGCTCAGGAAGTCATCTCGAAAGTCCTGATCGATAAGTTCAGGTACCGGCCTGACCACATCCACCTCTTTGGCTTCGGCCAGGGTGGTTCAGTCGCTCTAACGGTCCCTCTACATCCATCAATATTTTCTCTACCCTGTTTGGGAGGGGTCATATCAGTTGGGGGCGCTTTACCGTTATCTGCACCTCTCACAAGCACGAAGTCTCAGAACAAAACACCAGTTTTGATCCTTTCAGGCTCAAAATCACCACTTGCATCGGTCGGCTCCAGTCCACTAAACCGCATCAAGTCCACCTATGAATTTGTTACATATCACCAGTGGAAGAAAGCTGATGACTCGTTGCCCAAGAATCGAGATGAGGCTTTGCCAATGATGCAGTTCTGGGCACGACGGTTAAGAAGCAGACGTGGTGTTCCGGATGATGCGATCGAGATAACTTGACTTTGGGGTGAACGAACTTGCGATTGATTTCCAACTTTTGGGAAGATACTATCACCGATTGGAATCCAACCGATCACTTCTGAAGTCGATCCAGTTCCTCCCTGGCTCTCGCTACAGCATCCTCGGCTTGACGTCGACTCTGCAGTTCGACCTCATCCTCCACAACTCGACTAGCATTGTCAACCAGCTCCTCCATCCTGCCCACAATTCTCTGAATGACAGTTCTGCCTTCGTCATACAAGCTGTGTTCCAATGCCTTTGTGGCCTTAAACCAGTCTCCCTGCATCCGCCACAAGGCATAGGCTGTACCCAGCGCTGCTATGGTGCCAGCCTCATACATGCTACCTGGTGTGATGGAAAGGTAGGTCAGAGCCGAGAGTCCGCCGGATAGACCTGTAATCGAAAGGGTTTTGAGCACAATCTGCTGAGCCGTGCTGGTGAGATCCGCAATCGCACGTTGCATTTGCTCAGAACGAGTACTGGATATCGATGAAGACAAAGGCATGGGTTGAGGAATAGGGACCATCTCCACCTCAGCGGTTCCCGTGGGGTTGATCAGGACTGCCCGCACAGGAGGTTCGGTCGCAATGCTGGCTTGCGCCTGTAGCACTGGCGTGGGCTCTGTCAGACGGTCTAGTTTTGCTCGCGACATTATGAGGTTTTCTCCCTCTGGCAGTGAAGGCAAGGCATCCATTGGCGAAATGCCCGCCTGAGACAGCCGACCCGACAGTTCATAAACCGCGCGCTCAGTACGGGGAAGCCATGCGTTAGTGATAAGGTCCGTAATGATCAAACCCACGTCATCCACGCGCCAGAACAGCTTGTACCAAGCCAACTTGCGCCAGTTGTGGGAGCTCCAAGCTGAGGCGAGCCCAGACTGGAGCTCTTGGTGGGCATTACGAGAGAATCCTTCGATGGCTTCCTCGAGGTTGGCTCGTGTCGCCAGGCTCAAACTTCGAGCTGCATTCGATCGAGCTTCCAATGAAGCTTCAACTTGCAAGTTGCTCATTGCAGTTGTCAGTAAAGAGGAAATCAATGCCTTCACAGGTGCCGGGATAGGTCCTTCAGATCTTGCAGCAGAGGCCAGTGTGAGCCAGCCTGACAATATGGGCATGCCTGAGTCGACCCATTTGTGTTCGTATTCGGTTGCTTCAGCTACAGATCTTCGAATTGCTGCCAGTCCGTCCTCCGCTTTTGTAGCATCCACAACCATGACCTGTCCGTGGCCTTTCTCCTTGAAGTCTTTCAGGTCCACTACCAAGCTCACAGATTCCCGGTCTTCCAGTGCTGTGAAATTGGTAGATGCCAACAATTCTGCAGCCAGCATGAGCCCGTCGAGTCCTTTCGTGACCAGCAAACAGCTATGCACGGGTTGGCTGATCGTCGTCTGTCTTCCAGTCGCGGCGGTGGGGGTCCCGATCGAAGGTGACAGGAACGCATCTGAGGTCACTGTTTGCGCGCCTTGCAATAGCTCGCCATTTCGGGGCCCCCTGATGCTCGATATCAGTATCTCGATATTGTTCCTCTCGAGTACGTTCGACGGAACGTGCAGTACTGGGATGCTTGTCTTCGGCTGAGGGAGATTTGAGTTCGGTGCCCGTCCATAACGTATCAAGACGCCTCGACTGAAGTCTCCGTTGCTAGCATTTTTGACCAACTCCTCCTCCCAGCTTCCTTCGTCTTCCAAAGCGTCCGCAAGCAGTAGCCTGACTACCTTGCTTGCTGTATCTTGTACATTCAATCCCAAAACAGCAACCCTAGTCACCGGAGATTCGGACTCGAGCCCTTGAAGGGCAAGTTGTAGTCGACTGAGGTTTACCTGCGCGGACGCCTTTTTTCGTACGTTGAGAAGGGACTCATAAAGAGGTCTATACCGCACAGGGACGGGCTTCTGCGCATTCACGGCGGTGGTGGAGGTCAGAGTGCCGGAGGAGGTTGAGGCATGCCGACGATTGCTGTTTCTGGTTCTGCTGCTGGACGTAGTGGGAGCTGTCCACCGCAGAGGCCTGGTCCTTCGCCAGCTTGTACAAGAGGGGCAGAAGAAGAAGTTGTCGAGAAAGGCCTCGATTCGACGGCCAGAGGAGGCCCCGGGAGGTCTCTTCATGATGTATACAGGTTCTCAAGTACTGCTAGTTCCTGCGAAATCGACATGATGCAAAGTCAATTGAATCGCAAAACATGTTGGAAGCTGCTTCTCCAACGTGCCTCCTTCAAACCGAAGTTTTGCCGCGGATACAATCCACGAGACGCGCTCTGTTGGACTTGCCATCGCGCACATCTCTTCCCAATTCTTGATCCTCACGACCAGAACAGACTTCTGTCTTGGTCATTCTCTGTCCCAAATCACGGTCAAGTATATGATGCCAATCGACCTGCGTATCCCAAGAAAGCTACTATGGCTTCTACGACCACCATAAACACATGGATAGAAGAGCTTGTGCTCTCTCTTCCTCCACCATCCGCAACAACCGACCTACACGGATACAAAGATAATTTCATCCGCACAGTCAAGCACCACAGCTATGGCCGAACCAACCAGTTTGCTGTCGACGAAAAGCTTACGGGGCTCGAAGAAAAACTCCAGGTCTACAACCTCGACGACGTGGCTGCAGAGCTTTTCTCGCGACGTGCGGAGCTAAGGAAAGACCACAATGACAAAAAGTGGTTGCCCGACGTTCTAGATCTTCTACTCCATCTTTCCCATGATCCTGTCCACCATAGCAGGACTGAGAATCTTGAGAAGTTGATGCCTCGCGCAGAGACGCCTCCTCCATTGAAATGGGAGGAAATTGACGCCGAGGATCCTATCGATCGCCAGGATGAGATATGGAGGCTTCCAAAGTATTCTGATTCCAGCTCTGATGAAGACGAATTCGCCACCTCAAGTACACCGCCTTCGCCAGTCGCTGTAAAGCATGACCTTACGGAGGACGTGGAAGTCGAGAGTGCGTTTGAAGCGTCTGCAGCACGAGAGTCAGCAAAGTTAGAAGCCGTGCAATTCTGGCATAGGTCGGGACCTTTTGTGGCAGTCACAGAGACCCAAGCTGTAAGGGAGGTACTGTTTATGCTCACAGGAATGCCAACCTCCATCTTCACCTTTACCGATCGAGGCGTCCGCCCCAATGCACGATACTGTCTGGGTCATCTAGGGAGGACAACGTCGAGGTCCTTACTGGAGGAGGCAGCTCGACTTGGTTCTGATCTTAATTCTATTCGCCAATGGCTGCGAATGCCGCAGAGTTCGGCCGTCATGCAATTCATTCAAAGCGCAATCAATGCTCTCATGATGAGTTTCGAATTAGCCATGTCCAAGGAACACGCTGCTATCTTACACCAATCTTCGCCGACGGGTGTGATCAGCCTACTTCAAACCTTACAGAGAATCGAGAAAGCAAGCCAGTCGTTGAAAGCTGTCAGCATCATCTTGCCTCACTTCATCTCGAATGACCCAATCGCCGCGCTGAACACCATCCACAGCCATGTAGACACAGCGCACGCCAGCTCGAATTCCGTCGAGGCGGAGACTTTCCTCCCTATCTTCCTGTCTTCTCTCACGCTCTATTCGAAACCTATCGACCTATGGTTGCTCACCGGCGAGATCGAGACTACGGAACCATTCTTTGTCTTTGAAGTCAACAGGAAACCGCGGGTGGCTAGCACCTTGTTGCATGATTGGTTCACCCTGGCTGCTGCAAAAGACAGCTTGATCCCAGTATTCCTGGAGAAGTTTGCCGAAAGGATCTTCACAATCGGCAAAACTGCTGCCTTTTTGCGCCATCTCGGACGAGCCGCCCCAAACAGCTGCAACAGCGAACTGGGAGTTGCGGCCGCCGCGGCGGAGACAGCTCATCTGATGATGAGTTCGCCATTACCTTTCTCCGCAACGTTCGAAATGATCCTTGATCGACATCTCAACAATCTACTTGAGGCTTCCACACTCACTCTGAGGTATATTCTGGAGAGCAGCCTCGGTCTGACCAGATTTCTCGATGCACTCGACTACCTCTATCTTGCGAAAGATGGTGTCCTCCTCGATAGCATCGAAAGCAAGATGTTCGACCGGATAGATCGCTGCTTAGAGATGTGGAACGACCGCTTTCTTCTCTCTGATCTCCTGGCTGAAGCATTCCACAACTCTGATTGCGTGGATGTTGATGCAATCACAGTCCAGTCGGCGTATACCTCTTCCCGGAGCATGGAAAATCGGCGCCGCTCCGTCAAGATCCTAGGTGCCGTGTCCGTCTCATACCACGTTAGCTGGCCGATTGCAAATATCATCCTCCCTACCTCCATGGTTTCCTATCAACGCGTTGCTCTAATGCTCAATCAAGTCCGCCGCGCCAGGTCCTTGCTCGAGGGCCGAGCTTACTTCCACGTTCAACATATGCCTTTACCATTTGACAATCTCAACGAACACAGACTTGCACGACTGATATACTGGCAGCTGTCTCATTTTGCGAACACTCTCTATAGCCATCTTACGAGCTGCACGGTCCAAACTTTTACAACGACTATGCGCGAACGGTTGCAATGCTCCTCAACTAGGAGCCTTGACGATATGATAGCAATTCACACTCACTACATCGCCGCGCTGGAGCATGCGTGCCTGAGCAGTAAACGTATCAAACCACTACGCGATGCACTCGTTACCATCCTCGATCTGTGCATTCGATTTACGGATCTCGTAACCTCGCCTTCAGCCATTCCTGATGTGCGGCCAGCTTCGGGAGATGCACATGGAGATTTCGAGGCGAGCAGTTTCATCTCGGCGCGCAGCCAGAGAAGACGCCGAGGCAGGAGACAAGATGAGGACTATTCCTCGGAGGAGGATGATGATACGAGCATGGAAGAGGGATACTCCACATTCGTCCTTGAACAAGACACTTCGCTCATCGAAGAGATGGTGAAAGTGAGAGACATGTTCAGGAAACACGCCGAGTTCTTGATCGCGGGCTTGAGAGCTGTGGCGAGGGGTTCGAGTTCGAGTTCGAGTTCAGCACAAGGACAGGGACCAGGACCCCAGGCATGGGAAGTGGGCGAGAACTTTGAACTGTTGGCCGACTCGCTAGAAGGAGTGTTTCCTGTAAGCAGGAAGGTAGCTTTTTGAATTTTGATCCCGAGTTGGTTGAATCCGAAGCCCACTGGGCAAAGATGGCAGCGCTAGGGGTATTTTATCGACTCTCCTATCCAACGCCGCTTTTCATCGTACCGTTTTTGGGGGGGGGGGGGGGGGCTTGCTCCTATTCTTACAATGTTTCCTGTCCATACGCTGCCTTCTTTCTCCTCCATCGTCCTGAATGAACCGGGAGGGCACCAGCATGGAACACATTAGGATGTTCTCCGCCACTTCGTCTCGCCTGAGTCTCCTGCGCCGGTTGCATCTCCGTTTCCTTGCTCTGTATCTTGCCTTGGCCGCACAATGCCAGCACCGGGGCCCAAAGGCTCGTCGCTCGCAGCTTGTGCTTCGCCACCGACGTCCTCTCCTTGCTCGTCCTGGTCGTCTCCGCCAATAAAATTCCCCTCCTCGTCGAAGTATTCGTGCATGTTCTCCGCCGTGATCCACCCTCCACTGCCCGGCATCGCAGGCGGAAGACCACCATCCGCATTGCCTGGGAAAGCCAGCCCCGCGCGAAACAAGCGGCTTCCACCCCCGTCTTCTTCGCCTTCTTCGTCTTCGACGGGGTCAGGATGCAGATTGGAGCAGGTGGAAAGGGCGTTGAACATGGCCACCACGGGCGTCTGCTCAGGCTTGTCTTCTCCCTCGAAACCGTCTTCGGCGGTCCCGGAGGCGGTCGAGGCGACTTGCGGCGGAGCAGAGGCGGTTGGGATCACCGTGACGGATATGGAGTCGGGTTCTGCGTCGTCGTCCTGCGCGGCACTCTCTGGCGAGGGAAATGAAACCACCTGCATGTATAGACCTTGTTGTTCGCCGGGCGAGGGCTGCGGGAGAGATTGGATCGCATGAAGGGAGATGGAGGGGTAAGGGATCGAGAGGCCTGCGTTCGCATCGCTGGAGTAAAGGAAGAGTTTGCTGCTGCTGTCAGGGTTTTATTCCACGGAGATCTCGGATTGTCAAACTCACTCTGAAGTCACCCATACATCCACATTCTCGACGACTTTTTGCTTCCCTCTCGCTTCGGAGTCTCCATTGGCCTCGGTGCCGTTAGCGTGAGGCTGCTCAGGTTGCGCTTGAGAGCTTGGATGTTCTAGCAGAGGCGCAAATGCTGGTACAGAGCGGGCTTCATGTTCCAGGACGATTAGTTTGCTGCGGTCGCTGTAGTAATGCAGGACTGGCGGGCCGGTGTAGAAAGAGGCAGGAGTCGCAGACTGATGCTCGATCAGAGGCACAAAGGTCGAAGCTTTGGGAGGCTCGTGGAGGATTTCCATGGTGAGGCTGCTGGACAGGGAAAATTATGTTGCGGTGTGTCTGTACTCCCCAAATGTGGCATGCGCGTGAAAGGGCTGTGACGGAAATTTTCTACTTGACGTGGCTGTTGGCGGGGGATCTTTTCCCTGCCGTGCCTGAATTGAATGGCATTGTGCCTGCGGAATGGCCGGGGTCAAAGCCTCGCCTAGATGTGGATCCCCAGGCCGCGCAAACGAACACTCCAAGATTCGATTCACCACTTTTGCTTCTTTTTTTCCCTTGTTATCGTATCTGCCATCTCCTGGCTTGTCTGGAGCATACAAGAGTTCTGTATCATGGCTGATGGCTAACAGCCGCCGTCCAACATGGCCATCGCGAAGCCCGTACGGTTCCTAGGGGTGCTGTCCGTGGTTCTGGTCTTTTTCGTCATTTATCAGTACTTACGCCCAGTCCCAACGATTGAGCCCCCGGGCACTGTGGTCGGCAATGGCGACAAGATCGAGAACTGGGAACAGGACCCTCTTCTAGAGCGTGCGTATCTCCTCTCGGAACCTATGCGACAACGCTAACCTCTCTCTCAGCGATTGGCGAGCCGCCTGAACCATTATGGCGACACACTGACCACGACTATGCCCCCGAGAGCCTCAACTCGGCGCGCATCAATGCCACCCTCCTATCTCTCGTCCGCAATGAAGAACTCCACGAACTCCTCCCGACCATGAGACAGCTCGAAGAGACGTGGAACTCCAAATTCAACTATCCGTGGACATTCTTCAACGATGTCCCGTTCACTGAAGAATTCAAAGAAGCAACACAGGCTGTCACAAAGGCCAAGTGTGCCTATCATGTCATTCCGAAAGAGCATTGGGATATGCCGTCCTGGGTCAGCCAGGAACTTTACGAAGAGTCGGCGAAGATTCTAAAAGAGAACGACGTTCAGTACGCCGGGATGATCTCATACCACAAGATGTGTCGATGGAATAGCGGCATGTTCTACCGCCATCCTGCGCTCGAAAATGTCCAATACTATTGGCGCGTTGAGCCAAAGGTCAAATTTTTCTGCCAGGTCGACTATGATGTGTTCCGCTACATGCAGGATCACAACAAGACCTACGGCTTTAATATCAATTTGTTTGATTCGCCAGAATCTATCCCATCCTTGTGGCCAGAGACCATCAAATTCCTGGCTGCCCATCCAGAATATCTCCACAAGAACAACGCCATGGCATGGCTAGTGGATAACACCCGCAGACCAGAAAATAACATCAAGGCACATGGGTACAGCACGTGTCACTTCTGGTCCAATTTTGAGATCGCGGACCTGTCGTTCTGGAGGAGTCAGATCTACGAGGACTATTTCACTCACCTAGACCGGACGGGTGGGTTCTTTTATGAGAGATGGGGTGACGCCCCGGTCCACAGCATTGCATTGGGGCTTTTTGAGGATGCCAGCAAAATTCATTGGTAAGGTCTTCTCAACCATCCGGTGAGACTCGAAACGCAGACTGACAGGTAATAGGTTCAAGGATATCGGCTACAACCATATCCCATTCTACAACTGTCCCAACTCACCTAAATGTAGTGGGTGTACGCCCGGACAGTTTTACGGCGGTGAACCGTGGTTGCAACGAGAAGATTGTCGACCGTTATGGTTCAAGTATGTTGGAATGGGATGAACAGGAAGAGCCGGGTCATCTTGGATCACACAACCAGAGAGCTGGGGCTCTCACCACCTATTTGTATATGGACGCCACCCCTGCACATACGCCGAGGACTCGTCTTGCTTTTGCACTAGGAATAATGGGTCTGGTGGTCTGCAAGATGTACCCTAGGCAGAACGTATTAGCTGGTCTAGATTCTCCAACCATGTTTCCATGCACGTTGAGATCCTTCGTCCGGGATACTGTTGCTGTATCGAGGCTTCCGCGTGCGTGCCGAACGGAGGACTCCAACCTCCGTACCGGCGGTAGCACCCTGGCTCCGTTCTTAGTGTGGCGGAGACAAGCATTGTGGTAGGAAGAAGTTAAGAAGCGTGGCGTGGAAGCTTGGGGGCTTGGGGGCTTGGGGGCTTGGGGGGTCGCCTGAGCGCTTGCCTAGGAGCTCTTGGGCCCAGCTCGGCAATGCCTATAACCCCCAATCGCGCCTAGTTCTGGACGGCTACACACGGGCAGACTCCGTGGGGAAGCCTCTCCCCAATCCGAACCACCCACACCTTCGTCCTCCCACCAATCTCCTCCACCACATTCCCCGTGGTGGCGTTCAGGGTAAAGGAATACGGGGTATGATATCAAGCCCTCCAGAAGTCCCATCTTCTCCAATAACCTGCGCTGCGGTGGCTGTTTCTACCGACGGAAGTACCGCTAATCCGTCTACATCACTGATCACCGCTCAATGTCCGGTTCGGCAGTCGCATTTGTGGCATCAAGAACCTGTCAACGACCACATCTATCCCTGTCCATGACTACCGATGGCACTTTCAGATTGCTCCGAACGGCGTGCAACGGTGGCCCAGGCCGGCTCGTGCCCAATCGCTCAACGGAAGCGACATGTCCAAAATTCCACTGCGACCTCGCTTTTGCGGGGAACATCAGGTGCCACGAGCACGAGCGCCAGAGCTCGTGGGTGCTCATACCGTTGATCACTGCCGCAATGCACGAAGGGACCCAGTTCGTCTGCTAGATCGACTACCACGCGCCTGGGTCCATGGTCGGTAGGCTCGACGCATCCCAATAAAAAGGTAAGGGTGCCCTAGACGCGAGCTGCTGGGTCTTTCTACTTCCCAGCTCCCCTTCCTTCCTGATCTCACAGCCGGGTTGCCAACTGCTTCGCACATATTCCTTGGGGCCTCTCTCTCAGAGCCTTGCAAGCATGGATTCCAAAGAGATCACCGAGAAGCCTATCACAGGCGTCACCCCTCCGGACGCCGTGCATTCGGCCTCCTCCAAAACGTCGACCAGCGACGAGAAGCCCACCGTCACCACGGCCGAAGAGATTACCTCTGAGAAGCACAATGATATCAATACCCATTATGACCCCGCGCTCGCCCCTCGATATACCAAGGAAGAGGAAGATGCCGTCATCCGCAAGCTCGACTGGCACCTGATGCCTCTCATTTTTGTCCTGTACTCCCTGTCCGTCCTCGACCGCTCCAACCTGGGCAACGCCAGGATTTCCGGTATGGAGAAGGACATTGATCTCAGTGGGAATCGATATGATTGGTTGGGAACTGCTTTCTACATCAGCTGTGAGTTTTCCCGCTTCTTGAGTTCTGACGGCTAGAACAACAACCCCGAACGTCTCCTCCACTGCTTTAGACCTTTGACTAACATGTATGTATGCAGATATCCTCTCGCAATGGACGCAAATGGGCTGGAAAGCCTTTCCCCCTCACGCCTGGGTTGCCTTCGTCGTCTTCGGTTGGGGCGTGGTTTCCACCCTGCAGGCAGCATGTTCGTCCTGGGCGGGCGTGATGGTCTGCCGAGTTATTCTCGCTATCTTTGAGGCTGCCTATGGTCCCGGCGTCCCATTATACCTCTCCTTCTTCTATCCGCGCGAAAAACTCGGTCTGCGAACCGGCATCTTCCTGAGTGGCTCTGCCGCCGCCAACGCCTACGGCAGCGCTCTCGCGTACGGCATTGCACAAGCAAAATCGTCCATCGGACCTTGGAGAATTCTGTTTATTGTCGAGGGCGCTCCTACTTGTCTCCTGGCCATCGTGGCGTGGTTCTGGCTGCCAGACTCCCCTGCCCACTGCAAGTTCTTGTCAGAGAGAGACAAGGAGATTGCTGTGGATTTATCTTTGAGACAGCCTGGAGACAGGACAGGAAACAAAGGACTTCAGTGGAAACAGGTATTGGGCGGATTGATGGATTATCGATGTGAGTTTTTCTCCTTTTCGAGCGCCACCACATTGCCATTATGAACTGTTTAATACGAGTCCAACCACCCACTACCCCTGATTTATTCAAGGTCTCTTCAATTACAAGGCACATATCGATGTCCTAGTTCTTGGGGATGCTTCAATCAAGCCAGGGGCCAAACAAACCGTTGTCTTTGGGGGACTTTTGGGCGTTATTCGATCCGCACAAACATATATTTTAAGCAACACAACCTCAAGAAATCGACAAAGGAGAAGTTACAAGACTGACATTCATGCTTACAGCCTACCTTCCACCTCTCATGTATTTCGGCTGCAACGTCTGCTTCGCCTCTCTCCCGCTCTTCGTTCCTACCATCATCAGCGAGATGGGCGCCTTCTCCACCATCCAGTCCAACGGTCTCTCCGCTCCGCCATATGTGTTCTGCTTCCTTGCAATCTGCGGCACAGCCTTTATTTCTGACCGCTTGAACATGCGCGGCATCTTCGTCGCCGTCCCTGCATTGATCGCGGCGGTCGGGTACATCATCCTGGGCACCACCTCAGGGGTAGCGCCGCGATATTTCGGGCTTTTCCTCGCCGTCCTCATCTTCGTCTCCGTGGCAATGACCTTAACCTGGGTGGGTAACACTCATGCCACGGACAGCAAGCGCGCCGTGGCCTTGGCTATTTTGGCCACGGGTGGCCAATGCGGTCCCGTGCTGGGTACGAACATTTTCCCCAAAAGCGACGCACCATATTACCGCAAAGGCATGTGGATTTCATGCGGTGCGTGTTTGATTGTCGTGGTCACCAGCGTGATGCAGATGGGCCTGCTGATCCGGGCGAACCGGAAGCGGGACAAGAAGTACGGCCGCGAGAGGGAGACTGTGCACCTGGAGGAGCCCACCCAGTTTGGCAACGATAAGCAGTTTAGATATATGGTCTAAGACACAAAGTCAAGAGATCGATGGTGAAGTGAACTTTGACGGAGAGCGTTGAAGGCATCAGGAGAGAGCACAAAGTGGAAGGATGGAAAACAAGTCGTCGGGCACATCGATATGCCTTTGTTCCATGAAGCTGAAAGCTAAGATACCAGGTTGAAAGGGGTTTAAAGATGCAGACAATGCAGATGCAAGAAGAACCAGAAAATGTTGATGCAGACTATCAGATTCTCTCGCCTTATAAACGTGAATGATGCGTCTGAAATCAAGAGATTGGAAGCAAGCCAGTATTCCTGCATTGACAGCAAGCCTGGTCGGAAATAAATGGCACTGTCTGACACAGAATAGACGTCGTCTCAGAATATAGCCTGTCACCTGTTAGCGACGACGTGCTCCCTAGGTCAGATATCACTCATACTACTAACAAGAATAGGGATACCACTGTGCCCAAGGATAGAATAAATGCCCTTATAAATGGTGATCACCTCGGAGTCAATGGTGATAGTTCTACTCATGTAATCCTGACGAACCCCCTCGATGCTCTGACCACAACTCCCCTATTGAATCAGGGTGGACTCGTAGAGCCCTTGCGTCTGGTTCGAGTGCTGGATCTGCTCCTTCCACCCTGCTACAAAGCTAGCACCCTTTGGCTGGCTGGGTAGCCTCTCATCAGAAGCTTGAGCCCTGGGTCTCTTCCGCACTTGGTATCACAGCGCCAAACTCAAGCCTGAAAGTATGTAGTAAACTTTCAGACCACCACCGTCGGAGCACACTCGGCGACAAGCGCCGTCGGACCATCGCTGAAGAATACAATTTGCGCCTACAGTGACTCGCTACATAAGTGCTGACTTGTGGACGATCCCTTTACTATGGAAGCAACTCTACAGTCCCTCAACTCTCCCTGGCCAAGTATTCTCGAAAGGGTGCTGATGCTCTAGGCTCTAATTGATTTTCATTAATGGCGCAAACCGTTCGTCTGGGGTATTTGCAAATACCAAAGCTTTTGCCAGCACATAGAGAAGCTCCAGACAAGGGACGTCAACCCCATGTCTCCGAGCGATGCGAATAGTATTGCCGACAATTGCTTCAATCTCAATTGGCCGTCTATGTCGAATGTCAGTCAGCATACTTGGCTCTCTGCCCTCCGTGAGTAATCGACTTCTCTGTCTCTCGAGTTGCTTATCGATCTCCTCGCTGATGATATTGCAGTCGACGGCAGAAGCGACTTTGCTTACTTCTCTCATCACTCTCACCACGGCAGCTTCTGCTTTGTTGGAGGAGCGTAGAAAGTTGGCATCATCGCAGCTGGTCAAGCCGCAAATGGGGTTCCAGCTCGCGTTCACAGCAACCTTGAGCCATCTCCGAGGCTGAAAAGAGGAATATGGGGATCCCCCTCGACTGAGTTCTACCGAATTTCAACCGAAATCGCGGCCCCTGAGACATTCCAGGAGGTGGCCAGCCGTAGGCTCGTCGAGCTGAGATAATCTCGGACGCGAGACTCTAGATGAAACGTCTTATCGCCATAGATTTGTCGGCTCCGAGGGGCCACAGGTTTCACGAGGCATCCCTATTGCCTAACTCAGGATTATTTAATTATTGATGGTTCGGGCACCACCCACGAAAAGAACCTGAAGCTCCTACAATACGGATTTTTATTACTACTATAAAAGGCTTGCCACGGCCACCGAAAATTATTCGAGTCCGATCAGAATTACTACTCCCTAGAATAAGCGCCGGGGCCACCTAAATCGATCAGAAACAAGCAGTCGCTATCCCGACTTGCTCCTCCGAAGAAGTACGAATGCAATGCCACGGGAAGCTGTGTAAATGCCGGTCCTAATTACTTATGCGCCTACTCACGACTCAACGAGAGCTGTTGCTGAACGTCTTGCCTGGCGCCTTCATGAAACTGGCCTGGCCGTGGACTGCCAGCCCGTGGACCGCGTCTTCAGTGTCGCCAACTACTCAGCCGTAATCCTGGGGAGTTCGGTACATTCCCAGAAGTGGCTTTTGGATGCCCTCAAGTTCCTCGCCATTGAGTCCATGGGCCTTCAGAAGAGTCAGGTGTGGGCATTCAGCGTGGGCAGGGCCCCCATAACCTGCTGGCCGATTTGGATCCGAGAGAGGAAGGTGAATCGCAAGGCGAGCACGTTGGAAGCTGCAGTGAGAGCAGAGGTTCCCGAGATCAGAGATCACCATTTGTCTCTCAAAGGGGAGGATGGCTCCAGGATGCTGTCGCCGCTTTGCTACCCATGTCGTTCCCCGGATGGGGGTACTGGAGACTTGGTCGACTGGAATGAGGCTGATGTTTGGGCGAACAAGATTGCACACCGACATGGGCCATTCCATTGTATTTTAGATATGGGATGTGCGACTGAACTCGAGCATTTTACTGGACGAGTCGTTCCTGACCAAAGTTCCTTAACTCAACCTCATTCGGGGATGGTCTGGTCAATTAACACCAACAATGAAACTGAACGTTCCATTGAAGCACCTTTTGAGGTCTGCTCTGTCAACGTCGCCCCACACTTGTACTTTACTCCTTCCACCCTCCTCCTACGTCGTTCCAAGGGTCAACGTTGAAGCTGACTCCCGGGACAGCAGATCCGAAGAGATTGATAAGATTTGTGCCTCCGAGTGAACCGTTCTGCGTATTGTAGAAACCGTCGTGGATTGGGTAAAACACATCGTCAAAGACCCCACTGATCTCCGGCCCTGAGGTTTGGGAAGTTGGGACAATGTCATTGGCCTGCAAAAGATCGATAGGATGTCAGAACCATGTCACCTTTAGAGGGTTTTTCAAAATTTCGAAGCGGACATGACTTACTGAAGGCATCTCAAATTGTCCCTCGGGGCTCGAGATAGGAAGGTAGGAAGCACCTAGGTAATCGACATTCTGACTATTTGCAGCCAGTGTCGACCTCTGCAATGTTTCTGGGAGATTGTCGCTTCCGAAATTCTGCTGGACATTTTTAACGTACTCGCTTGCAATGAAGGCAAATTCGGACACCATGGAACCCGGCAGGGAACCACCACTTGCATACTCAATACGACTAAAATGGCCACTAGCAACATGAAGGAGGGCTAAATTGCTTCCTGTCTCCGGGTGTTTCGGATTATGAATGATCAAGTCGAACAGGACGAAAAGTGCAGCCACGGGGATTCCAACCAGAGCCCTAGAACGACCGGTTAGCTAGAGGTGGAAATTATTGGAAACTTTCTTACCACACGGGGGTATATGGCTCAACCTCGACCAATCTGGTCAACTCGAGGATCGCTCGAGACGCTTTCATGATCTCTTGCTTACTCCTCACAAGCCGATTCAAATCTGTCCCTTCGGCTGTGCGGCTTCCGAGATGCAGAGTTGCTCGAGCTAGCGCCAAGAGAAGGCTGTGATAGAGATAATGAGTCCATAGGGCTACCTGTGGCATTAACGGCCCCGGTAAAGATTGTTCCCAGAATGCAGTTCCAGGACGGATCTCTTCGGGAATCGACAATCGCCAGTCTTCTAGCTTAGAGTATAATTGATCGATGGTGGCGCCAAAGTACTCCCATGAGTTGCCGGTCACACCAATGGAGAATAGTGAGCTGTATGCTCGGGAAAGTAGCCGGGCATGCCTTGCAGACGCTAGAAACCAATTGAAGCCGTTGAAGGATGATTCCGAGATGGCCGGCACAGGGTGACCGATATCTGAGTCATTGAAGATCTTTTTATGTTAGTCAGATATAAAGACTTGTAGCGAGTAACTTACAGAACTGCGGCCATAATAGAAGCTAGATGTCTTTTCAATGGTATATAATACCCAGAAAACCCGACCGTAGGTGTCAGAAAGTCCATCTGTTAGCTGGCCGAACGATATTTGTTGAGCTCTTCTGGCGCCTTCGGAAATGATAATATGCTCAATCTGTATACAGGAAACAGAGAGGGTGAAAATAGCCATCGACGTTAGCGCTTGAAGGGTTAGAAGAGAGTCGGGGAGAGTTAGCAAGTCGGGGAATAGGGACAATGCCACCGAAAACAGCTGCCAAGCTCTCGACTTTCCCGGTTCGAAGCTTCCATTGCGGCAATGCTGGCAGCCAAGAGCAAGAACAGAGTGATAAAGAGCAGACAATGCCTTATTGGTAGACAGTTTTCGAGAAAAGTCAGGGTCGGCAATGTTTTGTTCGAAAGTTGTTTGGTCGAGAAAAGGGTAGAACGGGTGTACTCTCTGAAAGTACGCTGCTTATTATCAGCTCAGTGTTACTTACGCCAAAAAGAGGCGTAGGAATATGCCTTTTATGTAGATAGCAGCCGTATCCTGGTTAACCATGATATCTTTGTCGTTGGACCTTACCAGGATCGAGCCATTGGCAGATTGCGGACTGGAACGCAGTCGATGACTGACGACCTCGGCCACTCTCTTGACTAGATCATCCAACTTGGAATTCTGCAACCGTGTGGACAATGCTTGCATTCTGCTGTCTGAAAAGAAGCTTAAGCTATAATTGCCTCCTGCAAACCAGGTTAGATAAGCGAGGGGGCCTGCGGGCGGTCGGCAGACACACCGAAAATTCCATTGCCCTGGACCGAAAGGTTCAGCACGGGAAAATGACACGAAAGGCTGGAGTATACCTTGAAAGGAAACGGCTTCCCTTGCGGAGAGCCTGAAGTCGAGGACTGCATGAGGAGGCGATCCACATACAGTGTAGGCAATTCTTCAGAGGGGGGATTTGGATTTTTCCAGGCCGCCTTCGGCCTGCGATCCTGCCCAAAGGTCAACATCTCTAAACAACATCCAGCAAAATGAACCGAACCTGATGGAATTCGCTGAGTGAGTGCGATCTTGATACTGATCACTAGCCGTCAAGACCGTCCACGCCGACTGTGATGTCCAGGCCACGTACCATCCTGCAAGCTTGAGTGATCCAACTTGAGCCGTCGGGGTGGTCGAGCCAGGCTGAAGTGGCATGGTGTTTTGCGTCGCTTGGAAAAGGTATCAGCGAAAGCTCTAATATTGTCGCGACTTTGTTGAGATGTCTCGGGATCCTCACGCTGCAGTTCTCGCAAGAACCGAGATGTGTTTGACCTGAGGGCGACAAGAGTCAAGAGTCAATTCCAAGTTCTTTCGACGGACGGATAGCACTTGCCGGAGCACCGCACTTTGCGAGCCTTGCAGGTATCGCAGGACTTGAGCACCTTTGGGGCACCTGGTGTGCCTGGTCGGGCGTCCTCCATCACTTGGCTAGTTTCACAGATGGATTAACCACGATAACCACAGGCAGACGGTGATGAAATTCGGCTCCGTAGGTCGACGGCGATGCACACTCGGCTCGGTAGCTTGTAGTTCCTGAGAGGATTGATTTAAAAAGGATAGTGGGATTTGTGTAGCGCGTCTCCCGGAAGCTTGTGAAGTACTACAGGCTAAACAAATCCCTCGAATCTCGGCACCGAAACCGGGCATCACCTGGTGGATTCCGAGGGCACAGGATCACGAACGCCTGTGATTGGGTGCCTGGGGCTTAAGCATGACGCTTGATCACACTAAAGCGACTTCGGACACGAGAACACTGCCATTCTTTGCTTTTTATTGTCAGCTTCGGCTCCGAGTGGTGCGCAGCTGCGTTGACTGTTTTGCCCACGGTCATCCATAGCTCTGTTGTTGTATGCCAACCAGACTTTGTGCACCGGAAATTGTTGAGCAAGAAGGGTCTCACATGCGTCATGGAGGCCGACTTCGACCAGTATATTAAACCCTGGGGCCTGAGCTGCCCAGGTTGGCTGCAAAAAGGGGTTTGAGCGGCCACCAATGCCAGTTCAAAACACAGTGTCGTCTCTGGATTTGGGTGCAAGCACCAAGGCCACGACCAATATGGATACGCAGAGTTCATTCGGGAGAGACGCGCTCTCGATACATCGTTGGCAGGAACAAATGACAGATCCCTCCGAAAAGATCGAAGACGCAGACATGGCATCGACGGCCACAAAGTTTGAGCCACAGGGTGGGGAGGATCAATTTGCAGAGCTTGTGCGAAGCTCGACTGAAATCATGCACTCCTACAATCTTTTCATCGACATCGATCAGCCTTCTCTGAATCCAACGTCCCCAGAGTTCAACAAGAAGAAGTGGGCCAAGACCTTTTTCTATGCCATCAGGAACGACAATCTCCGCTACCCTCAGCGGACTGCTGGGGTTTCTTTCCAGAAGCTCAACGTTTCTGGGCGGCAGTCATCGACAGGTTATCAAAAAAGTGTGATTAGTGCCGTCGTGGACATCCCAAGGGCAATAGTTCAGGCCGCGAGCAACCGGAGCCGAACAGTACAAATCCTGAAAGACTTTGAAGGACTGGTCAAGAGCGGTGAAATGCTCGTTGTCCTTGGTCGACCAGGAAGGTAGTGCATATTCTGATACCCACCAACCTGAGCATAACTAACACATCGATAGTGGTGCATCAACCTTCCTGAAATCGATAGCCGGAGAGGTGCACGGCTTGTATATGGATGCAGGATCAGATATCAATTATCAAGGTAAGTTCTCGCGAACGTCCATGAAATGTAGAAAAACACTCATTCCCTCGACACAGGCATTCCATGGGAAGTCATGCATCAACGATATCGGGGAGAAGTCGTTTACCAGGCAGAAACCGATGTCCACTTCCCACATCTGACAGTTGGCCAAACATTGCTATTCGACGCACTCGCCAAAACTCCAAGAAATCGGCTTCCTGGAGTCACCCGCAAGAAGCATGCACAGGTCATCAGGGATGTTGTCATGGCAGTGTTTGGTCTCACCCATACGGTTAATACCAGGGTGGGAAACGACTATGTCCGGGGTGTCAGTGGTGGTGAGCGAAAGCGTGTGAGCATTGCTGAGGTTGCTCTCACCCGAAGTCCGCTTCAATGCTGGGACAATAGCACTCGAGGACTCGACAGTGCAACAGCCCTTGAATTTGTGAAAACTCTCCGACTCTCAGCAGAGCTGGCCGACTCAACAGCGATCGTCGCAATCTACCAGGCTTCCCAAGACGCTTATGATGTAAGTTCACTGAGTGTTGGGCTTAGCAAGCAAGACTAACGATATGCTTAATCTAGGCTTTTGACAAAGTGATCTTGCTTTATGAAGGCAGGCAAATATACTTCGGTCGTACAGAGACAGCAAAGAAATACTTCACCGATATGGGCTTCTATTGTCCCGAGCGACAGACAACCGCCGACTTCCTCACTTCTCTCACAAGCCCATCCGAACGGATCGTCAAGCTTGGGTTTGAGAACAAAGTACCTCGCACGCCAGACGATTTTGCTCAAGCATGGCAGCGCAGCAAGGAGAGGGAAACCCTTCTCCAGGAAATCGCAGCCTTTAACAGAGAATTTCCACTTAATGGTCCCTCTGTTCACAAGTTCAAACAGTCAAAGAGGGCCGAGCAGGCTGCTTTAACGTGCGATGGACCACCCCAGATCAGGAACGTGAACAAATTCGCTGACACATTCTCCAGGCTCCCCCAATCTCCCTACACTATTTCGATACCGATGCAAATGGACCTATGCATAACCCGTGGATTCCAAAGATTGCTCGGTAACAAGGACTTTTTCCTCATCACAATAATCGGGAACCTGATCATCTCGCTGGTTCTCGGAAGCATCTTCTATAACCTGTCTCCAAGCACCACAAGCATTACCCCCAGAGGTACCTTGATCTATTTTGCCGTGCTTTTCAACGCCTTGAACAGTGCTCTGGAAGTAAAGTTTCACCGTTCGGCTACAAAGCAGGAAAAGACTGACATGCCTAGGTTTTCTCGTTGTATGAACAGCGACCCATCGTCGAGAAGCAATCGAGATATGCGCTCTACCACCCATTCTGCGAAGCCATTTCGTCCATTATAACGGAGCTACCCAACAAGATCCTCTCGGCGATTGCGTTCAACGTACCCTTGTATTTCCTGGCAGATTTACGGAGAGAGTCGGGAGCCTTTTTCATTTTCCTATTGTTCGGATTCACCTCTACTCTTGCCATGTCGATGGTATTCCGGACCATCGCTCAGACGACTAAAACTATCCATCAGGCACTCACCCCTAGTGCATTCTTTGTACTGGCTCTGGTGATCTACACCGGATATATCGTCCCCACCTCGGAGATGCAGGACTGGCTACGCTGGATCAACTACCTGGATCCCATAGCCTACGGCTATGAAAGTCTTATGGTCAACGAATTCCACGGCCGTCAATTCCCCTGCGCCCAATTCGTCCCTGCTGGCCCCACATATCAAAATACAACTGGGCTTGAGCGTGCATGTACTGCGAGTGGAGCACTTCCAGGGTCGGATTACGTGGATGGTTCCTACTATATTGATGCCGTCTTTGGGTACCGTCACTCGCATCTCTGGAGGTAAGCTTAGGGCAGTCCAGCCAGCTATTGTCCTTGAAACTAACAGGTGAACAGGAACTTTGGCATTCTGATCGCATTCATCGTCTTCTTCATGGCTACTTACCTTATTGCGGCCGAGTACATCCACAGCGAACGCTCCAAAGGCGAGGTCCTTGTCTTTCGACGCGGCCACGCGCCTAAATCGATGGCGACATTGGCACAGGACGAGGAATCGGCCGATAAATCCCTCCCTGACGACCGGATTTTCGACTCTACCGGCACAGACACCGGCAGCCAATTTCGTACCGGGGCTCTCAAACAGACTTCGACGTTCCATTGGAGAGATGTCTCGTACGAGGTTTCGATCAAAGGCAAACCTCGACAGATCTTGAATGAGGTTAATGGCTGGATAAAACCGGGATCCCTAACGGCCCTGATGGTAAATTCCCGATAAAAGATTCGATAAATTGAAGAACATATCCTGACCTGACGATAGGGTGCCTCCGGTGCTGGCAAAACCACGCTTCTAGACGTTCTTGGAAGCAGGGTCACGATGGGGGTTGTCACCGGCCACATGCTGGTAGATGGCTCTCCACGAGATCGATCGTTTCAAAGGAAGACAGGTTATGTGGGTCAGCAAGATCTTCACTTGGCCACCTCTACGGTCAGAGAGTCTTTGCGTTTCAGTGCCTTGCTGCGGCAGCCGGAAAGCGTCAGCGTCGAGGAGAAGCTCGCCCACGTTGAGAATGTCATCGAATTGTTGGAGATGAAAGCCTATGCTGAGGCGATAGTTGGCGTTCCTGGCGAAGGTTTGTCTTTCCATAGAACGACAACCGAGATTATGTGCTGTTATACTGACAAGAAGGGCGCACAGGTCTAAACGTCGAGCAAAGAAAACGCCTGACAATCGGAGTCGAGCTTGCTGCTAAGCCAGATCTACTCCTCTTTGTTGACGAGCCTACTTCCGGCCTTGACAGCCAAACGGCATGGTCGGTTACGACTTTACTAAAGAAGCTTTCCGACAATGGCCAGGCCATTTTGTGTACCATTCATCAACCATCGGCAATGCTCTTCCAGCAGTTCGACCGCCTCCTTCTCCTTGCCGAAGGAGGGAAAACAGTGTACTTCGGTGACATTGGCGAGGAATCAGAAACTCTTACGAGCTACTTCGAGAAGTACGGTGCTCGGGCATGTGACCCAGCTGAAAACCCGGCGGAATGGATGTTGGAAGTCATCGGCGCCGCGCCTGGCTCACAGGCCATTCGAGATTGGCCGGAAACTTGGCGATCCAGCCATGAGCATGCCGAAGTCCTACGCGAGCTGTTGGATCTCGAGTCACACGCGCGCGAGCGCGAAGCTGCTACAAAGGAAGGGTCGGCATCGCGAACGACGACAATCAAGGCAACTCAGTTTGCTGCACCTCTCGTTGACCAGATGCGCCTATGCACACAAAGGGTTTTTCAACAATATTGGCGTACCCCGTCCTACATCTACTCCAAACTATTCCTATGTCTGGCGACTGTAAGTCTACACTTAGACAAAATGTGACCTCTTTTATTTCAGTGGGCAAGTTGCTGACCCTTTTGCGTTGCAGAGCATCTTCATTGGCGCCTCATTTTATGATGCCGACATCACGATCCAAGGCCTACAGAACCAAATGTTTGCGATTTTCATGATCATGGTGATCTTGGCCTTTCTGGTGTACCAAACCATGCCCAACTTTGTCACTCAGCGCGACCTGTACGAAGTGCGAGAACGACCGGCAAACACTTACGCATGGTACATCTTCATGTGCGCCAACGTGGTCGTCGAGCTCGCCTGGAACACGGTGGCGGCCCCATTGATCTTTTTCCCCTTTTACTACCTCGTCGGGATGACCCATAACGCCCAACCGGCCCACCAGGTCGGCGAACGTGGTGCGCTGATGTTCCTCCTCACCTGGTGTTTCACCCTTTTCACCGCCACATTTGCAGACTTGATCATCGCCGGGTTGCCGACGGCGGAAATCGGAGCCATCATCGCCCTGGTTCTGTTCTCACTCTGTCTGATATTCTGCGGGTAAGTTCTTCTGGAAAGAAGAACCATCGAGCTTTCAGAGATGTTTGCTGACAACTTCAGTGTCATCGCCACTCCAAGTGCCCTGCCCGGGTTTTGGATCTTCATGTACAGAGTTTCGCCGCTCACCTATCTCATCGGCGGCTTCCTCTCCACCGGCCTGGCCAACAACGAGGTTCAATGCTCACTCCTGGAGATGTCGAGACTGGAGCCGCCCCGCGGTCAAACCTGTGGAGAATATTTGGCAACATACATGCAGCTCGCCGGAGGGAGTCTCTCCAATCCCAATGCGACCGAGCATTGTGAATTCTGCCCGATCGCTTCCACCAACACATTTCTGGCGTCGGTGTCGTCTTACTACGGCGAGAGATGGCGAAACTTTGGAATCATGTGGGCGTTTATCATTTTCAACATCGCCGGGGCGTTTTTCCTGTATTGGCTTGCCAGGGTGCCCAAAAAGGATCTGAGCGACCGGCTTCGGTTCAGATCACTTGCAGCACGAGAGTAGCTAACTTTGCCAGCTTTGCGAATGCCATTTGGGACGAACCGTTGAGAAACCCAGGCGAATGGAAAATTCTAAGCACACAACATATGTTTTCCCTTTTTGTTGAGTGAGCGAGGTCAAATCTTTGGTTCGATTTCAAGGGCTCTGGGTATATAGGTATATAGACAGCAGTGACGCTGTTCACATTGCGGGAGGATAAAAAGTGGCCGAGACTATGGCTAATTGAGTTTCTTGTATCAATCAAAAAGCAGAAGTGCTATCTTTCATTGTCCTTTTCTTTGCTACCTTCCTAGCTTCTAAACTATGTTGTGGCTCTCGATCCTATGGGTTTCTACTCACTGTCGCTAGCTAGCAAGATAATCTCCGTCACGTCACCATCATCCTTAGGGACATCTCGAATCTCACTGCTAGATCCGAGATAGATATCTCGAATATAGCCAGCTTTAAAACTTTGCCTACACCAAGGGTAGCCTTTCCTTTAGCCCACCTATAAGCCTAAGTATTCTCTATAGGCACTGTGACCACATAGAAGCATAGCATTCTTAAACGCCACCGTGTAGATAGTGCACCAAAGATAATCAACCTCTTCTAATCCCTTTCGCGTAACTATAAGGGTTTAGAATGAGTTCTATAACTAGCTAGCTAACCTAGTAACAAGGACGATAAATCTAGAGAGGAAAAGGAAGAAGGAAGAATATCCGTCTCCTCTCCTCCTTGTATCGTACGCTCTACTGTAAGGAGATACCAAGTCTTCCCGCCCCTAGCTGTTACGAGCTGCTATACAACACGTGAGGTGTCACGAGGCAAGCCCGAGGTGGTTTGCTTGGTGATATAGTAGTGGGGCGATGTAGCTGAGACTGAAACTGTATGTCTTCGAAATTTGAGCATCATTCGAACCCAAGTAAACTGCGTGACTATAGGAAAACGGCACTCTACAACGTAAGGAGAAGAAGAGGAGGAAGACACAATCGGCCATCGGCGAAAGAGCCGAAGATACAGGAGGGCTGTTAGTTCTTCTCCCTCCGTGCCCTGTCTTGATTTTGCACCGTGTGGTCCTCCGCATCGATGACTGGCATGGCGATCGGCGGGCTGTCGGCGGGTCTTTCCCCCAACCACACCATGAATGGAAACAACCAGATCTTCTGACGGAGTACGTGAAGCAACGCCAACCTATTGAACGCCAACGCTTTCCACTCCTTCGTGTAAAGCAGCCTTATAAGCTGCACCAGTGCTGGGCTCAACTGGCTTTAAGGTAAGAGAATCATCGGTCTTCTGGATAGCTTCACGAAAGCCATTAACTTCCCGCAACCTCTTCCGTTCTAGATCGCCAGCAGTCTCAACGGCAGTCATCGTGGCTACCTCTCTAATAACTTTAGACAGCAGTCAAAGGACTCACAAAGAGAAAGGTAATTCATCCCGACAGAAACAGAGAACGGGCCAAGCGAAGGGGACTCCTGTCCCTTTTCCTTCTTTTCGAAAACAACCGGAGGGATAATACTTTGCAACTGATAGGGCGGACTTCCATAGTCGCCACTGCAAGGTAATGTCACCTGGCATGTTCACTGGACCCCTCTCTCACCATCCATGAACATCCCTTCCTTGGTTTGATCGCGTTCTCTTGGATGCAGCGCCGTCAATTCGTCACACGCTTCGAATGGGGCCTTAATCTTGAGAGGCTAGTCGAGGGTGAGTTGAATGTGAGTCGAGGGTGGGCTAAGGTGAGTCGTGGTGAGTCGGGGTGAGTCGGGGTGAGTCGAAGGTGAGCAGGGGGTGTGAAAGGGGTGTGATTGGGGTGAGAAAACGGGAGAGCCGCACCGACCAAAGGGGAAATCGAAATCCAAGAATCTGGATCATAATAATTTGCTATCATAATACCCCTTATTGTCAGACTGTGTCACTTAATTTTGCCATCGGCGGACCTTCTGAACGCAACACATCATAAATGCGATATGGACGTCGGCGTTGTCCCATTCACTACTGATCTTATTGTACTCGGTATATTCACATATGAATAGGACGCTTCCCTTCTGGACTTGGCGATATGCACTTTACGCTAGTAGTAATCCGGTTATTACTATTTTCTTTCCACAAGTCTTCGTTTCAGGATTCTCTTCTCGCTTTCCTCTTCTTCCCATTCCTGAATGATAGTAGACTTTTCAAGCTGGTAACTTCTAGACGAAATACAGAGCTCAGAGGGCACCGCCACGCCCAGAAGAGATGGCTCCAGCTCCTCGCAAACCGGCAGCGCAGGCGGTCGTACCGAACCCCAGTCCAGCAAACATGTCTCAAGGCAAGAAATAAGCAACCTGACCAAGATACGAGAATGAAAGCGTCTTACAAAGGCCGGCACGACCACAACGCCCAAGGCTCGCACAATGGATCTGACCAACGACACGGAAAGAGACAGCAAAGATGCAGACCAGCAACCAAGATCGGACGCGAACATACCTATCCTCAACTCGTTTCTCAACCTCACCGACTGGAAGAATAATTAGGATCAGGTTGCGAAGGACTTCACGGCGACACAGCGTGCGTTCAATAACCTACTTTCGGAATTGAAAACAATCAAGAGATCAAAATGTGTCAACAAACATATATATATTTATTTCTGCCACGGACAACCTATTCACGACGATGGTGCAGACTCAGCCGACAGGAACATTCGTCCACCACGTCGCTCAAACCATCAAACTTTGTCTCGAAACTCGCGATGGGAACCTCCCGGACATCGCAGAACACCTCGACACTCTCGCCCATCAGCTGGTGGCCAACACTGAATGGATCGACACTGAATCAGCGCACAAGATCAGGAGTGGCTCGACGCTCGACTTGAAGCCGCTACAGCAGTGGCACAAGCCAGAAGAGCTCCTGGAAGCTCGAAAAGCTCGTCAGCTCAAGCGCGATGCCAAACGCGCTGTTGGCCTCGGCGGCAAGTCGCCACGCCTGGTGCTAGAGTTTAAGGGGCGGGAAATTGAACCTGCAGAAGGCGTCCTACGATGGGTTCTGGTGAATGACGCAAAACGGCAATATGTCCAAGTTTTCGACCCAAACAATCAAGCAGAGATTAGTTCTAAGCTCACGAAAGGGCAGTTGTACGATGAACACGGCCAGCAATGGCAGGACCGTTACGACAAGGTCCTCATCAAACCAAACCCACGGGGTGTGAATTTCGGAAGGTTTCTGTGGGTCATGAAGTAGGGCGAAGGATTCAATGAAGAAGACTTCCAGGCTCAGGCGAAAGCGCATCGATTTTTCAGCGCAGACGGGGAAAGATACTCCTCGGATGACGCCGACAAAAAACTTGTTGAGCTGGATGGTTATTCACATCGATATGTCCTAATTCAACAGGATGCCGATGAAGCGATGAAGCAATGAAGATTCGAGAGACGTTGGTTGCTACCCGGAAACGACAGTTTTATTCGGAAGAAGGCAACGTCTACAAGGCGCCAGAAGACCCAGTCTTAGTGCCTTTGAGCAACTTGCCTGATTGTTTCTTATCGGACTCTGTGTCCAAGATGGTCCTTTGGAAGAATATGGAGTGATACAAAATAGGCGACGATGAGGTCAGATGGCGGCGAGGCATTGTGTTGGGATCGGAACGGAGCGAACAGTAGAACAAAGGAAAAAGGCCACAATGGCCCAGGAGTCGTATTGACTCAATTGCCTTAATGGCGTGTGTGCTGTGTTGGGCTATCTCTGAGGTCTCTAAGAAGGAGAGGGGGAGAGCTGCGTCAAGCGCAGTAGAAGTAATAGGTGGGCAGCCTATCCCAAGGTGGAAGGCGTGCCGGAGGTCATGTGACCCCAACACATTGAATAGCAACAGGAAACAGATTTATGCCAAGAAGAAATAGACACTAGCCAAATTTGGTGGAGTTTGATTCTGCCGATCATTAAGCGAACTTGCGCTCGAATTTACTGCCCCGATCTGCCCGATTCATTCCCTAGAATTCGACAAATATCTCAGTCGACAGGGGCGGTGCACAACTGCATGAGGCAGCGCAAGGGTATACATACCTACATGAAGACAAAGCAGGTGAAATTCGAACTTATCGCTGCTCATTGGACCGTGCACTAGTGAACACAGGCAACCCCAAGCTCGCTATTGGTCCCTATATCGAGTCGCCTTGCACAGCCTCACTACCGTCAGCAATGGGGCCGGCGGTACTCGTCGCAGCCCCAGTTACTCGGTATGTGTATATACCAGAAGAGCCGCGGAGTATTGAGTACAAATTCACCATGAGAATGGTCTGACTCGTTTTAGTCGATGGTCTACGTGATCATTTCGACACTGGAGAGAACATTGCTCGGAGATTGGACCAGTGTAATTGCCCCAGGGTCAGTTCAGCTCCCCCTCGACCACCCCCTGATGGTTGCCTCGTTGTATACATGGGCGAACCTCGAAGCGGCGTTTCCTGGAGCGAGACGGCAGCCAATCGCATGGATTGACTATCAGATATCTTCACCCTCCACACACAACTACAGGAACTTTGGGTGATGGAGCATCGATGTTACAGGACCCCTATTCTGGCTGCAAGCACAGCCTTATGGACGCTATGTTGGTGCTTCGAGGTATTTATTCTTCAATCTTGACCCGCATATTGAAAATATTTTATCTCGGAGGGACTCGAGATTCTTTCTTCACGATACTAGCGGCATACAACTATGGCACTAGTAGGCGAAAGTTAAAAAGAAAAAGATACTAAACTACTCCTTGAAGCCTCTGTCTCCTATGGGCCTTAACAAGATGAAGACTACGTGCCCCAGTAAGGAATCGGCGGCATCATACACTGAAAGCCCTGTGAAAGCAGACTGGTGCTCCTCTACAAAAGCATCAGGGAGTTCGCAGGTCATCCATGTGAAGAGAAGATGGAATATCTTGTCCGACACTCTCGCCCTGCTCTTATATCCGAGCGCCTTAGGTGAGCTGACGGCCTCTGCCTCGACGGTTTCATGTCACGATATACTAATTCCACAATCTCAGCTCTGGCCGCTGCCATGACCCATCTCGCTCTGTACCTTTACCTCCACGGCCGTCTTGTTGACGATGGCATTCCTCAGGCCTATGTCTCCGCGATCTCGGTGGCTCTTACCCACGTCTTCTCCCTGGCTCTCGGTACCTCCATGGCAGTCGGCATGGCTCAAGCATTCTGGTATCATTTACGCAAGAAGCCGCTTCCGATCTGAACCGTCGACGGCCTGTTTAAACTATTGCAAAATCCGCTGGGGCCTTCGGACCTGACAATCCTACTGACCGCGCATTTCATGGTTCCATTCGCGCTGGTATTGCTTGTCTTGCGGATCGCGGTCATCTTTCCTCCTGGAACATTGGTCATCGCTCTTGCAGACTACGAGGGCAGCAGAGTTTACAAGGTCAAGGTCGCGAACTACTCTCAACCGCCAGCATACCTGACCTTTTCAAATGCCACCTGGCACACTGGGGCCGAGGGTATTGCTACGGAAAGTGGAATTTGGCAGACGCTCTTGGCCTCGAGCACGACCTCGATGACGATTGACTTCGACACCGATCCATTAAGTATTCCACTGCGATTATACTTGTCGTCACCATGTGGTCCAGACTGCAGCTATGAAGTTCAAGCAGCTCTCCCTTCGGCCCAATGTGAGCCTGGGCTTAGTCTAGATCCCGTGCGGCACATGTATCAGACTGATAATGTCTACGGCATGGACTACGAGTCGTTCTCTTCGCTCAACTTCAGCTACATGGCAGTTTCACACGTCAAGAGAGAGAATATTAATGGCCAGACGACATATACGCTCAGGTTTGATGTATCATTCAGCGGCAGTGACCGGCTGAACTACACATGCCGTATCTTCTCCAACCACGCGCAATTGCGGCTTTCATGGAGTCCATACGGCAATTCGATCGAGGTTCTCTCCAGATCCAGCGAGATATTCAATGCGTCAATACTAATCGATCCCCTTTACGCAACACAATACGTCCAAGCAGGGAGTAAAAGTGCCACGCCGCCTGGAGCATCTTCGTTTCCGACAAATTTTGACTGCCTGGCCCATTCATGGAGTTGCGAAGAATTATCCGCGTTTTCGGATTACTTGCAAATGCTCCAGCCCTCCTCAGGATGGGTGAGCGCGAATCCCAATGCGACCATGGTGTTGCCCATAGGTACCTGCGAGGACCCAGTGCTCCTTCCTTTTCTCGCCGATATTAGACAAACCGAAAAGATCTTCTGGAACGCCAGCGTCCAGCAATTCATGAACACCACTCTCGCATCGCAATCCTTGGTCAACACGACAACCGTGACTCACGCCAACACGTATCAGTTCGAGAAGCGCTTGAACTTCTATTTGCCCTACGGGATGAGTCTCGGGGTCTCCGCTGCCCTCTTGGGGCTCTCGATCTTCTTTCTCCGCGACAACGGCTTCGGCGGCGGCACGGGTTTTCTTCACATCCTGTGCAATACTGCGAGCCTGAACTCTCGCATAAGAGCCTTGGCCCTGCAAAGCGCTGGTCGCGACGCAGCCGCTCGACCTGAGGAGCTTCTCGAGGAAAGAGTCAAGTTCGGCATTGTGCACTGTGAGGGCGGAGAGAGAAAGATTGGCCTGGGCGCAGAGGAAGACATTAATATCTGAAGACGGCCATGCTTGGGATGAGTGGAGATAAAACTTGGAGCGGTAAAGAACGAGTAACGCTCGCCCAGGAGTTCGCACTGTGTTGGAAAATGGAAAATGTTGGATTTTGTGTGAAATGCAGTGGTCAATATGCTGGGGAGGTATTCAGCTACTTACTTCTTTCCTCCGTCTCGACCTCGCATTCCTAGAATCAACGCCCTCTGAGATGAGAGACACGGTTCTTCGGGATCCCAGCCACTTCCGATAGCAACAAGAGTCCCGGTTTATCGCCATCTCCGTTCTCGTGCGAGCGATATCTGGCGTTCCATAGCAGAAGCCGGCGCCCTCGCAAAGCAGGAGGGGGATTGAAACGGCAGCAGGATTTGATCTATTTCAGGCCGGCAGTTTGCGTTGATCCCCGGCCCGAAAGATTTAGGGGCCGTGGCAACTGGCAACGCCACCAGTGTCGTGCAACAACCCAGCGTGGTGCTTCGGCAATAGGCCCAGCCAAATTCTCAATTGCAGGGCCACATTGTGAGCGGCAGCTGCAGAGCTGTATTGTGAAAAAGGAGCAGCTTGTCCCAAGGTCAAGCTGGCTCTTTTAGCCCGTAGAACTCGCTCATGATGCCTGTGCATTATGCCAATGGGAGGCCAAAGAAGATGGACACTCGACTGCAGCACCGGTCTTGTGAGTCGTCTTATAGGATGGATCTTGCAAGCGCCGAGCAGTATTCTATCATCAATGTGACCAGGCGAAGGACTCAGTGGGCAGGAGAGATATACTCTGTATTTGTGCGCAATTCTCTTTGTGCAACTACCTTCATCGTTGGGCTGCTTTCCCTGCAGTGGGCAGATCCCCGTGCCGCTCCAGTCATGTATGTTCAAGTAAGAGCTTTGGATCGTGGGGAGGAGCTTCTCGGTGGGATCCGGGGTCGAGAGTGGCGAGTCTTTTTGTTCGTCTTGTCTTCGTCGAAGGAGGGGTCGTGGAATAATCTCCGCCCGTGGGCTTTTCCCGTTTCGTTTCCAAGTGCCACGCGACAACATCTTGCTTGACTTCATCCACGCTTCCATCCTAGGAAGCGCGACTGTAGGCAAAGGTGACTCGTATCAAGATGCAGGTCTTTTACTCCGGCACTTCGCCTCATGTCGGCGCCTCAGTCACGTTGCCGCATCCGTTTCAGCGTGCACCAGCGGCATGCCAGGTTTGTCGCACCAAGAAGGTCCGCTGCGACGCGAGGGATGGGAAACGATGTTCCAATTGTGCATTCGCCGGTGTCCAATGCGTCCTGATTCCAAAGAAGCCTCGCAAGTAGGTCAAGGCGCTCCCTTCTTCTTGTCATGTATCTACGACTGATGAACGGCCATCAGAAAACCAAGGACAGATAGCCATATCCTTCGTGCTCCGGCGTCTCCGCCAGAAGAGTCGTTTGCTGCGGCCAGCAGCACAGAGCGACTTCCCGTGCCTCTGCGGAATGAGGTTGGACCAACAGACGTCGACGAACTTGGAGCCCATTCTGAAGAAGAAGAAGAAGGGCACTCACGACTCGATTCAGGTGAGTAGATTGGAGGAATCCCTTTTCCGCCGCCGTTGACGAATTTCGGTTCGCAGCTGCATCATTGGAACCGCCGTGGACACCAGGTGGTCCGCGCCGACCACAGTCGTACTCTCACACTTCACGCAACCTGTCGACCTTTCCTTCCGGCGCGCGATTTGAATCGCCGGTCCTGGATCTTCCCGACTACATCAAGCCCCTGCCTGCGCATCTAGGCGCAGACGATATCGAGTACTTACGAAAGAAAGGTGCATTCTCAACGCCAGGCCCAGCCCTCACAGAAGAGTGTCTGCGGTGTTATGCCCTCCACGTTCATCCGTTGTACCCGGCTGTGGACCATGTCCAGGTACGGTCCATATTACGCGAGCCTTCTGCCAATAAGGGCAGATTGAGCCTCTTGCTGCTGCAAGCAATGATCTTCGCAGGGAGCATGTGGGCGGATGTCAGACTTGTACGTAGCGCTGGCTTCCTCTGTCGAAAGGCTTTCAGGCAAACCCTTCATCAAAGAATCCGTTTCTTGTACGACGCAGACTACGAGGACGACCGATTGACATTGGTCCAGTCCTTGTTGCTATGGTCCTTTTGGTGGAAAGGACAAAATGAACAGAAGGACGGCTGGCATTGGATTGGAGTGGCTCATTCGATCGCCCGTACGATCGACCTACATCACCTTGCGCAGGATCCAGGCTCAAATCCGGAGCGGCACCACCTACGTAAACGACTCTGGTGGGCATTGTGCACCCGCGAAACTATCGGGTCCTTCGGCTTGAGTCGCGCTCCCAGAATCAAAGATGCCGACCACGACGTCCCTATGCTTGACTTGGACGATTTACCTTACGAGAGCATGTCGGGTGCGTCATCCGACATGGCTTACCTTAGCGAGGCTCAACACCACGTCCTGGCCCGACTGACCATTGAGTTTGTGAAACTGAACCGCATCTTCGCCAGAATCCTCGGCGTTGCCTGTCCTGAAAATGCGGCGGGCAGGACCGCTGTGCTGTATTCCGCTCAGCAGATGGAAGGTTCGAACAATGTGTCCTCGAGAAGGCAGCTGAATATTCAAGACCTCAACGCCTGCGAGGAGGAACTGGCCCGCTGGCGGCAACAGGTGCCCCAAGACCTCTGGCACGCGGCACCTCTGCCATTCAGCCCTACCGAATGGCGCAAGGCCGAGCTGTGCCATTGTGGAATGCTGTGGATGATGTACCACGTGGCCATGATGATCATCCACCGGCCGCAGATGCTTCCTTCTGAATCGGCCCCCCCAAGTCCATCGGGAACATCTGAACGAAACAGGAAGCGTGCATCGCGGGCAATTGTAAGGCACGCCGCCCAGGAGATCACAAGCATAGCAATGGACTTTTACCGTGTGGATCTGCTCACCTCGATGTCGGCGACCGTGGTCAGCTGTCTCATGCCCGTCAGCATCCATCACGCTTTTGACATGTTTTCCGAGGATGCGACGATCCGAGCTGGGGCTTCAAGGCAACTGGACGAGTGCCGGGCAATGCTTTATACCCTTTCGGAACAGCAGTTTGCTCCTGCCTGGATATTGCGGACGGTCGAGCATATCCTGAACCGAGCTAGACAGCAGGGCAGCTCGCCAAGCGCCTCACGACTCACCCAGCGGGCTCAAGGCCAGGCGGAAAGTCGTCTCGCTCAACATGAAAAGCGACTGCCCGCGAACGAGGCCAGGATTGATTTCGAGCCACCCTCGATCGCCAATAATGATGCACCACTCGGATCGTCAGGGCGTCACATGGACTCCCAGACAGGCACCGCCGCATCGAATTTCCGGACGCCGCCTGCCGGGACCACGTTGACGAATCCGATCGGCAGCCAACCGGATTGGACATCATTCTTGGACAATCCAGAAGGATGGCCAGATCTTCAGGTACCGCCACTATCAGGACCATCATACAATTCTGGAGCCCTTGGAGAAATGTGGCTGGATTTCGCCAGCGTCTCCGACGCCGTTGCCGGCTTGGGTTGGACGAATAGCAATTTCTGATGTTGGCCCTCTGCTTCGTCTCCGCGTCCACCCCAGGAGAAAACAAGATGCTCATACCGTGGAGCCTTGATGACTTCGACATGATGCAACGACGACCCAGGCCAGACGGCATTGATGCGGCCGGTGTCGTGGTCTTTGTACCATGACCGGCAGCCCTCAGCCCAGACGGTGTGTTTGGTCTATTCCTGAACAAGGGCGTTGAAAGTATCGGTGACGTCTTTCTTCGCTGAGAGTGCGATGTGTTCGGTTTGCAGCTTGCGGATTATCTGCAGTGCAAACAGACTTACGGAATGGAGCGGGCCCATGGCCCATCCCTGTGATTAATTGTCAGCTTTGTGGATTACGGTCCCACGACGCTCGAACTTACATTGGCAACGGGCCAGGTAGGGTCGACCAGGACGCAAATGCTCGGCTGGCCGCCTCGACTGCGTTGTCCACATCCGCTACCGACGCCACGGGTACATCCCACAGCGCCTCCTTGTTCGTTGGGTCGACACCACGGTATTGCCTCTCACTGTGTCTTGGCTGGTCATTGACAATGTTGGTGAAATGACCAAAGTCGATCTCTGCTTTCGCACCAATTGAACCCATGGTCGAAAGGTAGACCAGCCGGAACCGCGAGCAGACCTCCAACCAGCGCCAGCAGGGCCGACTGTAGCCCCTCTACCAAGAGTACCGCCGCGTTGTACAACGACATGTAGACCAAGCGTCCACCCTCCAAGGCTCGGCTCTGTAACTAACTAGAACTCGTCGGCACTCACTCGTCCGGAACAGAAACCCCTTCGCGGTACACCCTGTCGCCTTGACGATACCGGCTGAACAACTCGTCCCCACCAGGACAGTGACAAGCTCCGGGCCGAAATCACGACCGAATGAGTCCCCGGACTGTGAAACCAGCTGGCGTTTTGGAAGATGCGTGATATGGGTCCGTTGCCCACAGCCCGAGTTTTGTCCGCGGCAATGTGACGCAGAAATTCTGGCCGTGAATTCAAGAATCCTCGAGATGACAGAGCAGAATCCAAGATTCTCTCTTGACATGCGGCGACGAAAATGAGTGTGAAGTTCACGAGGGATCATGACGCTCTTCCGGTAGAAGGGCATCTCGAGTTGCCAGAGGATAAGAGCTCAGTGGCACGTATAAAATGTTATGTACGTGTATGCACGGTCTCTACCTTGTCAACGCATACCCTTGGCAAAGATTAATTGATGAAACTCGTCTCGCAAGAGGCAGCTGGCGGAGATGCCAGGATATGGAGCTTCGTGCCTTGCGGAGACCTAACTAAAAGTATGATTGCCTGTACAGAGCCTCGAGGTCACATACATTTGTCTTCTTCACACTATCGCTACGATTCTCGTTTGGTATTGAACTGCGGGCCGACATGCGTTCGAAACAGTCCTCGGACCACCAAGTTGATTGTCAGCAGCAGCAGCAGCAGTCAGTTGCCACTAGGCACAGTGAGAGACCTCGACCACCTTTTCCTCGTCGTGGACGTGCTTATCGTCGCCAATCATCTGGCCGGAGTGGTATTGCTGCTGAATATAGTTCTCTTCGTGGTCACCAAAGATCCTGGCAATCTCCTCGAGTGGCACTCCGAGCGTATCGGGAAAGAAGAGCCAGAGCGCGATACCAAACAGAGAGGTCGGGATGATGAAGCACAGGTAAAATTTCCAACCGATGTCGTTGAAAGCCGTCGGGGCTACCTGAGTCCAGAGAATGTTGATAGTGGTGATCGTGGTGATTGCAACTACCAGGCCCTTGGCTCTGATATGAGTCGGGAACAGTTCGCCCATATAGGCGTACATCGTGCCATCGAGGAAGACTTGGAAGGCGAGGATGTAGATATACATCATAGCCACTGCGGCGCGAAGAGCAGCCTTGTTAGGCTTGGCCAAAGACTCCGGTGATGTTGCAAATCGAGACACGATTGCCGCCAGAATGATTAGGCAGGCCGCGCAGGACATCATGCCGATTGAGAGAAGCTTGGGTCGAGGGACACGGTCGATGATGAGAAAGGAAAGGAGACCACCTCCCAGAGACAGCGTGATCCAGCCGATTTGATAGATAAATTGGGTGTTAACGTCGAAGCCTAGGCTGGCATAGATCGTTGGGCCATAGTTGTTGATGACCAAGACCCCCGACGACTCGACGCCCAAGACGACACCCACGATGAACAATGCTCTCTTCCGGTAAGCCGGCTTCTTGATCATGGAGATCCAGGAGCTATCCAGGAGCCTATCGACCTCGATAGCTGCAGATATCTGGAGCAGCTCGACGGCGGCCTCCTCCGCGGTGTGTAGTCGTCGAAGCGTCTTCTCGGCGAGGTCAGCTTTACCCTTCATCAACAATAGCCGAGGAGACTCGGGAAGGAAGAATAGCGCAACGATGTGGAGGAGTGGAGGTACACATCCGACAATGAAAGGCCCGCGCCAAGCCATGTTGTCTGTCGGTGGCAGATGGTAGAAGGCGTAGCCCATCCAGCTGGCAAGTGCATAGCCAAACAAGATGCCAATACTGTGGAAGTCGACGAAGATGCCGCGGGTGCTTGGTGGAGCCGTCTCACTGATCCAGACCGGAATCGCCGCCACGAGCATGAACGTCGAAGCGCCAGCTAGAAAACGGATGGCAATGAACATGGCAATGTGGACACTGCCGGCCAGAAGGGCACTGGAGATGAGGCACAGGGCGGATGAGATACCAGTCGCCCATATGCGGCCCCATCTGTCGGCGACGAAGGAGATGGTGACGGTGCCCAGCGCCCCGCCGCTGAAAAAGAGACCGTTCGTTGCTGCGATCAGCTGGGTGCCGTTGGAGCGGGTGAGGAGCTCAAAGTATGCCAAAAACGATGGCTGCGCCAAGGTCGTGGCGATGATTGAAGCAGCGTAGCCAGCACTCGTGGAACCCAGCGCCATGAGTGCTGTCACAATAATATTGTACAAGCGAAATTGGCGCTGGGCTGAGTGCTTTGGCTGGGTTTCCTGGCTCAATTCCATGGCAGCGGTGTTTCAAAGCAATGACTGACTTGGTATGTATGGGGAGAATTTCCTGAAATCAAGGGACAGGCCGAAGATGCGAGGTATCCTGCCACGGATGTGTGGAATATATAGCCATGGTACGATGCCCATCGCAATCATTCTGTGCCGATATTTCAGAGGCGTATCCCCATGTCGTGGAGGACCGGCACGGGGTAATCGTGGGGAACCACCGCGTTCTGGCCCAGAGCTACGATACTCAGTGACGGCTCGGTCCTTGGATCAGGAGCTCGGTTGCTGTATATGCTCTGCAATCTCGCCCCAGACTTAGCCTTCGGCATAGAAAGTTTCTTGTCTTTCGCGGGCTCGGCTTACACTCGGTGCACACGTCCTCCCTATTCGATTCCTGGTGGTATTTATCCCGTGTACAGAAGTTCTAACCGGGTATAGAGGTGGAGCGGGGGCCAATGGCCGCTCTGCCTGCGGGTCGTTAGATCTAACCGTTTTCAGAGAAGCATCCACGGCCCGCGAAAAAAGAACCAATTAGGTAACTTCAGCTACCTCGGAGCTCTGACATGAGGGTTATGGAGATGATCAAATAAATCCATCGTCAATCGCGGCACCAAATAAACCGATCGTGTCTTTGAGAAGCCCTCAACCGTGACCAAACCGTGGTTATTTGCACAGTCAGTTTCAAACTCAGCGAGAAATATCAACCATGCCTGTCGCAATCGTCACAGGGCTGCCCAAGAGATTGGCAGGGCCATCGCGCTGCAATTGGCGACCGATGGCTTTGATGTGGCTGTTAGCAACGTTTGTTGGCGCTGTTTTTGGGCATGGACGAACCGATCGCCGCTAGGTCAACGATATCTCGACCCAACACGATGCTTTAATAGCTCTGCAATCTGAAATCGAGGGCAGAGGTGTGTTGGACCCTGTACACATCTCCAGATTACCATTCGAAGGTTGCACATGTCCTGGCTTAACAAGAATATTCAGGCAGGCGCTCGATCTACATTCCAGGAGATGTGAGTCGAGAAGAAGATGTCTGCGCGGCCGTGGCGTCCACTGTGAGGGAATTAGGTGGACTTGATGTGCGTGTGACTTTATCGACCAAAGCCTAACTGCCACGTTCTCAGTTAATCCACGAAACAGGCCATGATTTCCAATGCTGGTATTCTTGGAGTGAAGGCGCTGCGCAATGCTTCAGTGGAGGACTGGGACAAGGTGATGAGCGTAGGTAGCTCGGGTTGCTGCCGCGTACAAGATGACCGTTTTACTAAACATGGGCCTAGGTGAATGCCAGGGGTGTCTTTCTCTATAGCCCCGTACATAGCTTACAAACTGCTTAGACAGTAGATAGTTGCCTGTAAGTATTCTTTGTGTCTCTCTAAAGCCAGTGTTCAAAGCTGTCGCTATGGCGATATGAGTAATTTAAAGCGGCATTCGTCCTCTTTTGCCGTGGCTACCGCGGTCACGTTCGAATGCCTCTCTATCGACAATACATACCGCTTTACCCTTCAATTTCCCTGACCGGAATGCGTCGACCATTGTCGGTACTTGATCTAGCCCATAGAACATGTTGGTATGGACCTTGATGCCATGCCTCCCATACTCTGCAAGCATTTCAAGAGAACAGTGACGGCCAGCAAGCATCGTACCCTGGACCTTGATGTCTCGAAACACCAGGTCAAAGATGGAGATCGAGGTAAGATCAGGCCCCGCCACTTGTGTCACGGTTCCATGAGCACGAGTCACGGCGCAGGCTGAAACAAGAGCGGTCGGATGGCCACTCAGGTTGATCGTACTGTCGGCACCAGGGCCACCTGTAATCGCGCGAACCTGCGACACCACCATTCCTTGGCCTTCTCGAGCATCAACGACGTGCTTTGCACCAGTTTGTCTGCACAGCTCCAAAGCTTTGTCCCGCGCATCGATCGCTATCACCTCGATACCCTTGGCGAGAGCGAACTGAATGCCTAAATGGCCGAGACCACCACCCGCCCCAACAATGGCGACGAACTGACCAGGCTGAACCCCGCTTATCTCGATGGCACGGTACACGGTTCTGCCGGCGCACGCGAGGGTGGCGCCGTCTGCAAAATCGATATTATCCGGCAACAAGCAGGCCATTCTACTGTCTGTGATGTGATAGTCGGCAAAGGCGCCGTCCAGCCCGACACCAAGGGCTCCTTCAGTGTGTGTACAGTATTGGCGGCGGTCTTCCGGGCCAAGGCAGTCTTCGCACTGGCCACAAGGATTGATGGGCTGCCCACTCATCACTCGATCGCCCACCGTGAAGTTGGTCACGGCCGAGCCCACAGCTGCCACGATGCCCGTCCCTTCATGTGAAGCCGTGAGAGGCAGATTGAGAGGAAATAGCCCCTCAAGAACCATGAGGTCTGTATGGCATAATGATGCCGCCACCGTCTTGACCAATAAGTCATACGGTCTCAATACACACGGCGTCTGTACCTCGCGAACTTCGTATGGCTTGTTCAACGCTGTCATCGTCCTGTCACCTCTCTTGAAGCCTGTGCAAGATCAAGCATGACTCACCGATAACCTGGACCGCTTGCATAACGGGTGGCACATGGTTGCAACCCATTCCTTGCACGTTTAGAGCCGCCTCGCCCATGATCGATGGATGCTCACGTTTGGTAGATGGTCGTCGACGTCTCTCGAGAAAGAGAAACGGGAAATTCCGCTAATTGTGCGATCGCTTGTCCTCCTCAACGCCTGTCATGGATGCTGATCACGACTATCTCACGTGCCGTGGTGACTATGGACCGAGACAAGGTGGATCGGCTCGCTTGGTATATTCGACGACTGCAATGGCGTAGAGCTCGCTGTGCTGCACGGACAAGTCGAGGTTGTCCGGATGGCACAGCTACGCGAGACGACAAACGCCTTGAGCCTGCATGCTGAGTGCTTAAGCCGGCCGCTTCGATTGCACACCTGGCGCATTCTCCAACCAAGTTCCGGCAGAATCGGTCTTGGCTTATGATTTGATCAAGTGTTGTACTGTACCGGACTGACATCGTTCGGCCCGGTGGGAATGGCGCGAACGTTTGGTGGCAAGTTCCGTGGCTTTGGCCTCGATGCTTTGACGAACGGATGCAGTAAGGTCCAAATATTCTCGACACCCAGCTTTGCGGGTTCTGACACAGCCTGATATAATGGAAGCTGCCTGCCGACTTACTCATCTGGTCTGGTGCCACCGACAGCAATTTTATGACGGGATTGTCGCCAACATGGTGGGTGGACCACTTCCAGTCGACCAGGCTTGAGCTTCCTCAAATTTGGGTCCATCGACGGACTTTTGAGAGAGAGGAGGCGTGGCTGACGTTCCATGAATATGGCAGAAGGACGACCACTTCACGCAAACCAGGATGGACTACATCCACGAAGTATGCTTCAGCGCCTACTCACGACCAGGCCTCGACTTTCAGCAGAGGGTCATGATGAATCTCGGCATGCTGATTGCCCTGGGTCGAGCGCCAGAGCTGCGCATCCACATCCGGGCAGCAGTGAACAATGGCTTTACCGAGGAGCAGGTTGCTGAGGCATGCAGGCACGCGATGATTTATTGCGGCGTACCAGCGGGACGAGACGCCTTGGCCGTCGCCTCCGAGCTATTTCAACAATTAAGACAAGCGGGAGAATATCCCCAAGAATGATCCGGGGCTGGAGCATAAAAGGGCGGGTTGAGATGCGTTGCAGTAGTTTGGTCTCGAGAAACGCGGCACAGTGACCGTCTCTCGCGCCTGAGTGGCCTGTCCCTTTCACATTCGTATCAAAACCGTCTTCACTTCGGTCCAACTGTCCAACGCGTGTTTTCCGAGCTCCCTGCCCTCGCCGCTTTCTTTCCATCCTCCAAAGGGCAAATCAAGCGATGTCGTAGGGCTGGTGACGTTGACGCCTACTGTCCCGGCTTGCAGCTTCTTCGAAACCCTCAGCGCCCGCTTGATGTCCCTCGTGTAGACGCTGGCGTAGAGACCGTATTCCGTGTCGTTGGCTCGGCGCAGCACCTCGGCCTCATCGGTGAATGTGAAGAGGCACAGCACCGGCCCGAAAATCTCCTCCTTGACCAGTCGACTCTGGTCGGGCGCGTTGTAGATGACCGTGGGCTGAATGTAGTATCCCGTCTTGTTCTCTCGGTCGCCGCCAAGTGCCACCTCCAGCTTCTCTTCTCGCGCCAGATCGAGGAAGCTTAGAATCCGCTCATACTGGACGCGGTCGGCTTGAGGGCCTCGGAGCGTGCCGGTTGCGAGAGGATCGCCACTGGTTCCTATCTTGTTGATTTCCGCTTTGATCTTTGGCGGAAAACCTGTGTCAGCTCGATACATACTTTCGTCACCCTCCGGCGTTCGCGGACCGGAGGGGAAAAGGGGTACGGGGACTTACGAGATCTAGAAACTCCCGTGCGCGACTTTCTTCAACATACACTCTGGAATTTGCCATGCAAGCCTGTCCAGATACCACCGTAATGCTAAAGGCAGCGTCGGCCGCCGCTTGGGCCAAGTCTGCATCTTCGAAAATGATCAGCGGCGATTTGCCGCCTAGCTCCACGGTGACGTTCTTGAGGTTGCTCTCGGCGGCCACCTTTTTGATGGCCTTGCCAGTGGCCGTGGAACCTGTGAAGGCCAATTTACGGATGTCCATATGCTTCGCGATGGCTTCGCCACAGGGCCGGCCAAAGCCACTCAGGATATTGAGCACACCCCGGGGAAAGCCGATCTCCTTCATGCATCTCGCAACGACGAGGCACGACAGTGGGCTCTTCTCGGATGTCTTGAGCACCATCGTGTTTCCTGAGGCTAGCGCCGGGCCGATTTTCATGGCGAGCATGAGTATGGGCGTGTTCCAGGGAATTATGGCGCCTGTGACGCCAAATGGCTGGCAGATTGTCATCCCAAACAGCGATGGGTCGCTCAACGACGTTTCGCCCTGTATGTCGGATGCTCGATTGGCAAAGTATCGTATAATATCGATCCCCCGCGGGATAATCTGGCAATTCAACCGAGTGGTCAGCTAACGCTGGGGCACATAATTGGTCAAACATGGGGAACGAAGGAAAGGCCTCATACGAAGTCATTATGGACCGGTCTGCCCATCGTGATTGCCTCAAGGTGCGACATCTCCTCGACATTCTCCGCAAGCTTGTCAGCCAGACGGTTAAGCCAGTCACCTCGTTTGGCGCCAGGGAGTTCAGACCAGGACTCAAAGGCCCGTGTGGCAGCTTCGACAGCAGCATCCACATCCTCGACACTTGCCTCGCACACAGAGCCTAGTTTCTGGGTTGTCGCGGGATTGAAGATGTCGAATGTCTTGCCCGATCGAGCCGCCGTAAATTCGCCATCAACAAAAAGCCGATTTTCGAATTTGGAAGCCATGGCGTCGTTCCTGTTCGCGTCAAAAGGAGGAGTCAGTCACTGCTGGCACACGCTGATACTCGACGCTGTTGTTGAATGAGGATTTATAACCCGCGCCGAGCCAGGACGAAAACTCACTCGTGTACCGGGGCTCTGAATTTGTGCTCTGAACAGCAACACTCCAGGTGCCTTGGAATTTGTCAGCCTTGCACAACGTTATATTTCTGAGATATACACAGCACCTGGAGTCGCACCACCAGAGGCCCCGACAAGTTCCATGGATGATGTCTGGCGTCGCAAGTCCGTGGCAGTCCTCGCAAGCTTCTCGGTTGTCGGTGGCGGAGACTCGTTTGGACCGGCACTGGCCCGGCAGTGGGTTTCGGTATACCGAGATTGACCCACAACTATGTGCCGATTTGCAAGTACTGCACCCTGCTTGGCCCTGTCCCCGTCTAGGGGAAGCTCTCTAGATGGTATTGTGCCACGGGCCCGAAGACTTTGCGCACACGCCTTAGACTGACATGGATTCTTTGATTTCTAAACTGTCAGCCGGATTGATCGTCTTGCAAGGGAGAGTTGATAACACATCCGGATGACACGCGACAGGGTCCCGGGGCGATTCTGTGACTGCTACATCTCGCTTGATACGTAAGTATCGCACCCAGGACAGTGTCCTGCGAGCTTACCCATAGGCTTCGATCCTCCTCCAGCCCCCAGAGAGTGAGAAATGCGCCTGAGCTGGTGAATCTACAGACCTTGTCCATTCAGAAACCGCTTCCCGTCTTCAACACAATGAAGGCCATCGTCCACGCCGGTCAGACTGGCAAGGCGACTTTCGTCACAGATCGTCCAGCCCCTCGGCTACGGCCGGGATATTTGCAGGTCGAAGTCAAGACCGTGGCGATGAACCCGACCGATCACAAGCACATTGATACTTGGAACAATAAGGGTGTGCTGGCAGGTTGCGACTTTGCCGGGGTGGTGAGCAAGCTGGGTTCTGGTTATTCAAAAGAATGGAAAGTGGGCGATCGCATCTGCGGGTTTGTCCATGGGGGCAACGAGCTGGAACCCGAAGACGGTGCTTTCGCGGAGCAGATCGTGGTCAAAGCCGACATTGGACTGCGATTCCCCGAGAGCATGTCGTTCGAGGAGGCTGCCACCCTGGGCGTTGGCGTCATCACCGTCGGGCAGGCTATGTTCATGCAGATGGGATTGCGCCGCCCCACGGCCGAGCCCAAGGCGCCAGCGACGGAAGATCTCATCCTGATCTACGGTGGAAGCTCCGCGACCGGCAGCATGGCCATTCAGTTTGCCAAACTGTGAGTTCGTCAACCAGTCTTCCAACATGTTTACCAGACATGCCCTTTCTTGATGATAGGTGGGAGCGCTGACGTCTTTTCTAATAGTGCCGGGCTCGTACCCATCACAGTCTGCTCGCGCCACAACTTCGCCTTTGTCAAGTCTCTCGGCGCCGCGGCGGCTTTTGATTACAAAGACGCCGATTGTGTCGATCAGATAAAGACGTACATTGGCCCCGACAGGGAACTCAAATACGTTTTCGACACGATATCGACGACCGAGACGGCAGAGATTTGTGGCCAGGTGATCGCATCCGGAGGCCTGTGGGCCTATATCCTCCTGGGCACAAAATTCCCGCCGCGAGATGATGCGGAGAAGATCTACCCGCTCGCCTACCTGTCCGTCGGGGAACGCGTCAAGAAGGCCAAGATCGAGTTTCCACCTTCTCAGCGCGATTTCGACTTCGTCTCGGACTGGATGCTGCTGGTCGAGGAGCTGTTGCAGAAGGGCCTGCTGAAGCCTCACCCACGCCAGGTGGAGCACGGCTTGGAAAATGTCCTCAACGGGCTTGAATTAATGAGAGCCGGCAAGGTCAGTGGCAAGAAATTGGTGTACACAGTATAAGATGAAGGATGAAGGACCATGTCGCGCCGGAAATTGTACTTGACCAGCTTAGCATTCTTAGCATATATCTAACCTCTTTAGGCAGTATATAATAGATTCCTAGCTCCACTGGCAGGTTCGTCGAGAGTACTTACTCGAAAGGTGGATCCCGAGGTATGCCTAATGTACCTTGTAGTACGGAATAATATTGCTCCGGGCCATTAGAGCTGGTATCGCCGGCCATATACCCGAGTCAAAGCTAGTCTGACCGGGATTTTAAGATATCCAGCACACGAACCCATTCGTCATTCGCCCGTTCCTGCGAGACAAAGCGCAGTGGCTCCCAAGAGCTACAACAGCCGGCCGAAGAGTGATTCAGCAAGGCTGGGCCGAGATTTGGCTTGTGGTCGAAATCACGGCCCGGCCGCGATTGGGACTAGTGCCATGTTGTACCGATCCTGGAGAAGGGTCGAGTCGCCTTTGCGGGGGTGGGAACCTTTCTGGCAGAGCAAACAATCGACGATTGACATAACGTCTGAACGTCCTACCTATTAGTATTGTAATTCTGTGATTTCCTGCGTCCTTGCGCAAATTATCTGACTTTTGACATCTGGCTCTGCCGCGCTTCTGGAGAGGCAAGTAAGGACTCTTTTACACACATTCACCATGGCGACAGTAACTCTGCCCAAAACGATGGCTGCCTGGCAGAAACATCTTCCCAGCAAGGAACTGGTGAGGCCCAGTGAAATTAAGAACTTGTGCAAGCACTGTTCTAATGGACGAATCTTACCAGCTTCGTCTGGAGGTGTTGGTGCCGACTCCAAATGAAGCCGAAATACTGGTCAAGATCGAGGCAGCAGGTGGTAAGACCTCCTTTTGCGTCTGAGACTTTGACGGAGCCGCTAAGCTTCATATTACTCTGCTATAGTATGTCACAGTGACTACGCATTGAAGCAGATGGAAGCGCTGCCGCCCGAATTTCTGGGCTGGAAGCCCAATTTCACTATGGTAAGTCAGTCAGTTGTGGTTACCACAAGGAGGACATCGCATTTCTTATGTTCATTTCTTATGGCCCATGTAGGGCCATGAAGGTTGCGGTCAAATCGTAGCATGCGGAGCAGCAGTGAAGAGTTTCAAACCAGGTGACAAGGTGGCCATAATGTGTGTGCCAGGGTGTGGCGGCTCGACCTGTCCCGAATGTTCGCGAGGAGTTCCACAAATCTGCCACCAAGGCCCTCACTATGGAGGTGGCCACGATGGCTTTTTCGCCGATTACGCCGTGGTTCCAGAGCGGGCAGCGGTCCCCCTACCGCCAGGGGTGAGCTTCGAAGCCGGTGCAGTGGCGACTGATGCCTGCATGACCGCACACCATGCCGTCGTGGACCGTGTTCGAGTCAAAAGAGGCGACACCGTTTTGATCGTCGGGCTGGGGGGCTTGGGCTTTAATGCGTTGCAGATCGCCCTGAGTAAGGGTGCTCGGGTCATTGTGACGGACCAGCGACAAGTGGTGCTCGACGAGGCGGAAAAGGTCGGTGTCCAAAACCATGATATTATCCCAGCGGACACACCCAACCCGAGCGAGTGGATTCGGGACAAAGGGGTCATAATTGATTCGGCCATCGACTTCTGCGGCACGAAACAGACCTTTGAGACTGCTGTGGCCAGCGGTATGGTAAACTCCATAATGCCCATTTCCTGTTGCGATTTTTCTAACCTGACCACCATCGTCGTTGCCGTGGACGCTGCTGACAAGCCTTTTGTAATCCAGTTCGCAAGGCAGGCACGGTAGTGGTCGTCGGCCTTCTCGGCCCGGAGCTTTCGTTGGTGACAGGCACGATCGTACGGAAGCAGTTAAACATCTTAGGAAGCTATGGAGGCACGATTGAAAACATCAAGGACTGTCTAAATCTGATCCAAAGGGGTGTACTAGTTCCCCAAGTCACGAAGGGCAAGATGGAAGACTTTCCGGCCATCCTGGACGACCTTCACAATGGAAAGATAGTGGGAAGAATGGTAATGCTTCCAGGCTGATGATGTTGCTGAGTAATACACGCAGTGCTCCAATGACAAGATATGAAAGTCTGCCAACGAGATCCTTTATTGTGACGCTTGCTATCCACTGATAGTCATTTTTTCTTGCGGGACTCTTGAAGTAGATGTGACAGATCGTGGGGTTGAAATGCGATGCACTGAGAACTCTCACTATCGTCCTGGTCGGTGATTGTGACGTATTCTGGATATAAACACTTCATACCACTCTCCCTAGCCCCTTTCCGCTCCATGCTCCCTTTCTCCCCTTAACTCTTTTGCAACCTATATCAAGGCGTTGTCGGCATTGGTTGAAACATCTCCTTTAGGAGCACGCGGGTAACGCTTCGTGGTTCTAGGGAACGTCCGCTCATGTGTGGACTGTACGGTATGGCACCAAGTCTGACAAAAGCCCCGAAAGAACTCAGTACTGCAGTGTGCAGCCGGTAATCCATCAACCCCGAGCCCAGGCTCAAGCGGTGACCCCTAGCATAGCGCATCCCAATCTTTCGTTTGCATGGCCTGTTTGGTCGAAACCAGATCCTGTTTGGTCAGACCGAGATCATCGAGTGTGACGAGCTCCGTCTCACGTGGCGCCCAAAGAGCCTGGCCCTCGTGCTGCCACCACATGTACATAGCTGCCATCTCGGTCGCCCAGACAGGCCACAGCTTTTCATAGTCTGCCATGGAGATTTGAACGTGGACGGCGTCTTTGCCTGTGACCTCGCTCCACATTTTCAGCATGCCTTCGGCCGTCGTCTCTTCTAGAGCTGCCACAACGTGTCGCGTGCCAAGTTTCGTTGGTCCCTGCTGCAGGATGGCCCGGACGACGGGGCCGACATTGTCCTTGTGAGAGCCTACAAGTGTGACAGGACATTGGGGAGACCAGGGCACCAAGTGCACGTGTTTCCCTGTAGACTTCTGTTCGGCCGGGTCAGCATATGCAGTCGAGCTCCTCGCGGAGATGGCAGTAGACAGCTCGCTTACAACTGGCCGTGGTGTCACCACGGGATACTGGAAGTTGTCTCCATACAAGGGTAGCGTCAGAAGGGTGGTCTTGCTGAAGAGGGCGGGTAGTTCGTTCTTGATGTACGCGTCGACCCTACCCTTTCCAGAGAAGTGAGGGATATACCACTCCTTGCCAGAGATAGCTTCGGAGTCTGGCAGAGTACTCCAGATGTAATGCTCCAGCCCGGCAACCTCACTGGCGGCACGTGCAATGTTGGTTCCTTGAGCCTGCTCCCGCACACGGGCTTCTTCAATGACACCAATCTCAGAGAGCAAGCCAGGGTAATTGGTCACGCCGTAGATCGCCTGAGCGCCGGTAAAGGCAGCTTGCAGCGACGGCAGGTCGTCGAGGTCAGCGGCCACCATCTCCGCCCCTTGAGCCGCCAGTCGCTTGGCCTGAGCACCGTTGAGATCACGAGTAATTCCACGCAGCCGCCACTCCGAATTCCCCAACAAGGTCTTGATCACGGATCCGCCTTGGCCGCCAGTAGCTCCCACGACCACCAGGAGTTTTGCCATTGAAGGAACGAACTTGCCGGTCAGTGTGGTCGTAGGCTTTCACGAATAGTGAATCCGACTCGGCTTCTCACTTCGGACCGATGGAAGACAAGCTGGAACTTCAAGCAACAATATAGTGAGTGTCTCGAGCTACCCAGGGAATCGCGTTCAAATAGTCCAGATCCTTGTTATGGATGGCATAGCGCGGCTCCCCCACCCAAAACTGCACCGATTCTGCTCCGGGCCGGATTCGGCCCTGTATCGAGTGCCCACCTTCGGCCATCGGTACAGAGCAAGTCAGTTGCTGGATCGGTCAATACACGGCCTGACGGCAGAGCATAGAGGGTGAGAAGATGCAAGTGCTAGGAGGGTCAAGTGTGATTGCTCCAGAATTCCCGGTTCACGCTTCCAATAGTCAGCCCAAATTTACTCGCATCTTTATTTGGTCACTGCATTTTCTATCGCGTGCGGGTGTCCCAGACGGTCGTGAGCATACGACCTATTCTCGTCCGCATTGCAGTTACTCTTGGTACAACAAAACGTCGCCATGGGTTCAATCTCAACATCCAAGAGCGATATGGACAGCCCAGCCACGAACGGAGCCGCTGGAAATGACCGCCAGCACGGTATACACAAGAATGGCAATATGAACCCAAGCGGGATCGACGTTGCCCTACGCGACGTCAATGCTTGGACGCCCGAGAGGCGGTTAGATGTTATCACCGTGGGAGCTGGTTTCTCAGGGCTGATGTTTGCGCATAAGTTGCAACACCAGTATCCCGAGATGCAACAATTGGTCAATCACAAGATCTTCGAGGCGAGAGGCGACATCGGCGGTACCTGGCTGGTCAACAGATATCCTGGCGTCCAATGCGACGTACCTGCCCATATATATGTACCTTCTCCCCACCTTGCGTCGAGAAGGTTAAAGAGACTGACCCTCTTTACTAGGCATTCCCATTCGACCCCAAGACTGACTGGACCAATTACTATGCCACTGGACCCCAGATTCACGAGTACATGCAAGCAACAACAAAGAAATGGAACCTGGATCGTAATATCAAGTTCAACCACAGAGTTATCGAGGCTGTGTGGCAAGAGGAGAGCGGAAAATGGAAAGTCACCATTCAGAATGGAGGTCGCCATCTGGTGGAATACGCCGATCTCCTGATCTCTGGACAAGGCGTCTTGGAGTAAGTCAAAGCTAGTATTCCTGAGTTCTGGGACGAGCTATATCTAAACTTGTTGCTATCAGCAAGTGGAAGTGGCCTGACATCAAGGGCTTTCACAAGTTCCAGGGTCACAAATGCCACTCAGCTGATTGGGACAACAACTTCGACTATTCCAACAAAACCATTGCTGTCATCGGCAACGGTTCCTCTGGTGTACAGATCATTCCTCAACTAGCAGGGCTCGACAAGACGAACATCATTAGCTTCCAAAGAAGCCCCAACTTTGTCTACACCCCTTTTACTCCAGCAGCGTTGCTAGGTAGGGACGACCCTAGTCAGAATCCCGAGTATTCAGATGCCGAGAAGAAAGAATTCGTCGGGGCCTCAAACACTCATAGAGACTATCGCAAGAAGATCATCCATCTCATAAATGCAGGCTTCCCGCGGGTAAGTGACGATTGTACCCTCCATGCTTATGGAGGCTTTCACCCTTCTTCCCGTCTCTAAATAACCTGGACACGTCACTAAACAATGCCTTACTGCACAGTACGTAAAGGGTTCCGCTCTGAATATGGAAGCCAGTAAAGCAGCCCAAGAACAAATGAAAGCGAGCCTGAAACACGACCCTGACCTATGCGCAAAACTCATCCCCGAGTGGAGCCTCGGGTGCCGTCGAATCACACCCGGGGAAGGCTACCTTGAGTCCTTCCTCAAGCCCAATGTCCAGCTCGTGATGAGCCCCGTGGTAGAGATGACAGAAAACAGCTGCATCGCGGGCGATGGCCGGTCATTCAAGGTCGATGTCGTGGCCTGTGCAACGGGGTTCGATGTTTCGAACAAGCCTCAGTGGCGGATGATCGGTCGCAACGGCGTCGACCTTTCCGAGGCGTGGGAAGTCGACCCCGAGTCTTATCTGTCCGTCGCAGCTCGGGACATGCCTAACTACTTCATGTTCCTCGGGCCTAATGCGGTCGTGGCCCACGGGTCCATCATCGAGGCGATCAACTGGACGGGCGACTACCTCGTCAAGTGGATCCGGAAGATATCGACCGAGAACATCAAGTCCGTCGTGCCAAAAGCGCGCGCGGTCGACGAGTTTATCGCCTACAGCGACCAGATCCACAAGACCTTCGTCTGGACCGACAGCTGCAAGAGTTGGTTCAAGCGCAACACTACCGACGGGAGAGTCACGGCAGCCTGGGCCGGCAGCGCACTGCTCTGGAAACAGCTGATGAGCGAGCTTCGTTGTGAGGACTTTGAGATCGAGTATCGACATCCCAACCGATGGGTTTTCCTCGGGAATGGCTTCACGAGTTTCGAGCTGGACAAGCAGAACGATCTGGCCTGGTATGTGGAGAAATAGAATCGCCCAGGAGGAGCTTTGGTGATGACCGCTATAGATTAAGACACAATGAGAAAGTAGCGACGGCACTGTCATTAGAGAGCGCCGCGCCTCAATGCCTCTAACTATATACTGCTTAATAGTCCGCAACACCTTTTGTCTTTCGCTTCCAGGCCGCGGATATCCTGCCTTCAATCCTTCTTGACAAGGTCGACGGCCTCTGCAAAATCCTTGATGAAGCACCAGCGAAGCTTGTTCGCAAAGTCGCCCTGCCTCCAGTCGTTGGCGGCGGCCGGAAACATGGGGAAGCCCTGCTCAATCAGGGCCGGGTCGTGGGCGATGACCACGAGGACATTGTCGGCCCCGTCGAACTCGGTCACCCTGGCGATGGTGCGTTCGCAATCTTCCTCGTGGTGCGAAAAGCCCTTCTTGACCCTGTAGAAGGGTTGGTCGGCCTTGCCCTCGTGGTGGACGGCCTGCAGCCATGCCCCGGGGCAGACGTTGAGGGTGCCCGCCTTCAAAGGGGATGGCTCGAACTTGGTCGGCAGTGGCAGATACTCAGTCGGGCGAAATTCACCGCCGTGATGACATGCGTCTCCGCCCATGAAGATGAAGGTGTCCTGATCCGACGTCTCTGAGCCAGCCGCGGTGACGCGGGCCAGCGCGCACAGGTGGCCCACCGCATGACCGGGCGCATTCAACACGTAGAAGCTACCATCTCCGAAGTAGTCGTGATACTGGAGTCCTCCGATCCGCTTCTGGCCAGCATCGAATTCCAGTTCTCTCAGTTCCCGTCCCTGGTAGTCCGACTGGCGGATCGGCGAGTCTTTGCCCTCGGGGTAGCCCGGCAGAAAGGCCTCTCTGAAGCCAGGGCCGACGACCAAAGCCGTGCTGCCGGGGAACGTGCTGGGATCTCCGATGTGATCGTAGTGCCAGTGGCTCCAGATGAGTGCTTCAATTGCGCCGTCCGCCACGGGGGTGCCATGCTCCTGCAGGATCTCGGCCACGTTCTTTTCCACCCTGATGGTCAAATCGTGGTGCTTTAGTAGACCTTGGACCAGCGGGGGCAGGTTCTCCCAGTCCTTCCTGGTACCGAGATCGTAAAGGACGTTGCGTCCAGAAGGATGTTCGATCAGGAAAGAATACGCGGGGCACTGGAGCATCTCATGCCCGTGAATGGCCGGCTCGAGGATCATGGGCGCGTGAGCGGACAGTTGAGAGGTGCTGAGTATAGCCACAGTGAGCCTCATCAACGTGATGGTACGCGAAGGCCGAGGAAGGTCTCGGTGGCTTCCAACTCACCTGTCGATAATGCGGACCGTCACGGTGTGCTTCGATGGCGGGATCTCAAGCGGTGGTACTGGCTTGGGATGCACAAGGAACTCGCTGTCGTTCATTGTCATGGTGTTTCAGTGGAATGTCTCTTTGCGTATGTGCAGGGGAGTTGATTCACGTTGTCTTTGCAATCGCAATCCGCCTTGACGAATCTGTTCTGATTGTCGAGGGGATGTGCCCGAGTATAGTAAATACTCCGTAGCCTTGCGGGCATCTTGAAGTCGGCATCCGGAGCCGTCGAAACGTCTGCCGTTTTGCATACGACCGAAGGCTTCGGGTTCGGGCCGCGGTCAAAGAATGGATCGAGTGGCCCAGCAGATATCGGCATAGTAGCAGCAGCCAGCACGGGCTCTTCGCAGCTCATCCGATTAGATCCTATTGAAAGGAACAGAAGCTGAGATCAAAGCCCCTAAATTAACAAACATGCTTGTAACATGCTACCCAGCGTTAAAATTATCTATACGCAGGCTGTTGTCTTTCTACCTCATCCGGAGTTCAGTGAATCAGATGCTTCGTCCACCATGGTGAACACTTCACTGTACACGTTGAGTCGGAAGGGGTCATCATAGGGTTGGGTCTCGCCGAAAGCCCAAGAGAGTGCTTCGTCGCCCAGCGGCAGCAGCATGTCACCAAAGTCCAATGGCTCGTCGACGCTCGTGTCCAGCAATACCATGTTTGAGCAAAGAGCTGCGGGAAATGGAAACAGATCCTTCGGCCTGTACCGTTGTGACCAGATGAAAGCAGAATTTGCCGTTGCTGCTTGCTCCGACACCTCGTGCTGCTGCTGAGCAGCGTATCGTTCAACCACATTGCGGATCTTTTCGATGTTTTTCCGTACAACTGAGGCGCCGCCCCATCTAGGGGACATGCGCTCAAGGGCCGAACACAGAATCTGTAGCTCCTCTTGCCGAGTCTGCCTTCTCTCCGCGCTGTTGGGGTAGTGGTATATCAATGGGATGCTGGCAGCCATCACATAAAACGTCGTTGTCGACGACATTGAGCTCAGGTCCTCCCGACAGTCGACCTCCTCGATTAGTCGTGCGATGGCCGAGGCAGCGACGATAGCAGGTATCGATGTGGACCACTGTTCATAGCGCTTGATGCTTAGTGCCTCCAGGAGTATGATGGTTACCAAGTAGACCATGTGCAGCTCGGAGACTGATTGGCGATAGGGTCGACGCATTCCCATGGGGTCGAACAGTCGAATCTCTTCTGGCAAGTCCGCGATCCAAGTACAGAGCGAGTCAGTGAGTTGCTCGACAACGGCCACCGACGTTGACCCTCCCCGAACACCAATATCGGCAATCTCGCCCCAAACCGCAATCACACGGGTATATTGGACAAAGACGTGGCTAGATATATCTACTCCGGCAAAGTCTGCCAGGGATGGCAATCTTGTATCGCAATCGGAGTAACGCACGCCCAGAGGACGTCCGAAACAGGCTGTCTGCAGTCTATCTGCGTTCTACGGTTCTTAGTATCAGGTGGCCCAACTAAGAAGGGCAGCTGTCAAGCATACCATGAGAATCCACCACAGACGGCGCAGGCGGCCAGCTTCAGGTTGGTTCACGTAAGTAGCGTCCTTGTGCAAGCCCATCTGTAATGCCAGGCGCACACCAGTGCCCGTCCATTGCCAGGGACAATCGAGACTAAGTGAATTCGTTGGGTGGGGGCTCCAGCATATCATCAGGCAGAGTGTAGCCAAACTGGTGACTGGGTCTGGATCATGATTCAAGAAAAGCATCAACTTAGTCTTCTCATAGAGCGAATGAGTAAGTTCCAGGGCATCCGTCCTGGAAGAATGGCGCATCAAGCTTCCTGCCATACACACGGCCTGCTTCATCAACGTGGAACATTCAACGTCGGCCAAATTGGCTCGGTCCACTACGGGATAGCGGTGAAAGACGTTCTGGAAATATGAGTCAATCAGTGCAGCCCGCAGCGGTGGTTTTGGCAGAGTTGTGGCTTCTGCAAACTGTAATACCGCATTGGCCTGCGGCGTAAAGGCCGGCAGAGGACTAGACGTCACCTCGATACCCGCCAGCGCATCGTGGGCCAGCAAGGTATGAGCACCGACAAAGCTCGAAGGCCCGGGTTTTCTATTCGACGTTGATGTGAAGGAGGGAACGCCAACTACGCCGTCAGATCTGGTGGGCGATCGAAGGGTAGGGAGGCTTTCTGCACGACTCTGCTGAGCTGCAACGGATGATGATTGGAAAATCTCTGCCAGCCGACCGCTTCGAGGGCCTGTTCTCACCAGACATTCGAGATCGTTCCGGTGGCAGTTCTGGCATTTTCCATTCTGGCTATCCTGAAGGTTGCACCGCACCTACGAGCAAACCACCAGTCAGGTCAGTGCCATTTCCGAGTCCCAAATGTCGCTCACCTTTCGCGCGTGGCAGTTCACGCACACAACCTGCGCACGGTCTCGTCGTATTGGTGGCATTGACGACAGGATGAGTTGCTCTCGCTAGGGAGAGAAACACTGTCGGCTATCAAGAGAGGCTGCCTGGATGGGGACATTAGGTACATATAGTCTGTACAGCTCCAGTTCACTTGTGACGTGGAGGGGCATTTCGGCATAAGCCGAGCTTGTACGTCTAAGCCGAGTGCTGTGCCGAACGCTGTAAACGGCATCACTGGTCGCCTTCGCTGCTCTATTCCGCGTGGATGCCAGAGAGCGCCGTCAAGTGATTGACGTGGCTTGCAACACTCGGTCCAGACTGTGGTATTAAAGAGGAGGCCGTCTTGTAGGAGCCCTTCCAAAACAGACTCTGGTGATGCACATTGCCGGGAACGCCCTCTATGCGGCTGTGGCATTTCGCAGACCCACGTCCCGACTACGTCTTGCTCATCAGGCCGGAAGTTTTGCTCGTTGTTGACTTTGACGTAGATACCATTGATAACCCCGTTGCTGGACGCCGCGGCTTGGGCGGCGATGACCATGTAGTAGAGGGGGCCCGCAGTGAACAACACTTGTCTCCTAAGGAGAGGGGGAATAGGATGAGCGTGAAATACACACGCTGGGAGACCCGGACGTGTGTCGCAGCGGCATGGAGAAGAATCTGCTGGGGCATTTTGACGCAGGGTGGTCCTTTGGAGACAGTACGGCTGAGGCCCTGGAGAGTGAATGTCGATGAATGGGAGATATCAAATCCAACCGCCGGGTGCTTGGGCTTTCTTCATAGCGTCGTTGTAGAAGTAAGTCGACACAACCATCCTTGCTGCAGCCTAGAAGTCTACAGTCGAGCTCAAGTTTGGCACCGCAGGGACGGAACACCCGGCAAGAGTACGCAGAGTTGTCGACGAAAGGCCCTTTGTAGAATCCTGGATTGGCATGATCATGGCCGCAGAACACACTCTCGCCTGTCCAAGAGGTTTTCGATTGGAGAAATCTGCATGCCACCCGAGGCGAAGGTCGAGCAGACTTGAGGCTGTGAGTCCTTTCGAGAAAAAGGGTGGACACACTCGTTGGAGTCTTTCTTAGCCTGGTTTCCACACAAGAAGCTCCGCCGTCTTCGACAACCATGACATCGAAATTCACAGTCACATGTGAGAATACCAAAGAGGGAACGATAATGGCGAAACCGTAAGAGCAGCTTGACAGGACCGGTCAAGGTCAGGGTATTGTGTGAGACAATATTCCAGTGGTGCACGAGAGGCTCAACAGAGATCTGTCGCCGTTCTCACAACTCGTATGTCCTCATTTGGCACTCGTAGGTTGGCGAAGGTAGATAGCGCACATGAGTAAATGAGGTACTCAGCCTTGTTCCGGCTCCAGGCTTCGACCTTGAACCTCAGCCGTACGTTGATGCGCTTAGATGAGCCCACGATAGTTAATATATACTGATAACATTACCAATGGGTTGATAGGTCCACCTGTTCTTCCTTTGGTGGTCGTCGCGATTGCGCCAGAGGTCCATGGCTTTGAGGATTTCCGGACTTGCTTGCGAGCATCGGTTTGCCCTGGGTAGGAATTCCATGATGGCTGAGCAACTGGTTTGGCAACGGGTGCCAGAGGTAAATCGTTGTTGTTTCGGTGGTTCAGGCCGGGGGCGACGACATTGCAAAACCCTTTAGGAACAGGAATACTCGAAATTCTTATGAGCGGTCGTCAGTACCTTCTCTCGAAGGAAAGCCAAGAACGGTATGTCCATGGGTGGGAAACACTGGCAGCCCTATTCCCTTGTTGGAATCTCAAGTTAGTCCGGTGGGAGACAGCAAAATAAAGACCGCAAAAGACAAAAGAAAATATCTCAACCCCGGATCTGCTCGTCTTTGAAACTGTACAAGTTTTACTACAGCGTAGGTAGTCTCTGAAGATGTTGCGCACGAAGCATGTGAAGGGATACATGCGTCGATTCCCTCATTCTCGCTTCTTCTGGTCCGAAAGACACCATGCGACTCTCCTGTTCCTTTTCCCCCACCACCAATGCAGACGCTTTATGGCCAGTCTTTTCCAGTTCTCCTTGGTCTTTCACAACACAACCTATGGGTTATGGTACGGGCTGTCACTGTTTTCGGGGTAGAGGTCTTCCTTCAGATTAATGCCGAGCTCTTCGCGCAGGGGTTTCAGTTCCTCTAGGTATTCCTCGTATTGTTGGGTGTTTTCCACCTTTGCTTTGATCCCTGTGGTTGCGAAAATCAGACTCCAAGTACCTCGCCATTGACGGGACTTATCATTACGGACCTTCAAATATTCTCACAGCAGTGGGGAAGTCGTTGACACGTCTAGCAGCTTTCAAAGCTGCTGTGACAACACCGGGGGAGGGGACGAGATCGTAGGCAAAGGCGTTATTCAGGTTCCGCTGGTCACTTGCGTTAGACTAAACAATGCAGTTGTGAGCTTGGCATCCGTACCTGAAGCTCAAAGACATCCTGCACAGCATCAAATTCCTTCTCATATCTGCAAGACATCTCGTCAGTTAAGCTCCGACGGTCAAATGTTTCCGTCGCAGCAGTGCCAGGGTTTCAGCGACCAGTGAGACCTGACCAAGCTCCATCGGGACCATACCTCGCAGAGAATTCTTCGAACGTTTCGTCTTCGTGGCCAGCGCTTCTTTGGTTGGCAGAGGAGCTGAAAGGGGACCTCGCGGAAATCGACTGCACGACAGCCGGAGCTCTCCTGAAGGATCGTGTGCAGGGTCTGAGGAAGGCGGAAGTGGCGGGACGAGCTGTGAGACGAAACATGGCGAGAGAAGCCATTGTACAGTCGACGAGGTTGAGCACAGGGAGGTGGTGCAGAGTGGTAGAGTGAGAGAAGGTGGACCAGATGCTGAGTCCAAGCTGGGCGAATGTCGATTGAGGTTCTTCAGTCACCTGAGATTTGCCTGCCCAGACAGAATAATCGCAGAGCTTCTGAGTGGTTGAAATGACGGAGGTCAGCCAAGCCAGATACGTGGGCGAGGCCGGTATTGAGCCTGTAATGTTGGTGACAGGATGCGTATTGTAAATCACCGGCTTCTGATTGGCTTGTAACTTTGTCGGCAGCCCGAAATGGCCATCCGCATAATAATATGGACGAGTACCGAGTACACACAAGTCAGCCTCAACACGGGTCGCATTCACCATCCCCCGTCCTCGTCCTCTGCACTTCATCCCTCTTCCGACTTTGCAACAAGTACACCGTATCAACTTCTCCTCTCCTCCAATCAGATCTGTCCCGCGGCTACCGTCTCCCACACGGCACACGCGCGACAATCGCAAAATTTTCTCGCGAGGCGGAAATTGAGAACCAGGCACACAGCCAATGGGAAGGCGCGGCTGAGGCGGGCCTTGGCCATTACGACAGAGGCTGCGCGCATCTCGACAAACGATTTTCCCCTGACTTTTGATTATCCCACAGTTGGCTCCCGTTGGCACCATTGGCACCATTGGCACTGTTGGGACATTTCCATTTTCATCATCCCGCCTCCTCGTCCTGCAATTTTCCCATTGCAACCGCCTCTGTCCGCGCTGCCGGCTTGAGAATATATCTCACTCCCTTCCACCCTGTTCCGATTGACAACTACTTTATCCCTCTTCGCGTCTGTCTCTCCCCTTCGTCCTTTTCTCTTCCTGACACGGCCTTATTAATTGATTGTTTACAGTCACTCCCTTCCCTCTTGGTGCGGCGCCTGCGCTCAGACCCCTTACAGTTCATTTCCCACTGGCGACCGCGAGACCCTAATTGACGTTCTTTTCCAACATGTCGAACGATATTCTCAAGTCTATCCCCGTCCCTACGCTAGATCGCCCTTTCGGCATTGAGCTATGGCCTATCTTCGACAAGGCCTTTTCCGCCGTCATTGGCTACTCCCCGATGGACTTCAAGTTTGAGTCAGGAAAGACGCCAATGTCGACATTGCCAGAGACTGTCATCGCCCTAATCTCATACTATGTGATTATCTTTGGTGGAAGAGAATTGATGAAACACCGCAAACCATTCACGCTCAATGGCCCTTTCATGGTCCATAACCTCTATCTCACCATCATCAGCGGTTGTCTCCTGGTGCTGTTTGTTGAGCAGTTGCTCCCCACTCTCGTCCGGGGTGGTGTCTTCCACGCCATTTGCAGCTACAATGGAGGCTGGACCCAAGAGTTGGTTGTGCTGTACTATGTAAGTCTCGCCGTCTGTTCATCCGGCTTGCGGCACAGTCTAATTCCTGCAGTTGAACTACCTCACCAAATACCTCGAACTCATCGACACCTTGTTTTTGGTCCTCAAGAAGAAGCCCCTGACCTTCCTCCACACATATCACCACGGTGCAACTGCGCTTCTCTGCTACACCCAGCTTATTGGGCACACTGCGGTATCATGGGTCCCCATCACGCTGAACTTGACAGTGCACGTGGTTATGTACTGGTAAGAGAAATCTGTGCACAAAATCGCGTATCTTGCTGATGAATTCCTAGGTACTACTTCCAATCTGCTCGCGGCATTAGAATCTGGTGGAAGAAATACATCACCATCATGCAAATCATACAATTCGTCATTGATCTGGGCTTTGTCTACTTCGCTTCGTACACCTACTTCAGCAACTCCTACTTCCCTTGGTTACCAAATGCAGGCACCTGCGCAGGGGAGGAATTTGCGGCGATCGCTGGTCTTGTCATTCTCAGCTCGTACCTGCTACTCTTCATCTCATTCTACTTCGCAACCTACCGCAAACAGACCATCCAAGGACGACCGAGACGGAACACTGGCCGAGAAGCTTTGATCGCTATGAGAGATCTTCCCCTTCCCGACCCGCACAGGGTTCCATCTGCGCTCGGAGATGAGAAGAAGAGCAATGGCGCTGTGACCACCGGGCGATCCAATGGACCAACTACCAGATCGCGAAAGGCTTAGATAGCCGAAGTGGACGACCTTCTTGACGGGACGGTCTTTCGTTGTTTAATGCAGACTCCGCGCCCGAAACAAGACAACGAAGAAATTCAATTCGAGCTGCAAGAAATCAGCCAGCAGCTGGATTCTGTCTTACCGGACAACTGAACGGCAGCAAAGGCGTGGCGCCTGGTGTATGTTGACGTCAATCATGACTATGTCAAGCATAACTCAGGTGTAATCAGGGGATATGTCGTGGGCGACTAGAAATAGAGGAGACGGAGGGGATCGGCTGGGTGACTGGACATCTCGAGTGTACAAAAGTTTGCTGTTTGCGGCAAGGTTGGGCATGGGTGCTCGGGATATTCCTGTGGAAGTCTTGGTGGACGCCAGAGGCTGCGCCACCGTTTCTCTTCATTTTCTTTACGCACTGTGTAATTAGAAGGTACTCGCTATTAATGCACGAAGTCTAATGTGGACGAAAAGGGGCTCGTTGGCAGTATTTGATATAGCTGTGGGAAGCAAAAAACAGTTGAAAACTTCAAAGAGTTGCACCGTGGAGCTCGAATCGTTTTAGATTCATCATTTGCTGAAGTCGCAATTCTCTAGCAGTCGCAAAACATCTATCTCACAATGTCTATTTTCTCGATCACCCTTTTCTTATGAACCGGAGAGTCACCCTTGCGTTACAGGGCGGCGGATTTGCATCGGTTACCCCTTTCCCACTCTAACGCCCTCGTCAATCCAACAGAGTACAGAGCATCCCTTGACCGAGTCTCATTCTCGTCTCATCGAGGATTCGTCAGTCGTTGAGCCGCCTTCCTCCCAGCAACACCCTCCCCGGTTTCTCTCACCCCAGTCCCATCCGGTCCGAGGTCTCTCATCCAACCCACCTCCTCGCACTTTGGAATAATCTCAACCACGGCCCGTACTCGCCCCAGTCGCCCCATCCGTCTTTCTCTCCCTTCATCGCCTGCTCGGGGATGTAACTACCCACGCCGGCCAAGATGGTGCGCTCAGGATGGGGCATCAGCGCCAAGACACGTCCATCCTGGCTCCGCACGCCAGCAATCCCCGCGGGACTGCCGTTAGGGTTGGCCGGGTACGCTGTCGTGGGGTGCAAGGACTTGTTGTCGACGTACCGGATGGGCGCGAGGTTGGCGTAGGCGAAGTCGTGAGCGAGGGAGGCATCCCAGGTCTTGTTTCCGGTATGCGGCGGTGGGAGGTCGGTCGTGAACGAGGCGCGGCCCTCGCCGTGTGCGACGGCAATGGGGAAGGAAGACCCGCTCATGCCGTGGAAGAACACGCTGGGCGGCATCCCCGACTCTGCAGGAGGGTCTGACACTTTGACCATGCAGACCCGGGCCTCGTACTGTTCGGACTCGTTCCTCTCGAAGGAGGGCCATTTCTCCGCGCCGGGGATCAGTTCTTTCAGTTTCGAGAGGACTTGGCACCCGTTGCAAACGCCCAAGGTAAACGTGTCTTTCCTTTCAAAGAATGTGTGGAATTTCTGGCGCGTCGTGGGGTGGAAGAGGATCGACTTGGCCCACCCCTGACCTGCGCCGAGACAGTCGCCAAAGCTGAAGCCGCCGCAGAGAGCGAGACCCACGAAGGAAGAAAGGTCGTGATCTATGCCGAGGTGTGACTGGTGTGGCTTCGGGTCCAGGATGTCGGACATGTGGACATCTATCGCGGTGAATCCGGCAGCTTCGAAAGCGAACGCCATTTCCGCGTGGCCGTTGGTGCCTTGATCTCGCAGAATGGCAACACGCGGCCGGGCTGTGGGACGCATGTAGTTCAGGAACGACGCTTTGTATGTGTTGATGTTCTCCTTGGGGTCAAAGCTGAGATGGTAGCTCAACCCTGGCTCCGCGTCGTCCAGGATCGCGTTGTATTCTGAGTCTGCACATGAAGGATTGTCACGAAGTCGTTGAAGCCAATACGACGTGTTTGACCATTTTTGTTGCAATTCACCACGAGTCGCACGGTAGATTAGTCTCCCACCGTGATAGATGGCCATGTTCTGAGAGGAAGACTTGGTCGAGACGCGGCCGATCTTGTGAATAAGACCTGGAGGAGGACCGCATGTTGCAAAACAGGCCTTGAAGTGATTCTCGTCAGATTTACGGACCTGGAATACCGCCCCCAATTCTTCGTTGAATAACGTAGATATTACATCGGGCGTGTGTGGCGTAGGGCATATGTCGTTGATCATGATTTCTATGCCGCAGCGACCTGCAAATGACATTTCCGCCAGTGTCACGAAGAGGCCACCGTCAGACCGGTCGTGGTAGGCCAGCACAAGACCTTGTTCGTGAAGTTGTTGTGTAGCGTCGAAGAAATCTTTGAATAGGGAGACGGAGCGGATGTCGGGTGCTTCATCGCCAATTTGTTTGAAGGATTGCGTGAGGACGGACCCGCCCAGGGCACGATGTGCGAGACCCAGGTCCACGAAAAAGAGTGTAGATTCACCCACTTCGTTGTATCTCTTTAGCTGCGGCGTCCACGTCTTCCTGATGTCCAGGACGGGGGCAAAGGCAGATATAACGACTGATAAGGGACTCGTGACTTCTTTTGCCTCCTTACTTCGAGGATCTGTCCATTTCATCTTCATAGACATTGAGTCTTTCCCGACCGGAATTGAGACACCGAGCTTGGGACACAGGTCCATGCCCAACGCTTCCACAGCTTCGTAAATCCCTGCGCCTTCGCCTGGATGAGTTGACGCAGACATCCAGTTCGCGGACAGCTTGACTTGGTGAAGACGATCTGGCAGGTCTGCAGCAGTGAGATTCATCAGAGATTCAGCCACTGCCATACGCGCAGATGCTGTCGGGGAGATTAGCGCAATGGTTGGTTTCTCGCCCATCGCCATTGCCTCTCCGCTTTTGACCCCTGGAGTAAGTGACGTGGCTGTAACAGATACATCCGCCACAGGAACCTGCCAGGGCCCGACCATTTGATCTCTAGCAGTGAGTCCACCAACCGTTCTGTCGCCTATCGTGATTAAGAAGGATTTGGATCCGACAGCCGGCATTTGAAGCACTCGGTCGATCGCTTCCTGGAGCAAGCCGCTCACTGACGCCTGCGGAACATACAGACTCAGGCTGGTGTCAAAGCCTGGTAGATCGGCCTTGCGTGAGTTAACGTCACGAGTCATCTTGGGCGGCTTTCCGAAGAGGACTTCCATGGGGAGGTCGATAGGATCTTGTTGATCATCGCCATTTGCCGGATGATCGCGGTCTGTCAGCTTCAACACCTGCCGCTTTGAGGCTCTTCCCACTACTGAGATCTCACACCGCTCTCGTTTTGCAATGGCCCTGAACTTGTTCATACCTTCTTGTGCTACCGCGAGGACATATCGTTCTTGGGCCTCGTTGCACCATATCTGGAGGGGACTCATACTCTTATCTGCGCAGTCGATATCTCGAAGCTCAAATTCTGCGCCGAGACCAGAGTCTTTGGCAAGTTCCGGTAAAGCGTTGGACAGACCTCCTGCGCCGACATCGTGAATGAAGAGAATGGGATTGTGTGAGCCAAGCGCGGTACATGCATTGATGACTTCTTGAGCCCTTCGCTGCATTTCGGGGTTGCCACGCTGAACACTAGCAAAATCCAGCTCGGCCGACCCTTCTCCAGAACTGACACTCGATGCGGCGCCTCCTCCCAGACCGATTAGCATGGCCGGTCCACCCATGACAATCAGAAATGCACCATCCTTAACGATCTCGGGATCCTTGAGAGCATGCTGGGGTCGAACGGTGCCCACGCCCCCTGCAATCATGATCGGCTTATGATAGCCTCTGATTTCGGTAGAGTCTTTGCTCGTTCTCATTTCCACCAGCAGTGTTCTAAAGTACCCCGCAGTGCATGGTCGACCAAATTCGTTATTGAAGGCTGCACTTCCAATAGGTGCTTCAAGCATAATGTCGAGACTGCTAGCGATATGACTTGGCCTGCCATAGTCGAGTTCCCACGGCTGACGGTGATCCGGTATCAACAGATCAGAGACGCAGAATCCTGAGAGACCGGCCTTGGGCTTTGCCCCTCTACCTGTTGCTCCTTCATCCCTGATTTCACCTCCCGAGCCGGTCGCCGCTCCGGGAAAGGGAGAGACAGCGGTTGGGTGATTATGGGTCTCGACCTTGACGAGGAAATGCACCGCTTCTTTTGTTGCTTTCCACTGGCCGTTGAGGTCGTCGGGAGCCCACTGACTCCCATTGCTGCCTCTGAGCACAGCTGCATTGTCACTATATGCGCTGATGGTGCCCTCGGGAGTCTGTTTGTGCGTGTTTCTGATCATGCCAAACAGAGTATTAGTCTTGGGCTTTCCATCAATGGTCCAGCTCGCGTTGAAAATCTTGTGCCGGCAGTGTTCTGAGTTCACCTGAGCAAACATAAAGAGCTCCACATCTGTAGGCTTTCTCGGAACTGGCCCGTCTTTCGAATAAGCTTCAACAAGATACTGTATCTCTGAAGCGTCGAGTGCAAGGCCCAGTTTGCGATTCAAATCTTGAAGGATCTCTGAGGGAGTCTGCCCATCATTATACAGGTCGTATGTACCCAACAGGCCAGGTTCGTGGTGCATGAACAAGAGATTGAGATCTGGCTCGTTTTCCGATATAGTCTCTGTCATCCGGTCGTGGAGGAAGTCAAGGCTTGATTTAGCCAGAGACTGTCCGTTGTCAAGGTATACCGTAATCTTGACGCCTCTTTCGATTCGACGAACAACTTTCCGAAGCCCGCAAACATGAGCAATGTTGGTGGCTTTTGAGCTCCAAGGAGAGATAGTGCCCGGTCGAGGTAGGACATAAAGGATAGTGGAAGATTCGCCTTCCTTTTCTTGGGCATCTACATGGTGACCATCGGTCAACAACTTTTCCAGTAGAGCGTGGCTCTCAGACTCCAGGGATCCCACAAGTTCCACATAGTGAATATACTGTCCCTGGACGTCGCGTGCGCCAATGTTGGAGGCTAGCGCCTGACGTCGAAATTCCGAAAAGGCTGACGCCCCAGGGATAATACAGACTGGCGGATGGTCCATGGTTGACAAGCAAGCGTTGAGGTTAGATAGTCCTGGTTTGCAGCATGATCAGTATCACAGGAATGCACACAGGACCACGGTCGAAGCCTGAGGCGAGAGAATGATCCCGCGCAATAGAGGAAAAGCGCTGCGTGTTGTATAGTAGACCGATCGATGCGAAGAATCAGACAGTCATCCGAGGCCAGCCGATATCAAATGGCAGATCAATCACGAGATTAGTCTCTGGGTATCCATGGGTTGATGTCCAGGGCCTGATCATAAGGCCTCATCCGACTTGTGATGATGCCTTGAGTGCTGATGTGTGGTTGCGAGGAACTTTGAAAAATCTGCTGCCGCGGCGGCTTGGCGTCGCTGGCGGTTGGTTCCGGGTCAGCGGAGGTCACGTCTGGTTAAACGTAGGCGAGCAGGGCGGCGTCTCCAGGAGTGGTGGCGCCCCGGAGCTGGTGCCTATCTGACCGCCTTAGGGCTTGTATCTTCCCCAGAAAATCAGCTGCCCCCTATCCCTTCACTGCTGTGGTGCTCCCGCAGTACTTGTGCACGGCAATACCTCGCTTGTCGGTCTTGGTCCAATATTGGCTTGCCAGCAACGTCGCCCGATCAAATCTGGCATCCGTCATCCACCTTACTCACTCACACCAACTACTCCAATTTGCAGGCCTCGAGCTTTTCCCTTCGCTATCTTTCCCAAAGCTACTGCATCATTTGACAAAGTCCATTTAGGTCATCCCCGCTGGCCGTCCTCACATGGGACAGCTTTTCCTGCTCCGCTTTTCTCGTGATCGGTTCTCCAGTCCAATGCCATCGCCACCGTCGCCATTGTTCGACCAGTGACCGAGCCTGTCCGCTTGCCGTCTGATTGTTGAGCCCGACGTCTCGATTCACACCCTCTCCCTCGACTGCGCACCCGACCCACATACCGAAAAACCTCGAAGTCTTCCTCAGTTGGACACGAGGTCTCTTGAGGTCCACCTATATCCCCTTTGAAAGGTCAGGGCCGGTCGTTCAGACTGCCCTTTGCACGCCGACACCATTCCTTCTCCTCGCCCGTCCACCGAATCTTTCCTCCACCACCGATCGCATTCGTCTCGCTCCAGAGCAGACCTGGAAGACCCCTCGTCCACATTGCAGACTTCCATAGGGAACGAAAAAGACGAAAGCCATCGGCGCCCCTCATACTCAGGGTCTGACTCTGACGACTTCTCCCTTTGGAGCGATACCGGAGATCTCGCAGAGCAGCTCACCAACAACGAGGACCCCTATCGGATCGAGCTAGATCCTCTGACCCGGGAAGGTCAAAGGCTCAGAGACTCCGGTCGTGGTCACGGTGGAGGACGGAAGAAGAGAGTCGGATTTCGAGACCAAGATCACCTTGAGCGGGATCAACCCCCTCTTGGGATAGATAAAGAGGCTATCTTCATTCCGGAGCCTCCACCGAGGCAGATTACCAAGGCAGAAAGAATATTAGCTCTCATCATGGCTCCCACTGACACCGAGAGTGCCCGAGCGAAGGGGCTCGTGGGGAAGCCGTTGTTGTATGGCCGAATATATATCTTCCGGGAGTGTCTATGGGTGGCTGACAGCTCTAATGCAGGTACTTCACAAGTGTTTTCGTATCACTGGGTGTATTTCTTTTTGGCTACGACCAAGGCGTCATGTCTGGCATTATCACGTATGTTCCATCGGATCTTCCCAATCGCAATTGCTGACAGGGACCAGGGGTCCCTTTTTCAGAGATGCATTCAATCAACCTGGCCCCGCTGAAGTTGGGACCATGGTGGCCATCCTCGAGGTTGGCGCACTTATATCATCGCTATGCGTCGGACGCATTGGCGACATCATTGGACGTCGTAAGACTATTCTTTATGGATCAATGGTTTTCTTCGTCGGTGGGATGCTCCAAACTCTCGCAAATGGAATGCCCATGATGATGGTAGGGAGGCTGATCGCGGGGTTTGGAGTCGGTGCGCTTTCCACCATTGTACCTGTCTATCAATCCGAGATCAGTCCTCCACACAATAGAGGCAAGCTGGCCTGCATAGAGTTTACCGGTAATATTACGGGTTACGCTGCAAGTGTTTGGGTCGACTACTTCTGCAGCTTTATCCAGAGCGACCTCTCATGGAGAGTGCCGCTGTTGATGCAATGTGTCATGGGGGCACTTCTCGGGTTTGGCAGCTTGATTATCTGCGAATCTCCTCGGTATGAGATCCCAGACAAGAATTCAGCATAGGCCAAGCTAACGCCTTTTTTCCCTTTAGGTGGCTCCTGGACAATGACCACGACGAGGAGGGCATCATTGTCATCGCCAATCTCTACGGCAAAGGTGACATTCATAACGCCAAGGCCCGACAAGAATATCGCGAGATCAAAATGAACGTCCTGCTGCAACGTCAAGAAGGAGAGCGTTCGTACTCGGACATGTTCAAACGGTACTATAAGCGCGTCTTTATTGCCATGTCGGCTCAGGCGTTCGCACAGCTGAATGGTATCAACGTCATCTCGTACTACGCCCCCCTTGTTTTTGAATCGGCAGGCTGGGTGGGACGAGACGCCATCCTCATGACTGGCATTAATGCATTCACATACTTGGGGTCGACAATTCCGCCGTGGTATCTGGTCGATAAATGGGGACGGCGGCCTATTCTGTTGTCGGGGGCTGTGGCTATGATCATCTCCTTGTCACTCATCTCCTATTTCATCTTCATCGACGTGCGGTGGACCCCGACCCTGGTGGTGGTTTTTGTCATGATTTACAATGCAGCATTCGGGGCCAGTTGGGGCCCTATACCGTGGCTGTATCCTCCTGAGATTCTGCCACTCAGCATTCGGGCAAAAGGTGCCAGCTTGAGTACGGCCAGCAACTGGGCGTTCAATTTTTTGGTCGGCGAACTTACGCCCATCCTCCAGAAATCGATCAAGTGGAGATTGTACCTTGTGCACGCCTTCTTCTGCGCACTCAGTTTCGTCCTTGGTAAGTCCGTCCGGTCTGCTTGACAGGATGCAGGCACTAATCACGAACGCAGTTTATTTCGTATATCCTGAAACGGCCAACGTCCGCCTTGAAGACATGAACGCGCTCTTTGGAGATGCCACAACGGCGATGCCGACTCCCTCGACCCAGGCGGAACGAGGATCTCTCATGGGCGTCGGATCGCCATCTTCTATCGACATCAGACAAGGTGGCCCCCAGCCAGGTGTCTTTTCCGCGGATGCTGCAATTCCTGGCCTTGACATCGACCCTCCTGATGTCCAACTAGACGAAAACGGAAAGCCGAGAGGTAGAAGCCAGAGCAATCAAGACGGTCTGGGGGGTTGGATTGGTCGAATGGTGTCCAGGACGCGCCAAGACAACAGTTCCCGCGGTCAATATGGGAAGATCGGTCAAGACGAGGACTAAAGCCACAGGCGCTGGATTTTGAATGTTATATTGTGTCGACTTACTAGGTGTATAGATATAGAGCTGCAACGCGGCACCGCTGCCGCGGTTGAACGACATGGGGGTACGTCACTGTCTGCATCTAGGGAGTCAAAAGCCGCCTGTTTGAGCCTGGGACTCTACACTGAAGGCGGGGGGGGGGGATTCATATCTGAGTTGCACTGGACATGTACTAATTATGTGCACTGGATTGCACTGGAATGGACGCTGTATAATGTTTTCCCCGGCTGCCCACTGTCATCCTCCGCGTCCGCCACCATTGTCGTAGGGGAGAAGCGCGCGAGGTGAACTCGGGACGGGGCTGGATGACTAAAGATGAGGTGCACAGAATCAGTGACGAGAAAACCCGAGTGGACTTTTGTTGTCATTGTGGCTTGGTGGGTTCTGCATGTCAAGGGGGCAAGGGGGGGTTCATCAGGCTGCCTCAATGGCATAAGGTTGAGAGTTGCGTGGGATGAGGCTAGGAGAAGGCGGAGGGAGCAGAGGCAACACGGGCGCGGGATGCCCCGAGAGCGCGTGAAGGCCATGACCGTGGCCGCGGGTGGCGCAACCAGCTGAGCCAGAGCCCAGCGAGGCCAGGTTCTCGCTCCTCGACTTTCGCCTCGCCCCGGCCATGGACCACGGTGCCTTACGGCCCTTTGGCGTCAATCATTCCCCCCATTGAACCACACCTCCATCTACTACTCGTCCTACTGACCCAACTACTGCTTGCTTCTCGAGGAAACGGTTCACGACCGCATATACACGACCAAGCTCTTGCAGAATTTGGCATTGCGAGAGATCCTAGTTCTGCCACTCCTTTGGCAAAGATATTTTCAGCACTGGCTTATTGTGTCGTGCCCCTCTATCTTCACATTCCTGATTCAGTGATTATTCACTGTTCGCATTCGCCCGACTTGCGCTTGCGTGGGTCGAATTGGCCAACTGCGACCCATCCCTCAGCCTTCTCTTCCTACCTTTTGTTCCACCACCTCTCTTTCTCGATTGCGCCCTGAACAATTCTCCGTCGCAAAACCGTTGACCTCTCGACCGCTCACAGTACAAGCCGTGCAAATTAAACCTAAACTGCGTCAATTCAGCCCTCACTGCCCGCATTCGCGTCCTCCACCAGGTCGGTCAGACCCCCTCCGATCTCATTCTATGAAAGTTAATCACCGCAAAAAGGCGCCGTGCCCACGATACAGACCAAGAGGCCTGCTCCTTACTCGATTGCGAATATGTGATGGTACTGTTTCATGAGCCGTCGATGTGTCCAGCTTTTCGTTGTCAGAGCTGGTCACCTTGACGAACTCGTCACAAACTGTGATGGAAAGATAACCGTTGCTCCTGGCCTTTTGCGACAAAATGTCCCAAGGCATGACCAAGAGACCCCCGGAATTTACAGACTTGCCCAGAGGCAAGCAGTTCCCTTCGCATATCCTTGCTCAACTGGATGAGCGTTTCAAGCACCTCAGCGACACCATTCTCCCTCCACAACCCTACCTACTTTCTGTTCCCTCCGACGTTCCCTACCGTCACAGCTCGCGCTTCGTAAATACATGGTATGAGGGCACCCCGTTCGACCGCAAAGAAGAGCAGCTTCAATACCTCAGCTTCCTTCCGCATTCGGGTGAGCACGAAGCTTTGTTGAAAGTCGAGGGCGGGTGGGCAGACGACCACGGGAATCCTATTGTTGAAGAAGAACTCTCCCCAAAGGCCCTCCCAGCAAGTGGCCGCCATACCCCAGCAGACACAGGCAATCGCAAGAAGATCAGCTTGAAGGACTATAAGACAAAGGCCAGAAGTCCCCCTCAGCCTGCATCAGAACCTCAACCTCCAAAGAAAATTGAGACGCCAGCCAACATACCCTTGAGCGTAGGAAAGGGAAAGGACGCTACGCAACCTTTGGAGAAGAAGCAAGAGAAACAGCCGACTGCCCCGGAGAGTAACGGAGTCAAAGATCATCAGGTGAAGGTTTCACGAATGGACGGCCAGAACTCGCCCAAAATACCTCCCATGATGCAGCAAGCCAACTCCCCGAATCCTGCCAAGCGAAGAAAGCTCTCTCCGGCGGTTGAGGATCCCAAACCTGGCACAAAGACCTCGAAAGTTGAACAGCAGTCTTCCACTATGAAAATGCCCCGGTTACTCTCCCCTACTCTGCCTTCACCCGAGAAGGAGAGCAGCCTACCACAGCTATTGTCTCCGGTCCTGCCTCCGTCGCTTGCCAAGGTTTTGTCAACTCCCCCAGACACCACGTCAATTGGAAGTCCTGCCAGTGGTGTGCCTAAGCGATCAGATCCCGTACGCGCGATCCTCGCAGGTGCCGACCTAGACATTGAACCTTCAGGCGAGCGAAGTGGATTACCCCCAGGTGGGAGTAGAATACGCTCCGACAGCCAGCACTCTGCCCGGAGTAGCGCCCCAGGAACCCCTAATGCCACCAAGGGAGCCCTTGGAGCGAAGATTCTGGCGAAGAATGGCATAAGAGGTGGGACACCCCTACACAATGGCGTGCGAGCCAGCCCTGGCCCTCGACAAAGGCATACAATCATTCTGAAGTACGGCAAAAAGAATAGAAAGAGGGTCGAAGCGCTCCTCAAGTTCGCGTCTCGGCCGAAGAAGGATCTTTTGAAAAACGAGGCGCCGGAACCCCAAACCAACTCTGACATGCACGCAAGGAAGGAGACCTCCAGAAAAGACCCTCCAGAAACTCAACCTGCTGTTGAGGTCAAGCCGACACCGCCTACCATCGATGATGTCAAGCTGGAGAAGAAAAGGAAGACCGAGGACAACAGTCCTGGGCCGTCTCTGAAGAAGGTCAAGGTGGTTGATGCCGAGGCTCGCCCTGTCACCCCAGTTCCTCCGGCCGGTAAGACCTCCGCGTCGGCTCAGTCAAAATCAACGTTTTCTACCCCTAAGAAGGAGCTTAAATCTACTCTGATGAGACGTGTTGAGTCGTCGGAGGGTGTTGACGCCCCGACTCCTACTGGGGACAAATTGAGGGTGTCAACGCCACAAGCGGTGCCGAAGCCATCTCCCCGGACTCGTGTGAGTCCTACATCTTCGCGGGAAGAGGAGCGGCAACAGTGGACTAGCATCAACCTAAAGTTCTTTGCCTTGGGCCGTTCTCTCAAGCATGAAGGATCGGCTCTGCTACCCCCTCCCGACAGTGATACGAAGCCATCTCAACACGCAAAAGCGGTGCTGCAGGTGATTGAAGCGCTGTTGTGCTTCATGATCAACATCTCCGCGCAATCCCACGCCCGTCCAAATATCGATCCAGGCTGGAGATCAATCATTCTGTATCACATCTTCGTGTTTCGTGCGTCAAGGAAATTTCCACACCTCCACGGTCTGGTCGTTCAACTTGGCGCAGTATGTCGGCAACTTGTACATAAATATGACATGGACAGGTTGGCACGGGATCCTCTGCCTGACGACCATTGCAACTCCGCGCCCACGCCTGGCAGTGATGGTAACACCAAGACGAACGAGGATGGGGAAAAGTACAAAAAGCGATATGTTGAGTTCAGGGATGAGTTGATCCAGAATGCCCGTGAACTGCAGACTGCATGGCTGGATGGATCACGCCAGCTATCGCCCGACCTGCTGAAGCGGGAGTATCCCAAGACTTGGTCGAAGCGAGCGAAGGATTCGAGCGTGAGACTGCAAGAGAAACTGACGCCATCGAGGATTCCGCAAGACTTCTATCTGCCGATGGATGCAAATACTACCGCTTTTGAGGCAGCGAGATTCGGTGTGTCTTTTCTTCAGGAATGGGCAGAGAAAGAAAAGATCGACTGGAAGACGAGGATTGATCTGTGATAGTGGAAGTGAATCAAGTGTTGCAACCGAAAGGACGTTACGACCGGATATGATTTCAACTATTCAGGGAAGAGGTTTTAGTTATACAATCGGATAGTCGGCCGTCGGCCGTCGGCATATGCTGCTTTTTTGAAACGTTAGAAGATACCACACGAGCGATGAAAAGAGCCGATTTCAAGTTGACTGGATTGCATATTGCGTATACATTAGCGGCTCTATATTGTGGTCACGTAGGGCTGTTAAAAAGCTGTCCAAAGATTCCCCGGATTTCTGCTTTACTGGAAGCAATACGGAGGACAAGAAATGGCGTCGAACCTAGCAGGCTTGTGTGGGTACGTCCATGGCTCCGAAGCTGCCTTTTCTGCGGTATCTGTGCCTATTCACTTACAAGATTCAAAGCAACGCCAGCGTCTCCTACTCCTCACGCCGTGGACAGTCTGCACTGGCCAAAGTCCAATGCATTGCTGCCAATAATGGCCACGCTACTTCAGAGCGAGACGGAGAAGCATGGACTCACTCGATGACGACCCTACCAATTTCGAAGGCGTTCTGCCTGTGATCCCGTCCGACTCCCCTCCAGTCTACAAAGACACCAAAAGCAATGCAGCAACCGGTGCCTCCGCCGCGGGGGTTCGAGCCTTCACCGCGCAGGCAGTGGCATTCTATTTCCGCGCGCCGGTGAAAGCCTTCTTTCGAACAAGGGTTGATTATCTCGCGTATGCCAAAAGTATTAATCCGGATATACAAAATGGTCGGTGGTCATGGAGGTCTACCACACCAGGCCTGCTGGCGACGGCGATCAAACACTACGGTTGGCGTTTCGTGCCCGAGCAGTTGGCGCTGCCGTTGCTTGCGAACGTGGCCGTCGGAGCTGCGCTGTACACCAGTTACCTGCAGATTTTGGGCACGCTACACGAACCTTCGGCGCATGCCAGGAAAACGGTTTACCCACCTCCACCGCCGCAGAGTACCTTCCTTGCGGGTTTCACAGCGGGCTCTATCCAAAGCGTCCTGGCAGCCCCCTTAGATGCTCTTCAGGTGCGGTTCGAACGACGAGGGCCGAGATACGAGGATAAGACCATGTGGGAATATGGCAAGGGAAAGTTAAAAGAGATTGGAATGAGAGGGATATTTGCCGGGTTCGGACTGAGTTTCCTGAAGGATAGCTTTGGGAGTGGTGTGTTCTTTTGTGCCTTTGAATGGGTCAAGGCGCAGGGGTATCATGGATACGTGCAGTGGTACTACGGACACAAGCTCGCTGAAGGTTGGCAGGGAGAAGAAGTTGGGATGAAGGAGAGAAAGCCAACACATGCCACAGCTGAGGAGCGACCAGAGGCGATGCAAGACCCTCAAGCGTTACTGGTGAGGCCGCATTACGCTATTGAACCGGCATTTCTCATGCTCGCTGGCATTTCCGCTTCGATCACCCAGCAATTCGTCCTCTATCCTCTCTCTACAATCCAGACTCTCCACTACGAGCGCCTCGAGGAACTCGACAAAAAGGCCATCAAACTCAACGCTGACAACGTGCCGCTGGCGAGACGTGGCAGGATGTTAAGGGCATACTATCACGCCTACCAAGAGACCTGGAAGCAAGCTCGCCTCCAAGCAGTGGCTGACGGGGGAATGAGGCGATGGCTGTTTCGGGGCTTCTGGTGGTTCACGATTCGGCAGGTCCCGAGTACAAGTGCGGGACTGATCATCTTCGAGTTGGTAAGAAGGAAGTATGGGCAGGAGGGTTTGGGTGATGAGGTCAGGATATCCAGCAAAGGGAAGTATGATATCCTTCTGGTATGACGGAAGCATAAGCGTTTCTGCGTGCGATGCATTCAGCTTTGGCGTCCTGGTTGGATGAGGCTGGTAGATGATAGATGGATGGGATGATACTTAGGTTGATACTGGTATCAGCGGTCTCATTGTCGAAGAATGGTGTAGGCGTAGATGTGCTCCTCGCCTCCGCAAAATCAAACAGGCAATCTCTCTCCCTTTGTGCAGTCAGCAATATTCTCAGTATCGTTGCTTCTGCTTCGGCTCTCGATAATAGGCACAGTAGAGGAGAGCTCTAGAGCGATATTCCACTAATCGATAAATTACTGCGGCGCCTGATAGTGAATATCCTCCCTGACTGCGATTCTGGATACTGGCTGCTGGGCATCTTGGTTGTCGCTAAAGACTCCGCCGCGACGTCGATTAATCGCATATCCGATCAGAATACTACTACAGCGTAGTGCGACTTGGAGTCTCCGGCAATTTACTTAGATTCTTACAAGAGTCGTTCGCGGACCAAACTAGAGTTAGGCTGGTACATCAACAAGCTGCGAATGCGTAATAACAGCAGGCCGACGCGCGTGGTAGAACCAGCTTCGCGTTGCGGCGCGGGTCGGGCAAGTTTAGCGCGGCATTTGGAGAAATATCGCCCTTCATCTTGGAACGTTGCCTCGCCTTGACCTTTGGACTTTTTGACTCGGCGAGGGAGGACCACAACGTCCGTTTCCACCTTCAATTCTGCATTTCACTCTTTCCTCATCTTTCTACTCTCGCGACGTCGTTCTATTTAGACTCATTTCTGGGTCTCGTCCACTTTCTGATAACTCGCGCCCCAATTACATCACCTGCAATTGATACGCCCTCTCACAATCCCAACTACGCCTCCGCTGAGGCAGGCAGCACAAGATGAGCGACATCGTCATCAACCCCGACGCCTTTTTCGAGCGCCTGCAAACCCTTTACAATGCCTGGAAAGCGGACAAGAGATCGGGAAATGAAGTCTTTGGCGGCGCAGACAGCATCGTCATCTTGACGGGCAAGGCTGCCGAGGAGACTGTATATGTTAAGAACAATGCAGTTCATGTGAGTCGCACTACAATCCGATCTATGCGCTTTGTGCTGCCTCGCTGAGCGGCGATGAACTCGAGGGACTGACGGATTGGTGCTATGCTATAGTTCTGGCTCCTGGGCTATGAGTTTCCGGCGACGCTGTTGATCTTCACCACGGCTGCTTTCTATGTTGTAACCACAGAGAAGAAGGGTAAGTTTCTGCGCACATGACGACGGTACCCTTTCAAGTCTCTAACTCTCTTTGCCAGCTAAGCACCTCCAAAACCTCAAGGATGGCAAGATCCCCGTCGAGATCCTTACCGTCCATATGAAACAACCCGAGACCCGAACCCAAGCCTTTGAGAAATGCATCGATATCATCAAGAATGCCGGAAAGAAGGTCGGCACTATCCCAAAGGCTGAGGCGCACGGACCTTTCGCCGATGAATGGGTCAAAATATATGGCGACATCTCCAAGGAGGTCGAGGAGGTCGACGTTTCAGGCGCCTTCTCCACGGCGTTTGCCGTCAAAGACGAGAACGAGCTGAGAAATATGCGAACCGCGGCTCGGGCAGCCAGTGGTATGATCTCGGACTATTGGGTTGATGAGATGTCATCTGTGCTTGATGAAGAGAAGAAGGTCACTCACCGTCAGCTTTGTGAAAACATGACGAAGAAGATCGACGATAACAAATTCTTCAACAAGATCTCCAAGTTGCCGAGCGATTTCGACAACCAGCAGCTGGATTGGGCGTATGGCCCTATCGTCCAGAGTGGCGGGCAATATGATCTTCGACTGAACGCGCAACCCACGGGCGACAACCTTCACTCCGGTTGCATTATTGCGGGAATGGGGTTCCGGTACAAGACCTACTGTTCGTTGCTAGCACGGACTTACTTGATCGACCCGAGCAAGTCTCAGACGTCAAACTATAAGCTTTTGCTTGCTGCGCATGACGCCGCTTTGAAAGAAATCAAAGAGGGGGCGCTGCCGAAGGACGTCTACAACAAAGCCCTGGGCGTCGTCAAGGCTCGCAGACCTGAGCTCGAGAAGAATTTTGGCAAAGACGTTGGGTCGGCTATCGGCATTGAAGTCAGGGATTCCAAATTTGTCCTGAACAGCAAAAACACCAAACCCCTCAAAGACGGGATGACATTCAGTGTCACCACTAGTCTTTCGGATCTGACAAACGACAAACCTCAGGACAAGAAGAGTACTAACTACACTCTTGTCCTGACGGATACAGTTCGAGTGACCAGAGGGGATCCGGTGGTTTTCACGAAGGAGGCACACACCGACCTGGATTCGATCGAATTCTACTTTAAGGATGATGAAGAAGAAACCAAACCGAAGCAGGAAAAGGCGAAGAAGCCTGGTGTCAGTGCTATTGTTACTTCAAATATCAAAGCGACCCGTCTCCGAGGAGCCAACCGACAGGACAACGCGAAAGAAGAAGAAGAGGCTCGCCGACGGGAGCATCAGAAGGAGTTGGCAGGCAAGAAACAGCGCGAAGGTCTCGAAAAGTATACCGAAGCGACTGGCGATCTGAATGGCGAGAACGAGAAGAAGTTCAAGAAGTTCGAGTCATACAAGCGTGAAGGGCAACTTCCTCCAAGGGCCAAGGACTTGATTGTCTGCGTGGATCTGAAAGCGTCAACTGTCATTATCCCCATCATGGGCCGGCCGGTGCCTTTCCACATCAACACGATCAAAAACGTCAGCAAATCCGACGAAGGCGAGTACACGCATCTGCGGTTCAATTTCTTGTCTCCCGGTCAGGGTGTTGGGCGTAAAGATGACCAGCCTTTCGAGGATCCCCAAGCACACTTTGTCAGATCTTTGACCATACGATCCAAGGATCAAGATCGCCTCTCGGAAATTTCGGCGCAAATCACCGAACTCCGGAGGTCGGCTGTCCGTCGAGAGCAGGAAAAGAAGGAGATGGAGGATGTTGTGGAGCAGGACAAGTTGATCGAAATCCGCAACCGTCGGCCGATCAAGCTTACAGATGTCTATCTTCGACCTGCGCAGGACGGCAAGCGAGTTCCCGGAGAGGTCGAAATCCACCAGAATGGTCTGCGATACTCGTCGCCGCTCCGCCAAGAGCATGTCGACGTGGTCTTTTCCAATGTCAAACACTTGTTCTTCCAACCTTGTGTGGGTGAACTTATTGTGATTATCCACGTCCATCTCAAAAACCCCATCATCATCGGCAAACGCAAGACGAGAGATGTGCAGTTCTACCGCGAAGCCACTGATATGGCTTTTGACGAGACGGGCAACCGAAAGCGGAAGCATCGATATGGCGATGAAGAGGAGTTCGAACAAGAACAAGAAGAACGAAGGCGCCGAGCCGAGCTCGATCGCCTTTTCAAGAGTTTCGCGGAAAAGATCTCGGATCAAGCCAGGGACTATAACGTTACGGTTGATATTCCATTCCGGGAGCTCAGTTTCAATGGTGTTCCGAACCGCAGCAATGTCCTGATGGCGCCGACCACTGACGCATTGGTTCAACTGACGGAACCACCGTTCACCGTCATAACGCTAGATGAGATTGAGGTTGCTCATCTGGAGAGAATACAGGTTCGTTCAATCCCTGGCGTGAAGATTCCGGGTTTTGCTAACACAGCGCGCAGTTCGGACTCAAGAACTTCGACCTTGTCTTTGTCTACAAGGACTTCCACCGCCCTCCGACGCATATCAACACGATTCCAGTCGAGTCGCTTGACAGAGTGAAGGAGTGGTTGGACAGCGTGGACATTGCATACACTGAGGGGCCACTCAACCTGAACTGGAGCACGATTATGAAGACGGTGACGACCGATCCCCATCAATTCTTCAAGGACGGCGGCTGGAGTTTCCTGGCCACGGATTCCGACGATGAAGATGAGGAGGAGTCGGAGGAAGAAAGCGCGTTCGAAATGAGCGACTCAGAACTGGCAGCAAGTGAGTCGGAAAGTGAGGAGGAGAGCGAGTTTGATGACGACGCGAGTGCAAGCGACGATGAAGGGGAAGCGGATAGTGGGCTGTCGGACGAAGGGGAGGATTGGGACGAGATGGAGAAGAAGGCCAAGAAGGAAGATAGGAGAGGTGGCGTGGAGGAAGAGGAAAAGGGCGGGCGGAAGCGCAAGCGATAAAGCGTGACAAAGGGAGAAATCGATTTGAGGACGAATCTCTCAGATGTTGGGACGGTGACCAGGTGAAGCCATGCAAAAGCGCGGAGTCGGGGGAGGGGTGGAAAAGTCTGCGGTTATCCTGCCGTTGCTACTGTATTGATAGTGGGCATCTACTTGCATGGTGGTCGTTGATGAACGAACGGTGCTTGGGTGTCACGTTGTTATGCACTGCATGGCTGATCTCGGCCGACAGCGTAGAGCCCCAGCCTCAGCTCATACCTATTAGTACCTAGGTAGGCGTGGTAGGCTAGGGGAGAGGAGGAGATTGGGTCGGCTCTACCCCCTGCCCTGCCCTGCCCTGCCCTGTCCTGGCGGGCGGGAAGCGGAGCGGGATGAGGCTCCTGTTGGACCTTGGTGGGCATCTTCGTCGGTGCCGCCTCGCCGCTCCGTGTCTCGGCAATTGGAAAGCGGAGATTTCCCCGAGCATCTCCAACCGTTCAACAACCATCTCACCATCTTCCAATCTCAATAGCCGAGCAGATAGCAAGACGAGCAATTAGCCTATCTTTTTTCTCTACCTTCTTCACCCATCGCTGGCCATATCGTTCTTCGAGCAGCACCGCCAGAATATCCGACTCGATAAGCTTGCTTGGAGCTGTATAGCCGTCACATCTCACCCAGTCGAATCCGATACAATCAACACGAGGGACGAAGAGAGATAACACCGAGCTGGAACGAGGGCCCGACTGAACACTATTGAGAACCCGAGCATCGAAGCAGCATCCCACTCTTTTACTCTCCTCTCTCTCTCTCTCCCGTCTCCTCACCTGGATCGAAGGTTCTTGTGACATAGAACGAGAGAGAAAGCAGCGGGTGGACGACGAAGAAGAACCATGGGCCCCTCCCTCCTCTCCAAGTCCCTCCAGGCCGCCGGCGTCGGCGCCTTTGCCAGCGTCTGCGCCTTCGCCGTGTGGACCAAGCACTGCCACTTCACGCCGCCCGCGCAGTTCAACCCGGCCACGGAGCCGCTGTTCCGCAGCGCGTGGTTCGCCCGGTTCAACCCGCAGAACCACGAGGCCACCTACGACGAGTGCGTGCGCCGCGTCGGCCTGCAGAAGATCCGGCCCGAGCTGCTCGAGGACGCCCGGCAGGGGGGGAGCAAGCTGGTCGAGGAGTTTTGTCGGGGTGTTTGGGGCGGGCCTGGTACGTCTTTGGGGGAGTGGTTTTTCATCTGTGGAGGTTTAATTTCATGTGCCTTTTTTCTTTTGTTTCTTCCCGTTGCGGACGGGTCTTCTACGCTTTCTGGAAGGAGGGGGGTGCGGTTATGTGTCTCGGCGGCAGGTTCTGGGAGAGCCTGGGTTCTTTTACCTAGGAAGACCAAGGAATCTTGGTGGCTTGCGCTGGGTGTTGCTGGAATCATGTCTTCGACGGCTTCCCTCGACGGATAAAGGGGGGGCTTCAGACATCGCTTCTCCAAACCCCTTTCTGCCACGCCATGCCATGCCCTGCCCTGCTCTCTCCCTCATTTATATATCCACGCTCCGCTCTCCTCCCCCTCAAACATCCTACAATCCAGAGCCCAGCATAAAATAAGCCCTACTGACTCCCTCGCCCCGTTGGGTGCGAACCAGGCTACACGATCCAACGGCTGTACCTGCAGCGCAAATACCGCAACGCGACGACGACGGCGCACCAGCTGTGGACGCCCGCGCAGCTGCGGTCCTCGACGTACGAGCCCGGCACCGAGATCACGGACCACTTCGTCGTGCTGGCCAAGACGCCCACCAGCATCCTGATCCGCTGCGGCGACTCGCCCCTGCACAACCCGGACCGCGCCCGGCCCTCGGACGGCCTGTTCGAGATGTGCGCCACCGCCGACTTCGACCAGGGCGTCGCCGAGTTCCGCCTCAAGAGCATCTTCTACGTCGGCGAGGGCGAGTGGGCGTCTGCCGCCGGTGGGGAGAAGGGAGAGGGCACCGCGCACCAGTGGGAGAATCGGGGTCCCATGCAGGGGACTATGCTGTACGCCCACAAGTTGTACACCAAGCTGTGGATGGAGAGTGCGCTCAGAAGAGTCAAGCAGTGAATTGGTGCGTGGTAAGGAGACCAGGTCTGGCAATTGTAAATATTTGGCATCGAATGGAAAGCAATAGAGGCACTGTGATGAATGAAGATTCAGCTACTCATGTGTGTATGTTTCTCTCAGGCTTCAGTCAATCAATTCTTCTGGCATTCCCCGAGCCATAGTCGATTCACCCTCAGCTCTGCTAAGCTATTCAGCTCCCTTCCTTGCTCACGAAGGCAAAAATTCGTTTGCCAACCACGATATTCCAGGTACACACACTCCCAATGGCCTTCGAATCGACCCCGCCTCTCACGTCGATCACAGCCGTTCCCACTTGGCTGTCTTCCAATGGTGCTGGCGAAGCTCTCTGTTTGACATCCTGCTGATGCATACTGTCTCCTACTGTCCTGGTATTGGGTTCTGATCTTGTCTCAAGTCGTCCAAGCTGTTTAACCAGTGTGACGAACATAGTAGAAGTAACCGCTGGTCGCGTGCTTTTCCCAATGGCCGGCCGGAAAGTCACCCTTCAAGGCGTCGTTGTATTCCCTCAAAGTCCAGCTTCCGTCAAGTTCCTTGCACCAGAATTGCGGACTTGCACCAGGTTTATACGGTGCCAATTGAGAGGGTTGCTGCTGCGCGGCTTGAAGGTTCGCGAGCAAAATGGCGTTCTGTGCTTGGATTTCTGCCGCTGTCGCTCCAACGAAATATGCCGGCGCATTTGGCATCGCTGCAAGAGCGGCGTTGGCGGCGACTGCTGCAGCGGCTTGTGCCGGACCTGGCGGTTGAGACCATGGCGAAGTCATGGGGAATTGAAGGGGACTTGGGGCTGTATAGTATGGTGAGTAGTTGTACGGATAGAACGGGGTGGTTGGTGTAGAAGTGGCAGGCAAGGTGTAGCAAGTGTATGCAGAGGAGGTGTAGGGCCAACCAGTTGAGGCAGAAGGAGGGCTCATTCCGTAGTAGAGGCCATTCACGTAGTAGCCGGCTGGGGCACTCGAACTACCCTGGGATGAGGCGTGAGTGAGGTCCCCTTGATGAAAGGCAAAGACGCTGATGACTTACTTGGAAGTAGTACATTGCTGGCTGAGAGGGTTGATTTGACTGATAGACTGGCGCTGGTGGATGAATTCCCTGTAAACCTCCTTGGTTAGAGACGTAGAGATAGGTTCGAGGCCAATCTGCCGGGTTCTCCCAGTAGCCAGTCGACCCTTGAGTATTGACAGCGGAGGGATTGGGGGTTTGGTAGGTGTAGAAATGGGGCATTGTTCGTCTGATGAGAGCATGAAGCAAAGACGAAGGTAGCAAGTGAAAAGGATGTGAGTTGCTTGATGGATAAGTTCAAGAGAGAGGGATAGAGGCGAGCGAGGTCCAGGTGCAGGTTCAGAGCTCCCAGAGAAGCAGGATTTTCACATCGACTTCACTTGCAACGCACCTGCCGATTGTCTGGATAGAAGCCGTGGTTCTCGTCGAGGAAAATGTACTCTTGCTTGACGGGTTCGGCGGCCAGTTGGACATTGTGAGCCCATGGCCAGCCACCGCAGGAAAAACACATGACGAAGTAGATGATGACGATGATAGTAGTGGTGATGAATGTAGGGGATTAGAACGATATGGGACGAGGGGAAGAATTCGTCGACCGCCTTTCGAGAGCCGGAGAGGAGAGGAATGAAGGGGAGGAGGTGGTAAAGGACTGGCAGGCGGATCTTAGAACTGGGTGCAGAAGCAAGGCCAAGGTCAAGGTCAAGGTCAAGGTCAATCAATACGCCTTCACTCTCAACTGCACTGCTTTGCATCCATCAACTTCAGGCCATTCATCAAGAGACGCAAGCTCCTGCCCATTCTCATCCCATTGAGGCTCTCCTGCTGAATAGGCCCGCGGGACCAGACTCTTCACCTCTCCTGCTGCTCTTTGATAAGTGCCATTGTCTCCGAAGGTGATGCTGCTCGTCCACTCTGTGTCTCATTCTTTCTCGCTGTTCAATCCTGACTGCTTCTAGTTCCTTCATCGTCATGGTCATCGACAAGGCCGCCACACGTTGCAGGTCATCAGCCGACAATGCAGGTGTTTACAGACAGCGAAGAGCAGGATACACTGTGCGGTGGAAATTGGGGAGGACAAAGTTGTAGCTGCCAGACGCGCGAAGACACGCCTTTGACGGCCAGTGACGCGCTAGAAACGCGCTCATCATATGGATAAACCACATTTTGGCCGTCGACGTCATGAATTGAGTCCACGATGCAATATTGTACCACGATCAATACTCCAGTGGCAAGTCAACATGATCAGTCGCTTCTAGGATCACGCTAGTCGCAAGTCAGACGCCTACATATATCTCCCGCCAGTGACCCGAATCACAGCTTCCAGGTCGACCGTCCCGTCCAGGGTTTGCGGCAACGGCTGCCTGCGTCGCTTCAGCGCAGGCAGCCTTGCCGAGCCTTTTGACCAAAACCACACAGTCAAACTGCGGTATTCTACCTTGGTCTTCATCCTCGGATCATTGTTAAACGTCCTCCTCTGCAAGCACACGCCATGGCCTTCAAAAGCGAGGACGGCATCATGGTCGCCCCGATACACACCATCGACCTCTCCCTCGAGCCAGAAGACCGCTACAAAGCCCTGGCGCAAGCTTACAAGAGCGAGCTTCGAGGCCTTACTGCTTTATTCAACAGCCTACTGACCGACATTGGTCTCTCCAGGATCTTCCATGGCCCGGTCAGTCTGCTCGCTCGATTACTCCTCCGAGGCCTGAGCTCCCCTCTAGAGACTGCCGAGCTGAATGGCATAGCCAAGGTGACCGGGCTCCCGATCCATCTGCTTGTCAGCTTCAATGTGATCTTGGACTGCCTCATGGGATGCACCTCGGGCGCCGTCAAAGTGCTGGAAGCGGGACGGCCCACAGGACAAGCCCGCATGCTCCATTTTCGCACTTTAGACTGGGCAATGGACCCTCTCCGGTCGATCATCGTCCAACTGGAATTTGTTCGAAGCAGATCGGCCACACCTGGACGGATTATCGCTCGAAGCGTCACATATGTGGGTTTTACTGGGATCTTGACGGGTGTCCGTGAAGATCTGAGTCTGTCTCTCAATTTCCGAGGTATACACAATGCTGCGCGTAGACGCGACCATGCGAGGTTCTACCTTCATCATCTGCTCGTTCTCCTGGGATACCGCCAGTCGATATCAAGCATCCTGCGTGGATATATAACACCCGAGGATCCAGAAGACGATCAGTGCAAGAGTCTGGAAGAAATCTCGGACGAGCTCGTCCCACGTCACACTACTGCGGCTTACCTGCTCCTTTGTGACGGCGTGTCGGCGATGGTCATTGAAAAGGATTATGAGACCGGCGTGATCCGACAGTCCGATACCTTCATCGGTGTTACCAACAATGATGAAGAAGAGTTTGGGCTATCGAACGAAGCAACGCCTTTTGCGGCTCATGTCTCGGCCAAGTCTGGTGTAAAAACGGGAATGGAAGCAATTATTGAAGAAAGTAGGGATAGACTGGACGCAATCTCCTTGAGATGGAGAGCTTGTCTGCGAAAAGCGAAAAGAAAATCCAAGAAAGAAGGGAAGGACCCCAGCCAAGCAGAACGAAATCTGGCGATCACAACAGATGAGGTGATTGAATGGGTTTCAGCATACCCGACCACCAACGAACAGACTCATTTTGCGACCGTCCTGGATCCTGTCAACGGACAGGTAGTCTGGACACGCCTTTATCCCGCACCGGCTGAGTGAGGACCTGAATATTCAGATCCTTTCCCAGACAACCCGTCGGCGACATAGTACAATGCGCTGCTGAGGGAAGGATTTTGTCTTCGACTGAGACCTCGGACTCGGCGTCGAGGATCGGAGACAACATTATCATGAGCGTTTGCGGGGCTGTTGACGACAACAAGCTCCGGAGCAATATCGAACGATTGAATACAAACACCCGCATGCACCCATACCCGGTACGATTGCGTGTCGTCCGAAGCCAGTATTGGCCGTACTCCCCGCTGTAGAGCGAAGACGTGGGCGCATAAATGCAAAAAGGCAATAATAATCAAACTAAGGTTCCATGGAGGTGACGATCGTATTCCGGATGGCGTTGACTCCCGATGTTTGGGATGCAATGCATGACGCTTTGACCCAGGGAGAAGCTTTTTCTATATATGGAAATATGGAGAAAAGGGACAACAACACCATACCACAAACCCCCCTTTTCATCGATACAGGCATCGACAAGGCCATCGCCGCCGTCGACTCGTCATCCATCCTCATACTTGGCTGTCAACATCGAATATCCATCTGGCCTCAGACCTATGGGATGACGTTTCGCACACCGTGGCCGACAGTGGATGCGTCTACATACAACAACAACAACAACATGGACTACTACCGGACATGTCAAGTTATCCTTCTATCCATCCAGCGGTCCACCCACAAATGTTTGCTCGTTCCGGAACTTCGGATGTCTTGGTATTGATGTCGATCCATCACAGCCTGTGAAGATGAAATAGAAGGCGTTGCCTCCCCCTGTCTATCGGGCGCTCGACTATCGTTCTTTCACTTCCTTCCTCCTTCGTGCTTTCCATTTGTCAAAGCAAATCTGTTTCTTTTGCTATGAGCTGATCTGCAAGAGTCTCAGATATCCTTCGTTATCATCCCAAATTTCGTTCGTTTAACCACCATAGACACTCGTTGACACAAACCCACCATCTATCACAGCCAACATGTTCCTGTCATCGGTAACTCTTGCCCTAGCGGCCCTATCTTCACTCACCATGGCCATGCCCCCTCGCCGGGCCCGGCATCATGCTTGTACATCAGACAATATCAAGGTCCGCAAGGATTTCGACTCGATGGCCCCCGAGGAGCGCAAGGCCTACACTGACGCCATCAAATGCCTGGCAACCAAGCCCTCGCAATTGGACCAAGACCTCTACCCTGCTGCAACCAACCGCTACATGGACTATGCTGTCATTCACGTCAACCGAACAAGAGAGGTCCATCTGTCTGGATTCTTTCTGACCTGGCATCGCTATTACCTCCATCTGTTCGAGCAAGATTTGAAGCACCAGTGCGGCTACACTGGGGCATTCCCTTACTGGAACTGGCCTGCGACTGCAGATGATCTTCAGGGCAGCAAAGTCTTTGACGGATCCGAGTATTCCATGTCTGGCGATGGTGAATATGTCGACAGCGGTCCCGTGGTGCTTTCGCCAACTCTTTCGCTTCCCCATGGATCAGGAGGAGGGTGCATCAAGTCTGGGCCTTTTGTCGATTGGGAGACGACGATGCAGCCTATTCCCGTCAGCTACATCATCCAGGGTCTTCCACTACCTGACACCGCTTTCCAGCTCAACCAAAGCTGCCTTGCTAGGGACCTCAACACCTACGCCGCGCAGACGTATACCAACACCACCGCGCTCGAGCTATGCTTGGAGGCCGAAGACATTGCATCTTTTGACACTCAGATCAACGGCGTGATCGGCGGTGGTCAGCTGGGATTGCATTCCGGCGCCCATTTCGTGGTGGGGTCTCCTGGGTCGTCGATATATGTCTCGGTGATGGATCCCATCTGGTGGGCTCTCCATGCATTTTTGGACAATCTATACACTTCGTGGCAGATCCGCCATCCAGACATCGCAGATACCATCTACGGCACTGAAACAGCTGTCAATCTTCCACCGAGTGCCAACGTCACGCTCGACACCATCTTGCCGGATTGGGGATACTTCCAAGAAGACCAAATCTCAGTGGGAGAACTTATTAGTACGACCTCCGGACCGTTCTGCTACAAGTACGATGTTGCCTTGTGATCGACCTTCTTGGACGTCGGCCAGCACGCAGCATCATTCTTACGGCCGCTCCTTTGTCAACCGGTTGCGTTAGGAATCCGGGCTTACAGGGATTCGTTTGGGAAGTTCTGTCTCGGTGGTCTAATACAACCTTTATATGCTCTCACGGTTGGGTGTCTACGGTGTCTAGTGTGGGTTGGGTATTCCGGGGGGGTTTCGGCGTTTGGGGACTTTGGAGAACATTACGCCAGACGGGCGTTGACTTGGTTTAACTACTCCAATATGATTTCTATGTTCAACACACCTGTGCCCTTTGGTCACCATCTCCAGTGCAATTTGACGTTTCTAACGGATGGTTAGACGGTCCATTCTATCTAAAAGTGAGATTTGACGGCGACATTCCAGGAAGCCCTGTCGCGTAGCTTCAGACCTAGACCCGGACCCAGACACCCTGCACCTTCAAGTACTGCTGGCGGTGGTGGTGGTGGTGGTGGTGGTGGTGGTGGTGGCGAACACGCCCTCCTCTGCTCTTGGGTCATTCGTCGAGCTGTCTGCATACATGGGCACCACATGCCCAGGCTAGGCTTTATGGATGGAAGGCGAATTGCGCGACGGGCGATAGTCTGGTTTCGCCGTTGCGACAAACAAGATAGCCTTGGGATCCAATCTAGAAGAGAAGTTCGCATTGTTTTTGCCTGTCGGGTCGTTGGGGGTGGGAGTGAGGGCATGGAGTCTACGAGTATGCGGGAAGAGCGGGAGAGCTGTTCGTCGGTCTACGAGTAGAGAGGAAGGACATGTCCAATCCCATCATTACATTAGCTACTCGCTCACTCACTCGCTCACCCACTCCATTGCGCTACCACGTTTCTCCAAGCGCATACATATCCCAGCTATTCATTTGACATAAGCTAGGGACAACGGGGGGACAAATATCCACCTTCATTTCTTCTTCTTTTTGGTCTTGTCCTCCACGGCCACCCACCTCCTATCGACGCCTCTCCGGGCCATTTCCTTCTCGACCACGTCCCTCTGGTCGCCCTGCACGAGGATCTCCATGACGCCGGGCTTCCCGCCGACCAGCTGGCCCACGCTCGCGGACCCGGCGCACTTCTTCTGCAACTCCGGCCCCAAGACGTGCGGGTTGATCCCAAAGACCTCGAGGCCCGAGATCTTGGTCACGACCTTGGTTCCCGAGCGCTTCTCGACCACGATGTTGAGCTGAGGTGGGGGCCCGGGTTTGGGCTTCAGCGCCGGATCGGGCGAGTCGGCGTCGTAGGTCTGGGAGTTGCGGAGCAGCAGCCAGTGCGGGATGCAGAGGTGCGAGTCTTCGAGGATGCGCTTGAGCAGGGCGTCGCGGGCGATCTCGCCGGCGGCCAGAACGCGCGTGTCGGTGGCGGTGGGGTTCGAGTTGAGGATGTTGTTTGAGATAAAAGGGTCGAGTTTGACGAAGCGCGGAGACGAGGTGTTCTCGCTCAGCGCGGGCTCGTTGTCAATGTACTTTTTGAGGAAAGAGGAGATCTGCGACGATGTGTAGTATGTGGTTTTGGACGGGATCAGGTCGGGGACCAGCTTGCTGGAGGCTCGATAGACCGTCTGCAACGTGAGTTTCTGCCCGAGAGAGGTATCGGCTCCGCTGGCCAAAGGTTGGGCGGTGTCCACGCTGCCCGCTGGCGTTTGGGCTTTTGGTTTCGGCAATCGGTACGGTTGGAAGTTGACCACTCGGTGATCATCGAAATCGACGTCCAGAATCACCGTCTCCCCGCCATTGCGGTCTTTGGACTTGACGAGCACCTGCTTTTCGAGATATTTGATAAACTTCTTGGTGTTTTTCCAAGAGGTTTTCTTGATGGTGTAATGTTGGTTTGGAAAGCGGAGATGCGGTTGAACCATGTTTGAGATCACAAAAGATGGCTGTATAGGAAAGTCGAGTCCGTGATGTGGAGGGGCGGCGGCCTTCTTCGCGTCGTAGAGGGCATAGAGAAATGCTTGTACAAATGCTTCGTCGACTTCGGCGGTCGATGGTTCCCGCTCTGCGTCTGCTCCTGCCTCTGCCTCGTCCTCTCGAGCCTCGTCTGGTCCATCGGCATCATGGGTCCCGTTTTCAGTCCCGCTTTTTGGAGCGTCGAGGGTTACGCCGCCCTCTTCTTGCACGTCTTCATCTTCGTCGCTTTCTTCCAGATCCAGCTTTCCCACTCCGTCTTGTATGTCACCAGATGGAAAGTCCCAACCATCTATCGTCTCTGGAGCAGTTCGGCCTCCACTTCCAAACTGGCTCCAACCCCAGATTTCGTCTCCCTCCCAGTGGACGCCCTCGACCGCAGCACCCTTCGCTCCTTGCACCCTGCCCAAACTCGATATGTCGATCTTACATATGCCCACCCAGAGAGGCACGGTAGGCTTCTTCAAGCCCGCAACTGCAACAACCGACCCTGGCTTTGCAGCTTCGGGCCACGGGGGACCGCCCACAAGCCCGGGCGTCATCAGATCTGCGCCCGTGCGGAGTTTCTCGACGACGAAATCCTGGGTATGTAACAATGGAACAATTCCCGGGTTATGCCACAGTGTATACACCGTCGGGTATAGCCTCGAATCTTTTCCATATTGAATCCACAGTATCCTCTCCTCTTGGCCCGGATGTGCGCCTACATACACTGTCCCCGAGACTAGTGTCGCATTGGGTCCAGCGTGAGTTGTGAAGCGCGCAGAGAGGCATGTTTCCGGAACAAGACTGGTGCGGACGGACGTGAGTGCGGGAGTAGGGTGATGGATCGAGGCGGTAGGGGGTGGGTTCTCTGCCGTCGCCGCGTCGGGATCGATCTCTTCCAGCGTGGGCACATGTACCCTGTAGTCGGCGATGATCTGATCCGCGAGTTTGCGGCGATCAGAGGATCGGAGGGGCGAGAGGTTCTTGATCTGAGGCTTCTTCTTGAACATGCTGCGGGGGTTAGATGCCGGGCAGAATCGAAGTATAGTTGTAGAAAGGGCTCGGAATTCACGACCGTGGTGGGCAGCTTTGTGCGGAGAGGGGTGAGACCGCGTGGAATGATATTAAGCGGTCTGGCTATTCGTGCGTGGAAGAAAGCGAATATGGTCCAAAGTCGGGCTTTTTGGGGGCTCCGCCTGCAGAAACCCAAAGAAGCGAAGAGCAACAGAATCACCCGGACAGTGAGGCACGACGAATACTGGTGAGTTGAGGAACAGGGAGTCAGTGTGCGACATTGGAGGCTCAACACACCGACAAGAAATTTGGAGGCACCAGAGGTGGGGGATGAAGATACGTCATTTCAAACAACGCAGTCAGTCACGCAGTCACGCAGTCACACCAAGTCAAACGCCACTCTCAAAGAGACTCCCTCTCCTCGCCGACCTCGAATCGCACACTGCTGTATGACTGATGCGCTCGAGTCACGAAGCGTAGATGCCGACTTTCTTCTGCTGAGCCTCTTTCCACCAACTGTCTGCATTCTCAGCAATCCCAAGCAGTTCGATGTTCTCCCTCAGTCGGCGCTTCGCTGGCTGGTCAATCCCGCATTCCTCATTCCTCTCCTTCATCGCCGTGTCCACATCGAGCTGCCTGGACTCGGTCAGAGAGCCCATGAGCGTTGGAGGGCCCAGCGGCAGGTCGTCCCCTCTGTCCACCTGCCAGAAGTGGTACAGTTTCCCGTAGAGAGTGACGACCTCCTCCATGGCCCTGGTTTCGAGCTCGTCCCACTTGTCCTTGCGGCGCTTGTGAGACGCCGGGTAAGGGAGAACCAGCATGCCGGACTTGACTTCGAACTCGTGCGAGTGCCAGTATCTTTGTTCCTCTGGGTCGAGCGCCTCGTAGCGAGCTTTGGGGATCATGAACTCGACGCCAATGAGTCGAGCTCCCGGCTTGCACGAGTCGTAGATGAGGCACTGCCGAAGATCTGCAAGGAGGGGTTAATGCTTTATTTTGTCTTCACAGAGAAAGCTGTTCGCTGAACCTTTGCTAACGTGCGAACAAAAGTGGTGCGCTGAAACGGTCCTCACGACTCCCCGGCGAGCTTCGTCCGTGTAGATGTGAAGGGCGTGGAGGTATTCACAGATATTGTGCAGTGGCTTCATCTCGGGCTCGGTCGTCCCTCGCACATGCGTCTGGATCCCCAAATACAAGAGCCACGATTTGAACCAGGCGGTTGGGCTGAACTGGAGCGCCCACGAGGCGAGTCCAGATATGCCCGGGCTGACGACTTGGTTTTGGCTCATGGTCAATAGTCGCTGCGTGGTTTTCCGGTGTCTGTTTCTTCCGGGAGATGGATTCCTGTAAGGAGTCCAAATAAAAGCTTGGAGTATATAGACAGAGCGAGAGAGACACGAAATGAATGAATGAATGGTAATTGATATCCATCGACGACTCTGTTGTTTCTGAGGACTGATGTCACTGCTCTCCAGGGTTCGATCAGTATGACCTCAATTGGTCTTTCATCCTCCCTTCTCTCCTTTTCATTTCACTTTCCCCTCCAGTGTCCCCCCGGGGGATCGTGGGCGCAGCTGAAGAGAATGTCCAAGGGCATTTGTTGTCTTGCTGTGCAGCCTTCTACAACACTCACGCTCGGTCCATGACCTTCACGAATCCAGGTTGATTACTACCAACTCATCCAACCCCTCGGATGAATTTCCCGGTGGAGGTTTTGTTGTGCGCACCGATGACTTGTGCGTACCGCATGCGGGGAGAGGATGGAAAATAAACCACCGAACCAACAAGGAAGGGGACACACGGTTACTCCATACCTAACTCGCTACATACCTTCGGAGCACAGAAGAAGGTATGGAGAACCGGACCGTACCACCATTGTCATCCCCCGCTGAGGGGACGAGGCTGTGTGGCGGTCCTCAGGTTCAACGCCGAGGATACACGAAGTATATGAATGCTAGCTTCGCCCCCCCCCTCGACTTGCTCTTTGTAAGTACTTTTTATCCTTCCTGATTCATTCAAGTCTCCCTGTTGTCAAGAAAAAGAAAAGTCTCTCTGCCTCGCACTGTTCAGGTTTCGACACAGTCCCAAAGAAATATTAAGATGGTCGGCCGTCTGGAAGGAAAAGTGGCCATAGTCACAGGTGGGGGTTCCGGCTTTGGAGCTGGTATTGCGGCCAAGTTCATCCAGGAGGGCGCAAAAGTGCTCATCTGTGACCTGTCTGAGCAGAACGGCACCAAAGTCTCCCAATCCCTGGGTTGCGAGTTCTTGGCTGCCGATGTCACGAAACGTTCGGACTGGGAAGCGCTGCTGAAGAAAGCCGTTGATGCCTATGGGGGGTTGGACATCGTCGTTAACAACGCCGGCACCACTTACAAAAACAAACCCACCGAGGATGTCACGGACGACGACTTCGATTTGGTCTTTAACGTCAACGTGAAAAGCATTTACTTGTCGAGCAGTGTGCTGCTCCCTTATTTCATGGGGCAGAATCGACCTGGCTGCTTTATCAACATTGCCTCGACGGCAGGGATCAGGCCGCGGCCTGGGTTGACTTGGTATAACGCTTCCAAAGCCGCTGTGAGCAACGCTACCAAAACCATGGCGGTCGAATATGCGCCCAAGAAGATTCGCTTCAATGCAGTCTGTCCTGTGGTGGGCAGTACCGGGCTGTGGGTCTCTCCGTCCTGTCCTTATACTCCGTCTGAAGTGGGGTTTTCTCATTGACTCTGACCTCCTCCAGGACACATCTTTTCATTGGGAAGCCAGACACCGAAGAGAACAAGAAGGCCTTCGTATCGACCATTCCGCTCGGACGAGGTAGTACGCCAAAAGACGTGGCAAACGCTTGCTGCTATCTTGCGAGCGACGAGGCCGAATTTATCACTGGCGTTAACTTGGAAGTCGACGGAGGGAGATGTGTGTAATGACTCCCATGACTCCTTTGGGGTCACCGATGGGAGGGAAATAGTGCAGAGGATCAGAACGCAGCGCTAGCCAAACTGCTGTATCGAAGGAGGATAGTATGTGAATGTGCAGGGCCAAACCGTCAGTAGAACCTGCTACAGTCGTATGTTTACCCTTCATTCCCCGTCGAACCTCAGTAGGGTCATGGCCTCCTGCGCCTCGTCTTCAAATGAATCCGGAGATGCTGGTCCCAGCCCGAGAGAGCACTGGGATCCTGGACCCATTGAGAGCGCGTCTAAACCTACCGTTTTAGGAATAGGTATCTTGACTCGTTTACGTGAAAATCAAAGAGTAGAGTGGATGTCAAGGATCTGTCAGAGCAAGAATTGATGGACAGTAAGGATGTGTGCCAACCTATCGGAATACCAGGTGCCAGGAATCTGCCGTCGAGAAGTCATGTGTCGGCGTAGAGTCCGAGAGTCGATAGCCGCTAGGACAATCTCCTTCATGTCCTGTCAGAAGGAGAAACCGTCTTCCCGCACCTTCTCTCAAATTTTGACTTTCATCCCCTACGGCCTTCGCAATCCACCTCGGATTTCTCAAAGGGCGATTGCTGGTGTCGCAAGAGGGTTCAGACCGCAGTGATACAGACCGGGACCGTGGGCAGAGGCAGCACTTACCAGGTTGAGATGAGGTAGCATCCGCTCCGCAACGCAGCCAGCCATATGTCAAATTCGGATGCTAAATATGACATGGCAGCGGCAGCGAGGCCTTAAATTGCGAAGCCTCGCGGTCTTTCCGGGAAGTTGTGGGAATGAGTGGTAACTGTAGGATCAGTGACCCCAACGGGACCGACGAATAAGCCGGGTAGGCTTGATCTTTCGCGTATGGAAGACGTCAGGTAGGGCTGGATATGAAATTATGCTGCTCATGAGACATCCTGCTGCCATTGTGGAGAGTGAATCCTGCAAAGGACGATGGCTTTCCACTCACCATCGTCAACAATCCCGTGTGTTACAGGACAACCACAGATTGTGATCAGCAGGCATCACAAGGACGCATGGATTGACGGTCAATCTCGTCCGTTCAACCAATGTATGGTCTTCTGGTCAAATGACAACGTGAGCCTGAGGGGGGCAGGCACAGGTCCATGGCCCAATCATTAAGTATTTTCGCGTCATGGGATGGCCAGGTTGGGACCACGCATGACGCTTCCTCACGCCTCAGGCCACAATCTCTGCTGATTCCAGAATCCAAGAAGTGATTCCAGAAGCATGTTCGTTGGCTGTGATTCGTCCAGACTCAGTCCGGACTATTGAGTCTGCCGGAGAATTTCTGCACCACTCATTGCAGTTCAGGCCAAGGTGCGCACGCTTTCGACCAGCCCAGACGGGCGACTCGGGTGTAACGGCGAAGAGGAGGGTCGAAAGCCCTGTCAAAGGCGTGGAATACCGCGGGAGCTTACTTGTTCGACCTGGTTGGCCGTCCAAATCGATGCCCATGTGGATGGTGCTGCTGACTGCCCTTGAAACTGACCAATTCTGAGCCCACGGGCAGCCCGTTGGAAAAGATTTGACCGCCAAGTACCTCGTACTATGGACCTCTGACGCAGGTACCAGAGGTGAGCGGGGATAACCATTCGAATCGCTTAGTGGTGGTTGATCTCATCTGCCGCTGCTTGGTTTGGGAAATGGAAAGAAGAAGAAGAAGACCATGTCGTTTTTGATTTGGGCTGTGGCGGTTCTGTCGATTTTGATGACACCGATATCGTGTCAAGCTTGCTGGACTGCTCGCTGAGCAACCAGTCGAATGAGTGGGACAAAGCATTTGGGAGGTGGAAATCAGAGTCGATCCCGGATCCATGAGGGAACAGTGCCAGCCAACAAGAAGAAAAGGGCGACGTGCATTTCCACCCTTCGACCATTCCCCCAACATTTCGATCTTCTCCGTCCTCCTCGTCCTCCTCCCAGGCGGCTTGACCCTCCATGTTACCTATGAGTGCGGACGGTACGTATGCGTTCCGTAAGCGAGGCAGCGCAGGCTTTTCTTTGACACGCGATAATTTCATCTGCCCCGGTCCGTCTCCTTGGACGCGAGGGGATTGCTTCAGGGGCGTTGAAGCGCGTGCTTCTTGATCTCTTGATGGCGCATGGGCCTCTTCGATAATAATGGCGCTGTCTGTGCACAGATGAGAGTGCTCGGAGGAGCAGCAGCAGCAGCAGGACGGAGTAGTGCACCGATCAAGGAAGCACTTATGCACAGCTAAAGGACACAGTCACCAACCGTTGCTTTTCCTTGACTCACTAGGCCATCGCTTTGATGCATGGGGGAGGGGCTGCAAGGGCTGTCAAGGAGCTGTCAAACCACCCCGGCAAGCCCAGCCTCCAACCACTGCTTGACTTTGTTTTTCGCGTCCGAGGACCAAGGCTTCACTGGGGGGGCCTAGACCTAAAACGCCCTGCTGGCTGCCGAACTCCAGTCTCTCGGCGGCTGCTGCCCCGGGACATGGTGGAGACAGGCCGCTGGGTCAGGCGAGGCCTCAGCCGTCGGGCTGGTGTTGCGGCGAAGGATCAGAGCCACTGTCAGTACCAACACCGAAAGGGTCATCGTCCCGCGTCTCCCCGGTCGTTGCCGTCCTAGGGGCCAGGGCCCGTTGATCTCTTTCCCAGAGGGAAGCTCAATGTCCGAAACTCGATGCTTGGGGAGCCCTCCCAGTTTCGGGCCCAGGTGCGCGGGGGGGATTGGACTGCCCGAAGACTCTGGCCAATACTAGCATTCCTGGGCGTGGTCTTCGCCCATCGGTGCTGCCTCCAGAGCCTGTCCATCCCCATTCTTTTGGGCTGCCCGCTCGGGGCTTCCCTCGGGTAACCACTTTGTTTGCCCCTGCAATCTATCGCCTTTTCCCGCGGCCATGTCCCTGGGACTCCCTGCCAACCACGTTGAGGAGGCTTGCTGAAACCTGCCAAAGATACGGAAACGAAAGCATGGGAATTCTTTCGTCAACGCCATGCAGGATCCCATACGTCAGCTGCCTCAAGAATCTGTTGCCTCCAGTATTGCACAGACTCGCGACCGCTTCAGCCAGCTTTTTGGACAGATGGCCCCAAGAAAGACGAGTGGGTGGGTGCAGGCAAGGCAGGCAGGCTGTATGACTTGGGCCCGTAGTGCGGAATCTGTGACAGATTCAGGGTGGCACAAAAGTCCCCTTGTTCGAGTGGCACGTGTGCGACGGGGGCATCTTGCTGGTTGGCTTGAGGCAGATGCTGGGGATCAAACAACCCGGGCTCGCACGATTCTGGGTTGCAATTTTGCAAGGATGCTGCACAGTGCACACTGAGAGCTCCAGGATTGATCGTAGGCCATCGATATCAAGTGTCAAACCCACGCCGAAGCCAGAGCGTGCTCTCCCTATTCCTCGTACGCGAGCCCTTGGCCTGTGCATCAGTCCACTCCCTGCCATTTGGAACTATGTTTCTCGTGGACGGACCGATTCCTCAGCTGTCCGAGGTGAGACTAGACGAGTTGCTCGGGCTGGGTGCTGATTGTCTAGCTATCTATCTGAATAATCAGCATAGCTGGAGAAAGCTTTCGACACGTGAGACTCCAGTACATGCTCAGAACGAGGATCATAAACCTGGAGCTGCGGTGGCACAACAACCACAACCACCACCACAACAGGGTCTTTTGTTTTGTCAAGAATTTGCTGTGATGCAATGCGCCCATGCAGTAGGCTGGCAGTTGCTAGCGGCTGAACCTCAACTTCGTAGCCTCTTTTCTTTCTGCGCGGGATCCTCCCTTGCTCTCCAATCATCCGTCTGGTCTAGCCCACACGACGGGGATGATAACCGACCGAACTGCACGAAGGGGGTGTCAAGTGCAGAGCATGCTTTCCCCAAAGCGTTCATGGCGGCCATGCACTGGGACGAGGGCGAGGGAACGTGCGCAATTTAGCCCGCCCACCAAGAGTCCAGGCTAGCAATAAGTAGCGAGTACGAGCAGGATCGCCTAACACTAGGCACAAGATGGCCAGCAGAAGCCCACCCTCCATCCCCCCTGAGAATGCGCCAATGGCAAACCAGAGAGACCCCCCAATAGCCAGGGTGTTGAACCATCCATGCTGCAGTGCCCGTGCTGGTTGAAATCCACGCTCTTGAGATTCTTGTTGGTGGTACAACCGGGTTGACAACAGTAAGCAAGAATGAGGGGGAGGCCGCCGACGGGGAAAGACTGATAACAATAGCTGAGAGGAGAAGTGCAGTCGGGGTGGGCATCGGGCCCGCTTCAAGGACCCGAATGGAATGGCCGGGCAGTTAGTGGGAGGCCCATGATTCTGACCTGTTAGGCGTACGAAGGGTGGAGCGAGCCATGGGGAAAGCCTAGTAGCCATCTCGTAGGCTAGGCCCAAAGCCAAAAGCACCATCCCAGGGCACCGCCGGACAGTGGCCACTGGCCAGTGGACGGTAGCCAGAGACAGGAGGCAGCGCTGGCCCGCTGGCCCGCTGGGCTGCTTCGCCTACCATGCTGGTGCTGCTGCCGGCGCATGGTCCTGGCGTCTGGTGCTGGTCGGTGCCGCTTTTCCAGATTTTCGCTGGCGCCGTGTCCTTCCTGGCTCCCCGGCTGCGACGTCGCTGCATCCCCATCTGCACCCTCTTCTTCCCACTCTCTCCCACTCTCCTCACAGCTCTTCCTGCTTCATTCCTGCCCTCGCTGTCGCTCACTTCATCGGCAGGGTACCGTGCAAAGTCATTCCCTCAGACTTTGCCCGCCCTCTCCTCGGCCCTCGAACTCTTCTCGCATTAGGTCTTCTCCGTTCGGGGGGGCATTGGATGGTCTAGAGGGAAAGGATATTTGTGTCTATTCCTGCTTCAAACCGTTCTCGTGACGGCCCCGACTCAATCAGCGGCCGAGCATCCTCCCAACCCTCCGGCTCCTCCAAAAACCTTGTATCCCTCTGTCGCATTTTGTCTCAAGGCAAACTCGCGTCCGCTCTCTATCCACCAAATCCCAATCCAAAGATCGACCATTGTTGGGAATATCACCAAGGACGGACCGCGCTGACAGGGTCATCCACTGTCTTGCCTCGGGGTGAAGAAACTGAGAATATTTTTGGATTCAACGGCGCAACAAATAACAGGAAACTTAAGCTTCTGGCTGCCTGTGTCGTCAGGAGCCAGATTTTGAGCGCTTGCGATCCGGACATATCATCGGCTTGGCTTTCTGGTCGATCTTGAGAAGCCTCGGACTCGGACGTCCTCGTGGTCCAGCCATCGCACAAACAGCAAAAAGAAAGAGTTGCGTGATATTTCGGGTGTGGTCAAAGCACGGTGGAGATTTGGATTCTGGTCAGTACACTTGCCCCTATGATCTTTCTACGTGCGCTTGCCCACCGGAGCGGTTGATCGGCCGCCGGGTTTCTGGGTCGACCGAATACGTCTGGAGCTACCAGAGGGAAGGAGAGCCTTGAGAGGGACAGTCGGACTCGGCCTCGCTCTTTTGCGAGGTTGGGTTCCAATTTACCTCTCGATGAGTTGCCCGCCCTCCAGGACCCCGGAGCCGCCCTGCATTGTCTACATCTATTTTGTATCCTCCTTTTCCTTTAGAATCTCTCTTGTCTCCTTAGCATGGCTGCCGCCGCTGGTAGAGATGCCGCTGACAACAATATGGATAGTGCCCAGGATCAGGAAGAGCAGGAGCAGCCAGTTGATACATGGGCAGCTAGTCGAGATTCGGGTCAAGACCTGCCAGCACTCAAAGACTGCTTGGGGCACGACTTCGATATCAATTCCTTACGACCGCTTCTTCCTCAACCGCGTCCTTACATACCAGGCCTCTTCGTGCCAGGGCTTTCAGTTCTCTACCTCGACGGCCTACCGATTCGAGCGTACAATATTTGTGGCATAACATACAACATGCAGCAACCACCTAACGAGACGAAGAGTACCGTCAGTCGGTTCACAATTGACAGGAGGTGCATCAGATATTCCCTGGAGGTCGTGCAACAACCAGAAAAAGCGCGTGCATGTGGTTCTGGTCCCAGATGTACGTGATCTGCAACGCCATGAGAATTCATTCCTGCTAACATACCAAAGCATCAAATGACCGGAGACCGGTAGACCCACCTCCAGTGGTCGAGCTGAAGGTGTTTATTAACGATGTCGACACCACAATGCAGTATGATGCGACGTTCATGCTGTATGCCAGCTTGGAAGTTGCTCGGCCAATAGCCGGGGGGAAGATGCATGTACCCCCAGCTATCCCCGTATTGGCCGGCGTGACCATAGCGAGTGCGGCCTATCTGGAGAAACCAAAGCGAGCTGCCTATTTCATCTTTCCAGATCTATCCGTTAGACACGAAGGCTGGTATCGGCTCAGGTTCTCGCTCTTCGAAGGCGTGAAACACGATCTCGATGCTGATCACGGAAAGCCGTTTGTCCGAACAGAAGGAGATGGGGATAATTTGACCGCCCCCGTCCGTCACGAAGGTGTCTTCAACCGCATGGAGGTTCTGTCGACCCCATTCCAAGTGTACAGTGCCAAGAAGTTTCCCGGGCTCAATCAAAGCACGGCTCTGAGCATGATGGTCGCCGACCAGGGCTGCCGAGTTCGGATTCGAAGAGACGTTCGGCAAAGAAAGCGACGCCAGAAGTCTGGAGCCGATGCCGACGATGCCCCAAGTTCATATCAAGGTACTCCCCAGCCTACATATCGCAACCTCGACCACTCAAGATCAGCTAGTCGTAATAGCATTGGCACTCAGCACGAGAACGATGTGCAAACTCGGGACCCCGCCGAAGCCCTCTGGGCTCGCCAAGATGCTGCAAGTCGGGAACATTTCTTGAATTCCGCAAATTCCACGATTGGAGCACGCAGCGCTGTACTCCCTCCGCCAACCACGTCGATGCCTCCACCGCCTGCGTTCAACCCATCTCCTGCACGAAGGCCGTCATTTGACAACCGGCCCAAGCCATCATTTACTATGCCCACTCCTCGACTCACGCATCCTCCTCCAGCCCTGCCAAGCCAGTCTTCGGCCCCAAGACCCATGACTCCAGATACCGAGAGAAGCCTCACTCTACCACCGCTCAGATACCCCGGCGCGGGTTTGCCGAAGCCAGATTCCTCGGCTCCCAGATACAATGTGCCCACACCGACTGCAACAAAAAGGTCCTTCAGTCCCGGATCTTACCACCAAGATACCTCATTGAAAGATGGAGCTCGGCCTGGCGTGCCACCTGCACATTGCCCACCACCATCCCCTCTGGGTGGCAACGAAATCATCGAACCGGATGTTGGTGGCGATGACGACGATGATGATGAGGCGTACTTGTTCGCCGATGCATTGATATACACCCGTGCGGATGGTACAAAAAGCTACAGATACCGTCCAGGGGCCAGCTATTTTCGGTAATGGACAGAAGCAGCGACAGCCGCAAGCCCTCAGCAGACGCCCCACTTCCTCTCTCTGTCTGTGCCGTAATGTACTTGGAGTGGCATTTTCTGACTGATTTTGGTTCAAATGCACACGGGTAACCAGGACACACAGGACACTGGGGTCTGGCGTCTTTTGATTTACACAACGAACCGACGAGCGACAAGCCTTTTATGCATTGGCCTTGCTCTCTTCAATCGCAATTGCTTCAGCACCAGACACATACCTTGCAGCATTTATTTCCTTTGCGTTATCTTCTGGCGGAAGCGGTGCGGAAGAAGAGGAGCGCTCCAGGGCGCGTGTAGTGAAACCTCGTCAATCTAAGCGGTCCAGGCCGGCATGGGCGAAACGCAGACGGAATGTCCTTCCAGAAGCAAGACTGAAGAGAGACGTTGCAGGGATCAGGGGGAGATCGACACTTGGAACACATAATGCCAATCCTTCGCAATCTCCCAGCGACATCATCCGTTCAGGACCGGACTGGAGGAAAGCATAGCGGGGAGGCACTGTGTTTCTGGGTGTGATTTCCGTCCCACCATACATGGAAATCTTGAGGGATGACATCTTGACTTTTTACCCTTCTGGAGGTGGACGAACTGGGAGATGGCCACAACAGACCAAAAGAAAACGGACCCAGTGTTCATCATCTGGTGTAGTTGAACAGAAGCCAACTTGGGCACTTTACTCGCAATCATATCTGGCTCGTTATTACCTCTCTTACGTATCCATTCTTTTGTAGGGTTCCCCTCCGTGGGTGCGTGCTAGGCGGCCGTGAGATTTAGAAGCAGAGGGCTGTGCATCGCGCACGACCACCCATAGTAAACCTTGGCCATGTTCGATGGGCTCTTCTCACTACGACACCATATTTGAGTAGGCAACTTATCATATCGTATCATATCACGGCGCGAGTGCTGAGTTTACGGCACTCTTGAATGGGCAGTGGGATGTTCTCCTGCCCGCTCTCCTTCCTGCTTCGTTCCTCCCCCTCTCTCTTCCTTTCTTTCTTTGATGCAGTCTCTCTCTCTCTCTCTCTCTCTCTCTCTCTCTCTCTCTCTCTCTCTCTCTCTCTCTCTCTCTCTCTCTCTTTCCTTCCTGACTTCGACACTAGACCCTCGGATTAGACGTCATCTTCCAATGCAAGAAAAGAAAGGAGCGTGCGCGATGTGCCCACGCATGACATGACATGACATGACAGTCACGGACGGGGGTCAGCCATTTAAGCAGCGAAAATCCGTCCTGGGGGGAATCGAGCGACTGACTGACTGACTGACTGCTGCAAACGGCAAAAATTGCTCCCTCTTGTCGTATTGTTTTAGGGAGGGAGGGAGGGAACAGATTGCGCGCCTGGGCGACTCAGCAGTTCAATAAGTCGGTACTTTCAATGGGAAAATCATGCCGATCTGATGACAGAGGGCCTGTTGGTGGTGGTGGTGTTTGGTTACTCACCATTGTAAGCTTATTGTACCCCATCCTGGGCCCCCTCCGCAAGCCAGATGCCCCGTATGTATGGTATGCCTCGAAGGAAGGACAGATACGTCGGGGTATTACCACTCCGCCTCTTTCGAGGCAATCAGAGAGGGGACGAATCAGCGGGGAATTCATTCTTTTCTTGGATCCTTTTTTCCTTCTTGTAAACTGTTTCACCCTCAGAAAAAAAATACGTAAAATGTGGCGGGGCAAGGGACATGTTTCTGTGGTGTTTAAAAAGACGGTTCGTGTCGAGGGTATGTACCAGGATTGCCCCCTCTTGACACACCGTGGCTGGGAGAGATGACCCATGCCGGTTGACACGGTTTGCCATTCACGGACGATGATGATAACAAGGATGGTAACCAGAAGACAATCGACCTCCTTGAAAGTCGCTTGCCCCCGGGCGCATTTGGTGCAGGACATGCCATGGTCAAGCTTCGATATTGACCTCGACCGCGTACACCCTCTGGTTGCCCCTCAGAATGTTCCGGTAATACCACGCCTCGTACTCGGTCTCGGGAAACACGCAGGACGCGTCGATCCTCGTCGGGGTGATGTTCAACCTGGCGACGTGCCCGTCCTCCTCCAGCCGGAAAGTCACCCTGCGCAGGTCCCGGATGCGACGCAGGAGACTGCTGTCACCGCCGTCTCCGCAGGGCGGCAACGTTGTGGTCTCTTGCAGTCTCGCGTCTCGCGAGCCCCTGACCACGATGTGAGCCCGCAGGTCGCTGAGCAGGCTGCACTTGCACGCCGACAGGGTGACGGTGAAGGCCGGCCCGGGGGCTTTCCCGCCAACCCGGACGGTGACGTCGAGGGTGATGTTCGTCGGGCTCCTGATGATGACTTCGCTGTCGTAGTGCTCGGACACGCGAGGGAGGGGGCCGGTGGTGGTGGTGGTCGCTGGGACGACATCCTGCTCGGGCTCGGCTGACAGCCACAGATGGTGCTTGTATTGTGTCAAAGTCTCGCCCATGTTGTCGACTTGGCTTCGCCTTCCTTCCTTCGTCTCCCGTGTGTTCGGGCTTTGGGGTTTGAATTGTCCATCTCCCCATGAGACTCAGCCGAGCCCCTTTATAACCATCCCCTTCCGAACGGGCTGCCTGACTAGCTGATGTGACCTGCAGGACAGTGACGTCCCTGAAGGTGAGCGCTGGCTCAGCGGTGAGCCGATCTTCATGTACCATTCTCGTGAACGTGGGGCTGGTGGTTGTTTGGGCACTTAGTCAGAATCCTTTGCTGGAAAACGCCATGGATATTTTTCACTCGTCAAGGCAGTTTCCTGTCTGTCAGGCAGGCTGGTAGTTTGACGAGTATGGATTGAGCGGCCACCACATTAGGCCCCATGGATGGTGATATCAGGGAGGGTAAAGGGTATTATGACCCTGCCGTGACAACATCTGGCGTGATACCTTCATGGTGGAAGTCGTAAGTATGTTTGACCTTGTGACGAAACCGACTTCCATTTGAAGGATTGAAGCAGCTTAGTTTTCTTTTTGGGGCCCAAAGACATGAAACTCGTCTTGAGCATCGCCTGGCATTGGTTTAACCTCGGATTTTCAAAACATCATTACCCGCCGTAGACCCTGGAGGTCTCTCCAGAACCTCATTGCTGCCTCCCAGATCAGAAGTCGAGATGAGGATACCGACGTATATGCATCAAAAGCCAGTGCAAGACATCCATGTGAAGAGCCCCCGTGCTTTAGCAATCTTCACGGCCGCTGATTCGATTCTTCAGGGAAGACGCCTACGCTGTGAGGCGCTGGTGGAGCCTTCCCCTCAGGCTGGGGGAGCGGGATGCCTTAATCCTCCCCCTGAATGCCATTCTCCGGGGGGAGATGGTTGCAGAGGCCACATGCAAGGCTGTAAGGCCGTATCCTCAGACAAATCTTGTGCTCGTTCAAGCATGCAACATACGCCGTCGGTACGACAGATTGCCGAATGAGGACTCAACGCCAGATGAACGAACCGGCCCCCGGCAGTTGACGAAAGGGATCTGAGCGTATTCATGCAACCCGTGCCGCCCCGTAGGCTCGCTCAGTTTCAACGTTATTTGTCGCGTTCAACTCCACCCGCTGGGGCGAACGCGTTGGCCTGGAGATCTCGGAGACAGGATTGAGTTAAAGTGGTACAAACTGGTGAAGGCCCTTGAAAGCCGGATGTCCATCCCGGAGATGGAACACGGGCACTGAGGAGAGTTCGGAGCGGAGGATCGAGAGCAGAAATCATTTAGCACAGCCGCTAGTAGCTTATGCATTCAGCGGACTAACAAGGAAGCCGGAAATGTTATACGGGAACGGATGATTGGATAGACACCGAGATAGAATGGCATGCCGAGGCTGGCTAAACCACACTCGCTCTTAGCGCGCATGGTGATACTGGAAATGGCCTAGCTCCGCCTTCTACCACATCCACACGAGATATCCACACGAGATATCCACACGAGATATCCTCACTCTTGGACTCTGATCCCTCCCCCTCCCAAGCCGTGGGATTCGGCTTCATTGACTCGCTCAAGAGACCAGCCCGCAAGGCTTGGGAAACATATCCGCGATTCCATCATGCGATAATGTGTCGATTAGCTCACGCCGGGGGTCCTTTTTCAAACAGCCACGGCTAGCCCGTGGGTCGAACATCATGCCAACATCAGTATTCGTCAACATCGCCGATCGGGCCCGGAATTCTTCTCCAGGCCACCAGGTACCTCGCCTTCCTTGACCACAGATGGACGCCCAATCACTTCTGTATCGCGTGTCTTTCAGGGATCCGAATGCGAATAGCCACTTGCAGTCCTGTCCGGCTCCCTTTTCCTCTGCCCCAGGACATAAGTCGGACCCCGGCATACACGTATGGAGTAAAATAAGGAGGCAGTCTCCGAGGTCGAACTCCTCTTTGGAAAACAAAAGAAGAAGAAGGGTTCGTGCATTTCCAGGAAACTCTCCCCACCCCGTGAGTTATCTGACCATTTGATCTGCCACGCATCTGGCCCTGGTTTGCGGGAAGAGAGTGGTGCGTCCATTAAATATACTAGAAGATGCGCCTCGTCGGTGACTCCAACCTCTCCTAGGACACTGTATCCTTCAACGAGGCCCCTTTCACCGAAGAAGACCATATTCGACCCCCGTTCCATCTTTCTCATTTGGAGGCCTAGGCCTACACTCTATCAAAATGCCAGTGTTACCAACCGGAATCGCCACGGATATTTCGACCTCATCTACGAGTGAGGAGCATCAAGACACGGCCCCCGGATATCTTGGCTCCGAACTTCCCAACATTACCCTGAGGCCTCTTCTCCCACGGCTGCACAACTCCACGACAGCCTCGTTCCTGGGGGTGGTCGCCGCCGCACAGAAAAACGGCCGACGCACCCGCACCAACGTCACCATTGCCTGCGACGGCTGCAAACAGGCGCGGGCCAAGTGCGACGGCAGGTTACCGTGCTTGAGGTGCACCAGGAGATCGGCCGGGTGCAGGTACGACCAAGGGCACGACCGGCGGCAGCGTCGCGGTTCCCAGGAAGAGATCCAGGCGCTGACGGCCCGTCTCATTCGGTACCGGCGCCTCATCTACCTCCTGCGCCATTTCCCCCGCGGAGACGCCGACGGCATCCTCGACCGCCTGAGGTCCCCGTCGGCGGAGGCGGTCGAAGACCATAAACCCCCTCCTCCCACGGACCTCAACTCCACGACGGCGGCGCCGGAGGCGATGGAGGACGAGAAGCAGGATTCGCTCTCAGTCACGGAGATGGAGGAGACGGCCGCGTTGGTGGCGTGGATTAGGCACGATTTGGACCGTCCCCCCCAGCACGCGTGGCCCGCCAAAGAGACGCCTTCAGACCAGGATGAGTGTGAAACACTGGGTACGAGGGCTGACAAGGCTGTCTTTACTGTACAGGGGCTCTTGTGTTGAGCTGGATCCGCCGAGGGGGAGGGGGGGCCTGCCATGGCAGATTCCGGAATCCAGAATCATGCGAGCACAGGCCCTTTTTTTTTTACCTGCATCTACTGTGTACAAGTACTTGGTAGTAGGACCAGGGGGGCCCTCAAGCCGTCACTGATTGGTTCGCGTCAAGAAACATTGTCGTTCGAGCATTGTTAGAAACGAGATTTTAAAACTTTGGGAAAATCATTAGATGTCGCAATGATCTCAAGAGCGGCCGGGCACGGTGGGACAAGGGGGGGGAGGAATGCGGGTGGTGGAGTGACGACATACAAGTAGTCGCCTGCCAGTACTTGTACGAAGTAGTTGATGAGCATGCTATAAACATGCCACAACCAAGATGATGGTGGGGGCAACCCGCGCGCGGAAAATCAACTGATGCTTCGTCCTTCGGATCGGAAATTCTTTGATCCCGGTCGACGCAAATTTGCCCCATTTGGCAATTTACCAGCGGGGAGCTCGTATTGCTCTCTTATTATTAACGGACACCTACAAGCTTGGTAGTACGATCTCTCTGAAGGATATGGCGAAAAAGGGGAGACAGGGACAAGGGGGCAGCACCCCTCCCGTCGCGTAAAAATCACACCACACCACAACCACGATTCTTCCCTACACACCGTACTCGCTCGTTTCCCAACGATCTCCCTTTTCCCTCCTCTCCTTCGCATGTGCTCTGTTGGAAACCGGGTCTTTCCAAATACCCCTCTCGCAGCAGAAACAGGCCTTTTCTCTTTTCTCGCAGATCAGTCTCGTTTGCGTGGCTGGGGACGCGCCGAGGGGCAGAAGAGGCGCTCTCCCTCCCTCTCTCCCTTCCTCTCTCTCACATTCCTCCATTCAAGCGTCAGGCCGAGGTTAGCTAAGCCTTTGCCTGGGCGCCCTCACCCATCACGCCGCTGGATCCATTGCTCGCGGTCCTGGTGAGCCGTCGCTTGCTGACGAGCCGGAGTCCGCCAACCAGCATGATCAACAGCTCCGCGCCGAGGATGACGCCCAGGGTGACCATGGCGCCAATCACGCCGGCCACGGCCTTGCTGATGCCGCCGCTGTGGTGGTCGGACGAGCTGGGGCTTGAGCTGGAGGAGCCGACGGCGCTGCCGGAGTCGTCGGTGCCCAGCGCGCTGGGGCTACACACGCCCGTGGAGTTGCCGCAGGCGCTGCACCACTGGGCCTGCGAGCCGATGGCGTACTTGTTCGAGGAGGCCACGAACTCGGACCAGGGGATGGGCGAGCGCCCCGTGCCGAACAGCGGGAACTCGACGGGCTCGCTGATGTTCGAGGTCGTGCCGTTGTGGAAGTAGAAGCGCACGCTGATGTCGTCGGCCGACGGGAACGCGGCGCCGCTGCCGACCGTCGCGTTGGTCACGAGCTCCCACACCAGGCTGGACGCGTAGTCAGGCACGCCGTAGAAGAGCGGGCTGGCCGCCGTGAGGTTGCTGAGGCCAAAGTACGACATCATCCCGCCGTACGCGCCGAACTGGATGTTGAACACGTTCTTGCCCTTGCCGGTGATGGTGCCGTTGAGAGCCTGGACCACCTGCGCGGCGATGATAGAGCCCGTCACCGCCCGGATCGGCTCGCTCTCGTTGTACGCGAGGCCCCATTCGTGCTGGTCGGCCAGGGTGCGCAGCTGGAAGAAGTCGGCGTCGTCGGGCAGCGGCACGCTGGCGTTGTGGATGCTGGCCACGTTGAGCAGGTCGAAGATCGTGTACGCGTTCTTGAAGCTGGTCTGGGACTCGGTGAAGGTCTTGTTCACAAACGGATACATGTCCGTGTAGAAGCCCTTGGTCCGGTTCAGCGTCGCTTGGTATTGGCTGCTGATGTAGTAGTTGTTGGAGCTGATCTGGGCACTATATCACAGAAACACACACAAGGGTAAAAGGTTAGCATATGGTTTGCTTTTCCCTTTTCCCAAAAATCTCAAGAGCTTTCTCAGTAGAGGCCGATCAGGTGGTCTGGTCCCTCCCACTGATCTGCGAAAGGGGACGGACAAAAGAATACGAGAGAAAAGAGAGTGTGTGAAACTCACTTGGCGCAGTTCGTCGACCCTTGCAGCCAGGCGGCGTTCTCACTGCCGGCGCCGTTGGCGACCGTCTGCACGGGAATCAGTTGGAAGCCGTTCAAGGGAGTCTGCACGACGGTGCCGTTGCGAAGGGTCTGGCTGCCCAACGTCTCGCCAACCGGTGGGTAGAGGCCCTGGAGGAAACCCATGGCGGATGGCATGAGGACGGTGTCGAGTGGCGCCGAGGCCGTGATCTGAGACTGCTTGACCACCTCGGGCTCGATGCCGAAGATGGGACGGCTGCCATCGGCGGCGACGTAGCGGTTGCGGTAGTAGGTGCCGGAGGTGAAAACTTCCTGTTGGATTTTTCCCGTCTCAGCAAAATATTGCCGTCTTCACAAAAGGGGCCGGGTCAAGCAAAGGGGAAAAGCTTAGATTATCAGCGTACCTGGTAGCCAAGGTCCGTGAGACTGGACGGCGGGGTGGCCTTTGCAGTCCTATCACCATGTCTGGAGAAGAGGTAGACGCCGAGGACGGTCTCAGCTGCTGCAGTCGAGCACGCCACAGAGGCGAGAAGGAGAGCTGAGCTGCGCATGGTGACTAGAGCTGTGGTGGTGGTCAACAATCAATTGGGAGCGAGGAATCTCATCTAAACGCTAGAGGTAACACCACCAGCCCTCTGCTTAGAGAACTCCGGTTTCAAAAGCAACAATATAGTTAAAAGGGCTCAGAACTATACCTTTGACCAGTAGCGAACACCACCTTCGATTTCCACAAGCACGGTGTTGAAAGGTCAACGGTGTGCTTCGAGGCTGAGGAGGAGAAGGAGAAGGATTTCAGTCAATGGAGGGGGTCGGGCGCTCCTACCGTAATAAGTAGAAGGTCAGCGAGGGCGAGGGAAACTCTCTTATCGCCTAGCCCTCGCGCGATGGGTTCGCACGAACATGCGTGGGAACCGCAGAAAAGAAAGGTTTACCCCGCGGAGTTCAGACCTCGCCGTCGGACATGGGCGGCTCATCCCTAGGTGCTTGCTAACGGGGAGTTGGCGATGCGACGTCAAAATCATCAGTGGGTGTCAGTGATCGAGAGATGGAGGAATCAAGGGCTAGCCCAGGTGTTCTGGCGGCACATCGTTACCCTAGCCAGACTGTGCCCGGACCAATAAAAGTGGCAAATGCAGTGAGATCTAAGCTGCTCGAAGGCCTCTGAGGTCGAGGCAGGCAGGCAGGGCAGCTCACTGAGGGGCTCATCAAAGCTCGGTGGTAGCCGAAGTGGATAGTTGAGCCTTGGAAGCCAATGCGGAAAGCTTGAACTGCTGGAACTCTACTAGCCTAGCTCTTCGTGCAAGCTGATGATGCAGATGTGATGTTCCCCTAAGCAAGAAAGGGCATTGGCTCGCCTCCATAGCCCAAGCAGTAGTGGGATTGAACTCTTTGACGATCAGTGCGTGGCAAAAGACAACCAGATGAAGTGGAAAAGCCACGAGGATCCTGCGTGTTGACAGATGTTCGAGAACGCTGGAACTGACCAACAGAGATAAGCCAAGCGAGGATCGTTGATCGTAAGCTGAGTGAGGGAAAGTATGGTAAAGAACAAGAAGAGAAAAAGGAAGCCGGCCGGAAAAGACGGAAGACCACTTACTCGTCCCTGGCTAACTAGCCAGACACCGGGCGCCCAGGGGCATAATATTGACCTTGTCTTTGGCTGGACACCCACCACGACTTGCCCCAAGATGTCCAGGCGTCGGGGCAATGAACTGCCCTGGTTTTGTGAAACACTCATTATTAGCCGGACCAAGTGCCACTGAGTGCCGTTGGAGCTGTCATTCCAGCCTTGCCGTCAGTTCCTAAACTTCCTAGAGGGTATCTTGAAGCAAAGCTCGAGCTTCTGTTAGGCCTTTGGGCTACCAGGTAATGTATCGTGCGAAGGCACTCGTGGACCACGATTGGGACCTCTCACACAACCCTAATTTACCAGTAGAGACAGTGCAGTGCAATTATAAAGGATCGCAGACAAGCGACCGTTACCCTGAACGTGTCTGATTCTACAGACAGAATGCTGAAGGAATTGAAAACCGCCATCCGGGAGACAATACCTTAACCTGACTGTGTGTCGATAAATCCGGGTCCTTAGAGAACGGAACTTTTGGGTTGCAGCTATTGTCAATGGATGATTTCGAGTCTTGCAGGACCCGGTTATCCATCAGATAACATGCACACCAAAACCTCTGGAGAAACATGATCTTCTGAGCACCTTCGCGCATTTGGCAGAAGAACCTTGCCTCAGGCCGAGGACCAGTGAGCGAGGGCCGAAGTGTCTCGATAGCCAGGCCCATGGCGAGGAACAAGCTTGCCGCGGAAGTACAGGGGACTCCAATAATAGTGGACGGGTCGGGACCTGACAGTCCTGAGGCACAGGCATCTCTCTCCACGAATACTCCCCCATACATTCCAAAGCAATTATGGCCATTGGCGGCTCTCGGGGAAATGAGGAGCAGATAGCCAGATTCCGAGACGGCAAAGCGATCTCGGAGGACCCCAAATTAGCAAATTGGCGGTCCTCCACCGCTCTCGAACCCCGGGTTTCGAGACCGTCTCGGAGATTCGACCTTGTCTTCGAGTTTGTGGTTGTTTGGAGTCTCTTTTGTTCGTTTTGGCAACTCGTTTTCAGTAAGGTAGAGGAGTTGGTTGTCCTGTGGACGAGATGCAGTGCGTTTCGAGAGCATGGCGCCAGGCTTCAAGCCCATCTCTATCACCTCGAATATTCCTCGGCCAACAACAGTCTCCAAGACAGGCCCCGCGATGGATGTCCCGAGTCCAGATACGCAAGCTACACCAACGTCGGAGGGCGACCACCTCATCGCTAAAGGCCATCAATAACACATTCGAAGTGGTTGACCATCAATACGATGCTGTGGTAGTCGGTGCAGGAGTGAGTAACCTGAACTTCAGTGCTGAACTTCAGTGCTTGTCGTTGCTGTATTGGATCGACACCTCTTAGTCTTCACTTGTTGGATGCTTGATTTTCTTCCCTTTGGACCTGTTCACTGATAAGGGATTATGGAGAACAATAGGGTGCGGGACTTCGAGCCGCCGTAGGCCTCGTTGAGAGCGGGCTTGACACGGCTGTGGTGACCAAATTGTTCCCAACGCGGTCTCACACAGTGGCCGCCCAAGGGGGAATAAATGCTGCTCTGGCAAAGTAAGTGATACTCGTCCCCTCGGTTGACAAAGCTCTGACATCTGGAAAGCATGCACGAGGATGACTGGAGATGGGTAAGTCTCAAGAAGAGGAGATGCTCCTTTGCATCAGCATGTCCGAAGTAGACGCTAATTGATTCTTTTGCGTGGCTTTAGCACATGTACGACACGGTAAGTTGACCCCCAAACCCGGGCTAGTGATACAGAAACGATCCTCAGGTCGCTGTCTGGCTTGAGATGGACTTTCCCAAATAACGGCGTCCAGGTCAAAGGGTCAGATTGGCTGGGTGACCAAGATGCGATCCATTACATGTGCCGCGAGGCCCCAAGAGCCGTAAGAGAACTCGAAGAATACGGAATGCCATTCAGTCGCACCGAGCAAGGCACGATTTATCAACGACCCCTGGGGGGACAGAGCCTGAATTTCGGCACCGGAGGACAGGCGCATCGAACCGCGTGTGTGGCTGATCGAACCGGCCATTCTATGCTGCACACACTGTATGGCCAGGCCCTCAAGCACAACTGCCAGTTTCACATAGAGTGGTTTGCGCTGGACCTAATGATGGACGGCAAGGACTGCATCGGGCTGACGGCGCTGGATATGGAAACGGGCACCTTTCATCGCGTCTTTGCCAGGAACACGATTCTCGCCACGGGTGGCTATGGCCGCTGTTATTTCAGTGCAACTTCAGCACACACCTCGACCGGAGATGGCTTAGCAATGGCTGCAAGAGCAGGCCTCCCCCTCCAGGACATGGAATTTGTCCAATTTCACCCTAGCGGCATTTACGGCGCTGGCGTCCTGATTTCAGAGGGCGCCAGAGGCGAAGGAGGTTATCTGCTAAATGGCCAAGGAGAGCGTTTCATGGAACGTTATGCTCCAACGGCGAAAGATCTCGCAAGTCGTGATGTCGTCAGTCGGAGCATGAACATGGAGATCAGAGAGGGCCGTGGGTGTGGTCCAGACAAAGATCACATCTTCCTCCAGCTGTCCCACCTACCGAAAGAGATACTTATGGAAAGGCTGCCAGGAATTGCAGAGACTGCTAGTATCTTCTCGGGTGTGGACATTACAAAGCAGCCTATTCCTGTTCTACCAACTGTGTAAGTTTTCCGTCAAATGCTTGAGAGATGCAAACTAACCGCGTGCCTTCTTTGGCTCAAGACACTACTGTATGGGAGGCATACCTACGAACTGGAAAGGCCAGGTTTTGGACGTGGATCCAAGCACCGGAGAAGAGACCGCCGTCAAAGGTCTATACGCCGCGGGAGAGGTTGCCTGTGTCTCGGTGCATGGCGCTAACCGCCTGGGAGCAAACAGCTTGTTAGATATTGTCGTCTTTGGCCGAGCCGCTGCTGGACATATCGCCGAAAACAACGAGAAAGGGATGCCAGTTTTCAGGAATGGCGGAAGCGTTTCGCCGGAAACGGGGGTGGAAGGGTTCGTTGACCTGGAACACCTGCGAAACGCAGACGGAAAGAGGTTGACGTCCGAGCTCCGCGCCGAAATGCAAAAGAACATGCAGAACGACATAGCAGTCTTTCGAACGGAAGAGAGTTTGACGACAGGCCTGGGGAACCTGCAACAAGTAGAAAAGGACTTCAATGCAGACGTCTGCGTGAAGGACAGGAGTCTGATCTGGAACTCCGATCTCGTGGAAACATTGGAGCTGCGCAACCTCCTGACATGTGCTGCACAAACCGCCAAGAGTGCTCTTCAGAGGAAGGAGTCGCGCGGCTCCCACGCTCGCGAGGATTTCCCAGAGAGAGATGATCAGAAGTTCATGCGCCATTCCCTGAGCTGGCAGAAGGATGTTGGCGAAGATATAGCCATTGGCTACCGAGATGTGGTCTTTTCCACCCTCGATGAGCAAGAATGCCAGACTGTGCCGCCGAAGAAGAGGTCATATTGAGAGCATCATTGGTTGGGATCATAGCCATGTACATACACTTGACTAGTAATAGCCCAAGGAAAAGGGATACAAAGATGACATTCTAGGCTGCGCTTCGGTGGTTCTGCTCCGCCGCTACGGTCGGCCATCCACATCACAGCTGAACTTGAACTTGATTTTCTAGAGCAAAGATCAATTCAGTCTCCGTTCCATGAAATGCGCGTCCCTTTAATGTATTAGGATTGCTGCTCGTCGCCTGTCACGTCTCTATCCCCTAGAATCTCGTCATGTCTTCCAGAACACCTACCTTTGGCCGCATCATCGGTGACCTCCTCCGAACATCCAGACCTAGCTCATCATGCGACCATCTTCGCTTCCGGCAAGCATTCTGCAAATCCACCCGGCAATCGCGCCATGTCTCTACAGCAGCTCCTCAACTCTCTGAGATGGAAGTCGACGCAGAAAAGCCTCCGCGTTGGTCCCAAACGCCTCCAGCACTGAAAGCCCCCGTGCGCGTGCGACCGCCGCGGATACAAACACCTCTCAAGATCAACAAAGATCAGCGCAAGCTAGATGATTTCTATGTCAAGTTTTTGGGAAGAGACGGAGACAAAATGCTGTCAGAGGAGACCAAATGGCTAGCGGTCACGAACAAAAGTTTCGACGCTGGACGAAGAGGATTCAACGACCGGCTCGCTTTTTTCGGTCAGACCACTTCCTCCGCAGCTGCTCTATATGGTCTAATACTGATGAGGTGTAACAGGCAAGCGTGTACTCGAGCTCCAGTGCTCACTAGGACTGATAAGCGTCGCGGATGCCTCACGCTACCTAAAGAGCACGGAGCAGGATCCCTATGGGCGGCAACCTTTTCGACACCCTGCAACCGAGTCCATAGAGTGCCTTTTGGGGGGTGCTCATCATTGGTTCACAAGTCACAAGCAACTCTCGACTCTGGCAGAACAATACGGCTTACCGGAAGTGGTGCGGTGGCATCCCAGAGATGTACGTACTCGGCTTGAATCCACTGCTCGTCCGCTCTCACTAACCTCGCCGCAGCCCGAACGTCTTCAAGCATCTGGCTCTGAACTGGTCTACTCGCAAGCCATCCTCGCGATCATCGGCGCCCTGGCCCTGGAACAAGGCGGTGCCGTGGCGAATCAAATAGCAAAGGAAAAAGTGCTCGTGCCACTGGGGCTGAAATTAAATTGGAAACCCAAGGCAGAGCTTACGCAGCCGGCGCCATAAAGATCAGGAACCCTTTACTCTCGCATGTGTATTAACAGCTATCGGCACTATACCGTCATCATGGCATGTACAGAAAATAGAAGAAATGTCTGGGGCCTCTGACACCGCCTGAGCAACCGTCAAAAAAATATGCTCAGCCAGCTCTTATGGTCCCGTCCACGAAATAAAACTTCGATCGGTCTCCGCGTCTCTAAATCGCAAAGGTCGGCAACTGAGTAGAGCCATAAGACTGGGGACAGAATGTCCGCAATCTCAGGCAAGGATGCTGCATTGCACTGTCTTTCGGGCGCGTTGATATGGAAAGAAAGGAAAAAAGGAAGTTTGGGGAAATTCTTTTGTTTGGAGATATTGGAGCGGGCGAGGCTGTCGGCGACACTATTTGCTTGGCACGCCGTGGCACGTTACGGAGCTCACGTGCGACTCATCACGACGCGTATGCCGCTTTTATCAGCGACGTACCCTCCCTCTCATGTACCATCACAGTCACCACCTTGAGTCTTCACCAGGAATGGAAAGGAAATTACTGGCATGATGGCTCGGCGGGAGGCCGATCTGACAACATGCCATCGCACTGTATATGTTCAGCACTCAACCCCAGCCTCCTCGGTAGAAGGCACAACCAGCCAGATCACTACTCCTTGCGGGTAAACCTGGTTGACTTATGGTATCAAGCTACCTCGTACTTCGATGTGACTCCTGGCTTCATCCCTCGTCCCAGCCATTGCTGTCAAAAAGACCCTTTCTGTGCTATAACATGAGACTGCCCAGCGTGTCTCATCCTCTCAGCTGTTTACGCAATGACGATGGGCTGTCCTTCAACGTAGCCAGTGCCTTGGCCACGAGGCTCACCGTTCACACGGGTAGTAGCTGCTGGCCACGGCGTCACCGTGGGAGCGTACTGAGGCAGCATCGACTCGTCCTCGGGCAGCGTGACTTCATTGCTCACCACAGTGACCAGGAGGCCCCGTACATCGCCGCGATGAAGACGCGCTCCGCCCTTGTCCGTCACGCGCCAGTGCAGGTTCTGCTGCAGGTACGGGATCACATCCTCCGAGGCGATACCGTCGAGCTTGCCTGCCAGGTACCGCTCGACGAGGGCGATGGTGAGAGGAATCTGACCCGTCACCAGGATCTGCGCGTCCTGGCCCTCTCTGCATTTTCCGCAGCCGGTCTGCTCGTTCGTGCCAAAGGTCGAGAACATGGCCACGTGGCTGGGGTCCGCGAGGTAGAGGTACGAGTTTGCGTCGTCGGGGCTGTCGAGAAAGACGTGCACAGCAAAGTCCCCGCCCAAGGAGTGCTTCTCGGCCCGGATGTTGACGAGCCATTCCAAGTATTTATTGTTCTTGACCAGGTCGCCCAAGGAGCGTTCGGAAGGCAGAGTGACTTGGGCTGGTGCATCGGCCAGCACGGCTTGTGGTGCACTGCTCGCGGAGCCGTCTGCAGAGGCCGCCTCTGCCACGGGGGCTGGCTTCGGTGCCGCATCATGCGCCAGGAGAGCCTTTGCACGCAGCTGGAGCGTCTCGGTGTCAGCGGTGCGCGCCTTTGTGGACTTCTTCACGGTGTTCGCCAACGAGCCGGTCTTGTAGACCTTGTCCAGCTCCTGGTAGATCTTTTCCTTGGTGTCGAAAATCCAGCCTCGTGTTTCGGGATAGACGTAACCGAACGTCTTGGTGGTTCGGGAGTCCTTGGAGGTCCACATATCCCCTGCCTCGGAACGGGTGAAGGGGGTCAATGCCGTGTCGATGGTCTCGGTCGCATTGAATGGCGTTGACCATGTCCCACCACTGGAAGCCTGATTCTGCGTGGCAGCTTGCGCCGTGACATACTGGTTGGTCTGACCCTTGTCCCACAGGGCCTGCCAGATAGCATAAAGGCGGTCGATGTTGCTGTTCGCCATCAGTTTCCTGCCTTCCCAGTGACTTCGCGTAATGGCCATAGAACAGTGGAACACGGGAAACGAGACTTACGCATGGTGTAGCCAGAAGATAGGATCGAACGCAGCCACCTCTGTGTCGCCCATGTGCCCGCCTCCCCCGGTGTACACGTGGATCGCGTTATGGACATCCTCGAGGCTTCCCCAGTTTTCAAAACTTTGCCCTTTGTAGAAAAGGTTGGAGCTGACGGGCCCAAAGGAATCATAGGACTGGAGCAGAAAAAGCACACGCTCTGTCAGATTCTTGCCTTTCTTCCCGTCCCACTTTGAGGGGTCGGCAACGAACTCGACCAACTGGGCTTTCATTTTCGCTTCATCCTGTTTGGCAGAACGCTTGATCGGGTATCGAACAGTGGTTCCGATATCAAACTAAGGAAAACATCAGTGGCCTAGATACGTGAGAGGAAGCATGGCGACCGGAAGCAGGAGTCTGAGATACAGTCAACATTTGGAAGGCTACTGACCAAGTCGATCTGCTCCCCGTAGCTTTTGGCGACTTTGCCAAACGTATATCGGGCGAGGGGGTTTTCCTCCATTGGCGTTGTTTTACCACCACTCTTGGGGCGGATCACGTTGTGTTTGGTTCCTGCGAGGGCTTCCCAGGGGAATACGCTGGTGTCCTGGTCGGCGGGCAAGGCCCAATCCCAGTACGGAAGACGAAACGTCTGGGCGGCTTTGTGGTACTTGTCGTACCCTTCCTCTGCTGTGAACTCCTCGGCAACGGCTTGGACGTGGCGTCGAAGTTCGGTCTAGCATGCATTAGGATGAGGCTGTTCTCATGCCGTGCCGGGCGGCAAGCCCTTGGGTGGCCTACCTCGAAAAGAGCCAGATATGGACGGTGCCAGGGGAGGAAGAGGATTGAGCTGTGGGTGCAAAAGCCTTCCCACTGGTTCCTGTTCGCGGGGGCGGGTTTCATCTTGTTGTTCCACCCTTTGTTCGGCCAGGTGGTGAATGGCTTGCCATGGATTCCTAACGGTGTGTGAGTAAATCTTGGAGCGACTCACAGCCTCTGCCTGGACAAACCTCCGATCTGAAAGTACGACAACGGATGATCTTCGTCGGTTTTGGTCTTGAATCTTTCCAGACCGAGAAGGAAGAGGTTCCATTCTTCAGGATGATTGCGACGCATGTCCCGGAGCTCCCGACGAACAGGAGGGTGATCTATAGCAGCGTGTCAGAGCCATCAGGGGAGATAGCCTTGCTGTTTTAGCAAGGCAACGGGAGATTGTAATCACCAGGGTCATCAACTGGGGAGCCTATGATCGCCACCGGCCCGGTAGTACCATCCGATGGAGTCTTTGGTGCCATATTTTGTAGCAATTCTGGATCTCAAGAATCTGGGTCGGTGGACAGAGCACTGGAAACTTGAAGGAAGTCGGACCGACTGATCTGGAAGTTGGAACTTCTCAAAGACTTGGAGGATGGTTCTGGTGCTTTTATACCCTTTCTTGAGGTCCGGCGTTCTAGGTCTCAAGGCCCAGAGGAACGGCCTCAGCTGGGTTCCTGGAGGAGCAGACAGTTCCAAAACATGAGGCTGGCTGAGGATGGGACATCCTCCCAGTCTCGCCCGTGCAGGGCTCGTGTGTCTCGGACCAACGCGACCACGAACTGCAGTGCGGCGCCGTTCGTGCAGACACTGTCAAGGCATTGAGATTCCAGCCGTTGGTGACGTGTCACTCTTCTGCCATCAGTGACATGCACCGATGCGGGCGTGCGTCTTGGTCCGTGATGAGAATGAAGCTTGTCGTTGCCCACCCGACCGGATGTATCCACACGAAAGAATCTCGACCAGGGGAAACCAAGGCCTGACTCGGCTACATGCACTCGGATTTTGCTGCTCATTACGACGCAAAGTAAGGACTGCAGTTCCGGCGTGATGGGATGAGCCGTCCGCATGGGCAGAGATGGACGAGAACGAGGCCCAAGAACAACGACAGACGAACACGAAGTGATATTGGCAGGACGCGACATAATTGGGTCGCTTCTGCCAGACCGCATGGACCCTCATGACCTTTTGGCTTTGGACTGGGCAACACTTGGCTTCAACCTGTCCGTTGAACTCTTCAACCCCCGATCAGGGACTTTCTCGTGTTCAGCTGGCCCAATTGGTAACTCTGCATGACTGAGTTCTTTCAAGTTGTACGGGGCACGGAGTACCTGGTTGAGGCGGGGACTGAACCGGGAGGCCTTGACAAGCCTCCGACTTCAACTGCACGATCTGCATCATCGACCATGCGGATTCCCTCAGCTCCAGGCCCAGATGCTCGCCACTCCCATGAACTTGGCTGGCGTAATGGGATGCGGCTGGCTGAACATACCTTTCCTCATCACTTGATCGCTCCTCAGCTCCAGGTCCAGATGCCGCTATTCTTATGAGAATGGTTGGCGCCATGGAATCCGGCTGGCTGAATATGCCTTCTCTCCTCACTTGATCGCTCCATTGGCGATCATTGGCACCAAGACTAGGTGAGACCTGGTCGAACTCGGGCGGGGTCATAATGTGATGACTTGGTAACAGGCAGTGTCGCTTCCACCTGTCTACATCTCCGTGGGAACATCAAGGCATATAAACGTGGGTGACCACTCGCCATCGGCCACGAATACGAAGTACCTGCTGGTAGCGACCTCTCAGATCTTCGTCTGCTCAAGATGGTTTCCATTTGGGCGAGAATCGTCGCTGTCTTCCACTTCATCCTTCTCTCTCCTCCTAAGGAAGAGGGGCCTGATCAACGGCCGCTGTCAGCCTCTGTACATGCGGCCTTTCCACCTCAGGTTACTGTGCAGGCCGACGATCACCAGGCTCCAACGCCGTTCCTGCCTCCTTCGGCACCACGTGCCTCGAATTTTACGTGTGAATATCCGGACTTGGACGGGTATACGTTTTGCTCGACATACGGCGACCGTTCCTGCTGGCTCAAGCACCCTGACCCCCAAAAACAAGTGTATGACATCAATACCGACTACGAGAATGTTTTCCCCAAAGGTAAAACCCGGCAAGTACGTGGAGCTTTACTGCCCTCCCACGGACTAAGCAATTGACTCCGCAACAGTACTATATCGAGGTTAACGAAAAGACCATCAGACCAGATGGGGTGGACCGCAAGGCTATGGTCGTAAATGATACTTATCCTGGACCCTGGATCGAAGCGTGTGTACATCTGAGTTGTGGCAGCCTCCATAGGCTTCTGAACTAACTGTGTGCAGCTGCTGGGGAGACTGGCTAGAAATCACGGTCAAGAACAATCTCAAGACCAATGGGACCACCATTCACTGGCATGGAATTCGCCAGCTGCACACGACAGCCAGTGATGGCGTGAACGGCATAACGCAGTGCCCTATCGCTCCCGGCGAGACCTACACTTATAGATTTAGAGCTATGCAGTATGGGACTACATGGTATCACAGCCACTATAGTCTGCAGTACGGAGAAGGCGTCCTGGGTCCGATGACTATCCACGGCCCAGCATCGGCAGATTACGACGAGGCACAGCCTCCGGTGCTGATGACCGACTGGACTCACGAGTCGTGGTATACAAAGTGGTGGGACAATGTCATCAATGGAAAAGCGAGACCGGAGCCCGACAACATCCTGGTCGGTGGCAAGGGCACTTGGCCAGCTAGCAAGCCCAGCAAGGGCTTTCGACTGGATTTCGTCAAGGGCACGCGGTATCTGCTTCGACTGATCAATACTTCGGTTGACACGTCTTTTGTTTTCTCGATAGACAATCACAAGATTCAGGTCATCGGCTCAGACCTCGTCCCCATCGTGCCATACATAACGGATCATGTGGTCGTTGGCATAGGTGAGTCGCCTCGGACCAACAACTACCTTGGCTGATCATGTGCACAGGCCAACGGTACCATATCATTGTTACCGCGAATCCCAGAGACGGTAAAGCCAATGCGACCTACTGGATTCGCACCCAGCCGGCTAAGGGCTGCGACCCGGGCGGGACGAGCAAGATAGACCCGCGAACCGGCATTGTCGTCTACAAAGACACAGAACCTGTTGACTACCCCGTCACTTTCGACACCACCTGTCGTGATGAACCGTACGACAAACTGGTTCCAATCCTCAAATGGACCGTGGGCCGGCCGTCCAACATCGCAGCCAACAGTCAGTTCGATATTGGGTTTGACCAAATCACGGCAGGCACGGAGTACCCTGCGAATCTAACCAGAGGCCGTTTCAACATGTACAGCGACACCATGTGGCTGAACTTCACCAACGTAACCCTGTCGCAAAACCTCAGTGCCCCGCAAGCCGCCTTCAATTCCCACTCTGTGGCTGTCAAGGAAAATTCGCAGAAGGATGATTGGGTCTATCTACTCGTCTCGGGCACGGGCATCCCGCGCAGTGGCCGCACGTATCTTCCCATCGCGCATCCTATCCACTTACACGGCCACGACTTCGCCATTCTGCAGCAGTCTACAAAGCCTTACCGGATCGGCGGGTTGGACCTGAAATTGGACAACCCTCCTCGGCGAGACGTGGCTTTCATGCCCAGGGATGGCTATCTCGTACTGGCGTTCAAGGCCGATAACCCGGGCGTTTGGCTGATGCACTGTATGTCTCCGCCGTCGGCACTTCACTCACCCGCTAACTCACAGACTTCAGGCCACATTGCGACCCACGCTTCAGGCGGATTGGCGATGCAGATCGTCGAGAATGGCAACCAAACCGTGCTTGATCCGTTCGACCAGAAGCAGCTGGCGCACACCTGCAAGAAATGGAAAGACTGGGCTTCGGACAAGGACCACCGCTTTCTGCAAGACGACTCTGGTATCTAACCGAGACAGTGAGAGGACGTGGGTTGCCCAAACTCGAACGTGGTAGATGGGGCAACTTGTGGACTTCCGTAACTGTCTGTACGCACGTACGCACTACGTAGGGTGGTAAAAAACTTACTGGTCGGAAAAAGAGCAGTGAGGAAGAAGGAAGGTCCTCGTAGATCCATTTACCCTTGTTCGCCTTAGAAGTCATGAAGGTAGTGGCCAGCAAAGTGGCGGGTATTGTCCTCGATACTACTCGCATACTTGAACCCCATGCCTGTGAGAAAATCAACCGCCTTGCCACCAGGCCCGGTGTAGGTATTCTCGACGAAACGGTGCTGCAGAAGATCAGCATTATGGCGGGTGCAAGTTCCATGCAAACGCTGGGTCACCTACCTGGTATGGCTTGTTCGTTTTGTCGTGGTAGAACGGGAAGCGCGTTGTCATTGCCTTGTCTTGACCGTATTGAAAGCTCCCATCCACCACGAAGGTGAAGTCCTTGCCGTCGTTCTTCTTCTGCCGGAATTCCTCGAGTTTGCTGGCTTGCGCGTAGATCTGGCCCTCTGCAGCGCCTGGTGATACAGTCAGCACCCGGGTGCCATTTTGCTGCCTGTGGGAGAAAGAGGACTCGCTGCCAGACTCGACGGTGTACTTGCACAACCAGTACTCTTCGGTCCTCGACATCATCGTTTGCGACCAATGGACGGTGGCTTTCTCGCCATTGGCGCCGCCCAGAGATTCGCTCGGTACATGGATGGTGTCGCATTTGTTAACAAGATGGGCCGTCGTGCAAATTGCTTCCGATGTATGAAGAAGAAAGGTTGGAATTGGTTGAGAGGAGAAGTTGTGATGATGGATCGAAATCCCTGACGAAGTAGATCAGGCCACCTCTGTATACATGGACTCCCCGCTCTGGAGTCTGGACTATGCTCTTCACTATCGGGACGATGTTGAGAACCCATGTTGACTGGGTAGCTGTGCAAAGTGCCTGGCGCGTGGCTTCCTGCAGGAACAGTATTTTGGAGGAGAGAGTTGATTGGTTCCATAACACACTCACTAGCCGCTTGCACAATCTTCATACCCCGATCAGACCAACCGGAGCGCGCCTTCTCCACATGTCCTGTTTCCCGAGAGGGTTTGCACAGTCTCGCCGCCTGAATATATTCATGTCTGGTTGAGAGACTAAAAGTGCCAAATAGACAGCTAGCCGGGCGGCCGAGACGTGGATAGAGGAGGAGGTCTAAGAGCGTGGCTGTACGTCACTCAGTGGATATGTCCACATACAGCTCGTCCTGCACATTTTTCAGGATCCTCGCTGATAGGAGATATTTGGCAGCGATAGCCTGGTCAAAGGAGCATTGCACTCAGCAAGGCACACATATTCCAAGCTGAATCAAGCAGTCTGCCATCTGCGCAATTCCTTTGTACAAACAGAATCTGGGTTTGCCACGATGATAGCATCGTTTGGAGCGGGACGTAAAGATGAGCGGTTCGCTGACGCTGCAGCTCGCATGAAGGGTTTCTTGACTAGCTGCAATGCCGCCCATCTCGTGGCGAAACACCTGCAAGATTCCTGGTACCCAACACATGGCCTGAGGGACTGTAATCTTTCTGAGCGAGGTGAGACTTCGGCCACTACTCTCTCAATTGGTTAATCTCTCAATTGGTATTCCAGCCCAACAACATCGCCTCCTACCTTGCCACATCCTTCTGACTGGCTGAGAGTACCCTGGATCAGTTATGGATTGGACGCAACTTTCTCTCGGCCACCCTCCGACTGACACAGTCTGGTCACTATGTGATCGATCCACTTCAGGATGGCTCAACATCCATCGTGTCTGATGCTGGAGAGATATGTTGCCTCACAGAACAGAAAGCTGTCCTCTAGACTTGATCTCTGTATCCTCCCATCTGAAATAAGGCGGAACGTCGGGTTTGTGTGTGAGATCGCGTGGCCACACAGCTGAGGAATCTTCAAAGTTTCTGTCGCGGCCGGCGAAAAGGTAGTTACGCGCACAGGATCATAGCGGTTAATATTGGCTGGTGATGGTACATTCGGCGCTTCTTCGTCCGTAAGTATTCTCCTGGTGGATAGAGGACGTGTGGTGGGATGCTCGCAGAGGCCTTGTAGCTCCCCAAAACTGTGATCAGGCTTAATGTGAGCGATTAGCAGGTTCTGATGCGGAAGGACAGGCGGGCGGCAGTAGAGGTGAAATGTTTGTGTCATACCTATAGTCGATACATCTCGGTGCATTTTCGTGCGGCAGAAGACGCTTTCAGGGGAGAAAGCCGCTTTTCACAGTGGCACGAGGCTGCACAAGGCTGCACAAGGCTGCGCAGCAAGCCCCATTTTCGCGAGGCTGAGACACGTGTCGGGTCTGGTACAATGTGGGATGGTCTCCGCCTGCGGAGGTAAACGTAAACGTAAACGACTTCAAATCCACGTAAATAATTATTTCGCGTCTGCCACCACTTCCCCTCCACCACATCCTCTTCAAGCCAATGCGCTCTTTCTCTCATCCGTCAACTTAGCCTTTGCATCATCTCATTCGAATCTGCCTGCTTCTCCACCTCGACCCTTCCTCCTCTCGGAGATTCCAGGCACCATGGCGTCCGCGGTGTTCTTCCTCGACTTGAAGGGCAAGGTGAGCGAGAAGAACGAGTCTGGGCAAGATGACATGGAATGCTGACCAACCCAGACTCTTCTCGCTCGCAACTATCGTGGTGACATTCCCATGTCTGCCGTCGAGAAATTCCCAATCCTTCTTTCCGAAGCCGAGGAGGAGTCGTCTGCAGTCCCGCCATGTTTCTCTGATGAGGGCATCAATGTTGGTCGCCGGTATCCTCGATGAATACGATTCCAGCTAACTCCTCTGTAGTACCTTTACATCCGCCACAACAATCTCTACCTCCTCGCTCTCACCAAACGCAACACCAATGCAGCAGAGATCCTGTTGTTCCTCCATAAGATTGTCGAGGTCTTCACCGAGTACTTCAAAGAGCTAGAAGAGGAGTCAATCCGAGACAATTTCGTCATCATCTATGAGCTGCTGGACGAAATGATGGACTTTGGTTACCCTCAAACCACCGAGTCAAAGATCCTTCAGGAATACATCACCCAAGAGTCGCACAAGCTCGAGGTGCAGGCCCGCCCTCCTATTGCCGTCACCAATGCCGTCTCTTGGAGAAGCGAAGGCATCAGATACCGTAAGAATGAGGTGTTCCTTGACGTGATCGAGTCTCTTAATCTCTTGGTGTCCTCCACTGGCAACGTCCTCCGATCTGAGATTCTGGGTGCAATTAAGATGAAGTGCTATCTTTCCGGCATGCCAGAACTCCGACTCGGATTGAATGATAAGGTCATGTTCGAAACCACTGGAAGATCCACGCGAGGCAAGGCTGTCGAAATGGAAGACGTCAAGTTCCACCAGTGTGTGAGATTATCCCGCTTCGAGAACGATCGTACCATCAGCTTCATCCCACCGGATGGAGAGTTCGAGCTGATGAGTTACCGACTCAATACCGCAGTCAAGCCACTCATCTGGGTCGAGTGTGTTGTGGAATCCCATTCAGGTTCAAGAATTGAATACATGTTGAAAGCCAAGGCTCAGTTCAAGAGAAGATCGACTGCCAACAACGTTGAGATTAGCATTCCCGTCCCTGATGATGCCGATACTCCAAGATTTCGAACTAACATTGGATCTGTGCACTATGCGCCAGAGAAATCTGCAATCGTCTGGAAGATCAAACAGTTCGGTGGCGGTAAGGAATTCCTTATGCGAGCAGAACTGGGCCTTCCTAGTGTCAAGGGAGACGACGAGCGTGGTGGCGGCATGACCGGCGGTTTTGGTGGCAGCATGGGTGGCATCACAGGAGAAGGAAAGGCCAAGAGACCCATCAACGTCAAGTTCGAGATTCCTTACTTCACCACCAGTGGTATCCAGGTGCGATACTTGAAGATCATTGAGCCAAAGGTATGTGACCCTCCTATCATTGTCACAGATAGACCCTAACGACACACAGCTGCAATATCCATCCCTCCCATGGGTCCGCTACATCACACAGTCCGGAGACATCGCAGTCCGCTTGCCAGACGTGCAGGGAGGTTGAACCCTTAAAAGAGCGACATGTCGGACTTCGATATGCCGCTTCTCTTTGTAATAGTGATACCAACCACTTGGCGAAGACTACTCTCGACGTAAAGCAGCGGGATTCCTGCTGGCCTCATGAATGCTGCTTCCAAGCTACCTGTGAAGATCTCGCTCAACCTGCCAGGCTCGATATTGCCTTGGCGAAGAAAAAACAACAAAAATATTTCACAAAGCGAGATGATTCTTGGACGCACGCCTGGACGAAAGCCACGAATTGGAGGATGAAGGCTTTCATATCCACTTGGTCGACCTCCTGGAATCACACACGAACGATAACAACTGAGCTTCACACACAGACTTCTAAGACACCAAAAAAAAGAAACAACCAGTCCGCTGCATGGGACGCACCACACCGATGGATGGGCGCAGAACGGCAGAAGGGGTTGAATGTCCAGAGTAACTGACCAATCGACTATTCAGTTCTATGTGTGGTTCACGATGTCTGTTCGTCTCTTGAGACTGAACTGTGTCTTGTCTAGGTGAATGGCTCTGACGAGCACGACTGCATCTGTGGCCATGAAGAAACACATCCAGATGAGTAGCCCTTCGTGGGCGAAATATGTCGAGATGAGTATCCGTAGAACGAACCAGTCTAGATAATCCTCCAAAACAAATGATAACTCCAATCAAAGCACCTTCTTTCCATTGTCTGACACCTGCTGTACTTTTCTGTCTGAAAGTCTTAGTCCAGGGCGCGTGCAGACCGTGTCTTCTGTTGTATTCACCGCCTTGTAACCAAGAAATGTGCCGACAAGGTTTCCTGTGGATTTCCTCACTCAACAGTTGACGTCACCGATCAGCCTGCACCATCGGGCCTTTTTGCAGTGTGGGCCATAATTTTTTAAATTCTCCCAAACATACTCGCCCAAAGCACCTCGTCTCAATCTCGACAATCGCGGCACCTTTCTTGCCGATCATCGCTTCTTTCCCCCCTTGGGTCCCTTGAGCAAACATTCTCAATCAATTGACTCCAAGGCTTAGAGCCGGCTTTACAGTTCCCAGAAGATAATCGGGACCGCCTGGGGAACAATGCCCTCCACAACCCTCCCCACACCCACGCCCGATGAACTCGACGACCTCATCTACTTCACACGCACAGGCGACCTGGCAAGTCTAATGTCCCTAGTTGCGCAACTGTGCAGCACACACCACTGCCCCCCGTCGGTGCTGCTCGCCTCGTCCATCGACATCGATGCGGACGGCCTGGGCTCACAGTCCTCTCTGCTCCACTACCCCGCCGCAAACGGGAATCTCGAAATCATAACGCACCTCCTGTCGCTGCTCGCACCGTCCGAGTCGCTAGGCACCTCCCCCTCGGCGACGACCGCCGACAAATCCGCGCCCTCGCTCGTCAATCACAGAAATGTGTCGGGAAACACTCCCTTGCATTGGGCGGCGCTGAACGGGCACTTGGAGGTGGTTCAGGCACTGGTGAAGGCGGGCGCGGATCCGACGATCGTCAACGAGGCCGGGCGAGATGCCGTGGTGGAGGCGGAGATGAGCTCGAAGGACGGAGCAAAGGAATGTGCCGAGTGGATGCTGAGGCACTGCGAGGGACTCGAAAAAGGCGTCACTGACGGCGGCGTTGGCGAGGATGGCAGTGGCAGTGGCAGTCAGGAGGTGGAAGAAGACGCGAAAGAGGAGGGCCACAACATGGAGAGCGTCCACCTGGATGAAGGTCCCGAGAAGTCTGAAACTACGGTGACGAACGGGGAGCAAAAAGAGACGTGATCGGTCATCGAGAAGGAGAAGCGAGAAGTATCTTTTGGACTGCGCCCTAAGAGCGAGCCATTTGGGAACATCTCGAGATATCCATCCCCCGCGATCGTTTACCCCCGGAGGAACATGCAATTACCAGACAGGGCGAAGAAAAAGTCCCGGAGAGGACTCGATTGCGATTCTGGAAAAGCCCCCCCACAGACACCCTCTCATGCATCAACGGTGTGCGAATGCAGAAGCCAGCTTTTTTACTCCCCACGAAACATCTCATGTCAAAGGATACCGGTTCCAACAATTCCCAGGTCAAAAGACAGCCACGAAATTCACCTCCAGTGTTCCAACCGTTGTTCTGGCCCTAGTCGGTCAACGGTATACAATGGCACTGCAATCCCTCCTTGCCAGCGAGAGTGCAGTAGGCGGTGATGCAGGTTTTCCCAGTATCCACATCCACCACGCAGCGCTGGTCAACGCAAATACCGGTGTTCACGCGCTACAATACCCCGAAGAAGGTCTGTCAGCTCAAGTTCTCTTTTCCCAAAATACTGGATTGGACACTGGAAACAAATCATATCATGGAGGCCTTTAGGCGCATAGACGAGGCAGATCTCCCGGGCAAGGAAAAGAGCCAAAGATGCAGGTTCTAGGACAGAACTATGGACGAACCTTTACAAGCTTATCATCTCGCAGCGGAGGAGCACAAATCTCCTCAACGGTGGCGGGGACGGGCGTGGCCAATGCGACAGGGAGGACGAGCGCAAGGCTGGCGAGGAGGAAGTTGCTGAAACGCATTTTCGATGTGGGTGCGTGGGCGGGTTGTCTTCAAAGACGAGAGGTAGGAACAGGGCACCGCGACAACTTCCGTTGGCTTTTTAGGAGAACTTGGAGGGTGGCCAGGCGGCGAAAGAAAGTCGGCGTCCGAAATATCCAGGTTCGACACGGACCTTCTCCTGTCTTTGTTCTTTGCTTGTTCTTGCAGCAGACCGGGACAGCGGCGAAGCGGTTTCGTCGTCGAATTTTAGTATTTGCGAGAGCCAGGCGCAGCGTGGACTTGGGAAGTGAGAGTCTGAACGGAGGGTCTTATTCCTCTTTTCAATGCGCCCACCCCGAAGCATCGCGGTTGAGCTCATCTTATATACCCTGACCTCACCCTAGCTCACCTCACCTCACCTCACCTTGTGCGGTCTCGCCTCACCTGACGGCCTCAGCTACAGAGCTTCGAGAAAGAGCTGCGTGCCTCACATCATTCCAACCTTGCCGGCGATTGGAGGGCGGACCTATACGAAGTCGCGCAGGCCGGAAGATTTTAAGCTTACGATCACGAGCTCCCCCATCGGGCAATCGTTCTTTTCGCTCTTGACATTCCCCTTTGCCTGTGATGGCGGTGGCTGGCCTGCATTGACGCGCGCCCCCTTTGATGCATCCTAGTAAACGACAGAGAAGAAAAAATTCGTCAGTCATCCCGTCAAGGCAACCGGTCAGCTCTTTCTCATTTTCGCGATCCAACTGTGGCCGAACACGCAACTCGCTCTGCCACCCCTCCCACCATTCGCTGGGATTGCGCAACCTCGTATTTTGGTTCGTCAACGTTTTTCGCCCGCGCCCAGGGTTCCCGAAAGGGAGGTCTGATCGGTGACGGTGTTTCGTTGGCTGTTACGGCATACAGAGATTTTGCCTTCCCCCTTCAGTCAGCCATCGATCGGATGGGTATGGGGGAGCCCTGGATTTGGCTTTGTCAACCCGCGTCAGAAGGTGTCTGGACTCCCGTATGGATGGATGGGGAACTGGGTTTTCGGCCGCTGACACACGGTTGGTTGGAAGGCAGGCCACGGCTGAAAAAAAAAAGGGCTCTTGTTCTTGGGTGAAGCGAGCCGACAATTGTAGGTTATAAAATTAGCCAGACTGCCCCGTCCAGGTAGACCTTTGTAGACGAGGCGAGAACAAGGCCTGCAAAATTAGCCAGCTACTGTAGCCATTCGAAGTCGGGGGTGGTTGTTCATCGCCCTCACTGATGCGGAATGCGTTCGAACGACGACATATGGATGGCCCCATCTGGCATCTGGCGATCTGGGCCGAGGCTGGACACCCCGACTGCGAGCGAAAGCGGAAAGCGTTTGAATCCCTGGCCGCCCACCCGGTGCGAGCCCAAGGGTCGATGCGCGGCCCAATCAAAGAGTTCTGGGTTGTCAGAGCCTCGTGTTCAGGCCCATCGCCAGACAATCGACATTTGATGGCTTACCTGAGGTAAGCTTTTCTCTCGCCGGCAAAGCAAAGGCGAAGGCAATAGATGGTGCCAAGGGGTGGATGACTGCCCAGCTCCTGCTGGACAGCTGGCAAAAAAATGCAATCATCATGCCATGCCATGCGATAGGATGTGCAAGTCGTCCCATTCTTTCCCGGGGGCTTTTCACCTGTGCGCGTTCTTGTTGGGTGGTAGTTTGTGTTGGCGCTGCAAACGTGGTTCGACCATGGTCATGGGTTGCCCAACATTCTACGGGGTACTGTACCGCTACGAGTCTGGGATGAGAGAGGCCGTAAGGCTGGAAGCTGACCCCCAGGATTGGGGATCATCGGATCGTCAGATCATCAGGGTCATCAAGTCATTATCGTCATCATCATTGCTATCCTCATTATTGAGATTATCATCTTTTGTGTCCGCCACTGCTCTTGCATGCTAGAAGTACGGGCATTGTGCGGACGGCCATGGCACAGAGCTGACAAGCTGACTCGGCCTCCGACTGAGCCTGGACCTGGGCTGGGCCTGATATCTTGCTCTCCAGATCAAGGCTGGTTGTCATTTTGTGACAGCGTCGTATAGTTCTCCGCCTTCTTTTTTCGGTACTACGGGGTCTTTCTTTTTTAGACGAAGAAGGTTCCAGCAACCATCTGCTTCCCACGACCCATGCTCCCGGTGTCAGTAGATTGTCTGGCGTTCAAATTCTAGACTCTCGGGGATGAATAACTCAGGCAATAGTCCCATGACGCCCTCGTGCGGCTCTCCGCGCTTGTCGTCTCGCCGGCCCATGGATAGAAAGCTGACGGTAGTGTGAGTAGAGCCTAGGTATCGTCAGCATCCAAATTTGTTTGTGCGGACGAATTCCACCTACGGTTCAACGACGTGCGATTGAAAGCTCTGGAGCTCTTCCATCCTCACCCTGTCAGGAGTGATGCCTTGCTGGAGGCAATAATCCATAGCGTCGGTGTAGTCCTGGCCCATTTCTCGGCGAATCTTTCTGTTGATAGCTCGCCTGTCCAGAACCTTTGTCCTTTCGGGGTTCTCGACGTCGAGCTCCTCGTCGATCATGATTCCCTTGACGGGGTATAGGACGACGTCCGGGACCGGGAACCCCAGAGCAATTTCTACCAGAAGCACCCCTAGCCTCCGTATATGCATGTTCCGGATCTCCTCTTCACACCACTGTCGTGTATTCCCAACGTCCCCGGTATCCACATCAATATGGGGGACCTTCCCGAACCGGGCGCGGAACGTGGTTCTCAAGTCAGCAGTCTCGGTGCGATAGACGCAGCAACTACACAGCTTCGAAAACCAGTTTGTTTTCAGGAACAACAGAGCCCACTCGGCCAGCTCGTAGGCGAGTCTCCACCTTTCTTCGGACTTGAACGGTCCGTGCAGTTCTTCCTCGTAGTTGACCTTGTGGATGGCCATGAACGTCCTCAGGCACTGGATTTGCAGATCGTCTCCCACCCCACTTCTCCCTTCCAGTCTCTCCAGGACAAAAGCCGGGACGCCTTGACGTGCTTGGAACCAAAAGGACATATTATGGCCCCGATTGGGAGGCCGGGTCAAATCACAGATCACGGCGTCGAAGCTCTGGTGCTGCTGCCGCCCAATGGTCGGGACGGCTTCCTGGTTTTCTGATGGTATCTTGCATGAGAAGTCGATGGGGATATCGTCCGAGCCTAGGACTGACAACAAGCAGAAGTTGTACTGGAAAGAATTTGAATTTTCCTGGGCGGCGAGAGACAGAATCTCCATCCGGCGAGCGGGATCAGTTCGATGGTCCAGATAGAGGTCGATAGCGTGGCTTTCGATGCCGAGTAATGTCGCCCCCAGTATGGAAGACGCATGCGAATAGCGATCGGCGACTCGGGTGAGGATAAAGCTCGTCGAAACGATGTCGACTCTCTCCTTCCATTCGGATTCATCATCCAAGGAGTTGTTGACCTTGAAGAATTCCGTCGAAGCGTCAAGCAGCAAATCTAACCATTTCTCCGACAGTTCGAGAGACTTGCCAAACCTTGGCCATTTGTAAAGTGCCCTCCCGACCCTTCGGATGAGGTTGACCTTGCTCCTGTACATGCTTTGGAATGCTTGGAGCCTCTCCATTTCCTGCTGTTCATCATAAGCACTGGCCTCGGCAGAGCGTTGATCCACGCGTCCTGTCCTTCTATCGCCTCCTTTTCTGTACTCAGACTCAAATTCGCGATGTAAGTCGGCACCCTTGCCATGTAACAGATTCAGCAACTGAAGGATCTTCTGCCGTCCATCGGGACTCCAGTATGAATCGTAGAGCTCCAGGGGCATTCCATCACGAATTCTCCAAAACTCTTTCCAGTTTTCCATGCGCGACGATAGTATTATCAGGCGGATCTCCGCTGCGACGAGGCCATCCGTATCGTTGCGGACGGCATCAGCGTCGTTAAGGATGGTGGATATCAAGTTCTTGACCAGCACGACGAAACCAATGAAGCCGGTGATAGCTGTGGCAATAGACAGCGGCTCGACCATCTTGGATCATGGCCATTACCGGAATGTCTACCTCGATAGTCGGAACAGAAAGAATGGATGGGGGTCCCCAGCCATGCTGAAAGATGAGGCTGAAAATGGCGGGGTTCTCTGCTGCAGAGCACTGGCTCCCTGGTGTCATCGTCTCAGAACCTTCAACATACGAGGAAAATTGAATTTGAAGAACAGGTTCTCGCAAGCTCATTCTTGAATAACAGAACAGCGCATCATGGCTTGCCATCAACCTCTCCTTCGCAGGCACGCAGGTTAACAGATGAAATTAGGTAGATAAAGTCAAACCAGCATGGTGGTGGATGAGACGCAAATACTCCGCCGTAGGTGGGGTAGTAACTCCTGCTCAGATCGACGGGCCGAAACTCTCTTGAGTCTCCCAGATGCAAGGCCTCCTCATACCAACACTTCAAATAAGCACCACTATCCAGGTTTCAGACATTGCTTTGGGCCAACACCCAGGAGGAGAGAATGCTTTGGTTCACATTTGCAGCAAGCTGAAAGTAAAACCATCAGCCTGAGATCCGGTTCTTCGTTTGTACGCCTAAGGCTGCGTCACTTTGACCTTAGGACCGTCGTCCATTCCATGAAGCCTCAACCATGAACCGCTTCGCTTGTCCTCCATGAATCCGAAGGCCGAATTGAATACGCTTGTCCTGACTGAGTCACCGCCTCGGCCACAATGACTTCCACTACCAACGCTTTACAGGACTGTTACAACAGCCTTATCGCCAAAATCGAAGATTTTCTAGATGACGTCGCGCTTGAAGCACCTGCTGCCGCGTCTACAAGGGCGTCGACTTGGCTGGAAAATCTGCTGGCTGGACTCGACTCTTGGGGTGTCGACATCCGGGCAAGCGATGGTTCACTGGCACTCATCGAGAATAGTCCTGTGGGCTTCGAAGTGAGATCAATCCTGCTGGAGATTGATCACGACCTTTCAAGTCCCAGCAGCATTATTACTGCGTTTACGCCGCTAAAGCCTCCCTCTGAAACGCCTGATATTAAGCCTGATTCAGGAGACAAGACTAAAATTCACTCCATCTCGAGCGCGTTGGGGAATCTGCGTGACTTGGCAAATCCCATTCGCCTGGTACTGGTAACTACGCACTCGACAGGTCCATATGAAGTCTTGAAGTCTCGAATTGATGATATTTCTGCAAAGTACCAAAACTCAGCTTCACAGCCGTTGGATGGTGGCGGGAATGTCACTCGGGATCAACTAGAAAATGAGATGGCTAAAATCGAGATACCACTCAGACCTTCCACTGAGTACTTGGAAGGCGCGAAAGATTCTATTCCCAGTCCTCGGCCCACGATCAAACCTGGCCAAGCGCTTTGTACCCTCATAATCACATCCTACCAGAAGCCGCTGGCTCAGATCGAGGATCTAATAGTAGAATATGCAGAAGAGACAGCTTTCGAAAAGCTGAGCGCGACAGCGACGGAGTGGCTGACAGCGCACACCAGGGGTCCAGACGAAGTCTTCTATCTGAAAGCAGGCCAGATTAAGTTAGTCCGAGATGACACCAACACCGTGGCATTTCGTGGCATACTGGAGAGTGAACGAGAATGGGAGGAACACTTTCCAAGGAGGATTTATCAGTTTCTCGGCAGCAATGGCAACGTACGCTTCCATCTGGAGATTGAGTGGGAATATTCGAGCCTCCAGGTTAAGCCCGTACATGGTCTGCCCTACAAGGATATTATCCGCAGCGCCATTCGGGACAAAATGCGAAAGAACTGGCAAGGCAACAAATATGTCCCCCAAAAAGATCTCGATCGCATTATGACGCAAGAAACAATATCGAAATTGATCCGTGAGGACGGCACCCTCAATGACGCCGAGTTCTTCCAACTTACTGGTGAGAAGAGGTTGGAGGAGGAAACCTTCACTGATCTCATTAAGTTGATAAGGCTCCAGGGAGCAGGCTTGTTCGCCTTTTGTGTGTATGCAGATTTACCACTTGTCTTCTTCTACTGGATGTGGAAGCAGGGACTCAGAGATACGAATCTGCCTCTCAGCGAAAGCGATTTGCCTGATAAACAGTATCGCACCAATTCCACCATAGCCTTTCCGGATTCTGGCGGGTTTGCGCCTCACATGTTTGCGAGAAATGAAATGGAAGGCTTGAGGCATTTCCATCTCCGGCATGACGCAGTGGTGCCAATCCTACTTGACGAGGATAGGTTTGATCATATCCTCGGAGAGGGAAGCTTGTGGAAAGTGTACAAAGTCCATATTGACGGAGACCACCATTCGTTTTCACCTTTCCGAGGCCAGCCTTTTGTTCTCAAGGCATTTCGCGAGCCAAGAGCGACTGCTCAAATGGATGTCGACAATGTGTCTAGTACCCTCAACAGGCACGCCGAGGTATCGCACCCCAACATCACGACCCATCTGGCCTCATGGGACCAAGATAGATGCTATTACATGTTGTTCCGCTGTGCAGACTGTAGTCTCAGGAAATACATGAAAGGACCGCCCCCCGTGTTGACGAAATCAAATCTACTATCCCTACTGTGTCAGATGAGGGGATTGGCCGATGGACTGAGATACATTCACAATCTAGCGCCATCAAACCTGGTACCGGATCTTGTTGATGAGAAGGGCAAGAACAAGCCGGGCCGGCGTCGTCAAGCTTGTTTTCATCATGACTTGAAACCTGCCAATATCTTGGTGACTGTCAACCCGGACGACGGTGACTTGTTGTTCTCAATCAGTGATTTTGGAACGAGAAGAATTGGACAGATTCTCCAGGACTCTGCTCGGCGCAGGCTTTCCAAAAACCCTCTATCCGATAGCGTTGTTCCTGCCTATGGTGCACCAGATGCTCTGTTGGAAGGGAGAGCATCTCGACCATATGACCTGTGGTCCATGGGCTGTATTTTTTTGGAGCTCTTGACATGGATCGTGGGACTTGAAGAAGAAGGCGTTGAAAACTTTGCCAAGAGGCGGAGGGAGGACAGTCCACCTTTTAGAGGCGATTTCCGCTTATCATTCTGGGATCAGGATCAAAGTCGCAACGTTTATCTCAAGCCTTCGGTCGAACGACAGCTGCGACTTCTCAAAGACCATTGCGAAGGCTGGGGAGTCTTTCCAGAACTGGTGCGCGTGGTCTGTAGGTTGCTCAATGTCCAACCGCGCCGCCGCCCCGATGCCTCTCAACTGGTGAATGCTCTTGATGCGATCCTGATTCAAGCTAGGCGGGACTTGAGAAATGAGACTTTCTACCTTGGCGGCCCTTCAGCTAGATCTCAAATCGTCATTGCGTCCTTCTACAACACCGGCTCGGATGACGGCTCACGACGGTCCAGCATTGACGCTGGCCCGCATAGAGCACAATATGGGACGCCATTTCCCGACATCAGGGAAAGGCCCGACATTGAGGGGGTGGGGCAGTGGGTGGCTAGCCTCATCCCTGAGGACGTCGTGAGTCTATCCTATGCCGGATTTCACCAAGTCGTCGCCGACCCGCCAGCCGTTGACGACAAGGGCTGACACGTTTTCTTTACCATATGTCCGCATATTCAAACTTGTGGTGGGACACAGCACCAGGCTCTCTGTGTTGGATTTAGTGTAACTTTGGAGGTAATGGGGCTTTCGACATCTTGTACAATATAGGGATGCTTGTAGGACCCAGAGTCACGAGGAGAGGAGGAAGCATCCATATCGTGACGTCTAAGGCGCGGCTTTCTGGGCCACAACTGGCTGCACTTTTCCCAACCACGCCGCTGTGCCTTTTTCCTACGACTTGCAGTTCTGAGAGAGTCTGTTTCAAGCTTGTCACTCTAGGTTTACGGACAATTTACATTTTTCCAACTATGTGGCCCCGTCGCCATGAGGTCTCCAGGTCTCCTCGCACGTCCCGTGTTGCCAGCCTCGCCTCGTCCACCCCCCGCTAATCCCCCTTCCCGGGGTACGTATTGTATTCTCGACGGCCCCCTTGCCCCCCGTCCTTCCCACCTTCTCACCACCCCTCGCGTCTGATCAACCGGACACGGACATCCTTCTTCGGATTCACCGCGCCGGCACCGATCTTTCGGCCCGGGTGAAGCCATCTTCCGCCGTCACTGACGGGGACCATGTCCCACTGCATGACCAGCGCGGCGGCGAAGAGGACGACCTCGCGCTCGGCGAACGTCTTGCCCTTGCACATCTGCTTGCCGCCGCCCCAGACCTTCATCGTGCCGTACTCGACCCGGACATCCGCGTTTCCATTGACACCACCACCGTCGCCGTTGAGTTGACCGCTCTCGTCTTTCTCTGCCTGCTGACTTTCCTTGGCCCAGAATCGGCGCGGGTCAAACCGCCCCGGGTCGCGAAAGTACTTGTCGTCGCTCTGGTGCACGCCGTGCGGGAGGCAGATGTACTCGCCCTTGCGCAGCAGCCAGCTCTGCGGCGCGGGCTTGCGCAGCAGGCGGGCGTCCTCGGCGCTCTCCGACACCACAAAGTCGTCCTCGACCATCTTGTACGACATGCTCGCGGCCTCGAGGCGCATCGTCTCGAAGAACGCGCCCTTGAGGAGCGGGCACTTGCCCCACAGCGCGGCCATGTCGATGTCCAGCCGGGGGGCCTCCTTGATCGGGAGGCCCGAGGGGGCCGGCTCGCGGAGCCGCACGTGGGGCGCGATCTCGGCCCGGATCTCCTGCAGCAGGGAAGGCGTCGAGAAGATGTACCACGTCATCCAGAAGATGACGGGGTTGGCGTTGATGTTCATGGCCCACAGGATGGCGGCGTTGCCGGTCGCGTAGCCTCGTGGCGCGGACCCCCCAGCGCGGAACGCCTTGGCCCGGTCGACGATCACGGACGACACGTCCGACATGTCGTCCCATCGACTTCCGGGGTCCTGGCCGTCGAGGTACTTGAAGAGCGCCTCGTGGTGCTCCTGGACCGCCTGGATGATGCGCTCCCGCGCCTGCGCCGGCCCGCCCATGCCGGGCAACCACGACGGCGCCCCGGCCATGAAGAGGTTGAACTGCGAGTCCATTTCCCACAGGTCGGGCATGATGTTTGGGTAGTTCTCCATGAAGTTCCGCCCGAACAGGACCGTGGTGGCGATGTCGCCGACGAAATACCGCAGGAGGGGGAACAGACTGGCCTCGGCCACCAGCGCGTTGTCGCCGTCGCCGCGTGATATGACTTCCACGCCGCCCTGGCGCTCCCAGATACTTTGGTCCACGGGGCTTTGTGCCCCGGAGACCAGGTTCCACGTCCTCTCCGCGACCATGTCGACCGTGCCGCTGATGGCCGAGGTGACGAAGCTCTCGCGCAGCATGCCGGACAAGACCCCGTGGATGTTGCCCCACAGGTGGTCGGGGTCGATGGCCTTGATCGCCCCACGGTCGTCCCAGAAGTTCTTCATCGTGTGGTAGATGAAGTCGTTCATCGTGATCGGGCTTGTCCGGTCGATCAGGATCTGCTTGGCGATGCTGGGTACCGTGACCACGTTGTGTTTGGAGTTGGCCATCTTCAGGGCGTAGATAGACGCATTGGGCCCCAGCGAGCGCGCCGCCCGCGTCAGGAAGTCCGTCCCGCCCGCCACGAACGAGAAGGCGTGCCCGATCCAGGGAATCCAGTATGGGAGAACGGGCACGGTTCGAGGCCCGTGCGGGCCGCGGTCGGCAGCTTGTTTCAGGACCGTGGAGCGGAACTGGAGACCTGAGACGATGCGGGTGACGACGCAGACGACGAAGAGGATGGCGAAGACGGTTTGGATGGGATGTTGGATGCTCTCCGTCAGGGTATGTTGAAGAAAGGAGGAGCTTCGCTCCTGTTGGGAGATGTCCATCTTTGTGCGAGAGGCAGTCAGCGCTATCTTTCCTTTCAATCCAGCAGACAGCTGCAGAAGACAAGAAGTCTGGGGAATTTATCGACGACGGTCTGGCTGATTGTTTCTTAAATGAATTTCTTTTCTCCCAATCCAGAATCAATGAGATGCGACAATTGTCACGGATGCGCCGTGGCCGTTGCCCGTTTGAACACGGCGACAAGTTCTCGTATGGCAATAGAGTGTCTCCCCCCCCTGAAATCGAAGTCGAGCTCGAGCTGGTCAGATTGCAGCGAGTGACAAAGACTTAACGCGGTGCGTGTGCGTCGTGCCCTAGTCCTCTTGTGGCCCTGGATTCACGCATGCTGGAGGAATCCTCAAAAGCCTCCTATCGCGGCCATGTGTGCGTGCCGAGGACTCGTATATGTGGAGGTAGAAAGAGGGACGTGGGAAGCCTGACGCGTTGGTCGATGATTGCGCTATCGAGCCTGGCGTGAAGAGCGACTCGGTACCAACATTTCCGAATGACAAGGTGCTGACGTGGGGGCCGCAAACGCTTGTTCCCAATCAGCGGGCGGCATTTCAAATGAAGGAAGAATCCTGCAAGGACCAAGTCCAGCAAACGACCTCCAGGTCAAATTCGGTCGGATTGGAGGTAATCAACACCGGCAGAGGCTCCAAAGGGGTTTGCGAGTACGTGGAATACATCCCGAACTATACTTAATCTCTTACTGTTTCGCCAGGAAAGGGAGTAAGGCGCTTTAATCTAGCACGTGGCGGAGAATCGAGGAGGCCTAGCTAGATACGGGGGAGTGCGCCCGAGCACTAGGTGAGCTATAGGGCGCGCTGTCTGATATCTATTCGCAGACTACAGAACGCCATGGTCATCATATGGTAGCCTGTTGTCTGCGCACCGCTTTAGCAGATACTAAGTTTGCGAAGATTGACTATTGAGCTGGCGGCTTTAGTCTCTTTCTTAAGACTTTGAGAATAGAGACGCCAAGTGACCTCGCCTATCTTGATTACAGTCCAGTCTAGTATTCATCATAATCCTTCCCCACCACCGATTTGTCCCGGCGCTGCTTTCCTCCTCTTTCTCTAGTCCTTTTTATCCTCTTCTCACCTCGAATCCAGCTTGACAATGTGCGACCTGAATAGTTCGGAAGTAGCGATGGACATCACCCAATAGCCTTGGACTCGCTTGTAACTTGACCAATTGCATATATGCAATAATGTTGCCCTGGTACAGCTTATCCGATATTAATATTCCAACGCCTTCCGTTGATCAAACGTCATTATGATTTTAAAATTAAACCGTGAACATACATTGCCTCTTTAATTTCTCCACCTCTTCCTCCAATCTTTTGATGTTGCTTTCTATGGATCTCGCTTTCTCAGCCATCTTCATTAGGTCCGAAGTCCATTCATCCATCAGCATACGATTCCTGTCCAGCACAAAATCCATACAATATGGAACGAATGCCACCTCAATAATGTCCGTCAAAAGCTGCTCACGCTGACTCCGTACCTTCACGTCCTGTTCACGAGCAAACCACATCGGGTGGAACGCCCGAACGATGCGTGCATTTTTCCATCGTTTGCCCGGAAGCTGCTGACTTTCACCGACTTTTGCAAGAGCTGTGCGAGAACTCAACATCTCGGCAATCTCCGTGGCGTTGGAGGCCAGGATTTCTTTGGGCAACCGACGCCCACGGGGGTTCGTTATCCAATTCCTCCCACCCGTCGCGCATTGACAACAAATCATCATCGAAGGGTTTATGACTTCTAGTAATTCCTCGAGCAGAGCAAATACCTCTTCCACGGCCTGATCAGCCTCCTTAGGATTCCGTCCTTCGGTACGTGTGAGCCATTGGTCATCAAGAAGAAGGCATACATCGAGAATGATGACATCGTCTATTGAGAGCCCGAGTCCACGCAGTAGGACGTTCTTGATCCAGCGAATGGTCGCACAACTCTTGGCCATAGCCGCGAAGTCCATTTTGTCGTGCCCTTTGTTTGGATTCTGCAGCAAGATTACGGGAAGACCTTTCCGTCCTGCTGCCAGAGCGGCCATGTTGCGTGCCGCGCGTTCTGGTATCTTCCACTTTCTGCATATGGCCAGAACTCGCGCGAAAACCACGGGGTCAGTTGCTGAGAAAAATGTGGATGGATTCCGACGCCAGTCACCGAGCAGATCTGGTGTAGGGTGTTGACTTAAGGTCAGACCTTCAGAACTCTCCTTTGAATTCCCTGCTCCTGGGCCGGAGGGGCAGATTATTGGTGCCGATGGAGATAGGGTGAGCCGGCTAAAGCCTTCAGCAACATCTGTTACAGCAGTAGCCATTCTGGGGAATGACCAGGCGTTCGGAGGGATCACAGTCGACTAGCCGTAAGGATGCCCGCTGATACACTCCCCTTGTTGGGGCTCAAGGGGAGATGGGAAAGATTGATCGTTGTTCAGCGGTGTGCCGGAAAACGTTGATGTCTGGTGACAACCTCGAGAATTCGTGAAGCAGCCGCGAAGAAGTTACGATCGGTATTTTTGGTGATGCATAGCATTTACTGCAAACGAACCTCAAGGGGTAAACACACATCAGGCTGAGCAGGCTGCAACACTCGCGGTCAGGGTAGCTAGTGGTGAGATTTACGTGTACCTCACATGACCTGTCTGTATTCAGAGGCGCAGGTCACTTACTTAGGTTTAGCTTGGCCGGTCCGTTCACTTCCGCTAATCGCCCAATTGACAGCGCTCAGCATTATTCCTGGCAGAAAGTCCATCTTCCCTCGAGTAGCGCGTTTGGCAGCTTGGAATTGAACGCGGTAGAGAACCTGTGGTAAGTTACATTTTTGAAAATAGTCCATCGCTGCATGTTATACTAGCCAATCCTAGTGCAACTGATCTTGAGCTCTGACCTCTGCAATATTGCAATACAGCCTTCCTTACAGAGAGAGAGAGACAGTGAGTGAGTGAGTGAGTGAGTGAGGACTTCGGATTTGAGAACGAGGGGAAACTTAGGTTACAAGACCTTACCGACGAACCCATGTCATCTTGTGGAACTGAACCTATGAGGAAAGCAGTGTCAATCTAACCAATAAGCGCAGGACACGTCGTACGGGGTAGTTTCTTAAAGCCGTTGGCAGAGTCCTTCGTAGAGAATCGTTTCCCTCTTGCTTCTCAGTCATCAGCGCTCTCCTCAATCATGGATAAACAGGTATTGCGTGGCCCCATTAACGTCGAACTAACTTTGAATATATATATTGACGAGCGTTAGCAGAAGAATACCAAGTCGTTTTAGCAGTATGGAGGCCCTCCTTGTTCGCATCGTCGCCTGTTCACAATTCTTACAGCAACAAAATTGTCAAAAGCGGTTGGGGTAGCCGCACCAACTTCCAAGCATCATACGGGTTGAAAACGACGCCACAAGATATCGAGGAAGGCAAAGAAATCTTGAAAGCTATAGAGAAAGCAGACAAAGAACGGAAATTTTGCGGGAAGTGATGAGCTATCGATTTCTGGGGGGCAAAGTTTGAGATAGGGAGTAAGAACAACAATAGCGTCGTAGAGTCATAGCCTGAGGCTCACTTTCTGACATAAGTCATTCACAAACATTCCTCCGTCGATGAATAGCTTCTTAAATTCCTTCGTCGGAGCTAAGTCCTCGAATTTCCATGCCACATAGTGAGTTAGTAAGTCTCGCAGAGGCTCTTCCTTCAATTCCGGTGTATTTTCATAGGCGAGGCTGATCATGTCGCACAGTTCTCCCGTACGTACAGGGTGGAAGGTAGTATGTTGTAGAACACTGTGTAATCTACACAGCGCCAGATCCTTCAATTTGTGAATCTGATATTGTTCGGCAAATACATACAGACGCACGTGGCAAAGTGCCTCCGTGTAGTCGTACGTCAGCCCCGTATCACTCTCCGTTTCCGAGATGTTTATCTCGGGGAATGAGACTTTCTCGATCGAAGGGATGGCGAACTCTGAAAATGACTCAAGATGCCTCCGAATTAGGATTTTATCCCCTCGTTTTCTTTTATCTTTCTTTTTGGGACGGGCCCAATTTTCTGAGTTGGGGCTTTCACCTCGTTGTGAAACAGGGCTTGTCTCTCGCACCTCATCCGCTAATTTGGGAGTTTCGCTTCTTGCAGTTTCGCTTTCAGGCTCTGCGTCATCAAGGACAATCAGCGCCTCGTCGGCGTTATAATTGCCTCCATATATGAACTCGGCAAAGCGAGCGAACGTGTGTTCATCCACATTACTTAAGCGTGCTTTTCCTTCTTCGGCCTCCTTCATATGGCCAGACATCAAAGCGTGAAATACGGAGGAGTGTCGAGAGACGAGCTTTGAGTGTAGAAAGAAGGCTTTCCCTTCTGGCCCGACATTGAATTGAAAAGCACTCTGGGTTAAAGCTCTAATACAACGTATTAGCGGTGGTGTTCACTGGCAAATACAGATATACTCACTCTATATTTACAGCTGACATGATAAATAGGCCCGAACGCTGTTTGGGACTCTGGGAGGTGCAAATCAGGGTCGTGGCTCAACGGTCGAGGTAGCAGCGAGGCATATCAGTAGGTCAAGTCATAGGTGACAACCACCATCAAGAAGTCGAGGCATTTAGGTCAGTGGGACTGTTGTTGCGTACTGAAGGAAACAAAGTGTGGCATGGGGCAGCAGAGTACCGACAGTGTTGGCACTGTTGAGCGCAGTGTGAGGGTGCTATCCGGTGCAGGAACACAAGACGCTCGTCGCCAACTGGGGGGGGAGAAAGTCGTATCCCACCATTTCAAACCCCCTCATTTAACGGCCATCACGCTACGCCTTTGCTGAGTGTGCAAATCATGTGAATTTCCAACCACACTGGAAAAACGTAAACCCGCCAACATCATGTGCCACAACTACGATGCCGTAGTGATGATGATTTATTACGCTCGGAGCACAACAGGTATAAACTGATCTGGATTCTGGAATGCCAAGGCATCCAAAAGAAACACTTCTTTTGTTGGTCTTTGTCAATTCTTTGAAGTTGAAGGCTTTCGCTTGCTCGACAATCTTGCCTTTTGTCACTGCCAGCGCTAATGCCGCGCGCAGAAAGCAGGATGCTCCCACTGTCGCGTGCGTTTGTTGTCGTCGCGGACTGCAATCTCAAGATCATGGACAAGGCCGCCTTCCACCTCCGTTGTCGAGGTCCCTGCACGACGTTCATCGAATCCACCGCACTCGAAACGTTCCCTGGAGAAATTCTGATCCTGCCTCACAACGAGGGGTCTTCCCCGACTTTGGACGGTGTAAGGCTGAAAAGAAGGAACCTTGCATTCCTGTGAGGTTTTCATGTTAAGAGCTGCTGATCATCCTAGACTCCTTCCAAAGTTGTGGGCAATGTAAAAGCCAAAGCTGAATATGTAGAACCCTTCAAGTAGAAGGCCGAATGGAATCTCGGTCAGGATTTGATAATATTGACCGACCATCTTGAGGAAAGAAGGAAGCCTCGTAATTGTCCACCTCGAAATGGCAGTTTGTGAACATGCTGACATGGGTCGATTCGAAGTGAAGATCTAGACCGACGATATCATGTTGAGACCGCCGTATCAATGCGTCCTCAACCCTGTGACATGACATGACTTGAATTACCGTTGATATTCCTTTTATATACATCCAAGCCGGTTTCAACTCCCGCGAACTTTCTACTTCCAAAAAGCTGATCCAGCAAAGCTTGCCAATACTGGGCAAATAGTATTGTTAGACCTCAATCGAGCACCCTTACTGGACGAAACCCAGTTGCGGATCATATGAATAACGAACAGAATGGAGGCACCGGCTATGTTAACCCTAATGGTCCTGATGCCAAAAAGACTGACAGCTTGCTCCTCAATGGGGTGGTGATCTTACAAACGATAGCTTTGGGGGGCCTGACAACACAAACAGCACGCCGTACGTTAGCTACAAAACCCTAACCCCATCATTGTTATTGTTTGAACACCCGACTCTCTCTGCTGGGACTGAGCAAGGGATAGGTGCAATATGGCCGCCACTTCTGTAGCCAAGGTTGCGTCGTCTATAAAGCATGTCGCTGTTACCTACCAAGTTCTCCTCGTCTTGGTTCTGTTGGCGCTCTCTGTGGTCTTCAACCGATTCAAAGAAAGCCTTAGAAACATCCCGGGACCCCCTTTGGCTGCATGCACCGGGCTCTGGCGCTTGTATGATGTCGCCAAAGGTCAATCCCATGCCACAGCCCGCCAGATCCACGAAAAGTACGGTCCCGTGGTTCGAATCGGTCCCAACCATGTCTCCATCAGCAACCCTGCAATGATACCGATCATTTATGGTATCAAGGAGAGCTTCACAAAAACGGGCTTCTATCCAATTCAGTCCATGTCATGGAAGAAGAGGCCAGTGCTGAACCTTTTCTCCACCCGCGATCCGGAGTATAACCGCGTTGAGAAGCGTAAGGTTGGTGCTGCCTATAGCTTCCCCAGCCTGCTGCACTCTGAGGCAGCCATCGACTCCTGTGTCGACTTTCTCATGGGCCGTCTCGGTGACTTTGCTTCGAGAGGCGAGTCGTTAGATCTTGGTGATTAGCTGGAGTATTTTGCCTTTGACATGGTCGGAGAGTTGACCTTTGCCAGCAAGATGGGATTCATGGAACAAGGCAAGGATCTGGATGTAGGTACTTGCCTCCCTCGGCGTTTGATAAACTGCTGGGGGTACGCGTGCCAGGCCATGATGGCAGGAAACAAGGACTTTCTCGCATATGCAGCCGTCTATGGCCAAATTCCAGCAATCCACAAAGTCCTTCTAAGCAATCCGCTGCTCGCCAGGCTCATGCCTGCAATGGAGACCTGGAACCCGGTTCTTCTTTTCACGCTCAAGGTCATCAACGGACGAGCTGCAGCTAAACGAGGAGGTCAGCGAACCAAGGCCGATGTCGAAGCTCATGACATGCCCAGCCGCTGGGAAAAGGTCTAATCGACGGATCCTCTGGAAATGACTTTGAGGGACATGGTCCTCCACGTGAGCACCAACATATTCGCCGGCGTAGATACCACATCCATCGCTCTCCGTGCCATTGTCTACTATCTCTGTCGCCATCCCAAGTGTATGGATCGACTGGTCACTGAGATCGATACCGCAGACAAAGAGGGGGAGCTTAGTCATCCCATAAGTTATAAAGAAGCTACGACGATTCTCCCTTACTTAGGCACCGTCATCAAGGAAGCTATGCGTCTCCATCCCTCGGTCGGCATGCTCCTCGAACGCCAGGTCCCGGCCGAAGGTCTCTTTATAGAGGGCTACCAAATTCCCGCCGGCACGATCGTGGGAATCAATCCTTGGGTCACGAATCGCTCGCCAGCGTTTGGCACGGACCCAGATGATTTCAACCCAGATCGGTGGCTGAGTGCAGACGAGGAACGACTGAAACAAATGGACAATTTCTGGTAGTTTACCTTTGGGACCGGGAGCTGCAAATGCCTTGGCCGCAACATGGCCATGATCGAAATCCACAAGGTCATTCTGGAGGTGCTGAGACAATACCATGTCGAACTCACCAGCCCAGACAAGGACTGGTCAGTGTCCAATTATTGGTTTACGTTCCAGAAGGGATTGATCTGCAACTTGAAGCGTAGGTGACTAGCTATCCGCTACACCCTAAAATCACACGTTTGCAGAACTGTACTACATCGGTGTCGTATGTCAGATATCAAGCAACCTCTCTGTAGTCAACTTTTTCACTAGCCCAGTCATGAATCGATTTCTCGGTAATGCCCATGTTCCCCGCCTCGTCATGCAGCGTGGCGGCCACCTTGTATGTCAGATTCTCCGCTTGGGAGGCGAAGAGAGCCACAATGAGGCCCATGGCGCTAAAGGCGATACTGCATAGCCAGACGGTGTGGAATGCATCGGCATAGGCCTGCTTGAAGGCCGCCGTTCCGAGTTCGAGGATCTTGGGAGTAAGGCCCGTCACCTTGTCGAACGCGGCGGGAGTGTCCAGCTCGAGCGCCTCGATGAAAGCTTCCACGCTGCCGGCGGGCAAGCCGGCGGCGACCACTGCTTTGGGAACCTCGCCTGGAATCGTGCTCTTGAGGCGATTTTGGAGGACCGTCACGTAGATGACTGGTGCGATGGCACTAAAAAGGTAGCGGATACTCCCGGCCACACCGCCGGCAGTTCCGATCTCTTGCTGGTTCTTGACGAAAATGGTGGTGTTCATCAACACCAAATTGTCGACCCAGCCTATGAAAACCAGGCCGAGGAGAACGAGGGCGATCTGCGATCCCTTGTTGAAGGGAGTGACAGTTGCCGCACCTAGAATTGTCCCATCAATCAAAGTCATCCATGTTCCGGGATGGGCACTCACTGGCAACAAGGGTACCGGAAATGAGGAAGCAAGCAATGCACTGGTATTTCTGTTTTCCAATTCTGTTCGCAAACACGCCGGCACCAAGAAGTCCTATCAGGTTGGCAAGGCCGGGAACGCAAGACATGAGTCCAACCCAGATCTTGTCTCCGTTCCCATACAGTACAGACACTTCTTGCGGGAAAAGGAGTGCCGATGCATAATAAACAGGCGAAGCGATTGCACTCAGGAAGACGGCGATGATCCAGTCGCGTTGGCGGAAGAGATGGAGCGGAACCAGAGGTTGCTGAATCGGGGCATATGCTTCCCACAGAACAAATACGACGAGAAGGCAGACACCCAGGGTGATCATGACGATAACAGGTGCCGATTTCCATGGATATACATTGCCTCCGGACGAGAGACCAATCAAGGTCAGAACCAGGCCGGACGCAAACAACAATGTTCCCACATAATCAAAGTGTTTGATCCATTCAATGATCTTGTCGTTGCCGTGCTTCATGTGGAAGGTTGGCGGGTGGTAGAAGAGCACCCAGCACGTGAAAGCACTTCCGTTGATGGCGAGGAGGAGGTAATAGATCCCTCTCCAGCCAACGCTCGGGAAGTGGACGATGAATGACTCGGCCATGACTGGGCCAAATCCAGATCCCGGGATGACGAAGATATACAAAGCACTGGTCGCCAGGTAGCGATGTTTCATGGGGACCAGTTCGCCCATGACGATGTAAAATGACAGCTGGGTCGAGCTGGCGACACCGAGGAAGACGTTTCCACCGATGAGAGTAGGTATATTTTGGGCTCTGGCGCATACAATACTGCCAATCATCGCCAGGACCGAGCCGCCAATGAAGTAGTATCGCCGACCGAAGATATCCGAGAGACGTCCGATGATGGGAAGACACACGGCCAGAGATGTACTATAGGTGTATGAGACCCAGATGTAGTTGGGGTTGGGCCCAATATCGGCATTGATATCGTTCAGGATGGGCGCCGCGTAGCCGAATGCGCTTATACCGCCACACAGGCCGAGGCCGATGGCAAAGTATGAGCCGATGAACAGCTTGCTTCTATAATACCCTCGCTGAATTTGAGCATAGTCAGCCACACAGCCGGATTCATCAGTGACGATGACCTGGTCGTCGCGGTAAGGCTGTTTTTCGTCTCCCAGATGGCCCGTAGCGGCCATCTGGTTTGGCACAATCTCGGTATTGGCCATGTTGGAACAGGAAGGTGATTACTGGGAGGGAGGATGCGCAAAAGATATTTGAAGACACATGCTCACAAAAGAACTCCGCTTGAGGAGTTCACGCTGGGGACCTGACCTAGCGGGGAAACCCCGCAAAATCCCCAGTTCCGAGCTCTAGAATTTCTCGGAATTGCACGCCGGAACAGGAAATAATAGTGCTGTAGGGTAGGGTAAACCATCCCCAAGGCAACCTGTTGAGTCAATACTTGTACCTCGTACATTGAGCTGTCTTCTTGTTGCCTCGCTTGGGCTTAAAGTCTTCCTTAGGCTTCAGTTAGCCACAGCCGGAGCAGGTTTTATGGGTATTCGATTGAGGATTAGGTCGATCAGGAGGTAGAGGAGGTATTCCTGGAGGCTTGAATGGATTAGGTGGCGCGCCACTTGCGAGCATTTTGGTTAAGGAGATGTAAGCGAACTAATAAATGAGGCAGTTAGCACGTAAACGAGAGCTATTCGAGACAGAATAGGATCTTCATAGTGAAATAATCGGCGATTGCGCGTGTGGTATTGTTGTTGTGGTGGTGGTGGTGGTGGTGGTGGTAGCGCGGTAAGTGCTATTGGAAAGCGCGAAAATTTAGTCTACTACTTGATTAGTTAGATCCTTCGCCCTACGTGACTGTAATAGGAATTGGCCAATTAGATGAGTTTCTTCTACCCGACCAATCAGATCCGCGGCTTTTTGGAAATTTTTGCCCCGTATACCTAACTCATGTTCTTTTCGGGGTTAGGGTTACGTGGGAACAGGTTCGACTCGGCCCAGGATTGATATTGTGTTCAATAAGTAGTCGCAAAGTAAAGTAGATATTTAAAATATCTGGCCGCCATTGACGGGTAGAACAGAGGCAGTCATATAACTCGCCCGACCACTGGTAACCCAAACCAAAGCCTGGGCTAGCTCTTCAGGGTCGGCATATCGCCCCATTGCGTTGGGAGAGGCCGACGCTCTGATCGCTGCTATTTGTGCTGCGTTTGTCATATCGCTGCCGGAATTGGCCAGAATGCCTGTATTGGTCGGTCTACGGTCTATGTTAAAAGTTTTTCGTTGTAGTCAAATGGAAACTTACCCTGGGCAGACTGTATTGATTCGAATCCCAGATTTACCGTAGAACAAGCCGTCCTTGGCCGACTTTTAGCTTTATAGTGAATGAGGAGTTCGCAATGTAACATTACAGCTTTTGAGAGCCCAACTACTCCGTGCTTACTGGCGGTGTAAGCTGGAAATTCCTTCACTCCGTTTAGTCCAGCCATGGACGCAACATTGACAATACTGCCCCGGACTGGGTGCTTCGAGTGACTAATGACGTATTAGATAAAGTCTTTTGTTTATATTGCAACTGATAACTTGACCTTGACTGAAGAGGCTCTTGACCCAACATAACCTTCAGCTCTGCTCTTTCACAAAAAAATACTCCCCTTAGATTCACGTTACTATCCCGCTCCCAATATTCAGTGGTCATATCGGCCGTGCCTGGGCCCACCACAGTTATCCCGGCGACATTTGCAGCGTAGTCGATCCTTCCAAATTGCTCAACGGTTCCATCGACCATTTTTTGTACAGCCTTTTCATCAGTATTGTCACAGACTGTTGTTCTGACAGCGACCTCTTTGGCAACAGACTCTATCATGTGCTTGGTTTCCTCAAGGCCTGTTTGATTACGATCAGCAATGCTAATTCGCTTACAACCTTCTTTGGCATAGAGGATTGCCGTCGCTCTGCCGATACCTGGTTCATGTTAGCTGAGCCCTACCTATGGCCAAACTTGGAGATTTACCATGGGCAGCGCCAGTCACCAAAGCGACACCAGGAAAGTCGTAAGCAGGCATTGATTGTCGTGTTGTAGAAGATGGTGTTGCGAAGGAACCCTTACACGTATGGTTTGGTAGACACTGGAGTTTATCAACCATTTCATACTTTCGATCAACTCCAACGAAGTGGAACAGAATTCGGAACAGAATTCGGAACACACTGATTTTCTTCACAGCTGGAAATTACATCTGTGCAGTCTGTGCAGCGGTGGTTTTGGCCGAGGTTTGCTTCCAGCAGCACGTGCCAGGAATGATAGGAAATGGCTATTGCCCTATACTCCCTGTACTCTGTAAAAATCCATAAGAAGCCATGAGGTCAAAACGGGGATGCTGCAAGGCAATCTTTAATATATGCCGCATCAAATCTCGAAATGCTGCACGTGACAAGCTGGAATACCGGTGATTCTGATCGAGAGCGGAATTCGGAATTGATAACTTTTGACCATATAGTAAGTAGATACAGTATCTCATACGATCGACTCTGCATCTCCGTCATGGCCACCCAGTTTGCCGTACTCAAATTAGATGTCACCAAAGCGGCGGGCTTGAATGAAAAGGCTCATGTCGCAGCCACAGTCCATCTCCCACCGCCAGAGAAGCTTGTCCCCGTTCCCATCGTCTGCTTTGCTAAGCCAGGCGGGGGGTACAACCGTAGCTACTTCACTACTGACTTGCCGGGCCCAGCGGCCGGTATAGGGTCTGAAGCAGAGTGGCACGCTGAGCGAGGCTGGATCTTCGTTTCTCTTGATCATCTGGGAGTGGGAGAGAGCAGCTGGCACGATGCCGGTAAACTCGACTATGTCGTCATGGCTGCAGCAAGTCACGACGCTGAGCGACAGATATTACGGCGATTAGCAGAAGGGACCATTCTACCGAATTATGCCAAGATCCAGCACGCGGTGAAAATTGGCATTGGCCAATCTCTTGGTGGCTGTTTGACCATCGTTCAACAAGGCCGATATCATTGCTATGATGGCATAGGGGTACTCGGATATAGTGCAGTCCACAATCATCCTCCGGTAAAACCTGGCGAACGACCAATAGTGTACCGCTGGCTATCGAGAGACGGGTCACCGAGCCACCCGTCCCCAATTCTCAACGAGCAGCAATTCCAAGAATATACCAAGATCCCGAGAAATCCGGCCGCAGGTTCGCCGATGGCATGGGTCTTTCATTACGACGATGTCGATCCCGCCCTGGCAGCCGCGGATCTTGCACGTTTTAATCGCCGCCGCCCGACGGACTCGATTATTCGAGCAGAAAAGGGTGATCCACCTTGGGCGTCGCTTACCATCCCGATCCCGGCAGCATCAACCAGCACCACGCCTGGGACCGTTGCTTCTGAAGCCGCTGCTGTCCTCTGTCCGGTATTGGTTGCCATGGGCGAACGTGACGTGGTCCCCGATCCAAGGGGAGAGCCACGGGCGTACATATCCTCCTTTTCTGTGGATCTGTTCATATGCTCGCGGATGGGTCATATGCATAATTTCGCGGGCACTCGGGAGCTCTTGTGGCGGAGACTCGATATCTGGTCGTGTTGGCTTCGAGAGATAAAAGCCTCTACCGTGGTTCGGCACGGGCCCAGTAATGTTTGAAAACGTACTTGGGTTGAGTCGCGTGGTCCATCAGTTCTTTCAGCAACTTCTGCCCTTTGTCGATTGGCGTGCCTTTAATGTTGTGCGCGTACGGGGAGTATCGTCTCAATGCTCTGCTCTTCGCGAGTCTCTTTTCTCCCAAAAGGCTCTCTACACTTGGGCATTCTTGATGTCGAGATATATGCCGCCATGGATAACCGTTCGAAGGACTGCGCAGTAGATTGCAGAGTAATCAACAAATATTTGTTGCCACAATTTATACGCCGACAGCAAGAGACGGAAGTCACGTGGAAACGTGGCATCGCAGAGAATCGTGAATTATGCTCCGACAGGGAGTGGAGGATACTCTCAGCAATGCAGACCCTGTATACCTTTACCTATGGCAAGTCCTCGCAGGTGGTAACTGGCTCCTCAAGGGGACTACATTGTCTGGGCCGGGCGGGATGCGTTCATTCCTCGCTTGACCTCGTGACGAGGGTTCAAGATATTGAATCCACTAGTCTTGTCTATTCTACCTACTCAAATAAGTGATGTGCTGGGTGCTGTTGGCGGACGGTTTGACAACGACAGAACTCCAACCGTCTTGTGCGTTGCTATCGACGATTGAGCTCCAGCCCTTCTAACTTCCCAGCAGCCCTCCATGCAGCGGCCAGTTGGTACCACTCAGGACCAGTCAGGCCAACCGTCGCGTTCCTCAGGTTGGCCTTTGACAACCGGCCTTCTTGATTGTAGTATCCTGACCGGATGGAACTCGAGTTAGCCGAGATTCTCTAAAGACCCCATGGGTCAAATACATACCAGGAGTGCATGACATGAAGAAATCAAGATATTTCAAGGCCGTGGCTTCCAGTTTCTTGACCCAAGCATCCTCGGCCTCCTGCGTGGGTTCGACGGAATCGATCTGGCGTTTCAAGCATTCCGAGACGATGTAAGCGGCATGTTTGGCCCGCTCGCTGAGTAAATGCGTATAATTGGGCGACGTGGAGCTCTGGAGGTGCGTGAATAGCAGCAGGTTAGGAAAATCCCGGCCAATCATGCCAAACAACGTGCTTGGTCCACGCGTCCATTTTTCAGACATGGTCTGCCCGTTCCTCCCCGTGATTGTCATGTTGGCACGCTCGGAATAATCGTTACTCCAGTCGAAGCCAGTAGCATAGATAATACAGTCAAGTTTGTACTCGGTTCCCTGGGCAACAACCCCTTGCTCAGTGACCCTTTCGACGCCCTTGCCGTCCGTATGCACGAGATGCACATTCGGATTGTTAAAACAAGGCAGGTAATCGTTACTGAAGCAAGGGCGTTTGCATGTCCGAACGTACCACGGCTTGAGCGCTTCCGCCGTCTCGGGATCGTCGACCGTGTTTTGAACACGGGATCGAATCGATTCCATTTTCAGAGTCTCGGCCTCCTTGAGTCTCTCTAAATAGCTTCCGTCTCCTGGATCCGATTGAAGTACAGCAAACACGTGCTTAGTCCAGCCATCGTCGACCAGGTCAACGTGTGGATTTTGGCCGAAATAGATGTTTTCGAAGTTGTCGGCACGCTCGTCTTGCCATCCCGGCTTCAATGATTGAAACCAAGCCTTGTCAGTTTTCGGATTGGCCCTTTCATCCACCCCCGAGGGCGTCCGCTGGAAGACATAGACCTCCGCTCTGGATGCAGCAAGATGAGGTAGGACTTGAATTGTAGAAGCTCCCGTGCCCACCAAGCCAACGCGTTTCGAGCCGAGTTTACTCAAAGGTGCGCCAAAAGGGTCCCCTCCAGTATAGTCATAGTCCCAGCGGGATGAATGGAAGCTGTGTCCTTTGAAATTTTCGATGCCTTGAATGCCAGGAAGGTGGAGCTTGTGTAAGATTCCGATGGCCGAGATGACAAATCGAGCGCGGATCACATCGCCTCGTGATGTTTCGCCAATCCAACGAGATAGCTCATTTGACCAGGTAATGGAGTTCAATTCGGTCTGGAGCAGAGCTTTCTCCAGCAAGTTTTCTTTTTCCGCAATTCGGAGCGCATGGGCACGGATCTCATGGCCTGGGACGTACTTGGAGCTTGGAATGTGCCCAATTTCTTTCAGCAGGGGAAGGTAGATATATCTAGAATATCTTGTCAGATCACCGACACGCGACCGACTTGCAAGCCGTCATCACTTACGCATCGGTATCGCAATAGAGACCTGGATATCTAGGTCCGATATTAGTCTGTGCCCCCCATGGTCACGAATGATGCAATACCTGTTCCAATACCAGACGCCGCCAAAGTCGGAGGCTTTGTCAACCATTCTGATGTTGTAAATTCCAACTTCATGAAGCTTCCTGGCTGCTAGGAGGCCGCCAAATCCACAACCGACAATGAGCGCGTCGACATCTTCAGAAACCGGCTCGCGGCAGCCATCTCCTTTGGTCCATGGGTCCTCTGCAAACCGTGCCAGTTCCCCGACCGCTTCGCGAAATTGATGGATACCTTTGCTGTTCAGGCGCTTATTGCGCTCCTCTTGGTTTTTGGCCTCGATCGCCTCAGTATCCACCGCCATGGCCAGAGTGTTGACTTGGATCGACCCCATGTTTCAAATGTTAATGATGCTTAGTCGGAATGTACGAGCAGAGGCACGACGCTTCAAATGTGAAAAGTCACCCAACAATGTCGACTAAGGGCAAGAGCTAGCATATCTTGGTCAACCCCCAAGACAGGAAATATCAGCCCAATCACCTAGTGGTATGACATCTTACTAACCAGGTCTCCTCAAAGAGGTGTCGGAAATCATCCACTCGTTCCGGGAAGACATGCACAAAATGGAATGCCAAAGCTATTGGCATCCGGACTCGACAGAAAAATTTCCATGGTTGGCACACGATCACATCCGGATTACTGAAGTGGTATAAAGTGCGGGTAATGACGATGATTCACTGACCACGGAGTTTCCTGATATGATCGAGAGCCGTCGTACAAGCCTTGGATAGGGACGCGGATTGACTATCCCCTGAACGTAGCTAATAGGTCATCAGGTAATTCTGAGCGGTGTACCGCTAAACTTGTCGACTTTAGGCCAGTGCTTCGAACTCAGAGTAAACATACTAGGACTTGCTCTCTGAGTTCTTTTGCCCGCCCCTCCCCCACAAAAACACGGCTTTCGAAAATAACGTTGGCACAGGGAAAGTCAGGGATCCCCGCCAGTCACATGCCTATTATTCCGAATGAGGAATAGTCTTGCGCCGCAAGCTGCGGCTCGGAATTTGTTTGGAATTGTCAGGAACTCCTCCGGCTTGCTGCAAGTACTCTTATGCTTCGAGTCTTGTAGCGACCGAGGGTCAAGGAATACTTATAGCGATTGATTCCCACCTTACTATTGCCTTCTGCCTGTTGTCCCAAACCATTCCTGACAGCTGATCACATGGCCAATTTTGTCTCATTGTCTGATTCATCATCCTGGCCTGAACGCTGCTCATACGTCTTCAATTTTGGACCACCGCTTCCTTGGACGCAGTTGGGCACACCGTCGATCGATTATACGATCGCTCGCTCTTCTGGGAGCCCTTAGCCATTCTCAATTGCAAGAAACCACAGGATGCGAGGGTAGTTCAGCGTAACAAGTAAATGTAAATATAAGGGTAAAACGTGCCACTCAAGTTCATGGCCAAAGGAACTCCTTTCTCCAGGCACCATCTGTCCCTGTGTGCACATATCTCAACCTCTTGTGGAGTCGATCCGACGCTCCCTGCCAAAATTCAACAGTACTCGGCAAGACCGCGTACACTTGCCACTCCGGAGAGACATGCTGCGGATCACTCTGGAGATACGAATTGGCTTCTTTTAGGCTTTGGCCAAGCTCTCCGGGACGAGGGAGCGGCTTTGACGCGATCGCACTCACTCGCGAGGCCCACGGGTGATCGAGAAAGTCGGCGGCACATTCCTCGCCAGGAAGGCCGATAGCTCGTCCTCGGATTCGAATTTGACGGCCAAGTTGGGGCCAATAAAAGCCCAGGGCGACTTGTGGGTTTGCTCTGATGTTCTTTGGGGCTTGTCGCTTTTGACGGCGAAATGCCAGCCTCGCGCGTCGACGTTCTTCAAGATCAGGACTCGTGAGTCCGGACATCCGGCTTCGTCGACGGTGGAAACGGTCATAGCATGTAGCTCGGGTACTCCAACGTCTATTGCTCCGCTGATCCACACTTCGAATGCTTGATGAGGATCGTCTGGCAATGACTCCAATGCGGCATCCGGCAATGATCCCTTCAAGACGGGAAGGTTGCGGAGCTTGGTCCTCATAGGGGTAGTTGAGTTCGACATGACAGTTTTAGGTTGATCCGCGAGGATTGGAAGAAGAGGAGCACCGCAAAGTGTGCAAGAGCGTAGGTGAAATGAGTCAATACTCCGGAAGATAACCCATTAACTATGCGGGGAGGAGGTATTACTTCCAAAGGAACGTGGCCTCGTTTCAATATGAGTCAGAACATGCAACTTTTCTTACCGTCCTTTCAAGCAATGCGTGTAATGCCTTTCCTCCCCAGTGTCGCAGCCTACCTGGGATACCCAGTTCATCAGTGTTCAGCGACAAGCGACGACAAATTATCAATAAGTTACAGTACACCGTCGTGAGCATTCCATACTTAAAAAGGGATTTCCGTTTCCACTCTGGGGTGAAAATGATACTGAAATTTCCTGTTTTGGGGGGTCGGCGAAGATCTCCCTCTAGCAATAGGCTGCCATCGAGTGATAATGGGGGTTGTGGTCTTCGCAGTAAATTACACTTCTGTCTTGCTTTTGTTGTTGTAAGTAATTCGATAGTTTCAATACTATCTTCTCAGGATTAGGACAACAATAGAAGATCCTCTCTGCTAGATACGGACGGGTTAGAGCGTCTCTCCTATGAAGACCTAGTTCCACACAGTTTTGTCTAAGGCAAAAGGCTTCTAATGAGCTCAAATTCTTTCTGCTGATTGGTGAGTTCAATTGTGCCTTTGAGGTAACCTGTAGAGTCGACGCTGCCCTGTATCAAAGCCCAATTGTCACGAACATCTTCTGGTGTTGCATCTGGATTGAAATACCCGTCCGGACAGGCGAAGAATATACGAGTGATACGCCCTCCTGCCATAGATATTGATTGGCCTGTGACTGGACAGTCTTCATGGATTAGATAGAGGGTTGCGTTTGCGACCTGCTCTCCCTTTAGATTCTTCTTCATCCAATTCCCAAAATCGGTACCACCAAGGTTGCCATCGACCATTGGGGTGTACGCCCAAGGCATCACAATGTTGACCTTGATGTTGAACTTCTCCCCGGCGGCAGCTGTTTGCCGTGCGGCTCCCCACTGGCTCGCTTTGGCACTTGCGTAAGCCGCTTCGTAGCCGACCGACTCAGCATACCAGCCGAGGGCAACAGCCGAACCGGTAAACAGGATTCTTCCATACTTTTGCTTGACCATGTATGGCCATACTGCTCGATTGATCATCAGTGGGCCAAAGAGATTGACATCCAGCTCTGTATGGAATGTCGGGCCAGGATCATTCTCCACCGCGCACTTGGTTCCCACTGTTCCGGCATTGTGAATAATGATGTCGACTCGTCCAAAGCGATCGATCGTCTTTTGAATGAGGTCTTTGGCGGCGTCGTCCTTCCCGATCAGGCCACCATGCGCCAGGCCCTCCCCTCCCAGCTTTCGGATCTCCTCAACTACTGCCTGAGCCTTTGCAATGCTGGTAGGGCGTGTGTTGACGACGACCTTCGCACCGCGGCTCGCGAGGAGAAGAGCATGCTCGCGGCCTATACCTTGACCTCCTCCGGTAACAATGGCGACCCTCCCGTCAAAGGAGAGTTTGCCTAACGATAGTGCAGAAGGCATAGTAGGTAGCGTGTTCTTCAAAAGACGTCGCAATGCGGTAGGAAGAGTAAATGCATTCCCAATTCTGCTTTCAACCGAATTTACGAGTAGTGAAGAACGGAACTGGAATTTCTCTGGAAGATGGTGCCAATCGGGACGAAATAAAGCATATTTCGCAAATCGAGATGATACCCGCAATACACCCATCACCGGGCCCCTCAAAAATGGTTCGTCCATATCTCCTTTGCAATTCCATTTTCCGAACGAGCTTGGCTATGCAGGTGGCAATGGTTTTTTGGGGGGTGAAGGGGGGGGGGTGGTCTGGGTTTTTGAACGGGCACAGCACCGGAAAGCGACATTCGGCGCTGTCGCATCTCCCCGCAGGAATGTCAATCACAGTCACTGGACACCGAACACGATAATAAGAGGCCGAATCCCTTGCAAAAAAAAACCAAGGCCAATGGCGAGCTTGCGAGGGAAAGTCGTTGCCTTGTCCGGCGGTGCCTCGGGCATTGGCCTCGCGACAGCACGGTTGCTCATTGCACGAAAAGCGAAAGTATCCATCGGCGACTTTGCAAAGGAGAGCTTAGAAAGTGTTCGGCGGGAATTTTCGCTGAAAGACGAGGCCGAAAACGTGCTGACCGTCATTTGCGACGTTTCCAAACGGTCGGACGTGGAAAACTGGATAGATCAGACTGTACAACACTTCGGCCACTTGGACGGGGCTGTAAACCTGGCCGCCACGCCTGGCAAATTTATCGGAGTGCGTTCAATCACCGAGATCGACGACGATGATTGGAACACCTGCGTTGCCATCAACCTGACCGGGATGATGTACTGTCTTCGTGCACAATTGAGAAAGATGGCAGATGGTGGTTCGATTGTCAACATTAGCAGCGTCGCCGGGTTAAAGACCATTGTCAACGCCGCTCCTTACGTGGCAACGAAACACGCTGTCATCGGACTGACACGTAACGCCGCGAAGGAGTTTGGAAGAGACAGAAAGATTAGATGTAATGCTGTCGCTCCGTAAGTACCAGTGAAGTTTGTCTTCGGGGTATAGTCTACTGAAGATTTATATATAGTGGAACGACAGACACCCCTATGTTAAACTCATCAAGATCGATCGCCGGGCCCACAGGTACTATCACTCAGGGAAACGATTACTCTCACGTTGCTCTGAATCGCGTTGGCAGACCAGAAGAGATTGCTGAGGTAATTTGTTTCCTTCTCAGTGACGAATCCTCGTTCGTTTCCGGTCAAGTCCACGTAGTGGACGGGGGATGGTACTGCTAGTAGGCCTACAGTCGACTTCAGCGGACTAGCTCCTTCGATCTTCTGGGCCACACTGGCATGCGCATGGAATCATGGAGATAATTCAAGAGAATTTAATGTGTGTAGCTCCTACCTCTACCCGCTGCTGCTTCGCTGGTCCCGGCTCAAGGTCCCCAAGGTATTAGCTTTGAGACGTTTCTGGCTTGAGACTTTTCCCTCGGTGCTTGCTCCCGTACCACCTGAGATTCTGGTCAACATTTACAATCTTATAAACAATTGGTGTCCGAAGAGCCCACAGAAGCCCCAGTTGGTTAATGTGAGGTGTCCGGCCATCCTGTGGTGCGCAATTGTCTATCAAGGCTATTCTTCACCTCAAACCCGTGGAAGATATTCATCTGGTGTCTTGTCACAATCACAGACAATAAAGTACGCCCAGGGTATCCGTTGGCCCGATGGATTTTGCCATACTGACTTCTTGTCTTAACTATCAATTTCAAAGGGGCCACGGATCACTTTGGCTTTTGCATGTCTGAAAGATGAAAACAGCAACCCATCCAGGCCCTGTTTGCTTCTCAAGAAGACATCGAGGTTGCTCGCGAAAAGGTCGGTTTTCTAAATGTTTCTCAGGAAAATGAAAGTCGCGCTCAGTCCGCTCCAACAAAATCCCAGTGCAGCGCGGATTACAGGTCTTTGATCATGCGCAGCATGATAAGTCTCGATCGCACATGGAGGAAGGGAGGCGCCACGACAACTATTTACTCTAAGTGCCAACTCTAGTACTCGTCAACGAGACCTTTAAGTTCCACCGACTGTATTTCTGGACTCTGAAGCAGACGAAAACATATGGAGGGAGGAGATAATCGGATCAGTAGTCCAACGTCACCTAGTATGGCCTGAGCGGTGAATCCTGACGGTGTGAAGAGGTTCCGCTCACCGCTCGTCCGACTCAATCCTGATACATGCGCTGTCTTCAAGAGATATCAAATGCGCACGAAAGGACATCGAACACAGTTTGGACCGGCACAGTCGGCGTGAATTGCAACATTATGATGGAAAATGAGGAGGAGATTTGAAGCATACACTATCCCAGCAGCAGGCGATCGCGAGGCTCAATTTGAAATCTGCCTTAGTAGCAGAAGTCGCGAGCTAGGGGAGTATATACTCGCGCAATGTAGAGAGAAAGACAGTTTAGATTAAGTGAGACTAACTAAGGACGGTATGAACGCGAGCTGACTCTTGCCGTTGAAGCATCAACTGAAAGGGTATCCGGGAGACCCACAGTGCTCTCCCGAACCACTGAAGGCAGTGCCAACTTCCCGGCTGGGCAGTACAAAGGAGTCGACGAATGAAGCGTCAATTCTTCTGCTTGGAATCCGGCTCATGTTCGTGAAACTTCCCAGAGGCCTAAAGTTACTCCACGGCACAGTTTGTAGCGTGTATCGCTTTTTATCGTATAACGCGCAAACGCTAATGCCTGGTGCTATTCTCTCCAACCTTTTGAGCCCCCGATCGAATGCCTCGATAGCTAGCGCCCGTAAGAAGTGTCCTACCCACCTCGGAGTTCACAGATATTCTTGACTTTCCAAGGCTGGCGTTCCTTTCGATGCGTACGGTCCCGGCAGAGCAGACCACTGTTTGGCACATTGTGAACAGTTCGGCTGCCCAGAGTACGGAACCTTGCAAGTCTAACGGTTGTTGCAGAAGCCCTTCACATATCTGCGCCGTCACCCTGCAGTATTCCGTTGTGCTGACGTTACCATGTCAGCATCTGAAGAGTCTCTCTGCGTTCTTGGAGCACCAAAGTGATTCAAGGCAAGAAATTCCGAGGGTATATGATAGCCTTGGTGAACGGTGGTGGTAGAAGCACGTCGCACTTGTAGAGTCGATCAACTCCAAGTGGTGCTAGAGGCTGGTAAACGACTGCAAAAGATGACTCCTGGAAGCAGAGCAACAGAATGCAGCATCGTCGGTCTGATGGCTCGAAGCTCACAGTGGCAGGGACCAGCTTCCTCTAGCGTAGTCAACGCCTGGCTTTCGATGGGCCGAAACTAATTTTGGACCTTGGTCGAAAGAGAAAAGCAACCATGACTGTGCTGGGGAGTGCTTTACTACCGGACTAGACAATCCTCTACCTAGTACAGGTAGAGAAGATGTGCTGACGTAGTTTCCAATCGTTTTCGCTATGAGAGTCTAGGTTTTTCCGATGCCTTGAGGATCTTAGACACCCACTCGACCATCGCCTCCAGATACTGATTGACCACTGGCAAATGTGAGGCTATCAAGAAGCCATGAGGGAGCCCGGGATAGACCTTCAAATCCACGGGGACGCCTGCGCTGCTGAGTGCTGCAGCGTAGGCAATGCCTTCATCTCTCATTGGGTCCATTCCCGCTACCTGGATGAGGGCTGGAGGTAACCCGCTCAGGCTTGGAGCGAGCAATGGGCTTGCCAACGGATCGAACCCTGAATCGGGGCAATATTGCTTCCAATACCAACGCATGGAAGGTGCGTCTATCGTGGGAGCGGAGGCGTTCTGCTCGTAACTGTTCAACTCGAATTTGTCACGGGGTAAATGGTCAGGATGACACAACGCCGGAATATTCAGCATCTGCCCAATCACGCCTGACGATCGACCGTCTTTGGTGAGTCTGAGCGCCAGCCCGGCAGTGAGACTGGATCCCGCACTGGAGCCCGCCAGGATAGCCTTAGATGGGTCAAACCCGAATGATTCGGCATCCTCCAAGAGACCGAGGTAAACATCGTAGGCATCGTTGCAGGGCACCGGAAATTGAAATTCCGGGGCTTTCCGGAAGTCGATGCTGATGACCACCATGCGGTTCTTTACGCAGACGGATCGGCACATCGAGTTTTCCGTGTCGTGATTGCCAGCTACGAAGCCGCCTCCATGGAGAACGAAGAGCAAAGGCAATCGCTCGGTTTGTACTGCCCCACTGGGCCGATATACTCGGAGCTCAATCGGGGTGCCGTCTCTTACACGTTTTGTGCGATAGGAGATATCGAACCCTTCGGACGGCACATAAGTCGGATACTGTCCACGGATGATACTCCAGTTCTCTCGAAACTCATTGATGTCTTCGAAGGTCCAGATTTTGCGAAACGTCTCTCTCAGGCCCGGGATAAGTGACTCAAAGCCAGGGTCCACTTGTGACATCCAGGCGTTGGACATTTTGGCTGTACGCAGGACGTGTGCCGATGCACTGAGCACAGTTCTGGAGAAATACTGCCTCGAATACCGTGAACAGAAGACTTATATATATCACCATCATAGAGCCCCAATCGGACAGCGCTTCACCAAGAAAAACTCTACTAGTGATTCTACATTTCCGGTAAAGCCGAATAGTCCTCGCACCTGCCAAGGATGAAAGACAGAGATAACGGCGGTTACGCGCTCGCAGGATGCACACCCTCAATTCCGAATCCCTGACGTCTTGAGATTTGTTCATACCTTGGCGCAGTGTGTGCCGTGTAGTTCGGCTTCCAGTAAGGACTTGGTCGTTAGTAAATGCCACTGAAAAGATGCCATCCTGGAACTATGACAGCGTCCTCGCGGTAGGATTCATACCCCTTACACCTATTCCGCAACGCCCTTGGCATACCATGAAACGAGGCATTGAATGTCGAATTAAAGGCTGTATATGGCGACGAACTGGTCATTCTGCCCTTCCACATTGTGGTATGGGGTTGTTAGTCGATATGGAGTATGACCACAATTCTATACATCCTAGCAGGCCAAAAGATCTACCTCATCGGGTGTGTGGCATCTAGATACTGTGATTATACCACAAGCAAGTCGCTCCAGCACCAATTCTCGTCGTCGCCTCAGAAGCATAAAAGAATTGTAGAGGAGGTGAATGGGGGAGAGGAGGCCTAGGATATTACTGCGATCGACAGTCACCTATCAAATTCGATATCCAGCAGTGGAAGCGTAGGAATTCATACACCTCGTTGTCGAGACCCAGCTATCAATTGAGCGGTATTTCACTCAAGAAGCGGTATCAAATTCTGGAAGACCCCAGCTACACAGACATTTCTGCTGTCTGAACATATCATTATCACCCTGACAAGGACCTTCATGGACATAAGTGCTTCGACAACAGGTCCTTGGGCTGCAAATCAAACTATAACCTCCTTGCTCTGACTCTCTTCTCAAGCAAACTACCACGGCGCTGTCGTTCTGTTAGCTGGTGCGTCAAATACCAAGAAAGCAGTACCGGGTAAGGACTCAGGCTGGGCGTCCAACGGGGCTCGGTGCACTATGTCTATACTATAGTACTAATCAAGAGAACACCCGGCGGCATCGCGGTCGACGTCTATAAGGGTAGGTTAGAAGTATTCAAGTAGACTTTTTCCACAAACCCTGTGGAACTCGAACTGAAAGTCGACAGCACAAACTCTTATCAACCATCAGAAGGTTGCAGTGAACAAAGCCCCTGGCCTTGACAGCATATCTAATAGAATACTCAAGCTCGCTTGCGACATCTTTGCAGTTCACTTCATCTAGCAGCACTGTTTGAAGTATACATACGGACAGGTGCAGTCCAGTATGCTGCAGGGGTTCAACGCCATGGTCTAAACGCTCGGTAAAACATACCGGCTGATTGCACTACTTACTCAACGTTTGGGGAGGAGTTCTAGGCCGTATAATCCGTATAATTGGAGAAAGGCCATGCTAGTTAGCTTAGTTCGCGGAGAAACGTTGGAATGATGGTGGTTAGTTCTTTCCGAGATATAGCTGTGGCGTCAGGAAGTTGGTAAGAGTGCACATTGCCAATATGGCCTCCTTTGACGTTTAGGGGGCCTACGGTAACATTGCTGGGGAAACCTCAACTATGTCTCAAGAGGTCGGAAGGAGGAAGGCGGACGGGTAGCAGACTGCATTGCCACAGTAAGAGTAATAAGGGGCACATCGGGCTATCTCATCTCTATTCGGACACAAGCAAGGCAAAAAAGCGCATGCTCAAGTGGGGAGGGACAAAGAATACACTTCCGCTGTGAGAGCAGAAGCCGTTAGGAACCCTGTACAAAGTCCTGCATCGGCTGGACTTAATGCGGCTGAAGCAGAACAAGAAATGAATGCTTCCATCAAACTCATCTGAAAATGGAGGAAACTGTCATCACACAGCTCTCCCGGAATTTTTTCGAAGGACCATGGATCTTTCGTTCCGGTCCAGAAATGGCTCTCCCTTCCCAGAAGTGCTAGCTGTTAGCAAGCTTGACGACTTCGTCCTGAAGAGATCGTGAAGTTAGACCTCGTTTGGAAATGTCCAAGTGTCGTCAATTGGCTTCTGTTATAACGTGTCCCCAGTCTGACTCGGTATGACTTCATACATTAGTAGCCTCAGACCTGTACTTCCATGGGCTCTGGATGTTGGAGCAAACGGTTTTGAGCCAGGATACATCGACACAGTTAGGAAGAGTTGGTGCGAGCGAACAAATATGTACGCTAAAATTGTGAAAAAGCAGCCATCAGGTTCAATCTAATTTCTCTGTCTCGCACCCCGCACTTTTCAGAGATCCAAACTCGTAGGCCAGAACTGAAAATGTTAGTTGTGGCTCGGTCCTATAGTCTCCGATTGTCTCGAAAGCTTCTGTCTCATTGCTTCTCTATTAAAGTTTTGAAAGTATGGCTTACATAATGACCCTTACAGTGTGACAATGGCGGCTGAGTTCATGAGTTTTCCCAATTTTAAGACTTAGAATGGCGTATAGCTTAGATATCAGGAATAGGGTCGCGGGAAACTATATCCAATATATCGAATTGCCTCTCTATAGGTGCAAACGATAGGAATCCGAAGCTGAAAAACTTCGGGAGATGTCTCTACGAAGGGTAGCTATATACACCCTGCCCCTGAAGTCTTCGCATTCATGACAGTTCTAGTTGCTCTGTAGGGAGTTCGACTTCGAGGTCTAGCATAGTTTCCTACTGCGGCCAATGCTCTAATGCTTTGAGTTCCTGACTTCCCAAACCAATCAGTGTTTATCCACTCTATACTGCCAGCCAGGATTCTAGTCTCTCTTACATGCACCGCCGGCGATCTTGAAGGCTTTCTAGATTCTCAGGATATGGGTTCAGAGAGTAGTACGCGCGACTACTACGCGTCAACCTTCGAATAAACAACCAATACTTGTCCAATCGAGTTGCTTTCTTTTGCATACGAATAATGCCCACCTATACAGAGGGTGACATTAAGAATGCACTTACAGACCTTAAACAAGGGTTCTCTCAAGCCGCCGCGGCCACTCGACATGGGGTACCACGTAGTACTCTTCGGGAGCGTATTGTCAGTGCTGCTCCTTTTAACTATGCCCGAAACTGGTAGACGTCTCTAGTCGCAGGCCCGAAAGTAGAGGTGTGGTGTAGGGGACAGGTGTAGCATATTGTTGAGCTGACAAGGCTCTAATCTTAGGAGTTGTGCAGCGAGAGATTCTAGACCTCGTTTTAGGCCCCCTCTACGATAACAGCGTTGCACTCGTTAAGCTCAAGGAGGATTCTAGACCTTTTCAGGGTCCTTGAGGACTGCTCTAGAACGCAGGCAAAGTTGGATACAAATCGGAAGCAACCGCTCGAGAAATAGAAGCAGAAGAGAGATCTTCATGCATTTGCACAAACGGCGTACAGAACGCAACACGTATAGCAGCGGGTCAGGGTATGCTAGAGATGTACAAGGTATGGGTGCAGTCTTGACTATATACTTGTGGCTCATATCCAATGAGGTAACCTTGGCAGCATGTTGATATGTTGGTATGCTTCCATACCAACATATCGCCACAACGATATTTCTATTCCTAGTTATCACGTGACCCGGCATAGCCCCGCTTGTGACTGACAGGACCGCCGAGAGATGTAATGACTGTTCGCGCTAGTCTTTGGCCGAAGGTCTATTACTAGCGTCGAGACCCCTTTATCAATTACTCGAACGTATATAGTTAGATAGGCCCTAGGACCCTATAGAATTCATTATATTCCTCTATTAAGTTATGTCTAGTAGTAACGCTCTAGATAGCCCTTATAGACGCCTAGGCTAGGGCCTCGAAGGCCTCTATCTCTTTAAATAGTAAGAGATAGTCCTCAAGCTATTGATAGACTAAGTTCGATTGGAACTTGAGCCCTTAGAATATTATGTCGAGTGCGAAGGTTAAATAGAACCCGTCAATCCTTTAGCTACCTCGACTAAACCTCTTCTCCCTCTATAGAGGCGCTCTCCTATGAGGGTATAGAATTAGTCTCTTAGAGCAAGCCTATATCGAAGGATAATTAAATAGTATTAACCTAGAGAAAAGGGGTAGTTATGGAAGTACTTAGATGCGTTTCTACGGAGCCTAATACCCTAGGTATAAGTTCGCCCTTTATAGCCTACTAACTATACTTCGTAGCGCTCTAAGCGCGATATTATCTACTAATATTAGAGATTAAATGACTTCTCTAAGGTATTGGTAGGGAGGTAACGAAGCTAAGCTATTAAAAAAAGTAGACTACCTCTTAGAGTATGAAAGGGTAAACTATACGTAAAGAGACTACTAACGACTATAACCTTATAGAGGTAGAAGACTACCTTATTAACCCTCCCTATAGAGGCGACTAGTTATATCCGTAACTACGAGACTAAGACCGTTAAATAGTTTATCTAAAGGAATTAATAGAGGAAGTTAGATATTATAGGATAGGAATTAATAGTATAGTCACTTAGAAATTCAGCTAACCTTTAAAAAGGGGATACTAGTACCTCTTGAAACTAGTTTAAGAGCCTCTACTAGATAGAGGATATACTATAAAGTATTACTTAATCTTCGAGAGTCACTAACCTAGCCTAAGAAGCCTAATATACCTACTTACTCTCCTACTACTTATATATATACTTATACTATATTAATCTTTTAACTCCTTAAGTCTCGATTTGGATTCCTTTTGTCACGAATAAGGGGTGCTAAGGCTCTCAGGGGCTAGATGTATATAAGCGTACGGGTCGTGGGCTACCTTCTGAGGCTGTGAGGGTTGCCTATAGGTAGATAGGCGGAGGGAATAGTAGGTTCAGGTATCAATAGGTGTATCCTAACCGCTCAGGTTATACAGGACTCGAAGCATGAGAGACGCCTGCGAGTCTCATGCGAGGAGGCTGGGTTTCTATCTGGGCTAGCTAGTCTCTTGGCAGCTTTGTGGTGTGTGTCAGACGTTCCTGACAGAGGCTCTCCAGCTTCGGAATCGCTATCGTTCTGCGCCTATAGATAGGTAATATACTTATTAGATAGTTCGCTAGCGAGCCCTTCCTGACACGTTTAGAACCTAGAGCTAATATCGATTAAAGCTATATTAGGACTTAATAACTATAACATATTAAGGTCTAAAGTCTTAACTAAAATCCAAAAATCCCTCGTTAACGTCTACCAAACATGGCACCAAATCCATCCCCTGCACCAACTTCGGATAAATACAACGCCACGTAATTACTATATGCACTCCAACTCTCCCCAACAGCGCCAAGGTTTGTGAGCTCTTCGCTCCCAAACCCAATTTGTGAGATCCACGTTTTACTTGTCATGTAGTGATCAACTCTTTTAACGATCGGCTGGACCTATGGCAAGATTTGGATGCCAGACGAACCGGCACCAATGAGTGTAATGTCTTTATCCTTCATCCTATCCAAGGTGAGCTGAGGGTTCTAATACGCAGAGTGGACCATTTTGCCTTTGAATTGTTCCCGACCCTCAATCTCCGGCCACTTCCACTCATTCAAGATGCCAACTGCAGAGATGAAAAAATCGCGTTCTTCGGTGAAGTTTCTCTCCGTCCGAATGTCCTCGAGAAAGACCTCCCATTTACCAATGTCCTCGTGCTAGGTGGTCGCGTTGAATTAGATTTGGAACTTGACATATTTGTACACACCATACCTACAAGTAGTCCGCTTGATGTACTCTTCGATTTCTTCGCCCCTATAATAATGCTCGCTCCACTAGATGTCCATACTGCGATGCGATTCAAAGAGCCACACACCCGTTCTCCCACCAAGTTCCTCCAACGTCCTCATTCTCCTCGTAGATGGTGAAATTAAGGTTCGCGATTCGCTGGGGAAATCGGATGCCCCCGAGCACGCCCGAGAATCCAGCACCAATGCAAACGACTTTTACGCGACGTAGATCATCAGTGCAATAACCATGTAACGGCAGCAAGTCAGTAATGCCCAGGTAGAAAAAAAGCGCTTCATCAGCAGGAGACCTCGATCCTTTCTGTGGCTTGGAGTCGTGATTGGCGAGATCGTTGGCAACCATGGTTCCGGCTCGACTGCACAAACAGCACATTCATAAGCTGCTTGCTCTTTGATAGGGACTTTGCGAGGTTGTCATGTGGATCATCCTAATATTATGTGTCACGGCCAGTATCAACACTTTTAGTGGTTCTGCTTTCCAATCGACTATTCTCTTAGCTAAAACCGGAAGAGTCCTAACGCTGTCAACGAAATCGGACTAATTACTCCAGCTGGACGATTGTGATTGGGTGAGGTGAAGCGAGCGAAGCATGCATCGACGGAATCCCGGAAGTCTGGGAAGAACGGAAATAATTCGAGCGCGAAAGAATAGCAGGGTCAGGCGACCCAGGGGAATGGAGGGAGTGGTCAAAAGGAAACAAAACGTTCTCCTCGTCTTCTTTTGCACTGAGCGGCTTCGCTTTGAAGTGCAATTTCTCGAGCATCGGCCTCTTGTCTGGCAGGGGATTCTTGACCGTTTTACGAACCAGCACACACCTTTCTAATGACGGACCTAGTACTAGTAGTGACTGGTGTGGGTGGGATGGGATTAGCAGTTGCCAGAAGACTAGGAAGCGGTCGGCGAGTGATTCTTGCGGACTATTCAGAAAAGGCGTTGGACGCTGCTGTCTCTCAGCTCCAAAGCGAAGGGTTCATCGTTGAAAGCCACAAGGTCGATGTGGCTGACTACGATTCCGTGAGGCAGCTGTCTGAGCATGCAGCAAAAGCAGGCAGGATCGATGCAATTGTTCACACAGCCGGCGTGGCTCCGGCAACCGGATCAAAGGAGCAAATTCTTGACGTTGACCTAGTCGGAACCGTCAACATTATTGACGCCTTTCTGCCCGTTGTCTCTCCGGGAAGCAGTCTTGTTTGTATCGCGAGCTCAGCCGGGCATATGTATAAGTTTTCAGAGAACCTTGAGCAGCACCTCGCCACAGCCCCCCGCGAAAAGATTGTTGATCACCCGGACATTACTAGTACCACCCGAGTATCAGCTTATTCATTAGCCAAAAGGGGAAACACTCTTCGTGTCCAGAGAGCGGCGCTGGCGTATGGATTGAAGGGCGCCCGAATCAACACAATCAGCCCAGGGGTTACCCACACCCCCCTGGCTCAGGCCGAGCTCGCCGGAGACCTAGGTGATAGTGTCAGAAGCTTGGTTGCTGCTGCTGCCTTCCAGCGCCTTGGGACAACATTCGAAATCGCAGCAGCTGCGGCATTCTTGTGCAGTAGTGACGCATCCTTTGTCACAGGTACCGATCTTCTTGTTGATGGCGGTGTGATTGCCGGGAAGGCTTGGGGACCCAAAGCTGGAAAATAGACAAAGTCCCCTGCACCAGGGTCAAAAGATCTATACTTCAGCGCCTGAAGTTGAATACCCGATATTGAGGAAGTGCCTCATCTCCCTACTCAGTGAGTGTGCAGATCAACGCTTAGGTTCTTATTCATTCCAATATCAATATAGCCACGTTTGCCATCTTTGTCACTAGCGTAGCCGCGGTACACGACTACGAAGTGCTCGCTCAAGAGGACAAGAAAGTAGAGATGAGTAGAAATGCAGGTGAACTCTGTCGTTGAGAAGCCCATTTGTTAGACTGAGCGCTTTCTGAGCAGGTATAGATGCATTCGATTGAGTTCTGTCTGCCTTCTCTAGTTCAGAAAGTGCTTCCTTTCTATATACAAGAATCGCTGTGTCCAGGAGCCGTTCTCTGAATTTCTGAAACCGGCCAGAAGGTCTCCTGAAGCAGTCCTGAGACTCTGTACGCATCAGGACGCCAACACAGGCGATAAGTGGAGATATTGGCAAGGGTATAGGAACTTCCATAATTAGCATCAAAATCCAGAAGGCAAAGATCCTCAGCCCGGCGTGGCGGAATTTTGTTTCGTCAATAAGTACTGTGCCGACGCAGAGACCCAATTCCGCTTCGCTCATGGTAGCGTTGTCTCCTTCTCATAAGCCTTTCTAGACCTCGCCGTCGCCACTTGATGGTGTGGTTCTAGGGAGCTCTTCAAAACCTCAGCCTATCCTCAACAGTTTCAGGTTAAGTCAGCAGGCGTTCTGGACGTTGGCCGTTCCCCATTTTTGTCTCCTTTTGCAGGCGTTCAGGGCAACAGATAGAAGCTATATAGATACCAGTTGTCGCGCTCCATTCCGGAGGCGACCAGAGCCCTCAATACATCATTCGGTCATCAAAAATCTCTTACATTGTCTATCTACCGAAAACCTAAACAAAAGTGAATTTAGAATAGCTGCGCTCGAGTTCTGAACAGATAACTGCAAAGGCTGCCGCTCCTGGAGAAGCTGTTGTATTCTGAGGTATTTTTTTCATGAGCCACAACTGTCTGACTGTCTCCCTGTCCTGTTTGACGTTCTCTTGCCCTATATATACACTCGAGTTGCAACACTGCCACAGTGTAGGCAACAACGTGCGAACACGCTAGAACACGCAAGAAAAGGCACCCGCAGGCACCAGTATAACCTCTTTGGTACGTACAGTACAACAGAAGCCTAAAGATCTCTTACATACAATCCTTTAGGAATCATCCTTTCGGTTTTCAATAGAAAATATCACACTACAGTAAGAATAAACCCTGTTCAAAGTATGTTCAGGTGGGAATGTTCAGTGATTGCATTCTAAGTAAGCAGGGGCTTCCTCTGAGGCTATTCCAACACCCACAGAAGACATGCAGGTTCATAACCATGGTTCCTGATGCTGTGTAAAAAACCCCCTGGAAATAGACACTATCCAGCTTATGGAGTTCCTTGTGCCCCTACCCAACATTCAGGACGGCCTTACCATTTGTCAAAATATAGAGTTCGGCATCTTCGTTGGTTCATGGTACCATCTTTTGACCCTGTCCTAGGACAGTCATGCCGATGGCCACCTTGTCTGAGATGGAAAACAGCCAATCTACTGAGCTTTAACCTAGTCTCGAAACCTGAGGTTCTGGTTGTTGTGAGAGAATTTTTCTGCTATACAGGAGAGACACTTCTTGTAGCCACGCCAATCAAATGTGAGTACGCTTTTGGGACTGCGCTAAAGAGGAAGGGGGGAATGACTCCGGGCGGCGACTTCGACGGCGACTTCGTACAACGGCGACTTCGCTTAATTAACCTATTCATGCCTAGTAGAGACTTGGCACACCAAATTTAGCTGGGCACTCGTTTCTGCTAGTCACACAAATCCTGTAATTCAGTCAGCGATTGAACATTGAGATGGCCTCGCGATCTGACCTCGTCGTCGCCGCCGCCTAGTCTGTGCAATGGCCGATACTCCTCCCTGGCGTGCTAGGTAAGGTTGTCCTGACCACCTCCGTCGACCACTTAAGAAGGCCGTGAATAGCTATCCTGCCAAATACCGCCTCGATCCTGTTGACCAGGAGGTCTTTGACACTCCTGACGAATGCCAGGAACGCCTCCTAGTCTATTCGCTTACCTAGGGCTTTGATATAGTCAAAGGAGGAGGTGGTAAGCCCGCTCATCCTGGCTATAACTTCCTCTATATCTACTACGGCGAGGGCACGCGGAACTGGCGGGGCCTTGACGACTACGTTAATAGGAACGAGGACGGCGTAATTACGTCAGATCGTAAACGCGAATCGACTTATATTCGTGGGACTAACTATTAATGGTCCTGTCGAGTCTCCTAGAAATCAATTAGTAAACGGAATAGTGGAATCAAAGGCTTTATCCTTACTGTCAAGTCTCTAGAACACTCTGGCCACCTATTGAGCGATAACCCTTTGATATTTAAACGTTATAGAGATCGACTTGCGGAGTTCTAGGCGGCCCTAGCGTATGTAAGACTATACCGATCTAATACTATGCCGTTCTCTACGAGTCGTAGGGTCCTCGATTCGCACGATTTTAGCGTTATCTTAACGTCTAAGGAGTACTATAACTTAGTCAGATACTAGCCTACTATCAAGGAGGATGAAAAGACAATCAACGGCCTCGTTGCGACGCTGCAGAACGAGGGGTTCGTACATGAGCCGCGCCTCGAGGAGGTAGTTGATGCTACTGGTAGAATAGTTAGCAGGAAATGTCTGTAAATCTGGTTCTCACACCCTGACCTTCTTAAGGCGACCTCTCGATTTATGGTAGGATCTATCTACGTTATCGATGCGACCTTTAATACAAATAGGCTGAGAATGCCTATGATTATTGTAGTAGGTGTACTAAATACAGGCAAGACCTTTCCTATAGCGTTCTCGTTCTGTCTAACTAAGAGTTATGCCTCCTATTCCTTCTTCTAGGAGAGTCTTAAGTTACACTTACTAGAGGGTGTTATTCCGCCTACGGTTATCATCTCTGATTAGGCAAAGGCGATTCTTTCATCGATAACTGAGTCCTTTCCGTCCACGAGACATCAGATCTATTCCTAGCACGTAGTCGAGGCGATGAAGACGAGGTTCCGTAAAATGGGCTATAAGACTGACCAGATTAGTGGACATGAAAAAGGTATAAAAACGCTCTTAGATCTCACTTAGGCATATATCAATGTAGGCACTTAAGAAGCACTTAAGGCTAGACGGAACGACCTAAGATCGTAACTACTAGAACCTAAATATCTCGATGAATGGCGTGATAAGGAAGATCGCGTTATTACGCTGTTCACAGTAGAGTTACTAAATCTCGGCCATCGATCTAGTTAGCGATCTAAGTCCTATCATAACGTAGTTACGCAGATAACTAACAGTTAATTAGACCTTAAGATAGCGATAAAACGCCTCTATTAAATAGTCCACGGTGTGATTAAGGATATCGCTGAGTATAAGGATCGCTCGCTTATAAGTTATCCAAGAGGTGCCCAGGGCGTGGCGTTCTAATACCTACAATTCGCTGTTAGCGACTATGCCCTTAAATAGGTTGCGATTGAGTGGTTATTTCTCTGTTAACTTAAGGCCTCAGGCACTGACCTAGGCGCCTATTGTTGTCCTCTACTGAAACAGTTCCTCTTGCCCTGTAGGCACTACCTTAAACACGCCTAGCAGACTGGCCAGCCGATTCCTCGAACGCTCCTACATCCGCGGTGGTAGCTAGACGGGCCGTAAATCACCTCCCTAGCCTAGGTTCCTACCTATCTAAACGTCAAGATGGAAGCGTATCCAGAACCGACAGAATCGATGATGAATTCAAGGATAATCGAACAGATTCGGTAGGATCTTAAGGACCATGAAAGAGCGCGATTTGATAGACAACGAGACTAATTACAGGCACAGATGGAACGCCAGTTAATCGACCTAGGTGAACGACGTCGCCAGGAACAATATCTACCTATTGGCGTGCCCGATCCTATGCCTAAGAGAACCTGGACTAGGAGGCATGAACACGGCAGGACAACAGAGAGGGCCTTGATCGCTAGCGAGATCGGCGAGCGCCAGGAGCGCAGGCAACACCTAGTAGATAGGCAGGAACAGCGATATCAGGAGGCACTCGATCGGCGGCCTGAGAGGCCTCAAGAGGCGTTTATGCACACCTTTCGATTTGCGCCTAGTGTCCAGAACGTCGTTCAGGCACCACAGAGACATCAGCCGCCTCCGATTACTATAGAAAACACCAGGGAAGAGGAGGCAGAGAATGTGCCAGAGACCCCTCCACCATCGACCTCAACAGGTCTAGGATGCCTAGTGCCGCAGACGCCTAAGCGGCCACGGCCGCGTCGCAGTCCTTCGCCTGAGTCCTCGCCAGAACTAGTCCTGCCAGTGTCAACGGCACCGCCTGCGATCGGTGGTAGCGGTGGTAGAGGTAAACAGGTCCGCAAGTGCACAACTAGGCTAGTTGAGGCTAGGCGACAAGGCTTCCTACCTAATTCACAGGATGACTGAGAGATCAACACCAAGGTTGGCTATACAAAGAGGCGGCGACGAGGTCTGGCGGCGGCGAGGTCTAGAATATCACATAGAAACGAATTCATGACATGAAGAATCTACTACTAGCCAAATTTAGTGGGCCAAGACTCTACCAAGTATTAAGCGAAGTCGCCGTTGTACGAAGTCGCCGTCGAAGTCGCCGCCCGGAGTCATTCCCGAGGAAGGGCATGGCGGTGGGGTATGGAAATATTATGGGAACGAAAGAGTTTCTGAGAAACTTTGCCACCTCTTCGATCTCAATTGAAACTGAAACTGATCGCGGTGTTTCATTCCTCAAAACCACGCAAAGAGTTGGAAAGTTTCGGCTTCAAACTACAAGTGAACTGAGCAATATGTTCGGAATACATGTCATTGTCTCGTGGGAAATCCGACCACCTAATGTAATCCTCGCACCATGCTACCGCTCAGATTTCCGAACCTTATGGCACGTACAGGGCAGGAGGTGCT